TCTTCACATTCTCTCAGTGGCTGTCGCGTGGTTTCAGTAGACGAGATTCAGACAATCTTCAGAATCCTAGAAACCCTTGACCGTGCCGTGCTCATTGTTCCCCGCTTAAGTGGGCTTGTAGTAATGGTCGTATGTTAGTGATGTGGAGATTGCTTTATTTAAAACCGGATACACAAATGGGGCCAATCGGAATAACTGAGCTATTTATTGTGCGAGTGCTATACCGTTCTAACGCTCTCTTCGTCACCGTTCCCCGCCTCCTTTGCTCTCTTATCCCTTCAGGTCACGTAGTATCTTTGTCTTCGTACTTCCTTATCATAATAGCATTCAATAGCTATTTATATTGTTTTTGTTGCTTTCATATTAGTGCGGGGTTACATTGTATATTTAAGCCTAGACCTTTGTATATGTCAATATTAATGTTGCAAGACAGTCGACTTACTTTACTTTGCTTTCGTATCTTCTAAAGCTCAATAATTAGGTCAGTTATGTAAACGTAGTTGGACTTGTTATTACTACGCAAGTTATGTTGTCCTTTCAACAAAAGTATATTACATAGATATTAATGTACACAGTAGTACTATAGGCATCGACTATTGTGTATTGTACTTTAAATTAACACTATAGACGATGTAAATATTGCAGATCTTTTGTGAAGATACCGTATAACAAGTATGGAAAACGAGTTTACTGTATGTATTATTCGATATATGCAATGAATCAGTATACTGTACTTTTGACTTATCGTCTCTTAATATAATTTACATTGTGTAAGTGCATTACATTGTTACCATTTACCGTATACACGCACTTGCAAACATCGACCTATAGTATGTTATACATCTTGTGTGCAGGTTTGTGCACTTTGTGTTTACTCCAATTATTAATTCGTATTTGCTTTAATTTGATTCCAATTACGTCGACATGTACTGTAAATTCTGGTAAGATATATAAGGATGTGCAAAGTTTGATGTTGTATTAGAGTGAGGAGGCTGACAACATTTACTATGGTTGTATGGTTCAATATGTCTTGATATACATGATATGATCACACATATCTTCTCTTTATTTTATATGAGAGTAATTTATGTATGTCTATATCACTGCATTCGTGTAGATTTACTTATAATTTGCAAAACACAGGTCTATATATAAATATTATCACATATATCTTGGCGATACACATTTATGTATGTTCAGAATATACGATGATACTAACCTTAGTAGCAGGACTCAGTAAAAGTCTAATTTACCGAAAAGTTTATTTATTCCCTGAGGCACAAAAAGATTAATTTCGTGTTTCACCTGTCGCAGAAGTGGGGGAGGAGAAACGTCGAGGCACGTTGGGAAAACGTTGAGAACGTCATTGACACCGCGTATCGAATGTCATTATGTTTATTTACTTTCGGTTAAATATACTATATGATGCCAGATTATTAGGCTACATTTGGCTTATTTTTGTTATTGTGGGTTACTGTAGCTATTTTGTATGGCAAACAACATGTTGATATTCCCTGAATGTTTTCTGTTTTCAACTTACTATGACTTTCTGTTACGCCTAAAGTACTCTCGACTTGCTTTAATGACATTAGAATATTATTATGTTGTTCAGTATGTCACTTTTATTTCAGAATCTTTAGGTATAGGGTTGAGAACGAGTGTAATGGTCCAAATTTGTAGAAGACTTCATTGCCTATGACACTGTATACTTGATATTGAGGTCCATAATTCTTTGGAAATGTAAATCCAAAGGTGTATGTCACTGTGACATCGTATCTCTGCAATTATCTACTGTTTCTGCATAAATTAACTCCCTTTGAAGTCGTCAGAAGCCTGCCTTCTGAATCTTTCCCATTTGCATGTTTTACTGCAATAATCGTGCTTACTGTGACGTAGAGTAATGTTTCCAAAGTAATTTACGTGGTGTGGGAAGTCTTAGTAATGTAATGCTTATACTTTACTGATAACTAATCTGTTTGTTGCTAATCTATTATGTTGGCATTGTTTTTAGTTTATGTCTTCAACATAGTCGTATAAGCGGTGTGTAATGGTGGTATAATAGTGGTATTAGAGGGAATTCGGATAATTAAAACTTTTTTTGGTTTCATAATTAATAACCATTTCCTGTCCCAAAAGTTTCGTCTTTTTTGAGTGAAGGGTTCTTTAGTAAATGGAAAAAACTTATGGACCGGTATGGTTTTAAGGGTACTCTTGGTAATACTACTACAGTTATGAAGGCTAGGCTATTATTGGGACAGGTAAAGGGTGTCTTTTCTGGAGAAAAATGTCTAATTAATCTCCTATTACTATCTTAACATCTTCACTTCAGTTATCATTCCCTCCCCTCTTCTGTCTTGATGCCTATAATAAGATGACAAATGAAAGTAGACCCAGCTTCTGCAGCGAAATGTTGTTTATGGCGATACAGTTATTGTGCTGTCGCCGTTCCATCTTCTTCCTCGTCCATCGTGATCTAATCTTACCATAATCTGGGTTTGATTAAACTTTGTTTACAAGGATTACATCTACATAACATTTGCCACGTGTAAATGGGGCTTCAGATTACTACGTAGCTTTGTCGTTGTCCTACTCTAATTGTCGTACGTGTTGAATGTTGTTATGCACTACATTATCATTGAGTTTTATTTTATTTATATTAACATAGTATGCGTTATCTTATGATAGTAAACTTTATCATAAAGCGTTAAGATATAATGGTTATGTTGCCGTATGTCTATTGTAAGTATTTTTGGAAGTAAACCGACCTTCTACCGTGCAGGGTCTTCCTGATATCTTGCATTTGCAGTTTGTATACCTGAATATGCCTATGGCCTTGTTTGTTCCAATTTTACAGTCAATTTGAGCATTATATCTGCAATGATATTGTCGTTTACTTCCGTTTCCACTATACAATAGTGCCGTCTTACTGAGGTATATTTAGTGGTTAATCTCATTCCTTTGTCTTGCCATATTAAGGAGACATACGTGCCGTTGCTTGTATATAGTTACTTGCTATAGTTGTTTGGTGTGATCGTAGTAAACATATATATGTATGAAGTTTATTGCTTAGTATGTGTATTTAACAGCCTGTTTACTACATCTAACATAATATTTGCCTGTTTTTTGAATTTTGAATATATTAACTTTACTATCGTATCTTTCGCCTGTTTTTACATTACTTTATAGTACATGTCTTAATATATTAACTTGTTTACTGCGTGTTTTCCTTTTATTATGTAATAAAACTCTTTTACCTTATAGTACATCGTATCTTTGCGCTTTCTATTGCTCTTATACTGCGCGGTATTAATATGTTGATGGTGACAATGGAACCACGCAGTTCGGAACCATTGTACCACGTTCCCACATCACATTGTCCTCCACCTACCCTCTGCCAGTATAACCCAATACAAAGCCCATCACCCGCTATAATACTCGTTTGTTCCGTTTGTCCTAATGAACTCGGGCCAAGGTTAATCAACTTGAAGCACAAGTCAAGCACCATAATCGAGTATTGGGTGGTCGTCGTATCTTCTTTACATTTATCGCTATTTCCTAACTATATCATCCCTTATGTCCCTTTTCTGGGGGTCTGAGTATGTATTATATTATACTAATATTATACTTTGTATAATACTTTGTCTTTTATTATAACACTGTAGTTTTATGATACAGTAACAGCGTCTTGTCTTTAAAAGTTTTTGGAACTTATAACGTATGTTATATGTTACTAAAAATTGAATCACCCTCTGTCAAACATGTCTTCGTATGTACTTTGGTTAAGATATGTGGGATAACGTTAAGGGCATCTCTTCGTCGTATACCACGGCCAGGCATTAACATGGTTATAATAACTTTATGTACTTTATATGTAGTAGCTTCTACTCATATTACCCTACCATGACTTCCGAACATATTACTCATGACTTTTGAAAATATTACTCTACTATAACTCTTGACATTACCCTATCATAACATAGCAGTTCTTATTGCATATATTACGGACCTTTAAGCATACTTTTGTATATGAAATGCATAGTAACAGTTATCATGGTATTACGTTGCCATATAACATCACTGATGTAGGCGAAGCGAACATATATTATTGTAATTGTTCCTTTACATGACATTCTTATTAAGTATACAATGTCATAAATGAAACATATAATGAAGGTCTACTGTTACAGCTGAGGCATTATTACACATAATAAGTATATGACACGTATCTTACAAGTAATTACTGTTGTACGACTGTTACATTGTCCTACATATAGCTGTATCTTCCCACCCATACTACTGTCAGACAACTGTTGTATTATCCTACATATAGTTACATTATCCTACCCACATTAGTTAGATGACTGTCTATTATCCTACCGCTATGTCTGTCGCTTCCGGCTAATTAATCTGACCAGCAATTGTCAAAATCTTTATTAGATAATGTAGATAATATAGGAGTAGATAATACAGTATATGTAATCGGAAATCCCTCGATTAAGGGGATTTGAAGAAGCGCCCCCCTCCCCCCCCCCGCCCTAAAGCAATTAGTGGGAGGCCCTGGAGGGATTCCGAGAGTTTCCTGTTTGCACCTGGTTACCAAAAAGCAATGACAGTGAGAATGTCATCACGGTTTGTTACCTTTCGGGTCTAACGGGTTTCGCCCTATGTTAATATAGGCTTATTGGGTGTATGTGGTCGTGTTTACTGAGTGTATTGCTAACGGTTTGCGACATTTCATTTTACTTCAAATTTGAGTAGGATTTGAACTTTTACTTTAAACTGTTTAACGTGACATATCAACCTTTAAATTGTGACATATCGTGACTTGTTTCATATCATTTTACCCATATTACTTTGCTGTTTAACGTTTATATATACATATATTGTTGTATTTTTTACTAATATACACAACAATATTAATACTTTCGTTGTTGACAGCACGGTATATCGCTTACCGTCGGGCTTCCTTACAACTCTTACCTTATTCGTATTTCAGAACCATGACGCCCTTCGGGGTGGCCGTTTGTCTGGGTGTGGTGAACCTCCTGGTGGTATGCGGCAACGTGTTTGTGTTGTACATACTAATCAGCCAGAAGTCGCTACACACCTCCACCAACTTCATCGTGCTCTCGTTGACAGTCTCCGACTTTGCCCTCGGAGTCATCGTACTTCCGTTCAGTATCTTCCAGGTATGGCTTCAGATAATTGTCTAAAACATCTTTTGTACGAAGACATACGTGACAGATATTTAGTATCGTCGCAGTAAAGTTTCAAAATTTTATTTTAAAAATTTAAATTTTAACTATTTATTTTAGGAATACTCTGATTCCTGGATGTTTGGTACTGTCTGGTGCAAAACCTGGCTAGCACTGGACGTACTCTTCAGTACGGCGAGTATCTACAATTTGCTCGCTATCAGTTTCGACCGGTATATGGCCGTAAGACAGCCCATCAAGTACCGGTTCATCTCGTCCAATCGCATGACCAAGATCACCATCGCTGTCGTCTGGATGATCTCGGCCGCGCTGGCCTTCCCACCTTTGGTATACGACCATTTCGGTCAAATCGACCCTGCCATCCACGGCAATTGGTCGGAGAGTATGGGCATTAACACGAAGATCGCCCCAGGCCAAGGAGAGTGCACCCCCATGACCTCCAACAACTTGTACATCTTGTTCTCGGCCTTCGTATCTTTCGTGCTGCCTATGTTCTTGATGATCGGACTCAACTTGTCCATCTTCCATACTGTAAATGACTCTACAAAGCTGACCAAGATCAAGAGCAATGGGACGCCAGCTCCATCGTCAGGAAACTACAACAGCGACGATCAGAATTCGTGGATGAGAGTTCATCGTGGCGGAGTCAAAAGTAGTGTTTGCAGTCGAGTAAGTTTACTTTACATTACCTTTTCTTTACTCTCAACATATCTTACAGTAATTGTTTAATTTTAAATATGTTCCAAACAATTCCTATTTCAAAATTTATTTTAATTTGAATTAAGAAGTTGAGGTAATCTGTTGATATTGTGATTGCGAAAGCTGTGTCTATGTGTGCTTAATATATTTTCCCATGTGGAAGATTACATTGGCTACCGTACCCGGTTTCCTCTCTAGTTTAATACTGCAATTAGTTTTTAATTACTTCTTAATACTTTACATTACAGGCCCCGACGGAAGTGGTGACTGTCACTCCAGGCCAACGCTCAGTCTCCATGAGTGTAGGATCGGCCAAGAAAGTGTCGTTGATGCACCAGAACACGACTGTCACTCGCCCGAAGGTATCGTATCCCCCGAGCAGAAAAACCACCTTCGACTTCGGATTCAGTTTGGATCGTGACACGATGTCGTTAGCTTCTACTGACACTGGAGCTCTGCTAGCGACTGATGGGTCAGATCCGAAGGCTACATGGCTTCAGAAGATGAAGAAGACCAACCTGATGGACAGGAAACAAGCCATCGTTGAAGCCGACCGAGTATCATACTATTCAATGGAAAGTCAGCCCGCCTGCAATTCTACCCCAGCCACCCTCTACCCCTGCCAATCAGTGATTCAGAAGTCAGTTGACAATGTCTGGTACCCGGCTGTCATAACATCCTTGATCGCTGGGAAGAAGCCTTCCAAGAAGCACAGCGAACGTCTGCTTCTGTACCCGATGCTACAACTAAACAGAATCTCGCTACGTACCGAACTTCGTGTAGCCAGAACAATCGGAGTTGTGGTAGGGTGCTTCACGGTGTGTTGGCTGCCCTTTACCATCATCTACATCTTGCAGGTGAGTCCTATGACACTTGATATCACACTTTGCGTAATCCCCGGATATTTGCCGTTCGGTAGCCTTCTGGTAACCTTAAGTTCTTTGACGCAAGTGTAGCCGTAATCCCATATTAACATTGAGATTATCTTGTTTTAGGCCTTCGAAACGTGTCCCGTCGGTCTTTGTGTACCGCCGTGGATGTTTACCCTCGCCTTCTGGCTAGGCTACGCCAACTCGGCCCTGAATCCATTGTTGTACGCTGCCTTCAGCCGCGACTTCAGATCCGCCTTCAGAAAGGTTTTGACAGATCGTAACAGCAGCTTCAGAAGCTACTAAAGTATGGATCGTGGTAAAAACAACATATGGTGCAGGCAAAACGTAGTGAAGGATCTACTGAACTTCAGAATTACAAGAATTTAAAAAAATGTTACATCGTGATATCTGAATCGCCAATTCAAAACCACAATATCCTTACTGATTCGTTGTAATTTCTATATGTACATATAATATGCACTTCCTCGTGCCTATTTTCTGCACAGCTGTATATATCTTGCGTATGTTGTATATATGTCTACTTAACTAGGCGCCGCTCATATTGTCTCCAAAAGTATATTACTTTACTGTAGGCGTCACTATATCAAGAATGTATCGGGTCTCTTTTCACACTGCTCATCGTATCTTATCGCTCAACTCACGGGTCATGTTAAAGTAACGCTACGAACGACGGGTAATCAAGTATTTAAAGGCAATAAAATTTGGAAAATATTGGGATTAAATAACTGCAGACGGTATGGTAATTAATTTCGGTTAAATATATCTAAGATTAGTCTCGTCACTTCGAGATTACATTGATAACAACATACCATGGTATGTTAATAACGGTTTTAATGACTTTAAATTTAGAAACTAATTACTTTCACCAGTTCAAAACAGAATTATATTATCTATGTGACTTTAACCACTTTTCTCATAATTTACATAATAACATCTTAATTTATACCTAGATATAATAGCAGTAACAATAATAAGATAAAGAAAAACCTAATCAACAATTCACAATGTACTTTAGTCATCGTATGTAAATTTGGCAGCCTGTTTAAAAGAAAATGGCAGACTTCTGCCTTCAGGTATGTACTTCTTTAGAACTTGTGGACACTTCCAACCTTTCCTCGCCTATAATAAGGTAAAAAAGTATTTCAAACAAAACGTCCTTACTTATTGCAAATCGCGTTATAACATAAAAAATAATTCAACCATATTACAGTACCTACCTTATCCTGATGCGTCTCCAAAACAGTGATCAAAGCCCGAGAAGACGAGATCGCTGTTCCATTACAAGTATGAGCATACTCTGTAGTGCCATCTTGTTGTCGTAACTTAATGCCCAACCTTCTCGATTGGTAATCGGTACAGTTTGAAGCACTACTCACTTCCCCATAGTAACCTCTGCCAGGCATCCAAGCTTCAATATCAAACTTCTTGGCCGCCGCTGCTCCCAGTTCTTGGCTAGCCATGTTTAGTACTCTGCAACATCATATTTTTAAAGCTTTGCTCTATACTATAAGTAGTAACTGCTATTTACATGTACATAATTAAGATAGAAGATTGGTTACCTGTAATGAAAGCTTAAACCATCGAATATCTTCCTTTGGATAGAGACAATCTCATCTAGACATCGCTCACTATCGTCGCTATTACACACCACAAACATCTCTACCTAAAACAACATACAGTAATCACAATTACTCTATACTATTACAATTTAAAGTCATATCATCAACTTACCTTGTTAAACTCATGGACTCTGTATAATTTGGCTTCTGATGCTGAATGAGAGATTTCCGGTCGATAGCATTTGCTTTTGGCCATAAACCAATGTGGCCTAGCTTCTTTGAACGTTCTATTCCTCAAAACATGAGCAATTCCCATCTCTAAAAGCAGTCAAATTAAAATGTCACTAGACTAATATAAAACATATTGCCAACAGTATAGCAATGTACAGGTAAAACACAAAGAAACCCAACTATAATATAGGGTGACATACCAGCAGTGCCAGACAACGCCATGTGACTATCCTGTTGAACAAGATACTGTAACGTGTGATTGTCCACAGACTTTGGATGAACTCCACAAGCTTCTGTCGTCGTCAATGGTAATATATCCGGCACTTCAACAACATTAACATCCGGCTTCAATTCTTTGACAGTTTCCATGGCATACTGTAATAAAGCGGCCTCCACGTTGGCTACAGCTCCACAAAAAGCATAAGCTCGGCTTCCAGCTGATTCTCGAGGATAGTGAACCGACTTCCAACCGGCTACGAGATTCTCGGCTATGTGAAGACCATCCTCCTCTCGTTTGTCCCCGTATGTTCCTACTGTAACATTTGCTTCTTCTCCACCAATCGGAACATCATTGGGGCTTTGATTTGGTAATGCAAGAGCTTCGACGTACAACTAAAAATTGCCACTTCAAGGAGAAAGAGTTGACTCACACCTCAAAAGAAAACTTGACCCAGAAAATAACAAATTCCTGTAAAAATGATTTGTTACCCTTACCTTCTGCCACAATTCAGTGTATTCTTCTTCTGACTTGTTTTTCTTCCCACTGTAATCCTGAATTTCCTTCCATACCTTATGTAGCGCATCAATGTTACCTATGCCTTTCCTGTTTCGTATGTTCTCCTTTATCGTATTGATATTGCTCTCATCTAGTAGGTAATCAAAATCCAGATCTGGCCGTTCATCTGCCAGTGTCCTAGTCTTCTTCTTCTGGATCTTGCAACAATCAGAAGCTGTCATCGCTTGAGACAGACATTGTCTTGTGAGTAAAGGTCGTATTCGAAGCAACATCTTTAAAATAATCGCTATTACATTTTAACAGTTTTGTCATAATCGAGTAGCCGAGATAACAAAAGGATATCCATTCGAGTAATCAGATAACCCAAATGTACAAGGTATTTATTATTCAACCGGTTATGTATAAGTGTATCGGTTTAAGCGAAGATCATTTTGTTTTTTCCCCGAGATTTTTTGATTTTCTGGTACTCCGTATACTTGTCTTTGGCCTTCTGGAGCATGAAGAAGAGTCTGGAAACGTGCTTTTCCCCGATTCTGTCCTTTGAATATGTCAAGAAGGTCTGTTCGAACTTTGAAAGAGTCTGGTTCATTTGATCCAACTGAAAAATCACATCTTAGTCACATACTAATGTAAAAATAACATATTTTGTCAATAAAAACACAAGTTATTCAGTGTTGTTAACCACAAGAACTACAGTATTGTCTAATATACTGTCTGTATATTCAAGACGTTACCTTTTTCTCCATATCGTCATTGACTGGAGGCATACAATTCCAGAAGTGTCGTAGTAGTTCCCAAGTTACAGAGTAAAGCGTAGTCAATTCTTGGATAGTCTGTTTCTTAAGTCCAGCAAAGAAGTCTTCTTTCTGCTGGAGCACTTCAGACTTGCTAGTTCTACTCAAAAGTCCGTCGAAAAACTCTTGTTCAAACTCCTACAACAACATAAACAATTACACAAGTCAATTACAGAAAACATATTCAACATTAATATGTCATTACTAACGACAATTCTCAAAATTCACAGACCTCAGTGCAAGTCGACTCTTCAGTCAGCTTCATCATCTTATTCTTCCATCTTCTCGAGTCTTCTGCAGGGTATTCTTTGGGTCCGACTGTATATAAATTACTCTTGACATTAACATTGAGATTGTTAAAACTACTGTCATGTTCCATTTCAGCCAGGTCTTCACTCTCCAAATTCAACTCGTAACCGACGTGTTTTTCTTCATCTACTTCCATTTTATCAGCCTGAAAGCAAGAAAATATAATCATATGCCTTAATACTTTTTTAAACAACATAAACCGTTAAAAAGAAAAAATGAAGTTCCATATTTAACTCTTTTTTTTATATAAACCTTACATTTTCAGTAGAAGAAGGTTCGTGGCCCATCAATGCGGCTAATAATCTGCCGGAATGATAGTTACATCTCTTGATAAGCCTATCAATCTCTTCGTCCTCATCGTTCTTGTTGTTGCCAGTAGATCGCTAAAAATGTATTTAAAACAATAAAAATGCTCTGTTATAAATAAAAAATTTAGTACCTAAAATAATAACTAAAATGTTCAAAAGCGTTAGATACTTACAATTTCCGATACAATGCCCAGGTCTTCCAGAAGATAGTTAAGATCCAGAATCGGGTTACATCTGGCTTCGTTCTTCTCGTTGTTGATCTCTTTGGCATCATTCTTGTCGCATTCGAAGAAGGGATCATTAGGATCCTCATTCATGTCCTTTTCTTTGTGAAAGTAATGGGACTGAAAGAACTTGGCCCAGAACTCCTGTTCTGTCATAGCGTGAGGTACTAACTCCAAGTGCTTCTTCTCAACTAAAAGATATTGCCATCAAATAATGCTGGGCATTACTACTCAAAAACTCTTTTAAGCACTATATATTAATAATAACTCACCAATAGGATATGTTTTGAAAATGGCATGAATCGTATCCATGGTGAGATTCATTCTGATCCCATTCCCTTCTTCAGTCTGACTGATTGAACTCAGAAAACCACTTGGAATACCCAACTCATCCTTGGAAGTCTGAGGAATCTTGTTTAGATCCCAGAATTCCTTTGGAGTAATCAATTTTGTTGACACCAAATGTCTGTATAACATCTGAAGTCGCTGGTCCTCCAATAACAGCTTCTTTTTGGCTTCTAATGCATCGTTCTGGCTTTTTGCTGCTTTCACTGTTTTCTGAAAACAACAAAATATATAAAAATTGTTTTAGGTAACCAATCACAAAAAACGAGTTCAAACAAATATCCATGTGCAATATCTTAAAGTCTCTTACCGCTTGATTAATCTGTCTGTATCTCAACAAAGCTGCCTGAATAGTTTCCTTGATCGAATCTCTTTCATGTGTCAATTGCTCTTTGGTAACTCCTGGCTTCATGAATACGAAAGTGGCTTGATCTTCGTTGTTCATGCATATTTGTAATTGCACCTTGTCTTTGTTTGGCTGAGAAATCCTTTGGACTAAACTTGAAACATCCTTATTCAAAAACTTGTCTTACTTTTAACGTTGGAGTAAAGAATAGTCAAAGTTGGAGTAGTTTCGTCGTTCTGGATCCATTCTACGCGATTCTGATAAACTACCAAGACGCCAATAGGCGACTTTCCTTTACCAGCGACACGATATTTGACATTGTGCACTTTCTTCAGCAAATCCGTGCCAACTTCGGCTATTTTACGAGATCCCGTCATGAGGTAGGTAAGGTTTCGAAAGAAAAAACAAAATTTTGTTTTATTTTCGAATATTTTATTTTATGTCTGAGCAGTCTGCCGTCGCAAGTTATAAAGTTTTGCAGTCTGCGGAGGCAAGTTATGCGATGGATTTTATAGTTTTTATTCCTTCACAAGTCTCCTAGTTTTTGTGGCATTGTATACGAAACATGTCCTGTTTATTTGGCAATTAATGCATTTTTTATTGGCAGTGTTATTAATAAAGTATGTTCATTAAGAGAACAAGTTGGAGAGGCGGGGAGTTTCCAGTGTTTTGTGATTTGAGCATAATCCTTTCCAAAAATAGCTGAATCTTCAAAAGTCGAGTTTTTTGAATAGCTCGAGTCCTCCCTTGATTCTGTCCCACAAAACTGTCTTCATCTCTTTCGATACAGCTTCGGTGTAGGTATTGTACAAAGATGTTATGCAGTAAACCAATTGGGATGGGTAAAGATGCTTCAATACATCTTTGATCTGAAAAGAAGATAATATAAAAAGAGCATATAAACGCAACAAGGCAATCTGAAGATAATGCAACTTACAACATAGTTACTGAAGTCAATGTTGATGTTGTTCTTCTTGAGTTCGGCTTTGAACGTGTCGTGATGTATCTTGATGAACCTCTCCAAACACATGTTTTGCACGTTTCCACTGGTGTTTAACAAGGTGTATCGAATTACGTCAACCATTCCAAGGTCTGAAAGTAACTAATCTGACTTTTTTTATCTAAAATACGAACATACGACAACAAAGTAAAGTGTAAAGTATAGTAATATACCTAAATGACATGAACTCCAGTTAAGGAAAGACACGGTATCTTTCTCAGTATTTCCGTTGGTTCTCTTACAAAAGTATATGTTTTCAGTACTCAAATGACCATGGACGACAACCTTAGGTATGTCTGTAAATAGGTTTTATTCTTTCGACTATGGTATTTATGTTATACAAACATATGTAAACTTTTTTACTATGTAAAGAGGTCTCACCATATTTGACTTTATTCTTTCTTGCTGCCTTTACCAACCTATGTGCCAGATCCTTGTTCTCCTTGCAGTACTCGTTATCCATCTTGCTGATGATACTGTTTATATCCTTCTCGTCTACAATGTCATGTTTGTCATCATTTTTGAACTTCTCAAGGATACGTTTTGAGTTTGGCATGCATAATGTGAAAGCGTGGTATCTTGCAATGTCAATCATGATCTTGAGCGATGTTTGTATGTCGAAGCCATGCTTCGTATCTTGTCGTATACCATCGAATTCGGCCATTAACATACAACCCATCTTGTTCTTCGTATGTTCAGTGTCTTTCGGCATGATGCTGGCTATCTTGCTACTACTCTTTTTCTTTTTACTGTAGTAGCCATATATACGAGGTAACTTCATACGACTATAGGCATCGCCTATGTAGTTGTAGAACTTGATTTCGTGTAGTATATGGTTACTTTTGTCATTCTGAATATGTTATTTACAATGTTAATTACTATGGTATTATATTACCTTTATGTATAATTCAAAAGAGGATTTGACGCCATCAAAGTAGATTTTTATACAACCGTCGTACAAAGACTTGTCATCTCCAGACACTTCTCTATACGAAATCTGGAATAATATTATCTCTTACCGTTTAGGTTATGTCATTGTCGATTACAAATTAAAAACAATTTAAAATAATCTCAAATGCTATTACTTACCCTATTGATACTATGTTCATGTCTGAGTTTGTCGAACCTAGCTGAGTTACCATGTAACGTATCTAGCACCCATCGCTTTGTGACAATACTATTCAAGTACTCGTCCAGATCCAGCTCTGAAGATACTTGTACAACTAGCACTTTACTATCCATGACTTGCACCATCTTCACTCTACTGTACATACGATGTTGACAAGAAAAAGTGAAGTAACGGGTCGGCTTTTACTGTAATTAGGAACTATTGTCTTTTGAGTGCACTTACTCGCTGTTTGAGTTTACTAAACAACTGCTCGTAGACGGTTGTTTGTAGCCGAAATAGCAACTTATGTGTAAAGTACGTAGTCCAAGGCCTTACGAGTAATAATACATGAGTCATAGCATCTAACTTACGATAATTTAAGTCATAGTGGCTTGTCGCACACAACGTAGTCTATTGACATATAATTTTGCTATAAAACTACTACAAGGCTCAATAGTCATACTGTCACACAAACTTAATCACTTTACAGTACCCATCCGATAAGTTAGTATTCAAAAAACATGAATATTACTATAATCAACTGATTACCGTAACTATTTAAAAGTCAAATGTTTTTTCGAAATTTGCATTTGAAATTGGAGGCTTGCATGTTGTTGTAGGTTCAGAACGATCTTCCCAGATGGAAACTTCCACTGGAATCAGAGGATTAAGTAGGTGGAAACTTCCCGACCGTATCTGTTACGTCGATCGTCGTATGTTGACCTGTTATGCTAATGGCAGCTCGCTGATGTTCAGGTGTTTGAGACACAAACTTGAGAATTAAAGCAACATTTCCGAATATTAGGCTTGCTGAAAGTGAGAAAATCCACATGATTTTAGATGACAATACATCTACTGCCATTTTATAAAATGTAAGATTTGCATGGCTACATAAGGATTGAACATTAAATGACAACAACTGTCTACTAGAACATAAATAATCTTTTAATAATACTAAGAAGTTGAAGTTATTTAAGATGTCAACATAGTAAAAGTTTATCTTATAGTTTATATGTAGACATTGTACTCATTGTCAATGGAATTCGAAGCGTTTTCCCGGCATTATTTTTAAATGTGACGTTCCTCCGCAAGGTTTCAGATGAAAGGTTTTTACCTTCAAAACTGATATCAAGACCTCAAAGTCTCCATTCTCAACGACAAGACAAAGATTTCGAATTGTATTGCTTTACATTGTTATTGTCGACTCTGTAAACTCGTCAAGCATTGTTGCCATGTGATTGTGTAGACATATCATAAACAATATTCAATCCTGATCTCTAAGTCTTTACCTTGTTTTCGAACCTCACGAAGTGCAGTTTCATAACTCGGCGATATATTTTTTACTCTGTAACTTACTACAGTCGAAGCGATGGTACGGTTAACCTTTGAAAGTCGCCGCCCCTTCCATAATTTATGCACGAATTGTCGAAAATGTTAATTTCTTGGGAAGTTTCCATCGGTGAAAGTTCCCCAGACGCGCTCCGGTTAAAAGCTTGCTGATCATGGGCAACAGCCAAATCGTCTGGAACAACATTCGTGTTCTTGAAATCATAACATGCTGGCCCCTAAATACCAAAAGCTGAGTCCGAGTTCGGCAAGGCGAGCTCAACCTTTCGAAATCAACCCATACGACCTGTCGGTCGAGATCGAGCATGTCCTAGGGAAAGATGACGCGGCCGTCATCTACAGAGGGACTCTCAAGTCTTTGAACAATGCCACTAAGAAGTCGGGCTACAGTCAAGTGGCAATCAAGATATCGCATCCTCCAATCACTCCGAGGTCAAGGTAGGGCTTGTTGTTGCTTACTGTATATCAAATTATATAATTGTTCCATGTTAAAAATAAGTTTGCTATTTATTTTAAAACACATATTTTGAATATTTCAGAAGAGTTTTTGTGAATGAAATAGAAGCCTTGAAGACTCTGAACCCCAACTCTCATATAATGACAATGATCGGATACATGAACACAGAAACTGACCTCATGATAGTATCAGAGCTATGTCAGTTTGGTACTCTTGGAGCACTTGTACACGCACATCCATGTCATTACGCAGTAAGTCAATCATCGTGCATATTCAATCATTTTAATCTTATGAAGTTATCTTTGTGGTACCTTACTTCCTTAATATATGTCATTATCCTCTCTATATCAATACGAACGAACAGTAAGCAAATACTTTGTTGAACACAACCTCTTAATCTAAGTAACACGTTTTCAGAGACACGAGTTGTGTCCAACTCCATCGTGCTTCAACACAGAAGAGTTGCTATCGTTCTTTTGGCAGATTGCTGATGGATTGTCATTTATGTCGTCAAATGGCATCGTACACAGAGACATCGTGAGCGAGAACATCTTTATCACCGACAACTTGGTCGCCAAGGTTGGTGGATTCAAGAGATGTATGATCAAAACAAGAGCTGGAGATGCTGAACAACAACTGCCATTCTACAACCAGTCGATAGAGTCGCTGGTCGAAGGGGAATACTCCGAAAAGTCTGATGTGTAAGTTCATTTTTAAAATTATGTTTTTGTCGTTTTAATTTAAAAAATAATTTTGAAATCTTTTTATTTTGAAAGTTACATTACTCTTAATATTGTTATTGTTTAATGGCGTTGAATACCCATTTCTTAGTACTAATCTTAATATTGTTTTAGGTGGCAGTTCGGTAACTTGTTGTTCGAAGTGTTCTCTGGTGGTTATCTGCCTTACTACGACTTATCTAAAGCACAAATGCTAAAAATGTTTGACGTCAATGAACGTCCACAACCTGAAGACACCTGCCCTGAAGTCGTGTAAGTTTCAGCAACTTTCACAACAATATTTTTGTTTTCTGACCTTTTTTCAATTTATTATAATACGATAGAAAATATATTTAAAAAACGAATGTAAACTTCATTCAGGATCAAAAATTGAATAATGTCATTTTAGGTCCAACCTGATTGATCATTGCTGGAAGACGGACTCGGATCGTCGCCCGAGTTTCTCGCAACTCAAATCGCTGATAGCGACAACTTTCATTCGATCGCGGTCGCCAAGGAACTCAAGCCTTTCAAGATCGCCCTAATCTCCTCATTGCATTACAGTATTCTACAGTATAACGGGTCAAAGACTGTTTGTACATACTTGTCCACATTTATATTTGTTTGTGACTTTTACAAAGTTTAAATTAAAGCTTTAATTATTCAAATTTGAAATTATTTATACTATTTAATGAATCTTACTGTACTTTTGTTTTAACTCAGAAAGAACCTTTTTCTTGCCTGAGGCTGTAGTCGATCAACAAATACTGCATTTTGATCAGGTTGTTGTAATTTGATGAACGTGCTAGTGTGTCAGAACCAACACTACCCGTTTGACCGTTTTTCATGTTACGCATATTACCATTACCGTAAAAATTCTGAATCGAGTAACCAGCTGTAGTTTTGCCAATATTATTGTAGGTTTGCATGATCAAGGTTGGTGCCACAGATGTAGTTGTAGGTGTTCTAGATGCCGACAAGTACATGTTGGCTGTTTTTATAAACACTTTGTCTTCATTGTTACTGTAGCCATTAAAATTTGAAGTTTGGCTATTCTGGCTAGCTTGGTAACTTTGAGGTGGTCCAGTATTATAAACATCAGCACTGTGCACTAATGTGCCTAAAATTGTAAAATAATAGCCTTGATATAACACAGACATACATAATTACGATAGCAACAATATTTCACTTACCAACAACAAAACACAACAATATCAACATAATTTGACACAACCCTCATCATGACTAGACTTTATACTACAGAGTCAAAAGATCAGTTAATGTGACAAGAGGTTCGTGAACCTGACAGACAGTAACAAGGCAATTACTATTTATTGGGTCTGTCATAAAGACAAGGCACATACGGGTAACAGTAAACTAGTGACTGTTCTATAAAGATGAAAGTAGAAGTTACCTGGTTATATGTAACATAGTAGTGCTCAAATTTCCTCTAAATTTAGATTCTCAAACACTGACAAGTCGAATTCTTTCCGCAGCCGCAGGTCTTCACCACAATCAGTAGAAGACGTTGGTGGAGTATACGTTGGAGTGCTTGGCGATACTAGAAAGAACTTATTCTGTAGTAACTTGTACGGTGTTGGACGGAGATGGTGATTGTATTGTAGACACTGTTTTATCATTTCTATCAAGTACTTGTTAGTACAAGCAACTGAAAACCAGTGTTTAGTGCTTGCGGTACTGTATTTAAATATTATAATCTTTTTACGGCACACATATGTACTATAGAATAATTCTAATAAATCAACCACTATAGGTTTAGTAACCTTCTTCTGTGATCAATTACCTCATCAACTAGCAAAAATCATAAAAGAATGCGACAATAAGCTGATGCAATAAACCAAAAACGTTGCAAACGCTTCCTCAGCTAGCTGCAATTGTTTCAAAACTTGATTTCGCTAGCGTCGAGACTTGGAACCAATCCAAAAGCTGGTGCTTCTGAACTTTTATTTGTATTTTCGAGTCGAAAACCGGTTGAGAATCTGCCGTTCTTTTGGGTTTTGCGCAAGGCATCATCCTTTAACCATCACTAAATCATCCGAATGTCATCGTGTACCTCCCAGAAGCAATTGTTTTCCCTTAATTCACTTTTCCGCCCCTCCAAATCCGGTAATATCCTGAGGCGGTTTCACAACAATAAGGCTCACGAGTGAAGCCAAGTATATAAGGCATCAGAAGTCATGACACAGCATCATCGGATCATCTGTTGTGCACCATGAACTTCTTGACCGTCTTCATTCTCTTGGCTTCCGCTGTCGCTTCAAGCGCCTTCTTGTTCCCATCTGCCGGAGGCGGTGGCTGCTGCCCGTAAGTCAAGTTTGAAATTTACCGTATTTTAAATTTAAGAGCATTGTACTATTTAGTACTATGTTTTCTTTTCAAATTGTTTTGTTGTAAACACTTCCTCAACTAACTTATCACACGTAAACACTTTCAGACCACCCCCACCTCCACCATCATGCGGATGTGGAAAGTAATTCCTTTCCACCGTAACCCAACTGTTTGTACTATAACTGCATGTTTATGTTAATCGCCTCATGTACCTCAAATAAACCCTTTTCATTTACCTATCGTGTTCCAATCTGAGATCGCTTCCTGTTTATCAAAGTTCATTTTACCGTAATCCGGCGTCGCTTCCCAGTTCGGCCAGTTTAGTTTAGTTGGTGTTCCGAGGATTTTAAATACTTTCCCGATCTGATCTATGTCGTTTGCCCCCTAAAAACAAACATTTATAACTTAGAAGATGTACTTAATATAAAAATGCATGTGAGAATTCAAAAAGATACTGTAACTTGCCTCAAATAAAGGACTGACATTCAAATATTCTACCAAAACACATCCAAACGCCCACATATCGACGGCCGGAGTATAGTCAACCGACCCAAACAATAGTTCTGGAGCACGATACCACCGTGTAGCCACTTGGTGAGAATAAGATCGTTCTCTATCCTCAGGTAAATACAGACCAGCTAGTCCGAAATCGGCTATCACAGCTCGGCAAGATCGAGATATTAGTATGTTGTCAGGCTTAATATCCTTAAAACAAAAAAAAGTACTTCATCGAATAAAGTGTAATATACAGGGTGCCCCAAGAAAAACGAAAAAAACTAAAACGTTATATTTTGGTTGAGAAAAATGCTAAAAATGCCAAACTTGGCACTGTCAAAGATTGGCACATGCGGTTTTTTGTCCCAAAATTTAAGATTTTTCAAGTGCATACTAAGGGCGTTATGATTTTTTTAAAAATAGTCATTTTCCCCCGAATTACACATGTTTTCAGTTGGAGATGCTTTTTTTGGTAAAAATTTTCTAAGTTTTTGACAAATTTTTAGTTAAAAATGACATTTTTGACAAAGGTTTTGATTTTCAATCGTCGGCGGAGTGTCGGCGGAGACTCGGCGGACGCTTAAAATTGTCGGCGCAGGGCATAACTCGCTTGAAACATGACGTAAATACATGAAACAAAAAGTATTAGTTTTAGAATTATCAAGGCTATCTTGTCTGATGCTGAGCTTAAGTTCAATACGTTAAAAGACGGGAATTTATAAACGTGTACTTAAGTGAATAAGTAAAACTGATTTAAGTTTATTATGTAAATTGCACAAATAACTTCAAAATTTTAACGTATTTTCGTTTAAACAAAAAAATCAAAAACGTGATAAATCTTTTTTTTTTTTCATAATTTTTGAACTTACGTACAATTTCCTAGGACATTATAAAAATTTTTGAACCTTATATTTTCTTTAATTTAACTTTTTTTGCATATTTTATTTTAAAGCTATTTTTAGACCAGCTTAGCATCAGTCAAGATAGCCTTGATAATTCTAAAACTAATACTTTTTGTTTCATGTATTTACGTCATGTTTCAAGCGAGTTATGCCCTGCGCCGACAATTTTAAGCGTCCGCCGAGTCTCCGCCGACACTCCGCCGACGATTGAAAATCAAAACCTTTGTCAAAAATGTCATTTTTAACTAAAAATTTGTCAAAAACTTAGAAAATTTTTACCAAAAAAAGCATTTCCAACTGAAAACATGTGTAATTCGGGGGAAAATGACTATTTTTAAAAAAATCATAACGCCCTTAGTATGCACTTGAAAAATCTTAAATTTTGGGACAAAAAACCGCATGTGCCAATCTTTGACAGTGCCAAGTTTGGCATTTTTAGCATTTTTCTCAACCAAAAAATATCAGAACAATGTAGTCTAAAACCTCACTCTGTGCATGATGCTGAGGCCATGAATGTACTCCAGACCTTTCAGAACTTGAAAGAAGAAATGTTTCAACAAATCCAAGTTGATTGGTCGCTTTTCGTCATAAATAACCAGTTTCAAGTTGGATTCAATAAAGTCCAGTACAATGGATATTGTCGTAGCTGCGTACAGAACTTCTCTCAAATTTATCACCTGAAATTAACGTCTTCATACCAATATGATCTTACATTTAAGTGTTTCATGTGCCTCAGCGCATTGATTTCCCTCAAGATGTCCATCTGATTCTGGAGATTAGTCTTCAATCCAATCTGTTTCATGGCCACGATTTCTCCTGTCTAAACAATAACAATATAATCTCAGAAATGACTTACTTCAACATCTCGAGCTTTCATAACAAAGCCATAAGCACCTTGACCAATCCGAGATATAAAAGCATACTTCATTGTCGCGCATTAAAGTTTTTAAAAATTAAAAAATGCATTATTCTGGTTGCTATAACAACATGCGACTAAACAAATAAATGTGTTTGAAGTTGCAACTAACTTAAACGATATATATAAAAAAAAGTATGAAGATCATTGAAGCATGATTCAAAGAACAGTATACTACTAACTTTAGTTTACAATTAGATTATTACCAATTTGCAAAGATCACTTATCAATTAGCATTTCATTTTTTACATTTTTGATGTTTAAAGACGTAAAATTATACGTTATGTTATTTTTTTGCTAACATTAAATCCTTGACAAAAATTTGTTTAAAATTACAAATGACAAAATGTTCAATGTTAGTCCCAACACGAAAACAACGAGTGCCTAAAACGTGGTACTCCGCATCAAAAAATAAAATATTTTATTTTCAGAACAGAATTTTAAAGAACTATAAAATACAAATGTGGGAATCAAACGGACAAGTGAGTTGTGTTGGAGATAACTAATATTTTTACAGGGTTCAGTCGCTGATATGGTGGCACAAGCGGCCGCTGACCATTTGATGGCTGTAAATCTGCCTGGCTTTGTTTATCAGCCAGAAGTCGGCATGTACTACAGCTATGAGTCCGGTTACTATTTTGACCTTGTAAGTTTTGATATTAGGTTTTCTATTTTACTTTTAGAAAACTAATTTGTATTACCATCCGTCTACACAATGTTACTATCAATACGATCATGATACTGGACAGTACAAAGTGTATTCAACGAGAAACACCAAGTGGGAGAGCAAAAAGTACCATAAACGAGCAAAGAAGCTGCTTGGCGAGCTTTACACTGAAGGTTTAGAGCAAGATTATATTACAGTAGCTGAAGTGTTGTTTGGTTTGGTGGACGAGGTCGGTGTTTGGGATGGAACGATCAGAACGTTTGCTTCCAAGAATATGTTGAGAGATGAAGAGGTTAGTTAGAAGTTGTGAGACTTGTATTGCTTATAGGACATGGATCATGAAGACTGTGAAGGAGAGATGGCGTCAAGTTCTTGTTCTTCTGACGATGAATTGGAACGAAGACGAGCTGAAGGTAAGAACTTACAGTTTAAGGAAAGAATGATGCTTAGCGATTAATATGAAGCTATATTTTTGTTTTCAGAAGAGATGTACAACCAACTATCGTGCATTCGGTTGATGAATTTCAGAACCAACGAGCTTTCAATTGTGACGATTGATGGTGCAGTTCTTGGTTCTTCGCCAAAGTGCGAAATAATTGTTAAAGACGACTCGCCAAAGGCAAGTAAAACTTATCTTTTATTAATATTATTTTAGAAGTACGTCAGTTTTGTGTACGATGAAGTCAGTAAAACGTATCTGATCATCAATTTGGGAAAAAGCTTAGTTGAGGTTAACAATGAGGTTGTCGTGGTAATTTTTTGGGGCCATACTAGAGAAAGCACCCAACATAATAAAGGCACCCACTAATGGTTTAAAGCACCCAGCAATCTTTATTCAAATTTTATCATTATGAAACGTAGCGCTTTCGAAGAGCGGTGTAGAAGTGTCCAATTCGTGAATGGCGATTGTTGTAGCGAAAACTGAAGAAAATATAATAAGGTGCACGGCTACTGTAACTAGATAGTTGGCCACTATAACTAGATGGTTGGCTACTGTAACTAAGAAATGGGCTACTATAACTAGATAGTTGGTTACTGTAACTAGATGGTTGGCTACTGTAACTAGATAGTTGGCCACTACAACTAGATAGTTGGCTACTATAACTAGTTAGTTGGCTTTTGGCTACTGGAACTAAATAATGGGCTACTGTAACTAGATGGTTGGCTACTGTAACTAGATAGTTGGCCACTACAACTAGATAGTTGGCTACTATAACTAGTTAGTTGGTAGTTGGCTACTGTAACTAAATAATGGGCTACTGTAACTAGATAGTTGGCCACTACAACTAGATAGTTGGCTACTATAACTAGTTAGTTGGTAGTTGGCTACTGTAACTAAATAATCGGCTACTGTAACTAGATAGTTGGCCGCTATAAGTATCAGTCATTCCACTAAAGAATTTGACAATTGCACGGTGCAGTCCCTGGGAAAATCGCGCCCTTTTTTATCCCACTGCACCGTGCAGGTTCCCCCGCGATCACTTGCAACCCCAAACGATGAAAGAATGTACAGTGCAAGCCCCCAATTGTCGCAGGAGTCAGGCGACTTGCAACAGTCAAAAAAATTTTGTCGCAAACCTCCCATTGAACACAGTGGTGGCTTGAGCGTTGCGACAATCGCGACACGCTGTCGCATCGCCCTTTGAATTACGACGCGACAGTTTGTCGCAAGCTTTGCACCCTGCGACACTGCGATTCCCATTGGGAAGTCGCAAGATGCAAGCGAATGTCGCACGACTCGCTGAATGTTGTGTGACGTCCCTCAATTCTCGGCGCGACAGCGATTCCTCCAAATTGGGGTTTGCGATTTTGTCAAATTCTTTAGTGGAAAGACTGATAGATATTTGGCTACTATAACTAGTTAGTTGGTAGTTGGCTACTGTAACTAAATAATGGGCTACTGTAACTAGATAGTTGGCCGCTATAAGTAGATAGTTGGCTACTATAACTAGTTAGTTGGCTTTTGGCTACTGTAACTAAATAATGGGCTACTGTAACTAGATAGTGGCTGCTACAACTAGATAGTTGGCTACTGTAACTAAATAGTAGGCTACTATAACTAAACAATGGGCTACTATAACTAAGATAAAATTAATACTATGGTAAAATCAAACGTATTTTTTAAATAAATACTAAATTCTTACCTGTTATCCATCAAAACTCGATAGAAGATGACTTCTTTGAAGGTGGTTGATCTTGGCCTAGGTTGTCAGGTTGTCGATGGATCCATGATCACCACGATCAGATTCCATGCTGACCCGACCGTCTCACGCAGTCGATAAAATATGAATGACCGTTTTCAAAAAAGGAAAAACAACAAAATGAAATTGCAAGATTATGCAAAATTTGAATACTTTTGGGTGCCTTAAATAGGATAAAAATTGGGTGCTTTCATTAGTAATACTGGGTTATTTCTTTAGATTAGCGCCAGTCTTTTCAATTATTTTATATTATACATAATACAAATCAGACTAATTAACCTGTTGTGCATGTTACAGGACTCCGTCGAATTGTCGCACAAAGACAAAATACTGATAAATGACCATGAATTTGTTGCTCACATACACAAAGGACTAAACACATGCCCAGATTGTGAACCTGGTCGTCTAATTGTCAACGAAAAACGTGTTTATACTCGAACATCCAAAGCCAATCACAGTAAAGAAATGCGCAAGTTGAGGGCACAGTTTGGTGTTAACGGTACCGAATTTAGTCATCATGAGGTAAATGACAGAGCCAAACAAAGACGACTGGTCGAAGGGAGCGAGCCGCCTGTCAAAGCACGGTCTTTTGACATGTATGCAAATTGTAAAGCAGCTCCAGTCAAGGGTAATGTCACCTTGAGCCAGCCGGTTGTTTCTGATAACAGTAAAGGGCTGAAACTGCTGAAAGCGATGGGATGGAAGGAAGGATCGGGTCTGGGCAGGAGTAATCAAGGCATTGTTAATCCGGTAAGGAAATGGTGCTTTCATAAGTGGCAGTGTTAAATACTACTATTTTTGAAAATGTCTTGATGTGTATTTTAACCTGACTTAATTCTTGTGTTGATTTGGGAAGAAATACTGACTTGATTTCAGATTCAAAACGTTGTAAAGAATGACCGTGCTGGCCTAGGATCGCCTTCTAGTTCCAGTAAACGGGCAGTCCCACCCAGACAGAAGCTGAAGATGGAAATACTCGAGAAGACGAAACAAAGATACGATCAAACACAGTGAAGTAGGTTGTTATTGTTGCATTTTTTGTTATTATTTGAAAAAAAAACGAATTTCTAATTTAAAAAATGTTTTTGTGGAAAACATAAATATTTATTTGCGACGTAAGAGTAGGAAAGACATTACCATTTGCTCCCCCAATCAATCCGTTTCCCCAATTAAATGTAGCTATTGTAAGTGGAATGAATAATGTATGTTTGTTATGCCCCCTGAACTGGACTGTTTTATGATTTCGTTAACACTCCAAAAAGCTTTTCATATCATTATGAAAACGGATAAACTTTTAAATTTTACATAATATTTATGGTCGCTTCGAGAACCGAAAACAACTCCATTATTGTCTGGCATCTAAATGGAGAGCAGCAGAAAGCTTGAAGATGCTAGCTCCAGGGACAACATTCCTATACTTTACTTAGGCGGTGAAGAAAAGGTACCGATTTCTTTGTAGTACTTCATTATGATAGTCATTTCAAATTTACAATGACGTGTGCACCAAAAATTTGAAAAATTGCTCTAAGTATTGTAGTGATACTATTGAGGACCATTCTTAAGTCATTTTAGGTAGTGATTAGATCAAAAACAGCAGATGCGTTCAACAGAGTTCTGTCATCAACAAACCTCGCTCAATTCCCTGACAAGTTCCTGCCATCGCCCAAATTACCAAAGAAAACAAAGCAAGTGGTACTGTTCGAAGATGGATACCGATACCTAGTCCTGTGTCTTGGCTGGATGTCTCTCGCCGCTATCGCGGCCAACATGAACTTGTACAACATGACGAAGCTGTGCATGTTCAAGGAAGAGAACTACACCAGTGTCAATTACTTTACAGAAGTCGAACACAACAAGCTAATAATGGCAGCAGCAATTGGAACGGCGGTCGGTACAGCACCGTTCTCCTGGTTATTCACACGATACAAAGCCAAGTACCCATTCTTTGCCGCTGGGGTGTTGTCGGCTGGGACCACGTTTCTGATACCTGCTGCTGTGCAACAAGGCTTCACGTCAACTTGGCTTCTGAGGTTTCTACAGGTAAAACAAGTGTATACAGTGCATAGAATTGCCAGCGTTTTGACGTCTTTAACTGGTTAATGTTAAAACTGACTTTCAGGGTACGGCATACGCGGCAGACTTCGCAGCTATGGGTGTTTTATGTGCAATCTGGTCCCCGTTATCACAAGCAGCGTTATTCATATCTATGTTAACCTGTTACAACTCCTTAGCCGTTCTGTTTTCGTCACCCGTTGCTGGTTTAGTAAGTTAACTATCTTCACCCGTTGCTGATTTAACACGTTTATTACCTTTTTTCAGCTATGTAGAAGTTCATTTGGATGGGATACCGCTTACTACACGCACGTTATGGTAACTGTCGTCCTACTTATGACTTGGCTGTTATTCTACGGCGACTCACCAATATCCAGTCGTTTTGTGTCGCAAAACGAATTCAATAAAATACAAAAGAACAAGAGTTTGGCACATAAAACCATGAATAGTAAAGTGCCGTATAAAGTAAGTAAACGCTACAGTAAGCTTTTTAAACTAAGAAATGTAACAAAACACATAGATAAGGTAGAACAACATTCTAAATCGGTAATAAACAGAAGGCAATGCTTTCAGAAGATCATCAGGAACAAGTTGGTATGGGTAATCTGGTTCAACGCATTTATGGATATATTTTCCGGTATTTTTGCTTTGACATACGAACCCACGTACTTAAGCAAAGTTCTGCATTTCGACGTCACTCAAATTGGCTTTCTCGCTATCGTCGGTCCAATGGTCCACATCCCGCTTAAATTTGTGTTTGGTACTCTCAGTGATCGCATAAAGTAAGTCAGACTACTTTACGTTTTGGATAACAGTTAACATTTGTTAAATGACATATTTTTCTTGACTATTAATTACTTTTATGAACTGACGTATGGCTTTTAAGATTCATCTCCGAAAGAAGGAAGATGATCATGTTCAATTCCTTTGCCGTATTCGGACCTTCCTTATCGTACCTTTTACTCGCCTTTGCTCCAACAGATTACCCATTACTGTCCATCCTTGCCTTCATGGCAAATGGCATATTCTTCTCGACAGCTGGTGGCGGATTCTACAAGTGTGCCACTTTGTGCTTCCGGCAATACGCCCATGTTGTAATAGCCAGCATGCAGTTCACTAAGGCCCTGACGATGTTTTTGGGTCCAGTGTTAGTAAACGTCTTTGTTGTTAACATTGGCAACCAATATGAATGGCGCAACTTGTTCCTCTTGGTGTCCATCTCCTTGGCTACAGCAAACTTACTCTTTGCTTTTAATGCTACTGACCAACCCGCAGACTTCACTAGAACCGAAATAGTGAAAAACATTGATATTAAGGCACCAAATAAAGTCATACCAATGTAAATAATATTACTTTATCCTAATTATTGGTAAACATTGTGTAGTTATACTAGATCGTAGATATGTATAGGTATTGGCACATAAACTAACACTACTTCCATGCAACTTGTTCATCTTCTTTGTTTAGCATCTCTGCTATCGTTTCTTTGATAGATTCTAGGTAGTTTAAGGTGTTCTTCTTGTCTTGTTCAATTGCCCTTTTAAGCTCATCTAAATACATAAATGCTTGTAAAAAAGCTTTTAAATTATAAAAACATACACCATTCTACGGAATATAATCTATGAAACACATACCCAGACTCTTATAAGTTTCCATCGGCCTCATGAACTTGAGTACAACAACATCCAACCTCGAGTCGTAGAAGTCTTTCGTAAAATCATGGAGAATATGAACTTCAGCTGTTTTGGTCTTTTGTTCAAATTGGATGTTGTAGCCAATACTCATGACCATCGGCCTAAAAGAATCCGAATCCACCCGTGCTACTCCAGCATAAACACCACTAACAATTGCATCAGGTATACTCTTGACTGTTACTTCGTCCAGATTAGCTAAACTTAGTTTACTAAGTAATGTTGCAATAAATATGTTTTAAAATGTAAACATTTGATATAAAGATAAGGCTTACCTGTTGGACAATTGAGCTGCTTCCCTCCTCTACCAGCTCCCCTGACAACAGTGCCAAGAAGCCGAAGAGGTAACATATTAAGTTCTTGCTTAAATTCACCTAATCTCATAAAATCGATAAAGAATACACTTTATATCACAGTTTGTATCATTAAACAAATATTTCTCCAAGATTTTATCTTTTATAAAATTATTTTTTAATTAAAACGGAATGCCATAATTCTTTGCATTCATTGTTTTCGCTATAGAGTTTTTAATTTTAATGTTTATCTAACATTTTTACACTTACAATTAACTATAAAACATAATAATTACTTTTTTATATTAACTTTATTATAAGAGTGCATATTTAGCTGACTTTTGCAAGACCATTCACAAAACCAGCATAGCACAGTTGAGTTGGTCTCAGCACGAAAATGGCATAATATTTCAAAATACGGTATTTTTTCCCAACGTAAAATAATGTGTAGAAAAATTCCTTTTTCAATATTTTTAATGTAAAAATTTGTGTTTTGTAACAAAGTAATAGCGAGTTCAATATTATCAACCTTTTTCACCGTGTCTTTGGGATTTTTCTTCTATTTGTTGGCGTCTTTATGGATATTTTGGTTATTTCAGGGTCTTAAAATGGCGGATCAAACCGAACGTTCGTACCAGAAGCAGCCAACCATCTTCCAGAACACCAAATGGCAAACCCTTGGTGTTGGAAAGAAATCCAAGAAGAGCGACCGTTACTACAAGAGCATCGGATTGGGCTTCAAAACCCCAAAGGAAGTAAGTTATCATGTTTTGTTTCATTTCTGTTGGTTTAGGCTATTGAAGGAACATATATCGACAAGAAGTGCCCCTTCACCTCTAACGTCTCGATCCGTGGATGTATCCTCAGTGGAGTTGTTACCAAGAACAAGATGCAGAGAACCATCGTTGTCAGACGGGACTTCTTGCACTTCGTCCCCAAATACCGTCGTTACGAAAGAAGACACAGAAACATCTCGGTTCACTGCTCTCCAGCTTTCCGGTAATTTTTATATTAAATTTTTGTGAAACTTGGTTTAAAATGTTGATTTTTGGAAAATTTTAAAGCTTTTTAACTTTATTTTTGAGAATTTTTAAATTTAGTCGAAGTATATTTAGCGAATTATCTTTAATCTTACTTGCAATAGTACTATGTCGTCCCAATCCTTACTAATTAATAGACAATTTAATTAGTCGGCAATCTAAAATGGGGATTTAAAGCTTTTTTGTACCACAAAACAACATTTTCTAACGTCATTTGTTTCAGTGTGAACGTTGGTGATGTTGTTATCATTGGAGAATGCCGAAAGCTATCCAAGACTGTGCGCTTCAACGTGTTGAAGGTTCTGGGCAAAACTGGTGCCAAGAAAGGATTCGAGAAGTTCTAAGTGTAAACCCTGATGGCCGAATGATCGGGAATTTTGGGAATGTTATTGGAAACTTCGGTTTCTTTTTATTGTTTATCTTTGTTTCATATTTTGGTATCCAATAAATGGAGCCTTTGTTTTTTCTTGGTATTTTTGAAGCCTTGTTTTTATGTTGAATCTTATTTTATAGGTTTGATTGGACACGTTTTGTTAAGTTATGAAAATCTTCAACAGAAGAACGAAGCTATAGCAAAGTTTTTAAAAAACGTATTTATATTTCTTTTTTAAGAATTAAGTACCAAGAACTGTGTTTTAGCCATTTTTTAAGACTGGGCATGAGATGCTTATGTTGCTTTCCTCAGATTGGCCGCATTTTTGACTTTCTTTGGGCGTGAGAATTTGCGGATCGGGTTCTTTAAAGGAGGATGCTCTTCAACCTGGCGTTTTGGTTATCTTGGGAGGTCGTAGATGCTGTCGGTTGAGGATATCTGTCGCGTTTGTGGAGATAGAGCTAGCGGTGAGTAAAATAACAGGAAATCTTGATTTTTCTTAAGGACGACACTACGGAGTGAGAAGTTGTGATGGTTGTCGAGGGTTCTTCAAACGGTCAATTAGACGAAATTTGCGATATGAATGTAAGGAGAAAGGGCATTGTGTTGTTGATGTGGCTCGTCGTAATCAGTGTCAAGCATGCAGATTCAAGAAGTGCATTGCAGTTTGCATGAACAGAAATGGTAAGTCATCCGTCGATGGCTCAACTCCATTTATGCAAAATCTTCTCACAGGGCTGGGTGTCACTTTAGACGACTTCATGAAATTTTAATTGCGTTTTTGTTCATGCCCTTTTCAGCGGTTCAAAACGAGCGTAGCGTTTTCCCAAGATCTCACCGGTCGGGAATATTTGGATCGAGCCACAGTACTTTAGAATGCAGGTAAATAAACGAAAACGAATATAATATTCTAGGAGCCCTTACTCGATGGTAGTAACGCGATCGTTGTTGAGCTTACAACCAAAAGAAAACAAGGGTATGTTAAGAGCCTATGATATTAAGTTTTATCTCAGCTACCAAGTTCAACGTTACAAGCCTAACAGAGACAAAATCTGATAATACTAATAACTGGGAACCATTCCTTACATCGCTTTTCTCATGGTTACTGAGGTTCCAACCACTTCAACAGCTATCTTTGCACGACAGAAGGCTGATATTACAAAAGAGCTGGCATTCTGTCTTCCTATTTCACTCAGCTTGTCAGTTTGCAGACTTCATAACAAAAGGTGTGTTTGAAGGTAGTAAAGATAACTGAAAATTGTAGAAAACTTTGATGAAAAGATCAATTATGTTACTTCAACATTAAGCACATTAAAATTGAACCCGATAGAACAATGGACGTTGAGCTGTGTACTAATGTTAAGAGCTGGTAAGACGTTAATATATCTCCATTGACTCAATGTGTTCTTAATCTATCTAAACTACATGTCAAATAATATTTCAGATATTTCTGGATTGGAAGACACCGAAAAAGTAAAACATCTACAAGAACAGAACCTTCTGGCGTTCGCCGAGACCGTGTTCAACTCAAAAGGAGCCAACTCCATTAATCAGACCAAGTCGAGGTTTGCCAAGTCATTACTGCTGACTTTCTCTATCTCAGAAATCGACCCCATTCTCATACAGACTTTATTCTTTCCTTCACAAAATATTCAGCAGATTCACGAGATTCTGAAGACATTCTGACTTATCGTAGGGCGTCTATTAACTCTGTAAAGCTAGTCACATACCATGGTGATGCCTTTCTCACTCGTTCTCTTACTTGATTGCCTCCGAAACCAATAAATAGATCAGCTGGCGGATAGGCTTCGAGATCTGTGGCTCCATCACCAACCATCGTCAGGCATTTGTAACCGTATCTGAAATTGTATAAATATGTCGTTTTAATGTAAAAGAACAGAATTATATTCATTTTCTGATAAAATATAAATTTTGATGTTTTTTAGATAAAGAAAGATTTACTTTTGCTTTAGCAATTGACACACAAGTGGTTTCCCTTTACTTTTGTCGCCAGAATCACTCGTAGGTTCATTTGGATCGAAGCCAACGTACTTCCCGTTAGCATCAAATATTATTCGATTAGCAAACACATTATCTTCTGAAATATTCAACAAACGTGCTACGGGATAGATGATTTCCTTGAAACCTCCACTGACCAAGTACACGGCTACACCCCGCTTCTGTAGCCTTGCGACCAGTTCTGAGATCCCTAAAGTCAATTTGATCGGGTGTTTGAGTAGAAATTCGTCGAGTTTTTGCTTCGTTACTGAAATAATTTCCATTCTGAGGCCTTGTATTCAGATTAGTTTATTTTTACTCACCGTTTCTGTAATGATTCTCTGAAGTTGAGGTTACCGTCCATCGCGTTCGCTGTGAACCGACGGATAATATCGCCTTTTCCAACGAATTCGGCAAGTTCGTCTATAGCTTCATCCTGAAAATTAAACTTTCAAGTAAAAAACGTATACTAAACAGTTTTTAAAATAAGAAAATTTACAATTTTAATGAAGCCTTACGCACTTGGCATACTGTAGAATCAACATCGAAACAAACTGCATCCGATTGAATCCATTTCTCGCAATTTTTCACGGTCATTATGATAGAAAAAGTTAAAAATACAATAAACCCGTCTAGACATGCGATCAAACAATATTTAGTTATCAAAGCTTGTTTTAATATTTTACACTAACTACATCCCACAACGAAAACAAATTGACCTGCAACGTTTTGCCAAGATCAATTTATTCCGGAAAAAAAATATTTTTCGTAAATATTTTGTGTAAAAATTATCGAAATGTCGAGTTCAGATTCGGGAGATGAGATTATTGACAGGAAGCCAGCGAAGGTGAGTTATAATATTGTTGTTGTTATTATATTAATTTAGAAGAGACCAGCAAAAGATGATGGAGACGAGAAAGGGCCAGTTTCCAGCAAGAAGTCCAAAGTAAACAAGGCAACTGATGCGGATGGAAATGAGGTAAATAATTTAAATTTTTTGTTTTAGATTTGACAGCTATTTTAATGTTTTTGCTTAATTTTATATAGTTACCACTCACATTATGTTTTTATGTTTTTAGATGTTGGAAATTGGAAACAATCGTTTCCTGACTGTACGTGAATTTAAAGGAAAGGCGTTGGTCGATATTCGTGAGTATTATATGAAGGACGGCAAACGCATGCCAGGCAAAAAAGGTATCAGTCTTTCTCGTGAGCAGTTTATGACTATGAAGGATCTCATTGGTGACATCGAACAGAAGTTGAACGACATTTAATTTTATAATCTAACACATGTATTACTTGTTAAGTTTCAATTCTACAATAAATTAATCCGGTTTACTTTGAATTGCTTTTGTGTACGGTTATTTGCCGCTTATACCTATTGAAGTCCGCATATTATATAAATTCGAGCTTTTGTTAATGTTTGTATTTTTTGACAACTGGAAATTTAGGTATGGATCCGCCTTTAAGTCCGCTCGGGAACTTGGACCCGCACATGTTGCGAGATATGGTTGTAGACAAACAAGGAGTTCCTCCTGGTTCTCATTTGACCAACTCTAGTATGGCTCAAGTAAGTGTGTACTTTGTTTCAATGTACTTTTAACTTTAGCATTGGTCTCCTGCACATATTTCTCAAAATACGAGTTCTCCAGCTAGTGAGGAGTCGCCGCGATCTCAACAACGTCTTTCTACAGGTAAAATCACATATATTGACAAAATTTAGACAAAAATAGATTGAATATGTATTTTTTATATTTGAATTAAACTCAAAACATGTCTTTGGATTTTAGGAAGCAACACAGATATTAATAGCCCATTCCAAAATCGATCGTCTTCTCAACAGCCACAACAGTTTGACTTTAACACTCCACGAACTCCAATGTTTCCGGGGCCTTCGAACTCACCAACAAAGCCAGTACCAAATCAACAGCATCTCATGAGTAAGTTCTGCTTGACTAATCTAATATGATGTTTTCTTGTTTATGTCGTTGAAGAGGTTAAAGACTACTCAAGTTGTTTACAGGCCCTGTTGGTCAGTCTCCGCAGCAACCCCAGTCTCAAATTTCACAACACATGCCATCTTCACCGTTTCCGCGAACATCATCGGCCGCTTCGAGTAACGCTTGTCCATCACCGTACCCACAGTCGTCTCAGGTGACTAATCAACAATATCGTATGTTTTCACAGTAGTTTTTTAATGCTTTTTTTTACATTTAAAGTGTTTTTTTTTAAATGCGGCTTTTTAGAAGCACAAATGTACAATAGCGGCTATCCAACTCCTCGTATGCCATATCCTAACGGGCAACCGGGTTATTCTAATTATGGTCAAATGAATCAGCAATGGCAGGGTCAAAATGTAAACACATTTTTATTTTTTTTTGTGATAACATATTACAAATTTAAAAAAAATGAAAATAAGCAGCGTTTTAATGGTTTCAGATGCATCCTGCCTACATGAATCAACCCAGAATGATGGGTACTTCAATCCAACGACCTATTAGGTATCCAACGGGTATGTGTCTCTTTGTTTTAATTAAATATTAATGGTAGTTAAGTTGTTTCTTGTTATTGTCATGGCGCTTAAAAGGACACGCAAAATCTTTTTAGGATATCCACAGCAAGGTGTACCACAACAACAGTTTATGTACCAACAGCCACGACCAGTACGACAACAGTATCCTCAAGGCAATGGATCGAATCCACAAACTCCAGGAGCTGTTCCTCAATCTCCTAGTCAGGGCAACTACCCATACAACAATCAAACGGCAGTTAATCAATCACAAAATCATTATTACATGCAACAGCAACAAAGGCTGCAACATCAAGTCAGTTAGCGTTTAAGTTTATATTGTTTTAGTTTTCTATTATGTTTCTTTAAGTATTTAAAATTAAGTTCTAGGGCAACCGACCGGAATCACCGTCAGTTATTCGACCATACATGCAGCCGGTTCCTGTGGGCGGATCAGCTCAAGGAATGGGTATGCCAATGACACCTATGAATGGACAGAGTATGAATCCTCATGGTATGTTGAAGAGTTAACGTCGGTAATTATAGGGCTAAATGGAAAGCCATACTGGTTATTAAGTTATTTTTAATACTTGGTGTCGTAGATATATTATCGTATGTTTGAGAAGTTATATATACTTTATAAGTGTAGTTTTGCTGTTTATCTACTGTTTTTGGTTATTTAAAGCTTTTTAGTACGGTACGTGTCTAACGGCATGCCTGCAAATACGCCTATTCAGTACTCTAACAACATGCCTCAAACATCACAAGGACAGATGGGACACAACATGGTACAATCCCCAGATATGAATCCACAGGGTCAGGCACCTTGTCAGCAGATTATTCGACAGCCGATGCCTCCGCAACAAAGTTAGTTTACTAGTTGTAAAATATTCAGGTTTAATATGAATAATTGAGTTTTTGTTTAAATTTATTTGTTTGAGTTACAAATGACAACTTATATGCGCTTTAAGGTATGTATCCCAGCTCTGTACCAGTCCACAGTAACATGCCGATGCCTGGTACGAATGCCTTGATGCACGTTGGTCAACAAGGAATGATACGGGTAGGACAACCAGTTCGAAGCTCAGCTTTCTATGACTTCGACCCTCATTGGCAACATCGTGTGTGTAACACTGAGACCTTCTTGGGCGGGTGTGTCTTCTGGTCTGATCCTGATTTACTTTTGGAGCCGAACGAGATTCAGAATCAGCTACGGTACTACGGTGGAGAGTTTGAAACCGGGCTTACGCCGAGTATGGCAGTTACTCACTGCGTGTTCGAGTCTATGACAGACAAAGCCAGGGATTTCATAAAGAAGACACGAACTGTCAGGTTTGTTACTCCAGCCTACCTTAGTGATGTAATTGCTCGCAAGAGGATGTCACCTCCCTTCAAGGCTTCTCATTTACCGTCAGCATGGGGAGTGAACAACAAAGAGCAGTATCCAGGTCATAACAAGGTAAGTTTTTTTTATGTTTTGGTTTATATAATTTTAAAATGTAAATTATGATATTGTAATTAAAAATGGGATATTTGAAACTTTCTTTTAGGTGTTTGCTGCCGAAGGATTTGATGACAATGAGATAGAGATGATAAAGATACTTTGTAAAGGTGTTGGAGCTCGCTTCAACTCTTGTATAAATTCAAATCATGCTGCTTTGATTGCCAAATGGTACGTTTTTGTAATTTTATTTTTAAAGTGTCAAGAACTTTATTAACGCTATTAACTTATTGTGATTTTAGCGAAGGCGGAATGAAGTTTACAAAAGCTCAGGAGTGGGAGATACCTACAGTAAACTTGCTATGGCTAGTCAAGCTTTACTTCGGAAACAGTCAAATAATTGCTGAAATGAGACATCCAGAAAATAGTGCTGGAATACCTGGAACCGGGGAGATCACTGGGCCTATTGCTTTGGAAAAGATCTGCGATAACGCTGGCAATCTTTTGGGTATGTATTGTGTTTTATTTTACCTTTAGTTTTGTAAATAATGTGATTGCCACAATTATTAAAGTGGCGGGCTTTTTGTTAATTATTTTGGTTTAGCTTCATGGAAGGTACCGATCCCGGTAAACGAGGTAACGCTTCAGAAAGCAATGGAACTGAGAGCACAGACCGAAAGGGACGTGACTTGTTTCCCACATCACAAAATTAGGTAATTATTTGAAATTAAGGACGTCGCTACGGATTTTTTTCTGGGGGAGGGGGAGGCTGAAAAAATTTTTTTTCGTTCACAGGTAGTTGTGGACTGATTTTCCAAAATTTTTTTTTTCGTTTTTTTGCGTACCTGTGGAATTTTTTTCGGATCGGCTCTGGGGGAGGGGGTACTCCCCCCCCTCCCTCTCCCCCAAACGACGTCCTTGTTTGAAATATAACTTTTTTGAACAAATACTTGTTGGCTTATGCTCATATTAATTCTTGTTTAGATTATACACAGAAGCACCGACGGAAGAACAGATAACACAAGCAGTCGAGGTACTTCACCGAGATGGAAAGCTGCCGAATGTCAGGGTTTATGTCGATAGATTGCCATCAGAAATGGTAGAATCTTTGGGTAGACGGGTAAGATTCTTGGGTGGTCAAGTGACATCTTCTATCGTCGATTGTACTCACTTTGCGACCCCAGACCTTAAAAGAACGGTAGAATTGTGCGAAGCACTGGGGCTGGGTCGAGAGATTGTAGATGTCAGCTGGATCGACCATTCGTTCTCTTGTCTCAAGTTTGTTGGTAAGTTGATTAAATATTTTATGTTGTAAGTGTTTTATAGTTCTTGGTAGAATATTGAGTTGGTTATTGTTAATTATTCTTCAGATTCCTTTGATTTCCACGTGAGAGATTACGAAAACGAAGCCAAGTACGGCTTCAATGTGATGAACACCTTGTTCAGAGCCAGAACTCGACCAGTCTTTGAAGACGTCACTTTCCATATCAGTCCAAACGTTCAACCATCGCGAGAGATACTTCAACGACTGATTCAGAGTGCTGGAGGTATTGTGGAAGAGCACAAACCTACTTACAAGAAGATATACCAGGCTATTAAGGTATGTTGTTTCTTTATATGCGCTTTTAGTTTTCTTTGCTACTTCTTAACTATATCAATGTAAACTGTATATTTTCAGTATGATAAAACGTTTATTGTGGTTGTAAACGACAGCGACGCTTGCGACTACGAGTATTTGTGGGAAAAGAAGATTCGTGAGTTTACTCTTCTATTTATCTAAAACAATATTTAGTATAATAGTAATTGTTCTACTGTGGTATTAACTATGTTGTTTCAGCTTTGTTTAACGAAGAGTTTGTGTGTATGGCCATAATCAGACACGACTTTGACATCTCTGCCAACTACCGCCTCAATCCTCCAGATGAACCTCACAAAGAGTCAAACGAGTTCGCGATACGCAGCGACAGAGTCAAAGTTGCCTAATTTTTTAATTTTATAACATATTGTACATAGTACTGCCTAATAAATTATTTTGTATCTAGTAGAGGGTGCTTTCTCGTATTGTTTCTTCAGTGTAATATAATATTGGCGCTTCATTAAATTGCTCTTCCTTATCAATTTATGTTGTGTTAGGACTAGTATTTTAATTTTTATATGAATGTAAGTATGTCAGAAGTTTGTAAAATGTCAAAAGCTATTAGTAATATGACTTTAGATGTCGGATGATATGACGTTACTGGTCGATGGGGAAGCTGATAAGATATTATGTTACAATAAGGAGCAGGTTGATGACAAGCTTGTGACAATATCACAATGCCAAAACTGCACGATCTATATACTCGGCTGTCCCTCTTTGGTCGTTATCAATGGTTGCAACCGATCTCTGGTCTTTGTCGCTACTTGTACTGGAAGGTAAGTTACCTTTTGTAAAGATAACTATGTTATGTTACTATAGCTACTAGCTGTTATTAGCTAGCCACATTCTTTGACGGTAATGTGAAAGTAGCTAATATTATCTAGAGATCTTTACTTCCTTTTTTACCTTGTCACTGTCGTATATTGACATTTCAGTATTTCTTATCGGAACAACGATCACGGCACGTTGGTGGCTACTTGTCGACAGTTCCGTGCCTACAGGAGTAACTTCTACTTCTACGGATTTGTGACGACAGATCCTGTTTTTGAAGAATGCTACTGTAACATTCAGGAGAACGGAGCCAGCTTTGATAAGCTACAAGGTCAGTTATATGTTTTCTTGAAGGTTTTGCGACATTTGACCTTGTTCTTTATGATAATGTCACTAAAGTCTCTATGTATAAAAGTCTGTTATTGAAGATAATTTGCGTTTTTTATAATTTTCTGAAATAATGTCACCTTTGTGTCATTTTGACTGTTCATGTTGTTGTAGATATGTTAAAGGAACGTGGGTTTACTGGTCGAAACAAAGTCACGTCAGCTCGCAATTTCACTCCAGGAGTCGGCGACATCAGAGTCGTGGAGGAGCGGTCTCTCCCGGCGACAGAGCATCTTCCTCAACATTACTCCAGTCAACATATCCATGGCGTCACGCTGTTCGCTTAAGGAGTGATTCATATGATATACCATGTGATTTACTGTGGTATGACATTGCAGACAAGATACGACTAGTGATGTTATGGACAGTGTACTTATTGTTTAGACCTAACTTTACAGTGTAATTCCAAGACATACGATCGTGTTTACATTATTTATTTAGATTACCATGCTATTACTACAATTTATTTACATTGACACAATAAATAAATATGTCATCGGCGAGCGTCGTATGAGTTGTACATCGTATTTTGTACATGTTATATACCTTCATATATGTCATTTATACTGTGTAGTAGATGTTTTGTGTATAGGACCATGTAACTGACATGTACGTGTATAAAAACATGTAGAATAACATATACGTACATATATATACGTATACATGTACCTATATGATACAACACATACGACGCCCTTCCCCAACATACCGGTATATTAATGGCACGATGGCGATAGCTACTGAGATTGAGATGCCCTGGCTGAGGTGATTGGTTACGGTTGTCGCGGCCGCTTCAAAGACTGAACAATTTGCATATCGCCGCCATCTCGGGTGACCGTTTCTTGCGACGACCGCCACAGAAGGAGGGAGCGACACTAGGCTGAGGACAACAACACGACGAGGAGGGGGGTGGCACACATGGCGGAGGACATGGGGGTGGGCAGGGCGTGGAGCAAGGGGTCGAGCAGGCCGATTGCTGGACTGGCGGGGCACAGCCAGGGGCTGAAATTCAAAATTTAATTAATGTGTTGTGGAACATCTACTGTAACTTATGAAAGCTAATAAGAATTACAGTAAGGTCTCTTAAGTTTAAGCAATAATAACCTGCGATTAATTACCCTAGGAGTTACAGTATCCCAACTTACAGCATGACGACGTCGCTTGACAACCCGGCTGGCAGCTAGACTGAGGAGCGTTGCAAGGCGAGTAGCTGACTGGAGCACACAACGATCCCTGGCTACTGAACCAGTTTCCTCCACAACAGCCGTTAGACTGGGACTGGTACCCTCCAGACTGGTACCCTCCGGACTGGTACTGGCTGGTCTGGTACTGTGGTACTGGTTGTGGTACGAACGGAGTAAAGGCGGGCTGAGGGACGTAGCCTTGGCCGCTGAATGGCTGCTGAATAGAAGCCGAAGGGAGGGGCTGGACGTAGCTACTGGAGGGGTATGATGGCTGGACTGGCAGGGAAGCTGGTACCTGGACTTGCGATGGAGCTCCAATATAAGAAGATGGTTGAGGCAGGGCTCGTGGGGATGGCAAAGGACGAGGGCGGGGGGTCTGTGGGGGTGGAGGGGGCGGGGGAGTTGTCAGTTCATCTACGTACTCCACTCCGTCTTCGTTTTCCTGTAACATGACATTTTAGGTGTGATAATTAATAAAATCCTGGTACTTTTTTTGTTTTGTCGCTGTATATTTTCTTATTTAACAATTTTTTTAAAAATTTATATTTTTCCTGCACGGTGCAACCACTCCAAACAATTTATTTTATTTTTTCCTTTTCACTGCACAGTGCAATCTATTTACCAGTTTTATTCCTTTGCACTGTGCAATCGATTTCCTTTGGTAAGCTCACAATTCTACTGCGCTGTGCAGTCATTTTTTCATTTTTCCTCTGCACGGTGCAGTGATATTTCTAATTTTCATATCTTTGCACAGTGCAATCCTTTTCCTTCAGAAAGAAAATCGCCGCTTCGCACGGTGCAATCACTTTTTGACTGCACGTTGCAAACGAACAAACGCAATGAGTGAGCGACGAAGCAAAAAATCTGCGACAACCACTCAAAGCGATGCGACAAAAAATTGAATAGTGAATTGAAAAGCATCAGAGTGGTGCGACAATTGTTGATTTGACATCGCGATAAAGGGTTGGTGTCGCAAAATTTCAAAAATGTCGTTGTCTCGCAAGAAAATTTGTCGCCAACTGACACGCGACAAACATTTTTGGGTTGCGACAATCGTTTCAGAATTGAACAGGACAGCGACTGAGTTCAACCGCGTGCAACATCTTGTCGCAACGCTTTCAAATGCTCGTCGCGATAACTTGTCGCAATTCGAACTCTGCGGCTAAATGCGACGGATATTGAAGTGAAAATGACACAAAAGCGATAGCTTCTTGTCGCAAAATGTTGTCGCCGATCGTTTGATCAAACGACACCACAGAGTGTGGTCATTGTCAAATGTGCAATGAATTGCGACAAGTGGAAATCGCACTGTGCGAATCGACTTGAGAAGTGATTTTCTTCTCAATTTTGTCGCTCTTTTCTTCCTTCAAGGAAAGCTGTCTGCACTGTGCATAAAATGAAAGAAGAGCGCACAGTGCAAGGTGAATTTTCATTTCTTTGCACGGTGCAAGGATTAAACTGAAGTAATTTGCACAGTGCAGTTTATATTTTTGCACCGTGCAGTGAGTCGAATGGAAAGATTGCACTGTGCAAGGGGATTCTTTTGCCTTATAAAAGACTACCGAAATGATTTCTAAAATACGAATTCCACTTACATCGACGATAGATGAAGGTGGTACAGCTTGTCCGTAGCCGTCTGCCGTCTCTTCTTCGTACGATGGAGCGGCTGTCGTAGTTGTAGTGGTGGTAGTTGGGGCTTCAGTCTCTTCAGGGATCTCGACGATGTTCTCGATACTGTAGGAGCCTCCTGAAGCAGATGGTGCATATGGTACGACAGGTCGTTGAGTTTGTGGTGGTACATATGGAGCCGCCGTCGTTGTCACAGGTGGTACATATAGGGCAGCGGTGGTGGCTGGTGGTACGTATGGAGCTGGTGTCTCTGAAGGTGGTACATATGGAGCTGGTGTCTCTGAAGGTGGTACATATGGTGCCGGCGTTTCTGCAGGTGGTACATATGGTGCAGGTGTCTCGACTGGAGCCACGTATGGTGCTGGGGTTTGAGCGGGTGGTACATATGATGCTGCCGTTTCGACCACTGGTTCGTATGGGGCTGGGGTTTCTGCAGGTGGTACATATGGTGCTGCGGTAGTGGCTTCTGGTACATATGGGGCCGGGGTCTCAGCTGGTGCAACGTATGGAGCCTCTGTCTCAGGTGATACGTATGGTGCAGATGTCTCCACTTCTGGTTCGTATGGTGCTGGTGTTTCAGCTGGTGGTACGTAGGGGGCCTCGGTTTGTGGTACATATGGTGCCTCAGTCACTGGTGCTTCAGTAGCTTCGTATGGCGACTCTGTCTCGGCTGGTATCACTGATACTTTAGTTTGGACTGGTGCTTCTGTAACTGGTGGAGGCGTGGGGCCTTCTGTTTGGGGCTCTACACCGTAGCCGACCTCTGGTTCGATGTCAGTGTTCTTAGCGTGAGCTGAGACCACGTTGGAGCCATCTGCTGGTTCACAGTCGGGGTTGTAGCCGTAGGACACTTGGTAGCCGCCTTCCACGAACTGGTCTTCTTTGAAGCTTATCACTTCGTCGCCGTGCTCCCATTTGGCTACAAATTCAGAATCCTCATCTTTGGTTATTTTCGACTATATAAAAGCGACAAACTTCTATTTAAGGTTATATTATCTTAGATTAATCTACTTACGGCTCTTCTGGAGCGGCTTGCCAGGGTAGGCCAAGGCTCCGAATCCCGGAAGGTTGGCATCAGATCCCAGGTTTCTGATTCCAAACTTCACATCAGGAGCGTTGAGTTGGGACGCTCCGCCAAAGCCGTGAACGGGACAGTCTGGTCGCTTCTTTGGCTTCTCTTCCTCGACTTCTTCTTCTTCAGTTGATCTGCAATTTTTGTGAATCAGACCCCCTTCAGCTTTAAAAATTTACTACAAGTTTTAACAATTGAATTGACAAACCACTACATAATTACTGTAAAGTACGGTAATCTTACTCTGAATTTCCGTCCAATTTCTGATCGGGCTGGGGTATCTCGGGGGGTGGGAAGTACTGATCCTCCCCTGGGGGTAACACTGGATTCATGCCAATTCCTCCCATTTCGGCTTCGAAATCGGCTCTGGTTTTGAAAGGATTCGAACCACCTGAGCTGCCAGTACCGTATCCTTGAGATACTACAGTACCCACCAGCATCAGTGCACATAGCCATCGTATAGGCCGAGACATGGCTTAAAGTAACATTATGGTATTGTAAACAAAGTTTTTGTAAAAATAATGGCAGGTTAAGATAAAGCAAACAATATTACTTTTGATAATATAACCATATGCCTATCTATATGTCATCGTGACATCTATTATAGATAGATATGTGTTACGATAAGTAAAGAAAAGTTGTCGCCGAAAGAAGTAAAGTTGCGAAAGTGAAACTCGGCTTTTAAATTGTAAAAAATGGAAAGTAGAACTCGATTGACAGAGTTGTAAAAGCATAGTAAACTCGAAGATACGGCGACATATCATTGAAACGTAAAGTAAATCAAGGTAGCTTGGGAGGGTACCCGGATGTCGGGCTGGACAAAAAAGGTAATCATGATTTATTGTCGCTCTAATAAGGTAGTAAACTCAACGTATAATGTGGTTTTATATCGACATGGTCATTTAATGGGAGTTTCGAAGTCGAGGATTTTTAAACATTTAAATTTTTGAGCAAAAAAAGTATAAAAACGGTACAATACATAAAAAGCACGAAGAGAGCACGTCACGGCAGATGTAAAACTTGATAATCAACTCAAGTAACCTTATATTAAAGTACAACTTTAAACTTGAAATACTGAAATAGAAATTTAAAGTAATATAAGTTATCTACCCAAACATTATCTCAGATGCTACAAAACCACCGTACCAGCTCGGAAAGATCGCGCCACAGCTCCTACGGTCGGCACGCTCCGCATCTTCTCCCACAAGTGTCAAAGGTGGCGCGCAATCTGTCAAGAAGTCGGAATGTAAAACTTGAAACTGATCCAGATAAAGAAAGTAAGAGTTACCGAAGACCGGATCGCCACAAGAACGGGAATGTCGCGCAAAACTGGTATTTAAAGGGTCCGTTCATCTACACTCACTGCTTATTAGTTGATTACAAGGTGTTACTCAACACTCTACAGAGTAATTGGGTCGGCTCGCGACAATCTCTTGTACGGCGAAACGTTCTTATGTACAAGATTAAAAGTGATAAACAAGCTTTTAGGTAATAAAAATGATCTTTAAAAGACGGGTAAACACACAAATGATATTAAATATTGTAGTTTATGCATTTCTTCAATTAATTTTATAGTTATTTTTTAAATTATTCAAAATTATACCTAATTAAAAAAGGTCAAAATTATAAAAAAATTCGCATTTTTAGAAAATTTTCACCATTTGAGGCTTTAAAACTGTCAATTTATAACTAAATAGCATATCTTAATAAAACTTTATGATCACATGCATAAAAATATGCTTTACACAACCGACATACCCATACCCATGAAAGGTGTATCTCACTTTCTTAAAAACATTAAAGTTAAGGAGAAAAGAACAAAAGCTAGTAGCGCAGTAAAGGGATGAAAACTTTAGTATAACACTGACAATGTCACGCCGTTAACGCTACATAAACACAATCAACTCCCCAACACCCCCTGCCTCCCATCAACAACATCCTCAACATGACAAACAACTGCGACACCCATAAATCGCCAGCCAACCTCCCGAGCCGCGCCTGACTAGACTAAACCAACTTAGCGCCTGTTGCGCAACAAATCGCGATAAAATGTTGAAACTCGATGTTTTTCTGAAGCTCCGGCTCGTCTTCACACCCTGTCCCACCCCAAAAACATGTGTATTGCGCCATGGCGAAGACCGGTTGATCTTCTCGGGCCTTCGCCGTCGCCGCCTTCGAACATCCGGTCTTCCCAACAAGAGGTCACTACACAACTTTTATTATGACAGATACCAGTTTCTCATTATCCCATCGTCAAACTCTCGATTCCCACATACCACGGTAAATAATTACAGCGATCATCACGCGTCATTTCACTGTCAATTCAAAAAAAATCCCTTGATCGGTCATTTATCAGACTTCATTCACTGTATACGAGCAAAGATATATCACTGTGCTCGTAGTAATAACTACAACGTTATCATATCCATCACTTTTCGATTTATTGAATTTTAAAAATGATGTTATGACGACTTTTGTATTAAGTTCGGAAAACCTATGTCTTACGAGAGATTAGCAAACTACAATATTCATTGACCAATTTTAAGTAGCCATATTTTTAAAATTTACAAAGCGGTGTATGGAAGCGAATAATCAATAGTGATACTTCGTCTACAAACAAAAAGTATTATTTTTTTCACGAAAAATATCCGAATCGACATTGTTTTTGGATGTCTAAGTTAGATATCTAACTGTACTCTGACAATATAATAACGTTATAGTTGTTTTAGTAATGGTTTTGTCATCTACATCTATAAATATTCCAAGTATTCCACTTGAGAATTGGATGAGAAACAAGCCATTTGTCAGGTATGTTATCCATTTCTTTTTTATTTGGTGTTTAGTGCTCAGAGAAGATACGACAATGCTCGTGTTAGAGAACACGAGATAAGGCAGAGACTTTGTGAAGAATGTGGCAAAGTAATCAGTGGAGGAGATTCTGTGTTTCAACATCACGTTGTATCTCATGAAGCTGCTTTCATCTGTTACCAACTATATCATTTCGAAAAGGGAAGCATTATACCTAAACAGTATTACGGACATCAAGAAGCCAAACTTCAGAAGCCGACAGAGGACGAAAAGGCCCATCATTCAGAATCTTCGGCTACACCAGAGAAACGGACCTTCAGGAAGACAATAATGTCACAGCAAGTCAAGGAGAAACAACCGCCGGCAAAGAAGCCGAAGCTTGCGATAACTCCAAAAGCAGAAACTAAAGGTATATTTATTTGTATATGTTTTAAAATGCTTTACTTTTTCTAACAGTTATCTTTCGTTTTATAAAGCATGCCCAACGTATGCTGTCTTTATGAATCTTTTCTAATAAATTTTTTTTTTCTAGCACCACCAGAGCCAGCCTTTATACAAGAAGACATTGTGGAACTTCAGTTAAGTAGCGAAAGTGACAGTACGAATACGACTGACGATGAAGAGGAGATCCCAGCAGACTTACTTCTGTTGTCTGGATCTGAATCAGAAGTCTCTGGAGTAGATGAAGAGGATGTCCAAGAAGATTACAAGATGTTGGCACAGGGGACAAGTAGCAGAGGTCGGCAGAGAAAACCAAAACCAATAAATTAAAGTAGTTGGAACCTTTTTAACCCTGTCGTATTGGTCTCAATATGAAGATGTTAATAAATTGTAATTAATAAAACTTTTGTATAAGGAAAAATAGTCACAACATTTACATTTGAGTATATAAAACAAGAATTGTTAACAAAACCACTTTATTTCCAAAAATGCCATTAGCAAGCCATTTATAGTCATGAAAGTGGTGAAAAAGTGAATTCAAGCACGGCATAACTATATAACTTCATGTAGGTACTATATAGTGTTATATAGTAACGCTAATCAATTATACAGCTAAACATACGCTCAAGCACTGTCAGGCTTCACGACAGTAGCTCTGAGCAGAACGTACTCATAAGGATTCAATGTCAACTTTTCGTTAAGTTCAACATGAGATGGGATTGCTGGGTTCTTGGGTTGATTCCACACAAGTTCAACGTGAGATGTAACAAAGTTTTCGACAACCTTGGAACTGACTGGGTACAGTTTGGTGGAGGAGTCTCCGGGTTGAGGGATGTTGACAACAAGGAGGTATGCCTAAAATTATTTTAATTAGTAAGATAGTCAGAAAATGTTTCTTATTAGATTAGAATATATTACAGTAAATACTGCGTTGAATGTTAAAGTTACCTTTTCGTTTCCTTCCAAACTTCTGGTGTACACAGTAAGACCGTCGCTTCGTTTGACTGTTAATTTCCCTTCAACAAAGACTTCGTCGCGATTCTTAAGGCCAGCGATCTTCTGGAATCCTCTCAAAGCTGAATGACTGGCTTGGTATTGGGTCTAAAATATAAATTTTACAAAAAAATAGTAATCAATAACAAAAGTGTACTGTGATCCTCTTGAAATTACATTTAAAATGCTAATAAGTTACCTCAAAGTTCAAGGCTTTGACGTCTTTGTCAGGAAGCTGTTGGAAGAATATCTTTCCGTCGATGTCAGAGAATCCACCGTTCTTTCCATCTGTCCATGCCATCAAGCCATGTTGTGATTTGCCATCAGTGCCAGCAGGTAATCCAAGTTCTTCTCCGAAGTAAATCGACGACGATCCTGGCAACATCAACTGAATAGCTGTAGTAGCAGCTGCAGCGAAAGGCACCTTATCTCTAGGGACTCCTCTCAAGACTGGTCGTGGACGAGATACATCTCCAAGCTGCCACAATGGTAGACTAGACACATTACGGTCAACTTGACCAGCTCCAGTCCTAGCACTTTCAGCAAAACAATCGTAGAAAAGTTGAGCTTGGCATATAGAAGTTGTGGCATTAGGGAAACGGTAGAGAGGACGAGTGTAGAGATTGAGGTTGCGTTGAGGACGAGTAATGGGCAGGTCGCTGAACAACAACAGATTCTCAGGGTTGTTGTCGTGGAAGTTCTCCTTGGCTTCTTCGCGGATTAGTCCAGCCAACTGTTCTAGTTTCTCGGTAACATCAAAGTTCTGAAATAGTAATAAATAACACATTATATAATAACAAAAAAGATTTAAAAAAGTAAGAAACTCATTAACTTGCTTACATATGAGAGACCGTATTGAGCAAGATGAATGCCGTCAACACCCAAATTTAACAATGATACAGCGATCTTCTTCAATCCCTCGATGGCACTGTCGCTAGTCAAATCGATCAACTTGTTTTCATTGGTCAAGTTCTGGACTCTCGATTCGGTTAGTGGCAGATCAGCAATAAACTTCATCTTCATACCGTGAACTTCTTCAATCAGATTCTTCAAGTCTTCTTCTGTGCCGAATCTTGTGTCAATTTCATTTCCATTGACAATCGCTGCTGGGTCATATTCATCTTTGTTGGTCTGCAACAACGGAGTAGGCCAAATAGTCGAGATTCCTATCTTCCTCAAGCTGTTCAGCTTCTCCGCGATTCCGTTGAAGTCTCCAACACCGTCCTTGTCAGAATCTTTGAACGACGGTGTGAAGATCTGATAAGCTACTGTATTCTGGAACCAGGCCTGTTCTTTCTTTGGGGCACATTTGGCAGAAGTAACCACAATTAGAATGGCACCCACAAACATCACCAACCAGATTATCCAGAAAAGAGCGAAGACAAAGTACCGTGCCGACTTCCAGAAGGGATCATTACGATACTTCTCGAGCTGCTCCTTGGTCAGGCCAATCAGCTTCTGTTCCGGCTTCAAATCAATACTTTCTCCATCTTTGGTGAACTTGACTTGAGTGTCTCCATTGTCTACCACAACGTTGTCGACCGCAGGGTCGATCACCAGCTTTTCCGAAGCCATTTTAGGCCTAAAACAATATAATTATATAGATTTAAATATAAAATGAAACTTAAAACAAAAGCATTAAGCCTTTTCATAAGAAATACATTTATTTTGTCGCGTAAGAACAGTTTTGAAAATCCAAAAACTAGATCGTCACTTAAAGTTTAGGCCCGAAACATTAAATAATGGTATCAAAACAGTTGGAAATGAACGTCAAATCAGGTCGTGAATATAAATAAAACGAATAAACTGAAGGGTTTTTGAGATAGGACAGCGAGAAAATGCAGAATGTCAAGGGCAAACATGCAGGAACTGAGAGAAGAGAGACAGACGTCAGTTCCCGTCACAAAAAAAATGGGCCGTTGCGCCGAAAAGACATCCACCATGCACTAAAAAAGCACTTAGCCTGCTAAAAAAGCGCTCATGCTCCTAATAGACATATAATTTAAGCTAAGTAAAACATAAAATAAAACCTCTACAATAAAAAAAAATATATGATTTCGTATTACGAAAATAGCCACCAACATATAACACATAAAATAAATGGGCACATTTTGTCGTATAAAATGTCTAAATTATGAGTGAGATGTGTGGGCGCACACGAATATTTTATTAACTTTATTTTTATAAATTTTTTGCAAAATTTTGTCAAATTTTCATTAGAAGATGATAGTGTAGTTCATGTAGTGGTGAAAAATGAAGACCCACAAAGAAATAATGGAAGATGGCGGATTTACTATAGTTACCAAAGCACCTACCTTTTTCAAAGGAAAGATCGAGCGAATAAGGTAAGAAAAAATCTACTTTGTATTATATTTTTAGAGATTTCGAGCTCCTTCAGTCACTAGATGCATCTGAATGCGCACAAAAGGCTTGCTACGAGATGGAAAAAGCTCATGCTTTGATTAACACCAGGCTTCAACAAGATTTGTGAGTTTAATCGTCTAACTTCATATTCTTGTTTAGGGACGTGTTATGTCGAGCATTACGAGTTGCTGTGGATGATCATTGTGTATCTACTATTAGAGCGGTTGGTATTGGTAACTTTAGTGTATCCAATTCAGATTCGGCGATTCAGATGGCTGTTTTTGAGGAGATTAAACGAGTTTTTGACATTCCTCATGGGTTCTACCAGGAAATACGGGTATCTGAAGGTGAGAAGAAGTACTTGTTTCAACATGACATTACTGTTTTGCCTGCAGATGATTTGAAATCAATTCCTGATCAAGTTCTCGATGTTTCTGGAAATATCAATGGAAAACATATTGTATTCATGATTCATTTTGACAATTTTGGGTTGAACAATGTCTTCGAAAGTTTTTTAAAGGAACAGATTGTCGACAAGCTTATTTTTGTGGGGAATGAGCTATCCGCTGATGCTTTGAGCAAGATAAAACCCAGGATATTAGAAATGGAATGTCTACCTTTAACCTTGAGGACGCCTAAGTCTTTAGATTCAGAGGCTTTAAAGCGGTGGAATAGGTCTTTTTCTCATTCATGTATCTACTTCTTTAAATAAAGATAATAATTTAAGTTGGTTGTTTTTTCTTTGTTGGTACAATTTGATATTGCTGATATGATACCGTGTTAATAGATTTGATATTGTTATTATATATTTTATATTCATTTTTAGATGTCGTTAAATCGACTTTTGTCAACTCGAAAATTCCTGAGTGTTACGCCATTAGCAGTTTCATCAACGCGTGGATTTCCAGCCAGAGGTACAAAGCCCTTACCACGGTATCTTTGGGATGAAAGAGACTTGGAAGCCAAGACCGGAGGTGAATATACACCTGAACCTTTGAGAATTAAAAGACTGGGTGGAAGGAACCCGGAAACTGGACGAAAAGTTAATCAACATATTGGTGGCGGGACCAAGTTTGATTACTTTATGATCGACGAACACAGAAGAGGACCTACAGAAGCTGGGAAGACGTACGATGAGAGAGTAGGTTTAACTTTTCATTATGATAGACTTATTTTTAGGTATTGGAAGTTAGAAGAGATGCCAACAGAACAGCGCATATTGCTTTAGTCGCCGGATCTAAAGGTAAACGATGGATTTATGCGACAGAGAACATGAAGGCTGGTCAGATAATATCAACGTCGTGCCACATTCCTGAGAATCCAATCATTGGTATTGAAGGTAATGCTCATCCATTGGGAGCATTGTCTGACGGTACCGTTGTCAACTCAATCGAACGTTTCCCGAACATGGAGAGTCAATTGTTCATCACAAATGCTGGAACATCAGCTCAAATAGTCAGACGACAAGGTGACTTTGTTGTTGTTCGGGTGAGTACTAATGTTATGTTAATTACTCTAAGATACCTAAAAACAGCAAAAAGATTTCTTATTCGTTTACTTCAATAATATGTACTGTATATTGACAAGCTACATATGTTCAGATGCCAAATAAGCACGAGTTCTCATTCCACAAGACCTGTATGGCTACAGTAGGACGTTTGTCACACGCTGAGTGGCAGAACAAGATCTTTGGATCAGTTAATATGCACAGAAGGTTCGGTTATAAGATGGCGAGTGGCTTGTGGCACAAGAAAGATGGATATTGTGGTAGGAAGGTGCGTCCTCTGCCTCCAGTACGAATGCTGGACGAGCCTGAGAAAGCACCTCCACCAAAGCAGTCCTTCACCTTAACCAAGCGACAACAAAGTGCTCTCTTCGGCAACGCTGCTGTCCATCCCATCATTTCAGGAACTCAATTTAGATTCTAGGTTATTTTGTTGTTTGATAATATAAAGTTGGTTTTATATCTTCGAGGTTGCTTACACTGTTGTCTTCATATTTATATTTAATTTTAGTTATTGTATTTAATGTATGAAGGCTTATCGCTGTTTTGTTGTAGATCAAAGATGTCGGAAATACTTTCAGCGCAAGTCATTCAGAATAATGTGAAGCTAATACTAATGCATATTCGAAATGTATGCAACAAGGTAGGCAGAGCAGATGTTCCGCGCTTAGTCGCAGTAGGGAAAACATTCCCAGCATCACAAACTCAGCATTGTTACGAAGCTGGACAGCGACATTTTGGAGAAAATTATGTCAACGAGTTAGAGGAAAAGTCGAATGGACTGAAGGAGTTGTGTCCAGATATACAATGGCATTTTATTGGAAAAGTACAAACTAACAAAGTAGGTTCGTCTTGTTGTAAGGATGTAGTTTAAATTCTTTTTGTAGTGATAGACGGGGATATAAAAGTTTCCTGTCTCACAGAAATTTCGTTATAGAGAATTTTGTTATACAAGAGTTTATTTTAGATCAAAAAGATAGTGGAATGTCCAAACATATCGTTCGTGGAGACATTGGACAGTGAGAAGCATGCACAAACATTCCAGAATTATTGTAGCCAACTTCAGAAGCAGCTAAATGTGTTTGTTCAAGTCAACACTAGTGGAGAAGTCAACAAAAATGGAGTGGAACCAGCAAAAGTGTTCGACCTTGTGTCATTTGTGAAGAAGGAATGTCCCAATCTTACCTTCAAAGGTATGGTATCATTATTGTAAACATGTAGCTATCTTTAAGTTTTAAAAAATTATTTGATCTTTTTGTTTAAAAGTTATATAATGTGTTTTTGTGTTGTACAGCATAATTTGGACAATAGAGGACTAAAATAATGTATTTGTAGGTTTGATGACAATTGGATCTATTCAACAAAGCCAAAAGGCTGACGAGAACCAGGACTTTAAACTGATGCGCCAGATAAGGTCGGAAGTCGCGGAGAAGTGCCAGATACCTGAAGTTGACATTGAGTTGTCGATGGGAATGTCAAATGACTTTTCTATGGCCATCGAATACGGTAGCACAAATGTCAGAGTAGGATCCATCATCTTTGGGAAGAGGTATTACCCGGAGACCGTGTAACAATATGTAACTGTAGATAGTAAATTATAGCTAATAAAGTAAATATTTAGTTGTGGGATTTACTGTAATATGTTCATTATCATCTTGTTACTTAAATTGTTGTTGCTCATTAAACATTATTATGTAATTTTGAGTTTAGATGGATTCAAGTGAGTTTTATGGCTTGACCAACGTTCCGATACCTAAAAAGAGGACGGCAGAGAAACAAAATGATGACTTCAGAAACTTTTGTAAGTGAATTCAGAGTGGTTTACTGTAGTTTTTTTAGTTTTTAGAGCCAATTTCCTGGACAAAGTTGATGGATCTGGGTACGTGGAGATGGGGAACACTTGCGTTTTGTGTTCAATGTAAGTTTGTTGCTGTATTTATAAGACTTTTTAAATAAAAATTATAAATTTTTAGTACAAAAATGCCTTACTGTAATGTTTCAGCGAAGGGCCAGTAGAAAAGGACAGAGAAATGGATGAAGACGTTGAGGACGAGAACCCCATTAAGGTGACTTTCTATTCTGTTTAATGTTACCTTCGAAAGAGAGTTATTAATGTTATCTTTTAGATCACATCCGACGAATTGACAGAAGAACACATCAATGTCCTAGATCAGATCCTGGAGACTTTTGTAAGAACAGATCAGCTTGTTAATGTGAGTCTTCAAAATTCGTTTAATTGGGTTTGAAATGCCATTTGTTTGTGTTGATGAGATTGGTTATTTTTGTGCAAATGTACTTAATATAATGCCATATTATTTTAGGTGGAAATCCGAATCAACGTCAAAGTTGTATGTGACGATGGAGGCCTACTGGCAGCCGCTACGATGGCTGTAGGACTAGCCTTGGCGTCTACGAATGTTCAGATATACGACATTCCTCTTGCTGCTACAGTACTCATCCCCTCCAGAACAGCTACAGTACCATTGTTGGATCCAACGGCTTCTGAATTCAAGAATGCTAAACAAGATGGAGGCGGCGTGCTCACGGTCGTATCTCTGCCAGCTTTCACCCAGATCGCACATCAATATATGGAAGGTGTTATGACGTCGAAGCAGACTGTTATGGCTACTGAATTCGCCTTCAAAAACTCGCTGAGACTGTACGAAGAAGTGACACAGACTTTGAAGAATATGACAAAATGACGAGCGACAGTGACTCTTACCTAACTTGTGTTTGTTTGGTCAGAAAGTATTCAGAATTAATTGTTTTAGTCAGAAGGTTGATCATATTGTTTTGTATATCTTACTGTTATGTTTACTTTGCGACAAAACAAGTGTTGACTGTTACCTAATTGTTGATGACGGAATTTTTAAAGTCGGATAGTGACCGTTACCTAATTGCCCTTGTTATTTGTTGAGTAAAGAAAGATTACCTCTGTTCGGTCTTAATGACTTTTTCTAGTCGCTATGGTAACGTCTGAACATTAAAAGACGAAACTAAAGGTAACACGATAGGATGTTTCTAGCTGATTAAACGATTCCAGTGAAAGTGGCGGCCGAACGGAGCTCCTCAGGGCTTCCCAGCTGCTCCAGTTCGAACTGTTCCTCGAGGAAGCCGCCCTTCAACTACAGTCGTCAGTCCACAGACTGCTTCGACTTTGACACTTTATGCTCCTTCGAGGAATTCCTTCAGCTGGACCCGGAATCCGTTACGCTGGAGGAGGGAGGGTCAGGCCATACCAACCAGGCATTCGTCGCCAGCGAACTACCCCGCCCGAACCATCCTCAGAGTCGACTGGTCGGTGTGTACCACAACAACCACGAACGCATCGACTTCTTCGTCGCCGACGGTGAGCTTCAAACAAAAGTGACACGCGATAATCTGCTAATCCTGCCATTTCAGATTACACGGCCGCGCCCTTGGAGTCAGGGGCCGTTTCCTTAGATAGCACCCTGCCCGGAGGCGCCAAGGATCCTACGCGCACAATTACGCCGCGGGCATTAAGTGTGTCCCAACTTACCACGCAGGTATGTCGTGCCAAAACCATATTTTGCGTTTTTAAAAATGCGTTTTCTTGTCGTGCATAACCCCATAAAGCCTATTTTCTGTCAGAAATGGTGACATTATTTATTGTAAACCAATAAGTTATATTTTCCTTATATTCATTACGTTTAATCGCCTATTTTTAACTCAAACTGTCTTTTTTAAAAAAGAAACAGTTTTAATTGACTAGATCCACCAATTACAAGTCTTACCCAAAAGAACAAGATATCTTTAAGGTACCACCGCCTTCAACCCGACCCGCTGACCGCCTCCACCCTGTAATCCGGCGTGGCTTCAAGTCCTGTCTTTGTGACGCCTTCTGTTTCCAAGCGCCTCAGGCATCTGAAAGCGTGCAGACAATGCCCACGAACTGCTGGTCATCCATGGTGAGTTTGTTGCCATGCTATAGGAACGACCGCTCGGCTCAATACACTGTAGGACAGACCTCTACGGAACCTCAAGGATACTCATGGTAAGTGAGTACGGTAGATATATGGTATTGCGATAGGCAGAGAGGGAACCGACCATCAGTCGAGGATGTCCAGTTCAAACAGTTGAACGACCAAGTCGCGGTCAAACGTCGTGGAGATGTCAAAGGAGAACAGTTCATCATAGACAAGTGCACGGTGAGTAAGATGTCATAATACGCAATAAATACAATGTATACATAACATAACTATAGTATAAGCATCTTCATACCAAAATGATTGTTGTATACCGCAATAAAAACGTAATGTTAAGTTACAGAGCATATAGATAACGTTGTTTTAGAATAGTCTTCTGATGGTGCTCGACTCAGTATCCACCGTAACCATTGATGACTGTGAAGACTGTATCATCATCTTAGGACCATCTAAAGGAAGTGTTCACATCAGAGATTCTATTCGCTGCTCCATTTTCACGTCCTGCCAACAGTTCAGAACCCGAGATTGTACCTTAATGGTGCACTTGTTTTGTTCTACTAAGCCCATCATCGAGGATTCTACCGTGGAATTCTACCCTCTGTTCTTAAGGTATCCGTTTATAGAAGGTAAGTCTATGAAAGGTAACTTTGGTGTAACAGATTAATTCAGAAAATCTGTTAGAATCTTCCCTGCCATCCTTCACCAACTACTGGTACCGAGTCCACGACTTTACACCCGAAACTTCGAAATTCAAAGTGTTCGACCGACCGAAACCTATGAATTCCATCTACTCCCCCAACATCGAGTGGCTACAAGAACTGAAGAAGGAGCGAGTTACAGTATCCGAGAACGAATCCTTCTTCTTCTACACACCGTGCCAACAAGAAGTCGACGATCAGATCGAAGAAATCACCATCATCATCTTCCACATGCTAAAAGATGTCAGTCCAGAACAAGTGGCCATGTTCTACCAGACTAGCTGGTCCGTGACCAGAAGGTTAATATCTGACAGTAACTTGGCCAGAATGATACGATCGCACGACCTGACGTTGAAAGAGGGAGAATTGGCCAATGTATTAGGGCAAAAGAAGAACAAAGTTAGCGGTGAGTGATGTTATTCAGTAATAAGCTCAAATTTAAAAGTGTTAAAACAAGAAGCGTGCTTCTAAGTATTAATATTATTTAAAAACAAGAATAAGACATAAAGGATATAGTCATAACCTAACAACAAACCTATTTCAGGTAGAGTAGTAGTCGTAGCAATGGCCGGATCGACCGGTCGAGCCCGTACATTCATCGAGAGCATAATAGCGCCCATCAACTATCCCAACATGTATGTCCAAGTGGTACCAACCGAACAAACAAATCAATATCTTAAAGCGTTCAATCGACTTTCCGACCTCCAGGGTAACATATAAATAAACATTTTATAATAAAACTTTACACAACGGAGAGTTAGCAGCAATTATGCCTCTACTTAATAAGTGACAATTACAATAATGTAAACATTTGGTCCACATAAACTGGGAGATAAAATTCTGATCACTCTTCGCCTTCTTCTTGTGCCAGAAGTTCTTTTGCTCGTCGCAAAGCACTCCCTTCATCGTAGTGCATCTTTCTTTTCTTCTCGAATTCACGTTTGTGAGCTGAAAACATTGGTTTATAATATACACAAAAGAAAGTAAGAAGATGTTCGATTTTAAAACGAAACAGTCATAAAATTATAAAAATAATAAGTATCAATGTGAAAACTTACCAAGTTGTTCGGGCGTCATATCAGCTTCGTCCATCTCTTCATCTTCAGCCATCGATCCTCCTGAGCTCAACTTTCGGGAATAATTACCTGAAGCAGCAGCTGCCAAACCTTTACACAGTTCTTCAGCATCTACAGCGTTCCCAACAAGAGAAACACGTCGTGGACGTGATTGAGAAGCAGTCGAATCTTCTTCAGAATCGCTGAAAGCGTGATACGGAGTCTTGGGCTCGTCAATCTGAAATAAGTTGTCGAATATTCCGATTAAATATTCGGATAAAACAATATAAAAAGCAACTGAGATAGATAAGAAACTGATCGAGATTAAGGCTTTGAGAGAAGGAGCCCCGGTAGCTTAATAGGTAGAGCATTCGTCCGGTAAACGAAGGATGCAGGTTTCGACTCCTGCCTGGGCCACTTTTTCTCTCATAGTATGATATCTCTTAAAAATTCTACAAAGTTAGCATTACTTCAAGTCTTTTCCATAATTTCCGCATTAAATCAAGCTTCAAGAGTTTGATCTTAACGTAAACTTTCCCAGTTTAACGACCTAAATAGAGACGAATTCAACCAATACTTACCTTCATGTGACCATAGTCCTTGTCGGCCGGGTGATGAGTAGCCAGAATGTTCATCTCGTCGTAGTGAGCCTTCTTCTGATCGTCGTCTTGGCTCATCTGTCGTCCATGAGTGTCGAATGAAGGCTGCTTCGCCTTCAATATACTCTTCTTTGGTTGGAGCTTCAAAAACTCGGTAGGATCGCGGGAGGAAGCGGCAGAATCCTCCATTTTGTTCTCTGTAAGTTACCAATTCAATTAAAATCTTACAAAAACAATTTATAACAATTCCGCGTTCGTTAACCAAAAACCAAATTGAAGTAAAGTAAAATAAAGTGCAATAATATTAGCCAGACCAACGTTACAGACCAAAACTAACACATTTTTTAGCAAAACAAAGTATTAGTCAACAGGTTAAATTAGAGGTAATCAGGCTTTCCAACGAACGTACTTCCAAACAGATAAAAACATTGATTAACACGTTCAAAAATAGAGATAAAGAACGTATCTTAATCACAACTAAACTTATCTTACTCATAACAAAAAAGCGCATATTCACCATAGCAAAAAGCTTAGATTAACCACAAATAACCGCCATTATCTGCAAGAAAATCCATGTTACCCATAAAAAATAACTCATATTATCCATAACAAAAAGACATAGCCAGAACAGATAATATCTTGTAAAATAAAGACAAATATCGACCAAAATGTTTACAGAGTAAATCCCGAGTGACACATTTGAGAATTGAAACGGCACGGCTTTTCTCCTTCCAAAATTCTCCTCTTCCTTCGTCCAGAAAATGTGTCATCACGACGGGTAAGCAAGTCATGAGAAGAAGTTTCGTAACGAAAATTTGTTTTCGGAAAATAAAAACAATGTTCGATAGGGAAACCGATCGAAATTCATAAAACAGCGTTTCAAATGGGGTTTTAAACTTTGAAACGGATTAAAATGTGTGATGTTGAGGATAATAATAGACAAAAGATGTCTGCAGAATACTTTAATCAAACATTGCTTTTGATAGTAGAGGACAAAGTACCTTAGATCAAGCTAGTTTTTGGGGTAACATTCTTTTTTCACTAACTTGCCTTTCCAAAATTTTAAAAAATGGTCGCTTTTTTCTAACTTTGATCACCTTTTCAAAAACCCCGTAAAACAACATTGTTCGTCCAATAATAGATATTTGGCACGATGTAACCGTGCTAAAGGCCCGAAACAGCGAGACTTAAAACTCGAGGTCTAAAGAAAAAAAAACATTTGTTAATCACCTGCATTTACGTCCCGAGAGCTTGAAAGACTCTAATTCCGCCTTTTTGTGGTCAAGAGTTGGCATTTCGAGAAAAACGTTATCTAAAGTAAATTCTTTTGCCAAAGTAAACATAATGGTTCGGGCATGTACATGTTTATTCTTCATGTACTTAGTCAAAGTGACACACATGGGAACCGTAACATTAACCGCGGTTAATTCTATGTTAACGGTTAATATTGACTTACGAGATGTAGAGTAAAACTACTTTACATTCTTTTCTAACACTGCAATAACATTACCTACTACGGGATAAATAAAACCGAAGTAATATTACTTTGCAAGACAAATAAACAAGTAAACTTTACCCAACAAGACTTACACAAATTGCTGTAAGTCAGTCTTGCCTTAGAATGCTTAACTAACGCCGAGATAGGTTAATGTTACCTGACAACGCATAAATAACACAACAATAATAACAGTCGCGTAAACAAACATCACAAACGGTCGGGTTTGCAATACAATGTAAAACAAATGCAAAAACGCGGCGACAGAAGCCGAAAATTAAATTCCAAAGCCTTCCGGCTGCTTTTCACTCGCTCGAAATCGGATTTAAAAGTGCACCAAGTCAGGATGGATAATATAATTTAATAAAACTTTATTAGAAATCTGTAACAAGAGTCAGGCGAACGATTTGTTCCGCGACACCTGAAGTGCTTCCAGGCGTTGGGGTTTCTTGAGGGCGCTGCTGGAGCGCTGGTCTAGCTGGTGTTGGCCGTAAAGGTCGTCCGTGTACAAGACCCCATTCAGCAGACCGTCTGTCTTGGTGTTGCGTTGAACAAAGTTGGCCTTATCTGCAAAACGACATCAGTTTTAAAGACAATATTTTAGAAAGTTTCCACAATATTGTAGTAGGTTTCGTAAGGGTCAAAACGTCAACGGAAAACCCAAATTAAAGAAGCTTTAAGGCTACTCTACACATTATTGGAATAATAAACACTACTGTTTGACAAAAGATTACTGTAATGTCAGTGTAATGCAGCAGCAAGTTGTACAGTAAATACCGAGATTTGTGGTAATGACTAGGTTCGCGGGCATGTAAATATACTAGTATTGTTATGCGAGGCAGATTATCTTATCGTAATTATCACTCACCCCTCTTATTGCTTTCGACACTGTACTTATTGACCACATTCGTCCGCGATGGGGATTTGAAGTAATTATTTACAAAGTCAGAACCTGCGCTTTCTTCCAGCCGCTTCTTGAGCCGAGTCTCGCTACTGGAGTCGTCGTCCAGGTAGTCGTCGCTCAGGCCGGATTGTGAGGTGGGCATCGTTGATACTGTAATATAATTTGGTTACTTAAAGGCAGAGTAAGTTATACGTAAAACATGTAAAATACGATTATAAGGTATATAAGACATACCATGAGCAGCGTTAGGTAGTCCTCCCTTCATTGTGTTGGCTTCTGGCAGAATCCATTTACCGTGATCCTCGTTCCAGACGGCTTCCTTCTTGATCTTCTGGAGATCGTGGTAGTTGGAATCCTTTCGTATCAACGGATGCACTTTCTCCAGAATCTTTTGTAGAAGTTTCAGTTGTTGGTCTTGCTTCCTTATCGTTTCTAGGTAGTCCAACCGGTCTAGTTCGAATTCACCGTGCAAATCATGAATCTCGGCTTCTAGGCCACGAACCTTAAAGAGACAGAGTAACGTTATGTGAATTGACAATGATTATATTCATCAAAGACATGTTTTTAAAGTAATCAACAAATATATTCTTTAAAATGAATTTAACTTGTAATACTGTAGTTTTAATTAACCCCATTCATCTTACTTTTTCAATCTCGAGGTTATATTGCTTGGTGAGTGCGTCTAGCTTGTCTTGTGTGGAGCTGTACACGTGAAGCAGAGGGTCGTCTTTGTGCACGTTCAATGATTCTATAAACAAGATAAAACAAAGTGTCATACAGCCCTAAATGAATTATTACTAGTCAAATCATTTGTATCGTAAACAACATACCTGCCAACCGCTGCATCTTCTTCTCGGCCTCCTTCATCTTCTTGAAGCGCTTCTGCTTCAGCGCCTCATTGTTGGCCTCTTCTCCTCCAACGAGTTGTTGCTCAAGTTGCTCGAGTCGCTTCTTGGCTTCGGCTTCATTCATCGGGTCCTCTGACTTCTTGGCCGCCTCCACCTCGGCTGATGCTCTCTCGTACTGTCGCTTCAGTTTGTTCAGGTCTTCTTCCAACTTGGCCTTGCTCTTCTGCTCATGTTCGTAACTCTCACGAAGTTGCTCCATCTGAAGCGCGAACTCTTCGCGGAGTTTCTTCTTGACCTCTTCCATGTCCTGAGGTGGTTTACCTACGTCGTGATGTTGCACTAGACCCTTGAGACGTTCGATTTCTTGCTGATATTCACGTAGAAGCGCGTCTTTAGGGTCTTCATTGATTCTGGGCTTGTTCTTGATGTTCTTGGCTCTGTTGGCGTACCGTAACGTTGACAGTGTTTCGTCGTAGTTATTGTCAGACGGTGATATACAGGCGATCATCACTGTTTTTGTGTTGCCACCAAGGGAATCTTGTAGCAGTCGTGTGAGCTTTGAATCTCGATAAGGAATGTGACTCGATTTACCATCTACTAATGCTGATATTACATTACCCAAGGCTGAGAGCGACAGATTGATCTTGGTCGCTTCTTTGAACCGCTCTCCAGTAGCTCCAGTCTTTGCTTGTCGCTCACTGCCAGCCAAGTCGACCAGATTCAGTTTACCCATTCTGATGGTACCACTACTCTCAGCTAGTGCTTCTACGTAGATGGTGAATATCGAATGGGATCTGCTGGAGTCTTTGTTCATCAGTGTCGCTCCAACATGTCTGTTGTTGAAGCCGATATCCATTAGTTTCAAACAATCGTTCACGTTGTGACAAACGTGCATCGAGAGGCCAGCTACGTAAACGCCACGATCTCCTCGTTCCTTGATGTCCAACTTCTGCTGGCGGTTCTCACCGAGTAGATCTCTGATTTCTTCATTGTAAATCTGAAAGTTACAGTAAGACAAAGATATTTTTGGTTATGAAGGTCCACTACCTTCTACAATATACGATGATACTTACTTCAAGATATGATACATGCACCAAGAATTTTGTCTCTGAAACGACGGCGATCGATTCGAAAATTTGTTCAAAAGTCCGCGGAATGATGCCTCGGGCCGCTTGGACCTTGTCATCACCTTGCATCGAATATGTCTTCCCTGAACCCGTTTGGCCATACGCGAATACCGTACCATTATACCCCTCGACCACGTTCTCGACCAGTGGATAGATAATGTCATTGTAGATCTGCTCTGACGTCGACTTCATGTAGTAGACGCCATCGAAGGTGAACACCTTGGGAGGGGCGTCTGGTGCTTGTAGGGCACATTGGCCTTTGGCCATGTCCATTTCGATACATGACTGAAATTGAACAATATGATTACACTAAAGTGACAATATAGGTACAACAGATGTCTTACGTCACTAAAAATTGTTATACTGCACAGTCTTCTTCTCTCTCTAATTAAGATACACCTACATCTCCTAACCTTACCTTGGAGTCGAGCTTGATCTCGCGCTGATTGAACGGGCGACAGCGACATATTACTCGGACCGACTCAGCCATTCCCAATTGACATGTTACACTAGGGGGAGGTAGTGTTAATGGCCGATCGAGCTGGGAACAATTCTCTAAAGGCCAACTTGAAGTCTTTCTTCACGGGTCTTCCAAACCCGCAGGGCACCCGCACTCCAATTGAGAATCACCTTGACAACAGTGAAAAGCGGCGTCTTTCTTGGCGGAATGTCCAGAGTAAAAGTAGTAGTACGAAGAGGACATTCCGGCTTCATTCAGATGCACTTCCGGTCAAGGCTATACTATGTTGTGCACATTGTAGTACACATGGAGGACGAACAGAAAGAAACACATTAAAGTTTCGAAACGCTGTAGAAAACTCTTGAAACATTAATGAAGAATACAATGCAATGTAACATAGTTTACAAGCACAAAACATTAAATGATCTACTGCTAAATGTCAATTCTAGTAATTCAGTAACACTAAGTTGAAGGCAAAAGGTTACAGAGTACAGTAACTACAAAGGATAACAGGGTAACATAGAGAACAAACATATGAGTGCGTGTTGTCTCATAATGGATGTTTACCTAGAGGATATGACCTCTCGAAGTGGTCAGTTACTAAGACAAGATGGACGATGCGCGATGGCTGGAATCGTGCAAAGAACAAGGTCGTCTGAATGCTACTGATCTATCACGATGGGTTCTGATACGACATACCCAGATCAAGGTAATATTGTACTGTAGTTATGTTATAAAGTTATATAATGTTTTTGTAAGCTTCTATAACATTTGACAAGTTTTTAGTATTATATTTTAACGACAGTAACAATTCCAGATTTCTGGTACCTTAATGTCGGTATCAGCGGCTGTGTCATTACTTGACAGTATTCTCTGTGTTACTCTGCTGATTCTGATCGTATCTGCTTTACGAAACCCTTCGGTCAAACTTCGTACATACTCGTAAGTATAAGTTAAAATATTACAGTATATTTAACTTACATTATCTTAATTTTGTTTTTTTCCAAATTAACCTAATATAATATAACAATTTCTGTTACATTACAGTTTTGTATCTAACCAAATCATGGTAGATCTTACTGTAACTGCAGTTATTTTTGTCACTGCCATGGTCACGGAAGTGCGACGTTCCTTCAGTTTTACGTTCACAATGACAATGTTCATATGTATCTTTCCCACGATTACTACAGCTGTAATCCACATACTTCACACAGCCTACAACTATGTAAGTTTAGACATAATATCAATACCTAAATGATATTTGGACAATAATACTAGAGCAAACATTGTGTGGCCCAGATTACATTAAAATATAACAAACTAAGGCCAGAAACGAGTACCCAGAAGTGTGTAACAGATTCAGAGTCGAGTACGTAGTGCTATTGAACTTTGTGGTATGGATAATATCTGGAGGTACCTTGTTTCTGTTCTCGACATTGTTTCACATTCTTGAAAGTGGTCACAGTAAGTGTCAGATAAGTATATGAAACGTTATTTAGAACATTGTCAACCATGGCTGATTGCTCTACTGTTGTTACTTCTCATCGTGACTACCATAGCTAACATTACAAGTTACTTTCAAACCGGAAGAAGACTAAAACAAAAAGAGAGTGTTCAGAGGTAAAAAAAACTAAAATATTCATTGCTTAGTTTAAAACATAACAAACAGTCAATATCTCTCTCAAGTTCTGCATAATATTGTTTTAGAGAGACAAACGACGCACCCATAGCCAAACAATGTTTGTTGTCCCACAAAATCGCCAAAAACAAAGTTATCCTACACACAGTCGCCACTACAATAGTTACTGTAACTCTAGTGTTCTTGATCAAAAGCTTTCTTGATCTACAACAATTGAAAGTGATTTACTTTCACTGTGATATTGACCTTGTCCTAAACCTTGTAGACAACATTCAATTATGTGGTACTATCATAGTCTTGACATGGTTAACGACGATATTAGTTAATTGTGTCTTGACAATGACATCTGACTACAATAGCCTGCTGTGGTTTATTTACAAGAACGATCTAGACACCTGGACGGACGACAACGATGTGACCAAAAAAGTAAAAATCAGAAACGTATTTTCATTTTCAGCTTGAGAAGTTGTACATAATAATATAAATTTATAAACAATAAAACTGTGAATTTCGCAACATCGAATTAATTCGAAAATGAAAATTTTGTTTGTTTGAGTCTCGAAAAGCCCGCAAATGTAGCAAAAGCCTGAGACAGAACGCCAAAAATAAATAAAAATAATTTTTCTGTTTTTATCAAACGAACGTCTTTATCTTCTCTTATTCGACTAAACAATTAGTGGACGTTCAAAAACAACATCTTGTTTATATAGTAACATAAGACGGCGACCGAGCAGAATATGCGTCTTCGCAGATTAACGAAAGCTTATCTATCAGCCATCAACCATTCGAATTACGAAGCCGAAGCCGACAGTAGAACATCCAGAGTGGACAGGATCTATTCTTTGTGTAAGTCTTGTCTTTCCTTTATTATTGTTTAGTGGAGAAGATCATCATCGAGAACCAGAGCTGGACGACTGGGCTTTTCCCGAGATTCTCGAACGACAAAAGCATTGGTTATGTCAAAGACAGTATCTACTGTGCATTGGCTTGTTGGACATGTTCTATGGCTTATCAGTAAGTCGGAACAGGTTTTCTGCTTTAGCTATTGTTTGGTGACGGTTAAACAAATCTTAACTGTTAAAATAAAAGGAATAAGATGCATAAATTTAATAAAAAACTACAAGAATGAAATGACATTGTTGTAGGCGGATTGACGATGATAGAGGACGACAAACTGAACTGAGACAAACTGCAGTTAAGACCATGAGAGGAATATTGTTCTCGTGGATGCAGCAGACCGAGAAGGTAGCTTGTTTTCTACCGTTTATGTTTAATCTAAAGTACTACTATATTAAATACTTTACACTTGATTTTAGTTAAATGCCTTTAAAAGTCATAACTCTTCTGAGTTCTCGCTACACTCTCGATTCGATCTTCAAACTGGATTAGAGATTCATGGATCGTACAATCATCTTCAGATGGACCTAGTGGCCTTGTACCTGTTGACTTTGGTTCAGCTTACTATGGGAGGAGTACAGATAATATACACAATGGATGAAGTCGCTTTCTTACAGAATCTTGTATTTTACCTTGAGAGAACTTACCGTACCCCTGATTTTGGAATGTGGGAAAGAGGAAGCAGATACAACAACGGTAGGACCGAATTGCATGCCAGCAGTTTGGGAATGGTTAAGGTAAGTGTTTTGGTTTAATAGATGACTCAATCTTACAAGGGAAGTGTCTCACCTCATTCCGGAGATATGAATCGAGACTAGGCTCATTTGAAAGCCTATTTGAATACGAATTAAACAAAAAAAATTTAGCTGCCGAATAAGCCCCTGAGGCAAGTTATGACGGTTTAAAAATTTGCAGTGCTTTCCTTGGTTTGAGTTTGAAAACGACTGGCAGCGAGAAAGAAAACAAGGGCAACCGATGATTCGGTGGTTCAGTGGTTAGGTGTTGGGTTTAGGGGTAAAAGGATAAGGGTTCGATCCCTGCCAATTCGTTTTGCTTTAACAGCTTCCAAAATTTTTTTTTGTTTTTTATACTATAGAACAGTCAACAGGCTAGTTTTAATCATTTGAATACAAAAATTAAGCAATTTGACAAATTATTAAACTTTGGATCGAACCCTTATCCTTTTACCCCTAAACCCAACACCTAACCACCGAATCATCGGTTGCCCTTGTTTTCTTTCTCGCTCCCAATCGTTTTCAAACTCAAACCAAGGAAAGCACTGCAAATTTTTAAACCGTCATAACTTGCCTCAGGGGCTTATTCGGCAGCTAAATTTTTTTTGTTGAATTTTTATTCAACTAGGCTTTCAAATGAGCCTAGTCTCGATTCATTTCTCCGGAATGAGGTGAGACACTTCCCTTGTTAGTTCTTGGGGGTTACTATTAAGTTTGCAATTATACTATTATATTTGGTATATATTGACATATTGTAGGCTGCTTTGGAGGCCATCAATGGTTTGAATGTGTTCGGGAGCAAAGGAACATCTGGGTCTGTCATCTATGTTGATATTGATGGTCATAACAGGAATAGGACTACTTTTGAGACAATATTGCCTAGGGAATCGAATTCAAAGGTATGGTTAAGACTTAAAAGTTGTATAAAATAAGATGAATAGCAAGTTATCAATATTGTTGTAGAACACGGATGCATCGCTGTTAATAGCTGTTGGTTGGCCAGCTTTCGCGACTCATGATGAGAAACTGTTCGATACCACATTCAATAAGTGTGTGAAGCATCTGGAAGGGAGATACGGTCTGAAAAGGTTCTTGAGGGATGGCTACAGAACGGAATGTGAAGATACGACTAAAAGAAACTACACGGAAGAAGAAACCTTCAACTTCAGAGGAATCGAGAGCCAATTTCCTATGTTTTTGATCTACATTGTCTTGACTGGTGAGTGAAGAAAACTTTATATTAGGGTTTCAATTTGGTAAATTTGATATAGATATTATTATAAATTGTCAGTTTAGCTCATTTCAAAGGAAACGAGGTAATGGCCGACAGATACTGGGAGAAGTTGAACGGATTGCTGGTCAGTTATGAGTACGGTAGGTTGCTGAAGTAATACTATAAGTCTTGACCTTTTTCATCTTTGTGACATTTATAAAAAAAAATAGTCTTAATGTCAGCGTATAAAATAAAAAAATGGTCTTAATGTCGGCGAAGAGTTACTTTTTAGGAGGTCCGTTGATCGTGCCAGAATGCTACTGCCTAGAAGAAGATCACATTGACGAGGAAAGGGAAACTCCCAACTCTCAGGACTTCTATGCCGTGAATCCATCTGAATTTGGCATTCATTTATGGTCAAATGCACTTTATGTCATTGCTTTGTTGGTTCGTAAGTTTAATAGTATATACTAACGTAATATTATTATTGTCTTCTAGAGTTGTAATAAGGTTGACGTGATAATTGTAAATTATTGCCTATTTCAGGTGACAAGTTGGTTCATTTGAGTGACCTGGACCCTGTATACCGACATCTTCCAGCCAGTCTCCGTCCAAAGGCAGTTAATCGTCATTCAGCTTTTGAGGTAATCAAATAAAGTAAATGACCGTATATAAGTCGTCAAAAACTGTCCTAACTTTGTTCACGACCTTGTTTTAGATAAGTATCATGCTTACTTTACACGAAGCTACATTAACTTACGTTTTAGAGAGAAGACGACAACATTTCGACGAGCTTGGGCCAAGTTTGCTCATGGTTTCGTAGTAGTGTTAGTAGCTGTCGTAGCCGTAGTGTAGTAATGTGTTGTTCTCGTTTGATCGATATTAACCTTAACATTTCACTTTCCCGTTAACATTTCCGTTTTAGGGCCGAATGGAGGGCGATCCTGTGGTTCAGATTGCTCTGATATCAGAATCCTGCCAGCTCCAAATGATGTTGGCTACGTACGGAGTCTTGAGTCAGACGCCGCACGAGGTTGAGCCGGTTCAGATATGGCCGAGTTGGAGGATGGTTAAGGTATGACAATGTTTTGCATTATTTATACTGTAACTTGTTATTATAACACTTGATAAGGGACTAGTTTAAAGTTGTATGAAGTTGCAGTACCTTTTTAGGTATTTAATTACCTTGGTGAGAACAAACGACTGAAGATGGGAGGTCGTCCTTCAAGACCCTTAGGACCTTTAAACACTTCGAAAATATACCGTATTGGCGGAGATACTGTAATTTGTTATCCTTTGACCTTCGAATTGTCAGATTTTTACGGAAATGCAGATCCATCAACGCTCATTGAGGATGTTAAGCTAGGTCATTTTGATTATATTTCTATGTATCATACTATGTTCTACACAAATTACTATTATGATTATAGTATAATTGCCTTAAACCCAAGCTTTTAGAGAGATATTGAGTTTATTGCCAAGCGGTGGAAGTTGTCAGGTCATCCCACCTTCTGTATGGTGCTCAGAGAAGAGAACATTGTGGGCGAGTACTTTGAGAAGATGCTCGACTTGCTAGTGAGTATGAAGAACGGGTTTGTCAACGGAATCCGCGTCAGAATCGGCCGAATTCATGTAAGTTAACAACATACTAGCTTATGTTCAACTTTTTTTTTAAAGTGAAATACTTTACATATTATAAGAGACCTATCGACCACATTTTTAGCAACTTCTGAATACGGGCTGTGTAGAGCACCTCGACTTTGTGAAACTAGACGACATTGACTTCGAGGTAGATGTGTTCCAAGAAATAGATATGAAGACAGCTCATGTGAAGGCAAAGACAAGTTTAAAGACACTTACCTTGGAATCCCAATCCATTCTGTCTGAGGTGAGATCGTCATACAACAATGCTATTGCTAATCCAACTTCAATATTACCCACATTATTGTACATTGCTCTCATATTTAGGAATTGTACCAGAAGATGGACGACCACGAACTGTTTTCGATAATATCCGGAGAAGAAGTCTTGGATAACATCAGAGAAATCGCGATTGCTTTGGCTGTGATGATCAAACGATACACAGGATCGTTCATTGTTCACGGAGGTAAGGGTCACCGTGTAATACATACCTTAAAGTTTATTGTACAATATGATGGGTGTATAATTGTAGAAACCCTGTCGGTGAGATTAGAGAAAGTGTACAGAACGGCGTGTCAGATGAGATCCTGGGGGTTGGTACGGTACTGTGCCGCACATTTGAAGAAGACTGTCACCTCGTTGGCCCCAAGTATAACATCGTTGTTGGTGAGAGGGAAGCAAGTTATCGTGGGGATGAAGGCTGGCATCGAGATCAACATCAGCAGTCCGTCGACACCCGGAGAGATCGTCAGTGCACTCTTCTCCGGCTGTCCCCATGACCAACTCTCGGCCGCCGTCTTCCAGCAGGAGTTGATCATTGCTTGTGCTGATTTGGTATGTCGTCATAATGTTAATGTGACTTAAATTATATGAAAACAGGACACGTTATGACATTTTATTTTGCAGATTGTACAAAATAACAACGCTTTCGACGGAGTAATCACAATTAGACTGGAGTGGCTGACAAATGCCCTACAATTGCTTCTGAACTACGTCAAGGACATTGGACTGCGACCGGTCGACCTTGTCCAATTCCTGAATTGTAGTTGTCCAATGAATGTTATCAGACAATTGAGTAAATTACTTTACAAGTATTTATAAGTAAAGTAATCACAGCGTTATCAATTTATAGTAACATCACATTGATATAACTTATCAATTTCAGATAAGATGAGCAAGATCACGGTATACGATCTTCCGCCCACAATGATCAAAGACCTTCTGACAATGCTGATGACCAAGACCAATTGGCATTTACTACGCAAAACACAAATACGACACTTGAACGGGGCTGTTAACAAAGTTCCTACCAACCTATACGAACGTATATTCAAGATGTTGGAGAGGATTCAAGGCGGTATTGTGATTGCTGGCCATCTTCTGCCACAGAAACCGACTCTCCAGATCATGACGCAGCACGAACTGACATTCTCTTATCACATGGAGGCCATGATGAGTGATATACCCACACCAGAGCAGCGACAGTTGGTGGTCGAGTTGCTGTCAATCGTGGCGACTATGATGGAACGCAATCCAGAAGTTCAAATATCCGATTCCCTCAACTGCGACATCGTAGGTTTATATAATTTTCGTGACAGTTCCAACATAATCCTTGTTTTTTGCGTTAAAAAGTATTATAACATAAGCTTTTAGTTGATACATCGCGCCTTCCAACTCTACTGCCAAGAGTGCCAGCTACCCGCCACTACTTCGTTCGACGTATTTTACAACGCCGAACAAGAAGTTGAACCTGTCACCTTCATTTTACAAGTAAGTATACCTTATATTAGTTACGTCATTTAAATATAACAAGAAAACGTTGGATTCAATTATCTTATACCTTATTTAACCTTCTAGGCGGTTGTGGAAAAGATACTGTCAAAGTGTCACACCATACTCAGACGAGCATCCACAAACCACACGGGCGACATCCTCGACGAATTCATCTTAAAACGGAAACACTCAGATGACATTTGCCCGATCAGTTAGGAATTTATTAGCATTTACAGTTTTATACATGTATAAAGTGATTGTAGAATAAACTACTTTAATATCAATCCATTCTACCTCAATCTCATGTTAGTTTTAGTCTAATAGTAAGCCACGTAACAGGCCGCTCCTTGGGCTGGCTGGTAACCTCGAACGTAGGCCAAGATCTCACATTTAAATTCGAATTCACCTAGTTGGAACAGATTCACGGCACGGCAATCACGTTGGAGGCACGCTGCCTTACACTCGTCAATGTCCTGAAGTCAAATTTGTGAAAAGTCGAAATATACTTTAATTGGATGACGTTTTACAAATTTAAATACCAAAACAGACCTTAACATTGGCAATCTCGAAAATCTTTCCTCCTTGACATTCAGTATATTGCATTAGATGGTAGGGCTTGTTATTCACATATTGAACTTGAGGCAACGCTACAACAAAGTCAGACCTTACTCAACTTCCAACAGTTGTTATGACTCAATTAAACAAACTTACACACACAAGCGACTGTGAGAGAAACCAGGATCACGCACACTGAAGTCCACACAGCCATTCTGAACGTGAAACTAGATAAAGTATTAAGCGAGCGAGTTGAATGAGCTTACCTCAGCAAATCTGATCTTTTAAAAAGCCCCATGGTTCAGACGAACACAAAACAATCACCAAACGGATATCCTAACACAATATGTGATAGTAAAATCAGCTCGGACAATGTGAAATTCTGTTATTTGTGATCAGACACAAATAATTTGTGTTCGAATAAAACCTTATTGTAGGTCTTGAGACTGCTCCATGTTTGCTTTACATCCCTTTCTTTATCCTATTTATGACTTCCATAACTGGTCCGTCAGTTACGGTCCTATTATTTCATTTCCGCGTTAAAATCTTTCCGAAACGCTGCTCCAGAACGCTCGTTACATCAACAAACATACAACACATGACTCACGATGTACTTTAATGTTTGGGTATTCAGATTTGCCTATTATTGTTTGAACAAAACCAAAAATATCAAGTAACAAGCAAGAAAAAAGTAAAACACAAAGAACTCACGAAATTTCATGAAAAATCTTTAAATTATTTAACTGAATGCCAAAGAAGAAAATAGAAAATTTACTAAAATTTATATGATAGATCAAAGATCAGCTAGCTAGCTGTTTTTTTTTTCATTTCTCGATTCAAAAATAACCAGATCAACGGTGTGTAAGTCTCGCCACGAAAACAAATATCTTGGCATAACGTTATCGCAAAAATAATTTTGCGCGACTCAAACTTGAATCTTCAGCACTCTTGTTATCTATTTGTGACTATTTTTAGTTCGTACAGGTAGTTACAATGGCTGGAAGAGGACGACCAAAGCGGGGACTTATGCCCAATATTGCGGCAGCTGGTAGGACCATCAAAACTGAGCCAGTCTCAGAAGCTACGTGAGTTTTTAAATTGAAATTTGGTTATTCTTTGTTTAGAAGTTTAGCACCAGTTAGAGGACGGGGCAGAGGAAGGGCTGAAGGTCGAGGGAGAGGTCGTGGAGCTGCTGAAAGAGGTCGAGGAGCAGCTCGAGGTGGAAGAGCACATATCATTGAATCTGAAGCCATCTTCACGGCTGGGTTAGATGAAGGATCGCTGAAGTCAAAGCGAGGCGAAGCTTTAGGTATAGTATTATTGTTTTACGTTTTGTCGATGTCATTGTAATTTTATGATATATTTAGTTTAGTCTTATACTGCCTTTGCAGGAGCGGAGAAGATCGTTGGTAAAATCGAGAAAGGAGAAAATCTGAACGGCTTTATCGATGATTCGGAAGATTTTAAAGATAAGAAAGTGAAGAAGAATGGTTTTGTGAAGAAGGAGAGCACGTTGCCAACCTACGAGTTGGAATGGATGTCTGACGATGAATGTGATAAAGAGGAATTGGAACAGATTGTTTACGACGGGGTAGGTCTTGTTGTTGTTTTGAGGTTTAGTCATTTTCAAAAGTGGAGTTTGTTGTTTTGATTGTGATAATGGAGTATAAGCCTTATTGTAACGTTATGTGTTAATTTAATTAACAATGTCGCTGTACTTTTTTAAATTGTTACAGGTGTACGAATGGATGATTTATAATTTTATGAAATGTGGTATAAATTTACGGTATTTCAGTTTATCAGTGATGTGAAACATGCCAAGGATGCTCCAGTCGTATTACCTGGTCGAGATAAAGAACAATTTCTTAAGTTATTATCTAAAAAAGCAAAGAAACATCAAAAAGAAGAGCCGATGGAAATAGATCATGCAGTGTAAGTTTATATTTGATGTTTTGACAAACTCATTTGCTTTAGCGTCATTTCCACTTTATATTTGGTATATTTTAGTTCAGTTTCATACCTAAATCTACATTTTCGCGCGGTTAGTGTTACTTTTAATATCGAAGAAGTAAACCTTGAAGACGTAAAATTAATATTGTTAATCTTGCACTTTTAGGAAAGCAGAAGTTTTGTCGCAATGCACAAGTGAGATGGAGTTCGATAGGATATCGGATATGGGTTTGAGGGAAGCTGGTGATTATGTCAAAGACTTTCTAAAAGGAACCTCGAGGGACTTTCTACTAGTACAATTACCTTTATCACTGTCACACTTCAAGGATTCTGTAGTGAAGCCGAAGGAAGAGGCCCCAGAAGTCGTCAAAACAGAAGACTTTGGATTCTCGAAAGAGGTGGGAGAATATCTAGTGAACTTTAAATGGTTAATTTGTTTGCCTCAAATGGCCATGTTGTCATTTTGTAGCATGAGATTTAGTAGGAATAATAGTATTGTTTATCCAAACATGTTATTGCCATATTATCTGTAGCTTTGAAGGACTAAAGAGGTAATAGCTATGTTGTCATGTTGTTTGTCCGAACATGTAAGGGTCATGTTATGATTAGTCTAAGACCGGAAAGCTATATTGTTTTTGACTGGAGATAATTGTCATAGTTCATATTGTTACTTTAATGGATTTGTCAAATAATTTCAAATGTTATTGTTGTTAGTCCAAAACATTTAAAGCGTTATGTTTCTCAAAACTACTGGATTTGAATTGAAATTGTGAAAGTGGGATTTATTTTATACTTTTCGCGGAATCAGGAACAACACATTAGTTTTGTTATTGTTTTGGTACGGCAAGGACATGGTTTTATAGGGGGAGTGCCTGTGACGTTTGTTGTAATTAGATCGCTGAACCATAAGCTTGGATTTGAGAACCTAATTTTAGAAATATATAATAAAAGTATTCGTTTTATTGTTACGCATATTTACTTTATATTATGCGACTTTTACTATTGACCGATTTTATATTTCAGGAGCCAGCAAAAACAGAAGACAAGCCGAAGGTGTCGCACTGCTTGGATGGAATACCTTCTAATGCTCAAATAGGCACGGTACAGATTCTAAAGAACGGCCAAACGCGGTTTATGATCGGAGGGAAACCGATAGAAATACGATCAGCAATACCGAGTAATCTTTGCGAAGTAAGTATACTTTATTGGTCAAAAAGTAGGAGGAAATGTGAAATTACTTATTTAAAAAGGTTCACTATACCGTTTATGTTATTAGAGAGCTGACCTTACTGTGGAAACAATAGGGATGACCTATAAAGTACGAGTTCACGAGATGAACTAGCCAACAATATGGCTTCTAATTAACTATTACAATGAGAGGGCTTCTAATAATACTTTTTCAGGCTATAGTCAACGTGGACGTGAATGTACAGTCGAAGACGGACTCTGAGCTGCGATATCTGGGCGGGGTCGAGCACTCGGTGCTGTGTAGCTACAACTACAATCGCCTTTTGAGTAAGTGAATGAATATTGAAATTAGATTTAATGAAGCATGGGGTTTATCTTGTTCTGTTTCAGAGCGGCCGTAATCCGAGAGACGCCCCACCAGCAGTATATATATTATGGTTTTGTTGAATTTGTTGTTACCTTACACTTGTTGATTTGGAATAGAATAAACGCTTCTAATCTTTGTTTTCAACGCGTGCTTTTGTCCAATTCCAGTACCAATTTGAAATGCGCGGCAGAAGAGCTGAGGCCCGCCACTCGTCTTCATTTTGAATGACTAATTCTTCGTGTTAATATCGCGTCCGCCCAATCAGCCGGATTTTCCATGTGCCTTCCGTGCAGGGCTCAGATAATCTCCTCTGAAATACACAAGGTGCTACTGTAGTTTTACGGTCCTCTGTAACCCGTTTTCTCGAGATGACGATGTTTGTTACTTCAGCTAATGTCTGGGTTTCAAAATTTAAAATTACATTGTTTATGCCATACAATGCAGGTATTTGAACGTTGTTTTGGCACGTCTTGAGGTTGTTTGACTTGTGAAAGATGTTTGAACTTTCTTATGCCAAAGTCAAATCTACATCCTTTCCGACCTTGTTTTAGTTCCGCGAGTTACTAGACGTTGTTCGAGGTCGGAGAACCGCCTAACAATTCGTTGAGAAGCAGGAAATGTGCTTACTTAATAGAGTGTTTATACTTGTCCATGTGGGGGACGTCACTTTCGAGTTTAGGGTGATATATGGTTGTTGTTCGTCAGGCTTTGTGTACTCAGCTATGCATGTTTAGGTAATAAGTATGTCTTTGGTTAGTTAACAAATGCCGCTGTTTTATGAATGTTTAATATAATTTTTAAGCTTATCAGTTGTAGCGTTGAGTATCATTCGTACTTTGATATAGATCTTTGCAACAAAGTATTTAATTTTTGGAAAACATTACCTATGTTATGTTATGTTTGAGTATTAAATGTCCTTTTTGTCCGAAAAGGAGATGGGATAGAGGCCGAGGTAATAATAGTAATTGTCATCCCACGAGGCGCTTCATTCAACTTTTGTTTTACTCAGTTTACTTTGAAATTGTTGTAATGAATCAATTATGGCAAATTCAACGTTGGCTGTAGACATACTGACATAGATGTCAAGTAGGCGTACTGACATAGATTTATTTTAAAGCGGTAGATGTTAAGGTTTAGGTAATATTTTTTATTTTTTGATTAGAATGTCGCTTTTAAAGTTTTTAATTTCGTTTTAACACTTTAATATTCATGGTAGCTTTAATTATAGTAACGTAAATAGTAACACTTAGGATTATACTAATAGGATTTGATGTAGTAGACTATTAACAACTTTTTTAATCTTGTAATGACTCAGAATTAGCACTTTAAATGGTCGTATGTCTGATTTATAATAGTACCTTAACAAAAATATAATAGTTTACTTGGCAGTATCTGCCTCAAAAACCTATATTCACTACAATTTTCGTTATACTGCCTCAGAATACAGTACTTTTAGGGAGTAATGTAAACACCCTCGAACTGTTGGCAACATTAATCCTGTAGTGACTCAGATACTGACATTTAAAAGGCCTAATCGCATTGCACGGTACACGTGAATGCTGTGCTTTATTCAATTAAGAGAATGTCTTCAGATCCGGTCTAGTTCATATTGAGCCCGAGGGCAAAACAAGTCGTCCTATTATATTATATATCTATCTGGCCAGTAAATGAGACCAGAGAAGCAGAGATGTCTACAACTTGAGGGCAATTGTAGTTTTCTGTTTAAAGTAAGGTAACTTAAGACTTTACATGTTTGGGTAGAATTGTCTAATGTAATGATATGTTAAGTTAATGTAACCTTAAGCTAAGGTAAATTAGATGTTATAGTAGAGATTTGTAACCGGCTGCCTCTAAAGAGTAGTGTCACCATGAGACAATGTAAACATTGTAGTCAGAGAAAAAAAGTATTGTAACCGAGAGTAAAAGTAATATACCGAGAGTAAAAGTACTGTAATCGAGAGTAAATGTAATATAAATTTGTAGTAATGCCACTTAACTCGAATTGGTTGGCATTACCCTGCCACACTGTCACTACAATCGTATCTTCTTGCAGGTAATGTAATGTTGTCTCGATGAACATTACCGCAGTAAGCAGTACCACGCCGCCCGTCGTACATGTCGACCATCCGTACGTAATATTTGCGCGGGAGATCTACGTCTGGCTGGTACCGTTGATGGTCACCGTCTTGTTGGTAGGTGTTTATGACATTGTTAGGTTGAGACAGAAAGAAATATTTCTCGAATCAAAAAATATTTGTTGACTAATGAGCTTTACTATGAATACATATTTGTTAGGGTATTTTGCAATTTTTCTTTTTTGAATAAGACTAACGATATAAAGTGGCACCAATGTAACCACCCAAAGTGGCATTTTCAAAAAGTTTGTTTTATAGTTGGTTACTAGTTAAGACATGTATTAAATGCTTATTACTAAGCCTGCAAGTGCCACCGTAAGGAAACTTGCTAAAGCAGTAGTAGGTACTGCTTCACCTGTTTTCATTATTGATAAAACCAGGCTCTAGTGAGCTTCAAAACTTTTATATGACACTTTGAGTTGTGACCCTTCTTTTTGTTAATATTCCGTTTCTAATTTCACTTTATATTACTCTAGGTATCTCGTTGCCTTTTGCTATGTTGCCCACCTTATTGATTGTAATGTAACTTTGTAAGCTTCTAATCCTCGAATTTAATTAAATTAGCATAATTAAAGTAGCGCATAACAGTCTGTCCTTAATTTAACTTTTAATTAGTCCGATAAGATTAATTCCTCGTAAAGTGCCAAACATCGCTTCCGTATAGTGACAGTCGGGCGTGTAAGCAACGTTAATCATGTGTATATGTTTCGCTGGTCCATACATCACCACGCTGTGATTAATGTAGTGCAGTAAACATCTTCCCAGGTATTGTTTTATGTTTTAGAGACCTTACGATGGCAACTGCCATTTATTCTGTCACTAGTTTTCTCGTTAGGAAGTTGGCCAACAATAAGATTACGTTAAGACTTGTTTTGCAGACATCGTATCACGTTTAATATGAGTTTCATTGTGTCATATATAATGAAAGTGCAATTTTTTAAACCTGAAGCACGTTAAAAACAGTTTTAAGTTTACAATTAGGTAAAAAACTCCACTTATTATAACAACATACAGTTATAATTCTACAATATCATAAACAGTATATGTAATCATATCGTATGTTCAGATATCAGTGATTGGCAACGGACTCATCGTGATATCAGCACCATGGATGGGTCGACAAATCAATCCTTATCACCGGCTGTGTATCAGTTTGGCTGCATCAGATTGTTGGGCGGCTTCACTGCTAATTACCGGTATGTCAAAAAATTCACATAAACGCGTCATTCTTTTTGAAACAACATTTTTATTTATTTCTTGAGTAATTGTGTTTGCGCCATTCTTTTTGCATCAAGTATAATATTGGCATCGTTGCATTAAAACAATATTTTTAGCGCCACTACTTTTGCATCAACAATAAGGTTGTGCGCCGTTCTTTATTAGGCTTAAATGTCGCAATCGTAGTTTGTTTCTGAATCTGCCTTTCTAATAAGTTTTGCTGTTACCATGACATTACTAAAGATACCAAGCTTGCCTAAACGTACTGTACTCTCTCTACGTAACTTGCAGTAATACCCAAATATAGTAAAGTGTAGTATTGTAGTTGTGACACACTACTTTGTATGTAGAGTATATCTATATACATAAAGTTGGCTTCTACTTTACTTCGTGGTCAAAGTGTAAAGGTTGAAGATACGTTCCACTGACTTGTCTTTTACGCATTTACCGCCATATAGTTCTAAACCTTCCTGTAGTAATAGATCTCATAGCAATATAACTGTCATACCACAACCAAAAACAATAAAATACCATATAGTAATACAACAAAAGCCGTTTTATCACACAGTAAAGTGATGTTAGTCATATTACAGGCCTTATTGTAAACAGTTACATGCCAGTAGTGCTCAGAATCCAGAAGAACAACGAATGTGTCGCTGCCGTGCTGGAAATCTTCAGAATCTCAGGGATGCTCACCTCCAATCTACATATCTTGGCCTTGGCCACAAACCAATTCGTCGGAATTCTGTATCCGCTACGCTACAAGGCAAGTGCGTCTTCTCGCTGTCACTACGCGTAGTACTCTAATATATCATGTACTCTGTTCGTAGTAATGCCAAAAAGTAGTACTACGAAGCATAAACAATGTGTTGGTCAAGACGTTCTTAGAACAAATCTGTGGCATGATATCCCCTGCCTATTAAATTTCTGACCAATGGGTTAAACGCTTGAACATGAGTATACCACCTATAATATAATAAATAATATGTAAAGTTGCACCGTTGATATTATGTTAACAGTATCAGCAGCCACAGTAACCTTAAGTTTCAGATGTTGATAACAACCAGTCGTTTGCGTCGCCTCATCTTTTTGTTGTGGATAGTGCCAGTCGTCTTCGTGACATCGTGGTTCGTTCTGATTCCGGGCGACGGATTCCGTGACTTCAAATGTCGTCAACGCTTCTACCGTCGCTTCCCTTTCAGACTGAGTGTCTTCGTATCTTTCGTGGTACCATTATTTGCGACATTTGCTCTGTACGGCTTCATCGTACGCTATCTACTGAATGCGAAAGCAAAGTCAGCTCACGAAATGAGGTGGGTTAATCTACCATAATATTAAGAGAAGAACAGCCGTTCAAAGGTTAATACCCGGATAAGCACATAACATACCCAATACGATAGTTACGATGATCAGGACAACTTTTAGTAACTTAACGACTAATCTGCAAAGCCTAAACTATAACTAAAGCCTGACTAACCATGTTGTTGTTGATGAGTAAGGTCGTTATTAACTTAATCCCACTTCAGAAGGTCGGTCAGAAACAGTTATCGACGCAAAGTCCAATCCAGGCTAAAACTGATGTGGACGACTTTGCTAATCCTGAGCACGTTCACGTTATCATGGGGCGTTTGTGTGTTGTACTTCCTGTTGGTATGTGTGGAGGGATGTCCCTTCATCTACATGCAAAGCGTTAGCTTCTACGCCGGGTTCTTGCTCAGTTCTACCGTCAATTTCTTGGTGAGTAATCGTCAATATACGTATGGTTTGATAAGAAGCATAAACGATCGTTTATATTTTGTCAGACGATAAAAATTTGTTAGAAAGATCACTAAAATATTGCTTAAGCTTCGGAAAGTGGTCAGAAAGTTATAGAATCACATTTTATGAGCATAGTTACGCTTTTCTTTCCCCACACAAATATTGTCATCCGTTTTATACCTATTTTAAAGCTGAACCCCTTCCAGGTCGCCCTGAAGCTGCTCTTCAATCCTCTGATCTACGCCCTTCGCATGAATCACATCCGAGCCAGTGTTCTAGCCTGCCTCAAAACAGTATCGTTCACAGTGTTTCGTCGCTCCTTCTCCAACCATAACGTCAACTTCGAGTCTACCTCCTTCGACCCCCACTCTCCTCATATGGTACCTTGTCGCTCAGCTGATGGAATCGCCAAGAAGAAGAACATGATGGCCGTCAGGAGCACATCCTCGAGTAGATTGTGCGAGATCTCCAAGAAGAACAAGACCGTGTCTTCAGAAAGTATTCATTTACTCACTAGTGATGACATACGACGCCGTACTTACAGGTATGGGGAGTAACATACGATGAACTAGGTATCACATTGATCTTATCTTACCTTCTGATTGAAAACGGGTACAATAAACTTTATGAATCTACTCGGCCATAAACTAAAGAGTGTTCTCTCAACAATAATGCTCTAATTACTACCAAAAATGACGATATTAGCCATCAAAAATGATGATATCAATTTATGCAAAGTAGAACCGATTATATATTCACTACGTGATGATACCAAAGACAACAGATCATGAAACGAGAAGAATGAAAAATTATGAGAGGTCATCTTTCGCATAATTGCTTTATGAACCCTTTTTAATTGGCACAAACTGAAACTTTGTTTCTTTTTGAGTCAACTTTCCCTCTGTTTGTAAAACACTTGACCCGACTAAAATATTTATCGGAAAGCTTTGCAAAGTAAATTGGCTGCAGTTTGTGGAATTATTGCTACTTGTATTGATATATCGTCTCATATTGATACTTTCCGTCTTAAACGTCTTGTCTTTTTATATCGTGTCATTTACGAGTTGAATACGAAAGATGTTTCTACCAAGCGACGGTAACAGACGAAACTTTCGCACCGGCTTTACCAGAAGAGGATTTAGTCCAGTGAGAGATATCAGCCCATTAAGAAGAGGTACTGGTCCAACCAGAAGAGATCTTAGTCCCATCAGAAGACCAAGAACTCCGCCATTGCGGAGGGATTTTGATAGAAGACCTGATTATCGGAGAAGAGAGCCGATCGCTTCGTAAGTGATTTGAGGAGAACAGTGGGAAGTTGCCACTAAAACAAGAAAATTATGTTGTAGTAGTCGAGGTCATAATATTATTATAGCCACAGAGGAGCCAGAGCTGATGCCAGAAAGTACTTGCCGCCGACTAGAACCTTTAACAAGTAGGTCAAGCTTTCCTTTTTTATCTATCTAAATTTAGGTACAAGAGTGGAATTGGCCCAATATCTCCGATCAGAACGGAAGGCGAGAAACGCTCCAGAAGCCCCATTAGAAGCGAAGTTTTTAGCAAGAGAAGTCATGCTGTAGAAAGACCAGAAGGCGAAGTCGAAGCCATGAAGTTAGAAAGGTCAATCAGATACGATCTTATGGACATATTCGCATCGTGTATTCACGCAGATAAGGCGACTCATGTATGTTTATGAGAAGTGGTACTTTAAAGGAAGTATCAGAGTTAGGAAGGTGAAGATGGTTAATAAAAAACCAAAAGAAAACGGAAATGTAGTCAAAAAGGTTCAAGAAGGTGAAGGATATGTCATGAGACATAAGAGAGCGGTACTTTAACATCGTGAAGATGGTTATTATTTAAAAAAAGAAGTTTTTAACAATAAAGAAGATAAAAAGACAAACATATTCAGGTAGAGAGGTTAACATTGGTGAAAGGAAAGATACGAGAACTAAAAGACGAAGTCGGCTTGATGTACGGCAATAATGATCATGTAGAGTTGGAAGAGGTCGATTCCGGTAAGATTTTCGGTTAAAATACTTAAATTCTATTATTTTTGCTACTTAAAATTGAACTTAAAGATAAATATTGCGACATGACGTTATATATTACCTAAAATTGTGATATTTTTAGTGGAACATGGACATAATGGTGCAGACAGAAACAAACGGTAAGAAACTTTTGGCAGTTAAAGCTTTGCTTTACTGAGTAATTCATACCTAACCTATAAAATAAAAAGCGACATTTAGAAGAAATAAAATTGAAATCATTTCAGGGAATATGATGGAAGGTCACGAGATTATCCGTCGAAAGATACTAGGCGCGGTGACTCGAAGAGATTCAGAAGGCAAGGAGAAGGTATAGGCAAATGGCCTCACAGAGGTTACAGTATCTCCCCGATTAGGACTGAAGGGGACAGCGACTTGAAGGAAGTGGACTCTGGTACGTTGAACTCGTAAAGATTGTAACTTGTTTTAGTTCGCGAAGAATCACCGAGAAAACCGCGTTCGCCTAGCAGGGCAAGAAGGTAAGGAACATGCATCTTATCATAGCTTCTTATAATTAATTCAAATCTTTTCATTGCTAAGTTATTATTAATATGTTATAGTTTATTGTTATAGTTTATATTGTTATTTTAGTAGATCTCACAGCAGATCCAGAAGTTCGTCGTACCGCAACCAAGACGACAACGAAGATTACATTGACTTCGAGGAAGATGTAGATCCAGAAGTGATGAAGAAGGCGTCGAGAGTTGTCGCTTCCGGAAGCCTCACTCCAGAAGACGCTTTGGAGCTAAAGGAGGTGGATTCTGAAGTTTGAAGCCATTTGGAATTGTAAATAATGTGTCTGACATCCAAGATGTTATATGTCACCTGCTTATATTAAGGTTGTCTTTATTTATTCTTAAAGAAATTTTTTTACAATTATTATTGTAACATTTTATATCGGAGTCCAACTTTGTCTTGTTAATAAAGTAATAAATAGTTAAAAAGCTTCTTTTACATTGAGGTAGTAACCATATATACTTAAAAACCTTATTCATTAAACTGGTACCTTATTACATAACAAGTCTCACACCTATTATAACAGATGGCAGAGATCAACGAACGTGCCTCTGTGAGTATCGACTGCCCCTTATCACCTGGCTTCGAGACAGGCGATGAAATCAGACACACGGCTACAGAATCCTTCACCAAGATGAGAGAATACGTTAATGGACAAGTTCAAGCTACAGTAGCCGACTACAAACTTCTGGAAGAGCTGAACAAGACCACGGAGCAGAGATACCTCGACATGCATCAGGTGGCGAAGAATATTACCGGTCGATTGGGAGATCTGACTCAGAAATGTGGGTATTAATGAAAACTTGCATTTTATTGACAAAAGTGACGCAAAATATCTCATAGTACATATTAATTCTATAACTAATGATATAGTTTTGTCATCCTTATGATGGCTAACGTATATTGTTGTAGACGATTCATTGCGGCCGTACCTGAGGCAAGTTGACGAAGTTGAAGCGATAAGTAAAGAGTTGGAAACTACAGTAGGCGTGCTAGAAAAGTACCTAAATGCCCTCGAGACCAAGTTCAAGATGCTCCAGCTATCATCGCCAGTATAATATACGTTATAATATAATATTATAGTATCCCTTGTACTTAATTTTAAGTAGAACTTTTAGTACAGTATTCACACAAACTTACTGTAACTTATTTGAGAAAACTACTGTAACATATTACCTTCCGCAATATAATGTATGTTGTGCATGCTTCTCTAGTCAAGATTAATAAACTTTCCATACATGTTAAGACCTTTTTTACGCCGCCAGCCGGCTGCCTTCAAGAAACAAGGTCAGAAAGTTGTCGGATTCTTGATCAGTTCGCGCTTTGTTGTTATCAATGGATATCCCTTGGATTTTCTTGTTTCTGCTCTTGATTTGTAAGTTATATAGTTAGTAACAGTAATTTAAACGGTAATAGTATTTGATACAAAAACAAAATTAGTAGAAGATATACAGTAATCTTTAAAATCGGACCATAAACTACTGTAATTTAGACTGTGATGGACAGAAACTGGAGCTGGAGAAGAAAGAAAGACTGGCCAAAGTGTTAGAGTAAGTGAAGCTACAGTATACCCATATTCCTAGAGACATCCGAGCCAAAATCATCTCCGACGATGATTCTGAATACGTAGAAGGCAGTGGAGTCGGGAACGATGAACAATTCGTCGCCAATCTGGTCGTTCGACCAGGGTTCCCGGTCGATAAACATAAGCCTACTTTGCAGTTCATGCCTCACTTCGAGAACGACTTTTTCGAATTCATGGTGCCGGAGGGAGTCAGCGACAAACCGGGAGTCATGGCCATATTACTTTTCTACGGGATTCTGGATTCATCTCTGCCTGAGTTCAGTTTGAGTGGAAATGGCAGCGAATTCTTGGAGATTGGAGATCTCACGGTCACTCAGGTAATGTTAAACGTTACTCACTACTATAATATGAAAGAACGCGGAAACTAGCTCAGAAGATTAAAGTACAAACCAAGTTTCATATGGGAGCGGGACTTTTCGGGGAATGCAGTTTCGGGGAATGCATTTTCGGGGAAGACTTTTCGGGGAAAGACATTTTGGGGAATGGACCCTTCGGGGAATGCATTTTCGGGGAATGTACCCTTCGGGGAATGAACTTTTCGGGGAATGTACCCTTCGGGAAATAATGTTTTTTAAATTTTAAATTTAAAAATATGTTATAAAGTTTGTAAAAATAGATAGGCAGGGAACTTTTGGGATGGTGAATTTTCAGGGCAATTTCAAAAACTTCACCTTTTATTATATTTCCTCAAGGTATTTTTTATAGGTTAAAATTTATACTTTATACGAAAGTTTATATATATGTTCAAATGAACAAACAGTTTTGCTAAAGTTTCACTTTTAATTCTTTGTTTTATTCTTATGCTTTTGTAAGAGAGTTCAAATCATACCCAACACCATATTTTATCAATTGTAAAGTAAATGTGATTTAAAAGTTAGTAAGATGTAAAAGGGTTAAAAAAATAATTAAAAAAAAAAGACGTCCTAGAGTAAAATTTAATTTTTTTCTGAATTTTTTAAATTTTATCAATCTTTTTAAATAATATAAAAATTTTAATATGGCCGAATCACATTACACTCACTGACTGAATCACATGTGCCTTTATTAAGTATCGTTAACGTTGACATCGATCGTACAATGAACGTTCCTATGACACTTTTTTGTATGCTTTTAATGTTAGGTCGCATGCCTGTTAGAGTACTGTGAAAGTTATCGTACCGTGCCGTGACCGTTCTAATGTTACTGCTTTTTCTGGTTCGCAAAAACATCCGATAGTAAATTATAATTGTACTTCAAAAACAGTAACATTTGAACGTTCACGGCACGGTACGATAACTTTCACAGTACTCTAACAAGCATGCGACCTTACATTTACATCCTACAGTTTAAAAAAGTATACAAAAAAGTGTCATAGGAACGTTCATGGTACGATCGATGTTAACGTTAACGATACTTAATAAAGGCACATGTGATTCAGTCAGGGTTTGTTCCCCGAAAAGTTTATTCCCCGAAGGTACATTCCCCGAAAATGCATTCCCCGAAGAGTCCATCCCCCGAAAGGTCCATTCCCCGAAAAGTCTTTCCCCAAAAAGTCTTCCCCGAAAATGCATTCCCCGAAACTGCATTCCCGAAAAGTCACTAACCCGTTTCATATTTAAACCGCTTATAACAATTTCGGAACTGATCCTTTTCCTTTCAGACCCAAAACTATGCCCTTATAGAAGTCCCGATCCTAAAACAAGGTAACTTGAACCTACCTTACTCCAACGGCTCCTTCTTGTTAACAATCACTGTAAGTTGTTGAGCTTCACAATCTAAGAGTTGAACTTAATGTTAGTCAGTGAAACTTACCTTATCTCAAACTTCAGGCCAAACAAAAGGGAATGGAGAACAAGGCCAACCTGTTGGTGGAGATCATTCCTGTAACCGGCGTCGAGTTTCTTTCCATCAGACCTGGCAGCTTGGATCTAACGCAAGGTCAAGACTATGTTGATGAAGATGTTGCCAGTGGGGAAGCACCTGCTGAAGTCGCTCCAAAGGTTCAAGGACCACCTGGTAAAGACAAAATTTTGTTTCCAGAAATATTTTTGTTCAAAAAATGCGTAATCATGACAGTTTTTTAAATTTTTCATGACGTTATTTATAGAATTTTCATTGATTAAATAAAACTGGTCACTACGACGGAATTCCTGGATTTTCCAGAAATTATGTCACCTAAGGAGCCTTAACTTGATAATTTATTACATTTTTAGAAAATATGTCATTAATATAATACATTTTTAGGAATTTTATTAAATATGTCATGATGAAATATTTTCTGAACATTTTTGATTTCAGTGATCGAAATCGTGGTGAAGGGAGCGAAAGATGGCATTTTCTCAGTCTCTGAGAGTTTACTCCGCTTCTCCCGAGTTCCTGGTGTCGAGATTGAAGTGAACGTGAGAAACTACAGTAACCCCACTGACTACATTGAACTGTCGCTTGAGCCGAGTGATGTTTTCGCCGCTCGACCTCAGATGGTGAGCCCAGGAGAGCCAGTCCAGCTGGTTGTCCTGGATTCGAATGCTTTGGACTTCGAAGCGACACCAAAAGAGTTGCACTTTAAACTGAACGCTCGCCTTAGGGGAAAGTTTAAGAGTGTCGCCAAGGAAAGTGTTCACCTTGTCGCTGAAAAGGTGGACGAGTCGGATCAGCCACCAGTGTTCGAGAGGGAGCGATACATGTTTGGCATTGACACGGAGTGGAAACACGATTCTGAAGTCGGAGAAGTGAAGGCCGTGGACCTGGATTCTGCTCAGAACATACAGTACACCTTGTTGGGACACGGTAGTCAGAAGTAGGTTTACTGTGGTTTATGTGGTTTTAAATTTGGCTACGACAACATTATTGTCTGTCTTGATGAAACTGAAACTAGGTAATGTAAAGTAGTGACAATAATAGTAGACATATAATAATGAATGTTATTGTAGGTTCAAGTTGCACAATGGCATACTGTATGTTGACTGTGGTATGTCAGAGAAGTGTTTTGACAAAGGACATGAATATCATTTACTGGCTTTGGCTGTCGATCAAAGTAAGTTGAAGTCTACTACATTATAACCAAAATTACTGTACTTTTTGTGTTACAGTAGTAAAACATTTAGCTTAAAGATGTTACAGTAACAATTTACAGCTGGTCAGACCTCGAAGCCGGCTTCAATTATGATAAAAGTGGAATCTACAGTATCCGAGGAGTGTTACATAGAAGTTCCGAGCAAAGAACTTACAGTAAGAAACGGGAAACTGCAGTATCCGTTCAACTTTGTCGTAAACAACATACGACGATCTATTATACCAAAGTTTACTGTAAAGCTGGATGGTAAAGCTAAGAAGTACTTTGAAATAGAAGCCTTGACCAAGCGGCTACACAATCTGAAGCTGATTCAGGAGATTCCAGATGGCAAGTACAGCCTCGACCTTGTTTTAGGCCAGAAGTCAGGCAAGCAGAGGACCAGGATTACTGTAGTTTCAAAGAATGAGTCTCAGGTCAAATTCAAGAAACACAATCATACTGTAACTTTGGCTACAGTAAAAACCGGATTGGCAGTTCTGACTGTAGATTTGACTGGGAAACGACCAAAACACGTCAAGTTTGTTATCAATGGCATCACCTCTAATTGGGTCTCTATCAATCCGAAGAGTGGACAGGTTACTGTAACTCAAACACCAAAGTAAGTGTTTTAATGTATTTTATTGATATTGGTAAAGCGATGTTATTTGAATGAATTTAGTTTTTATATTATATTATGATTACAGTATGCTTTTATTACTGTAAGCGTGTTTAAAGTAAGTTTACTGTATTTTAGAGCATCAGAAACATTGCGTTTTACTGTAACCGCTTACAATACAAAGACTGGTAAGATCTTGGATGAAGCTACAGTAACCCTAAAGTATAAGGGTGAGAAGCCAGTGGAGGCTGATACATCTTCGAAAGTACTTTATTATCACAAAGGCAAGGCTGATAACAAGATAACTTTATTTCAATATTTACTATAGTATACTGTAATTTAATGGTGTAGATCAGGGACGTCGCTACAGATTTTCTCTGGGGAAGGGGGAGGCCGTAAAAATTTTTTTTTCGTCTACCTGTGGACCGATTTTCCAAATATTTTTTTTTCGTTTTTTGACGTACAGGTACCTACCTACCTGTGGAATCTTTTTCGGATCATCGGATCAGCTCTGGGGGGGAGGGGGTACCCCTCCCCCCCCCCTACCCCGTCCCCCAAACGACGTCCCTGGTGTAAATACACAGTTAACTTACAGTAGCCTTTGACCTTCATGTTATATTGTCTAAAATACGATGCTTTAGAAGGGCTGAAGTTTAAAAAGGACAGAAGTCTCAAGACTCAGAAGATCGTTGGCTACAATCACAACCGACAGCAAGTGGTTGTTTCTGACGGGAAATACAACGGCAGTCCGAACGGTGACATGTACATATCATACGATCTGCTCAAGATGTTCAACTACATGCAAGTCTTCTTTGCGGGACCATTTGACAAACAAGGTGGGGTTTGTTTTGTATTTATACATAAAACATTCATCATATACAGTAATATACGATAGAATGTTTTTATTATAATGTACAGTATTACATTTCGTTTTCATAATATACAGTATAACATGTACGTATTTGTTTTACTTGACCATTTACTGCAGTGATGTAACATGTTATTTAGTTATATACACCTTGTTGAACGAAGATCCTTCAAACAACCGGAAGCCTGTGTTCGTATCTCCATGGATGTCTGACTTTGAGGAGATTACTGTAACAGATGTGCCTTCTGACAGTCATCGTGACATTATTTGTTTACCATGCGTTTACAATGGACATACGATTGGCAATGTCACTTTGACATCTGATCTGAATGTTGTTTACAGTACCAAAACTGGTATGTTCTTATCTAAAATAGCTTAATTTGATTCTAAAAGTATTACTGTAACTAACAGTGTACTTTTAATACTAAACTATTACTGTAACTGACATCATGTTTATACTCATGTTGTGTTGCAGGCTGTCTCCATACTTTTGAGAAGATACAAGGCGAGCACAAGATACGATTGGAATGCTACAACGACGACGAGAAGACTACTGCTACCATCAAGCTGGCTACCGTAGCTACAGTAAATTCTGTGCAATTGAAAGATAAAACTGTTACTATTTCTGAGAACGAAAATAGTACTGTAATCGCCAAGTACAGTGTTCCGAACGCTTCTAAGTTCAAATTTGAATTATCTGGAGAGAATTCTGACCTATTCTATGTTACAGTAACCGCTGACGAGGTTACTGTGAAAGCGAGCAGTAAACTGAACTTTGACTTTGAAGATACGAAGTCCTATGCCTTGTTTGTTACTGTAGTTGATAGCAGTGGAGGCAGAAAGACGGCTTTGGTATGTTTTGTAGGTATACTTACATTATAGACATATGTTATCAATTAACTGACGTTTTTTATATATTACTATGTAATACTTATTCACTATATTTTTAGCTTTTGATTACCGTATTGGACGTGAACGACAATTACCCAGTGATTACCGTAGTCCCAAAGGTCCTTCACACTTACAGTCATTGGACCAAAGACGTTACAGTAACTTCTATTAGAGCTCGTGACGCCGATTCTGGTGACAATGGAAAGTTACAGTATGAAATACTAGAAGCTTCCTTCTTAAAAATTGACAGAACTAGTGGGATTGTTACAGTATCCGAGGATCTGGAACCATTTGGAAGAGAAGAGCCATACATAGTCACATTGAAAGTGGCAGATCACGGTGATCCAGCCAAGAGTACGATACTCGACATTCCTGTGTACGTTCATACTGTAATTGAGGCTTTTGACAAACAAATCGAGATACTGTCGCCTTCTGAAAACTGTATCGTAGAGATTTCTGAAGACGAGAAAATAAATAGTACGGTATTCAATGCTAAGGCAGTACTCAAAGGAATGGACCTGGACGACGCTCTTCTCAAGTACTATATTAAGGTAGGTCATGTGTTTAAAATTGTAAAAATATTACTGTAAAATAGGCAGATAATCTTTTTTTTATTAAATATTCAAATTTTCAGCCAGAATCTGAATCGGCGTCAGACTTCTTGCAGATGGACGAAGAGACTGGCGACATGCGACTACTGAAGCTGCTGGACTACGAAGAGCTGTCGCATTTGACGGTAAGCAGCCTTGAACAATAAGTAAATGTTTGCCCTCGGGCTTAAAGTTGTGCACGCGACTGTCGCGTCACTGTTGTGCTTATTCAAATTAGATTTATTCAAATTGGGATGACCTCTGAGCGCTATTAACTGTCGCCCCCTTTTAGGGCAGGGTAATCCCCAATCAAGAATCGTAAAACAGTTGTTTTACAAACTTTACAAACTTTGTCGCGCGGGATTTGTTTTTTTGTTTTAATTGTACTTTACTTACTCTTTGGAGAGCGATGAGCCTCGAGGGTCGGGTCGAAAACTTTCTGCGCGGCCTTGTCGGCAGATCCTCCACCAAGCCCAAAGCTACACGAAGCCGCTCGGCCCACGCCCGAACGGCGGGCGTGGTAACCTACCCCGAGCTGCCCTTAACTCACGACAGCCGCCGTTCCGCGAGGAAGAAGGAAGAGAAGCCGGTTGGTACGGTAAGTCGTTACAAGTGGTTTTATGTTTAGGCTTACAGCGAGTCAGATGTTTTGAAACGTGTAAACAGTTCTGGCAGAACCTTTTTACACGTTTTCGTGGAGAAGATTGTGTTTTACAGGCTTTGTGTTTAAATAGTAGCGTATTTTACAATCGAAATAAATGATGTTTCAGGAAGCACTTTTGATCACGGAACCAAATCAGCCGCCTTCAGAAGAAGACACGATGAATTGGATGCGTCGCTTCAGAAGATCGATGCGAGGGAACTCGGTCAGGAAAGCGGCCAAATCAAAAGAGAAAAAGGACAAAGGGAGAGCAACAAGTGAGGAGAACACAGTTTTAAATAACGAGTCAAAGGGAGAAGATGAACCTAAAGAAGTCAAGCCTAAGGCCAAAGAAAGAAAGTCAAAACCTCCTTTACAGCGACAAGAAACCCAGATAATTGATCCTAAACTGACTCTACAGCGAACCAAATCAGTACGGAAAACAGAGATCGTGGACGAAGAGAGTATCACACCCCCAGAACCTCTGGTCACCCACTTCCCTGCCATTCAGAACGCTTCAGAAGTCGATCAGTACGGTGGAATGTCGCCTCAGGCATTGTGGACGTCAGCCAAGAGTCAGAAGAACTACCAAGAAGAGAGTGGCTACAACAGTCCGTTGGAGGTACAGGTGTCTCCGGGGCGTACTGTAGCCAGATCCAAGTCGAATCCTCGCTCTCCCCGATCGCCTTCTTCTCCACCGTCCAGATTCTCGTCGCCACGGTCTTTGAATCGCACGTATTCAGATCCCTTCAGGCGCTCCAGGTTCTTGGCTAAGTCAGAATCTAATTTGCGACGTTTGGTGGCTCCAGATCAGTCGGAAGAAGTTGTACGGTACCTGAGGGTGCAGATTCAAGAGACCAAGTACGTGACAGCCGTCTTCGAGTCTGCTAAAGGGGGATTGGCGCCGATTCTCGGAGATTTGGTTAAGGAGCTGAACCACTGGCTCGGGAACCGGTCGAGGCTACTGGCTGTAGCGTGTGAGGTGCATTGGTCGGTGCCTGAGAAGATACGAAGTAGGGTGGTGGAGATAAAGTAAGTCATCTTATCGTTGTTTTCTATACTCTTGTATGTCATCAGTATAGTTTAAGGCATATTTATATTACTATTGATCAAATTATGATAGTATCATATACTTCTTTAAACTCCTGTACGATACTTGTCGTAGCTGTTATCTTCGTGTTTATTTATAAAGATGTTAATGGCAAATTGTAGCATTGTGTTGTGATCAGGCTTGGACGTATGGCAGGGCAGGGCCCAATTTGCGGCCCTGGGGCCGGGCCCGCTTGGGCCCTGCCCGGTACAGGGCTTTTAATTTCGGGCAGGGCATTTACAGGGTTTTACAGGGCATTTGTAAATTAAGTTTATAAAGCTAATAACAAGTGAAATAAACTGCTTTATATCTATCCGGCCTCACCCCTGACCCTTTTCGCCTTTCCCGGCCTTACCCCTAACCTTTTTAGGGCTACCCAACCTTAATTCTGACCTCTTTAGCTTTATCCAAGTCTACCTTTGACCTGTTTAGCTTTACCAGACCCTACCCTTGACTTTATTATCCTACCCTACTATACCATACCCATTCTACATAAAATTCCATACTGTACTGTACCATGTCCTATGCTACTTACTATATCATACTCATCTTACCAAACAAAACATACCAAACCTTACAATACTTTACATTACCATATCATAACTTATCCTATCTATCATACTAAACCCTACAATACCCTACCATACTATATGCTACCCTATCTACCATACCAATTCCTACAATGCCCTAACATATATAACATGCCATACTCTACCTGATATTATACCATTTATCTTGCTTTATTTACCTACTCTACCCTACCTATGGGTAGTACACAGTAGTGTTGTATAAGATTGGATAAGGTAAGATATAATACACTATGGTATATGTAGTATGTTATGGTATGGTAGGATATGGTATTGTATGGTAGGGTATGGCATGTTATAATATGGTAGGGTATTGTAGGGTTTGGTATGGTAGATAGGATAGGGTATGGCGGGGTGTGGCATATTAGGTACAATATGGTAGCGTAGGATCGGGCAGGGCTACAAAGGTCAAAGGTAGGGTCGGGTATGGTTAAAAGGGTCAGGGGTGAGGTTGGGTAGGGTTAAAATAGGGGCTGAAGTCGGGTAGGGATAAAAAAATTAGGGATGAGGTCGGAAAGAGCTAAAATGTTCAGGAGTGTAAGTAACATTACTTGTTAGACACTCAACAATTTTTTTTTATTACCGGGCACGAAGCAAGCCCTGCCCGGTTAAAATCATGGGCCCTGCCCGGTCGGGCACAGGGGGCGACGCCCTACGTCAAAGCCTGGTTGTGATATAAGCTTAAAATAGTATCCCGACTTCCGTGTAGATTATTTTCACTGAGTAGGTCTAGCTCGTCTGTTTCTTGTTATTCCGAGTACGGATCTGTCATTTGCATACGAGGTATGGAGATGTTGTAAATGTTATTCAGAATCCTGCACGATGCGACATAAACAAGACATTTACAGAGTAAAAGTTTGCAATGTTTATGTCATGTTTTAGTTAACGTCTTCAGTATGATGCTATTCAGCATCAAGCATAGTACACTAGAACATGATGATGTTTACCTTTGTATGTATGCACGATTCTAATAGTAGCATCTTCATTATCTGAAGATTCTGTACAAAATAGTACTTAGTATGATGAAGCCGTACAAAACATGTACGATGCTAGTAGGTATAGTACGGCGAATCTGTTAAGAAAGTTCATTATGTCGTCATTCTCACTTCTTCCGCAATCAGCGGCCTTTAATGAGTACGGCCGGTAAACAAACTTGGTGCACTATTTCAGGATGAAGAATGAATTGCATCGTGCCCTCAGGCAAAACAATGCCCGCGTACTCAGATTGTACGACGAGAACGGCGGCACGATACCCCTGAATCTGATGGATTCGAAGACGGAAGAGAATTGTGCTCGAGATGCTGGATTGGACGCGTTTCAGGGTGAGGGTTACTGTAACGTGACAAAATATGTTTTGGAATTTTTATACTGTATATTACAGGACTTCTTTACCTTCTTCTGTTCACTACACCTTTTGTGACATTGTTTTTACTATGAACATTGCCTAAAGTAACATTTTTAAAGGAATTTACCGTCGCTTTTACCCCGCCCTTCTGAATCTGCAGGACTACACTACGATGGATACCCACAAGTCTTACTGGACGTTGGAGAACCTCGGTAGTCATCGTACGCCGCTTCAGCCAGCTCCAACTAGATTCATGTATAATCCATCGCGCGACATTCTGGCCAGAAAGAGTGTTGTCGCCTTGAATATGGCGGTGCTTCGGATGACCGGCGACACGGTCGACTACGAGAACGACGCCAGGAAATAGTCTTTCACTCACGCTTGTTTACTTTACATTGACGCAGTAAATGTTGTCGTTACATTAAAGTTAATATCGGCTATTAGTTCTAACATACCATAATATAAATGGGACGTGTTCGGTTGAACATGCAATATTAGGTTTTGCAATGAAAATATATGATTTTAGAGCTAACGTGCTTTAATATTACTTTTATATATTTGTAAATTAAAGTACAGTAAGTTAAAGTAATAAAATTTAAAAGGAGCATATTATAGGACACAATATGGCTTATAAATGAAACACTACGGTTTCAATTGAAATTGTTAACGTTTTAACGCTTTAAATACGATAAATAATGGCATCTTTAGGTACGATTGGAGGTAAAGAGTCTGTTGAGTGGAGTACCGGCCGCTTTTCGGCTTTTGAATGTTACAGTAATCAACGTGGACGACAATCAACCAGAGTTTACTTTAACTGAGGTCAGTGTATTAGATATATACCTTAAGTATGTATAAGGTATTATACTTGTTGTGGGATTAAGTAGCCTACAAGGTTTACGCCTACTTTACCATCAATTATACCTTAATAACAGATTATAGGCCAAACTCTGTACCCTACTTAGTCAATCTACACATACATTTACATTGCTAAAACATGTGCATTAATGTTAATATATACATGAGGTTGAGCACATGTTATGTTTACCACCTAGCTATTTAAACACCGTAGCTGCTATTTTGACAACTTACCCCCCCCCCCCTTACTAACTAAACAGTAATGAAGTAATTGCAGACAGAGCGGATTATCTCTAATGAAACTGTCCAGATTAGGGCCTGGGACGATGATCTCTCGCCCTACAACAACATCTACTACTACCTTTTGCCGAAGTGTGGTAGTACGAGATACGTCAAGATCGGGGAGGAGACAGGGCTTCTGGAGCTGGACAAAGACGTACCAGATGGCACCAAACTCTGTGTATATGCAAGGTGAGTTACTGTAGGAGTTGGGGTAGGACTACTGTTACATTTAGTTTATATTACTATAATATATAATTAATTTACTGTAAAGTTTTTTTTGTGTCATATGTAAGAGGGTAGTATTATGAATATGATTGTAGCTCGGTTCAACTGGTCGATGACTTGGACAGTTTGTACTATGACAAGTTCAACAAGGCTATGGTGAAGTTGACTGTACAGAAGTCGGACATTACTTTATCATCGACGTGGGTTCTCTTAGATTCAGATCTGAAGAATCAGCAGATTGATCTGAAGCTACTTGACACTGGCTCTGAGTTACAGTATCATGTTGAGGATATCCAGTTCTACCCGTATGTTACAAGAATACTTTTAAATGTATATATATATATTGTAGTAGGTAAAAGTAATGAAACTTTAATGTAATTTAGTTGACATTAGTTATCATTCTTGTATACACAATTACGAAATTTACAGTATGAAAGGCCACGCAGTGTCAGTAAACGATCTTATTTCCATCGATGAAAAAACTGGGATCTTGTTGTTGGACCCGAGAATCGTCGATGAACCAGAAGGAACGTACCAGGTTACTGTAACCATTAAAGGTCAGACTACCTACAATCAAGACATCTTTGTATACTACATCAGAGACTACAACAAACTCCGGTTTGTCTTTGATAACAACAAAGACAACGTCGGACTGAACCTTGAGGCCTTCAGAAGTCAGCTACAAGTGATTCTGAGCTCACAGCGACGGAAGAATGTCACTATTGTGGATTCTGAAGTCTGTGGAGCTGTGGAGGTGAATCAGAGGAAACGGTAAGGTGTTAGTTACAGCATTACTATATGTATTAAAAGAACATAACAGTTTTTACTTTACTTTCAAAAATAATGTTACAGTACCCATGTGTGCTTCTTCTTGACTGAGCATAACAAAGTGTTGGACTCTGAGAACGGACTGGACTGGCTTAGCACCACTTTGAATGCCAATCCAAGATTGATCGATCTCTATTCCAAGTTCAGAGTAATCGATGTTGATGTAAGTTGGGAGTAGATCTTTATCGCACTTTATTTGGTACCTATATCAATATATTTATATTATGTTTCTAAAAGTGTATGCATATCAGCTATATTAGAGTTCTATCTTCAGAAATGTATTAACTTGAACTCTCTGTTACTACACTCGTCTACCACGGTATTGGATCGGGAACAGTTGGTATGGCTATCGGTGATACTGGCACTTGTCGCAGTACTAGTCGTACTTGTTGCTTATTCTTGTTTGGTCAAGAGAGTCAAAGACAAGAGGGTGGTGTTTGAAGGTACTGTAGTCACCAGGGAATAGTATCGTAGTTTCTGTATTACATTGATTATATTGTACAATATGTAACGATGAATGCACTTTTAAACCATCAAGTGACGTTTATGTCAATGTTTATTAAAATCAATGTTACTTTACTATGTGATCGTATCTTCAAATGTCAACGTATATTTTAGAAACGTAGTCGTACGTGACTTACTGCAATGTCTTATTTCACCTCGATTATTTTTGTTGATATTAGTCTGCTTTTGTAAACAGACTGTTATTTACTGTAGGATATCTTCATCTCTCGTAGCCTAATTCTTTTGGCACATATCATCGTATCGTATGTTGTTAATACGACGGAACGTCATCGGATGAAAATAAACTTGGAGATTCCAATTTCGATGACGCAGCTAATACGTTTGTGTTACCGATGGTAGCAAACGGATTTACGAAAGTGGCACAAACGTTGGCAACAATAAGATACGACGTTATACCGCAGTAGACGGTAATGTTGTTTGTCTGGACCCAATTTCTGGAATGTGAAAACTAAAACGCCTGAGGGTGGGGATCGTATTCGGGCCAACTAATTATAAATATTAAAGTAAGTCATGTAATGTTGGCAAGATAGGCAATAGTGCACTACTCTCTTATTTACAAGTCTACAATCGTCTTCATTACTCTATAAATGGCTGGCGACGTCGATGTTACGTAGCCAGTTTTACAGCATTAAAGGCTATTGACATGGCTAATATAACTGCTAACACCGAGGTTATTATGGATAATATCCTGCCGGTTTGATACCTGAATAATGGCAATTAGCCGTTAAGCGACTTCCGGGGCCCGATCCCCCCCCCCTGCAGAGTTTTGCATATTAGGGATTAGATTAGTGTTAATTGGTATCCTTCTCTCATTTGATTTCCTGGTGCCTTCTGGAGCGTAGGCCCCGCCCCTCGCGATGCCGAGCACTCGTCGTACTCTCACTTTGCATAACATTCGAGCCCTCAGGATGCGTCCGCTCTACGTGCTGACCGTTCTGATTCTGATTCTCAACTCCACAGAATCCTTTCGGTTTCATCGTAAACTTACTCACACATCACCCATCTTGAACAGGGTAGGTTTGTCATTGATTGGCCTTTTTTAAGCTGTTTGATGTCTAATATCATCGTATCTTGGTAGAGCTTTTTGAATTTTACAATACTTTACAATATTTTATTGTTGGTTTGATTGCTTTTTCTGACTTACAATGTGTGTTGCGTATTGTAAGTAGTACGTTTTAGTAAGTAATTTTAAAAAGTATTGTTTTATATCATCTATAACTTAAGCTCATCATATTTTTACATAGTCTACTAACTTGCAGTAATTTTATATAATTGCCTTTAAATCTTTGCTCTTTGATACGATAATGTAGATTACTCTTATCACTTCACATCAAATCTTGACCTTAAAGAAACCTGTATATACGACAGAAACCTAGTAGATGTGATAGGTTTCCTCTCCAAGGTTTCTCTAAACTTCTAGAAAGCAAAGTAATGTGATGAGCAAAGTAATCGTATCTCCAGTTCCGTGAACCTCTAATGTCATTAAGAATGTCCATCTTACCATGAACTTGTTTATCGCTGCTTTTGTACTGGTTTGGCTATTAATACTCACGTATTCATTCAACCACAGTAGGATGACTATTATGTTATGAGTCCTTTACTTTAGTCATTACTGGCCCATTCTTACTATAGTTATAGCACTATTCTTACCACAGTTATTGCTCTATTCTTATGTTATTGTAGAAAAAGCAGGCTATTAATAGTAACTATACTATGTAGGCTATTCTTAGCTACAACAACATAATGGAAAACAGTTTGTGAAGGTTCGTTAACCATACTCTGTCTTCTCGAATTAGACGTTCACCCAACACTACTGCAATCTCTAATTAGGAATGGAGATTAGTGTTAATTACCATTCCATTGTTTGCACCTCCATAATGTCAACAATAACTTGTTTTCAGTTGGATCAAAAACATCGAATGGGCAAGCGAGTACACAACCTGTCGCTGCTCCGGCTAGGCAAGCTGTTCCGGACCAGCCAGCAAGTGAAGCGGGACGACGAAGACCGTTCCATGCCCAAACTTCTGCTCATCCTTAGGAATCGGACCGTGTAGAGACTACCGTGTCCCTTAACTTATTACTGTACATACCTTGTTTGACTAGACTATAAACTAAACTAAAACCAATTTATTTCCAATTTGTACAACACATGATCTAAAGTGGGGCTTAGTGGGCCTTCTTCACGACTCTCTTCTGGAAGTAGCGACGAGCACGTCCCTTGTAGCCTCCGGAGCTTGAGCTTCCTTGAGCTGGGGCATCTTGGTAGTCGGAGCCGCTGTCTCCACCTTGGTAGTCCGATGAGGTACCAGCATCTTGTCCTTGGTTGTAGGATTGTTGTGGGGCTGGAGCTGGAGCTGGGGCTGGGGCCGGGGCCGGAGCTGGAACTGGGGCTGGTGGTGGTGGTGGTGGGGGTGGTGGTGGTGGTGGTGGTGGAGCAGCTGGGGCAGAGTATCCTCCTCCTTGGGCTGGGGCAGAGTATCCTCCTCCTTGGGCTGGGGCAGAGTATCCACCGCCGCCACCTCCGGAAGAGTAGCCACCTCCAGCAGCTGGGGCAGAGTATCCGCCGCCGCCACCTCCTGAAGCGTATCCGCCGCCGCCACCTCCGGACGAGTAACCTCCTCCAGCAGCTGGAGCTGAGTATCCTCCGGCGGCTGGTCCAGCAGAGTATCCTCCAGCAGCTGGTCCGGCGGAGTAACCTCCGGCGGCTGGTCCCGCAGCGTAACCTCCTCCGGCACCTCCGGCTTGGGCGTATCCACCGCCGCCTCCTCCGATTGGTCCAGCAGCGTATCCTCCGGCACCTCCGGCTGGGCCAGTAGCGTAGCCGCCGCCACCTCCTCCGACTGGTCCGGTAGCATATCCTCCTCCGGCTCCTCCGGCTTGAGCGTATCCTCCTCCGATTGGGCCAGCTGGAGCGGTAGCGTATCCGCCGCCACCGCCGCCGCCTCCGCCGCATCCTCCTCCGCAGCCTGAAACATGATCATTAAGGGTCTGTCAGACTGTGGTTTAGCTAAGTTATCAGCCGAGTGGGTCAGTTTTTTTAAGTTACTCGACTGTGTAAGTACGTTTTGATGAGTACTGGTTAGTACTACTCACCTCCGCCGCCGCCGCCTCCGCAGCCACCGCCGCCGCCTCCGCAGCCTAAACAATAAACTTTAGACCAGGTATTACTTTTTAGGCTTAGTACTATCTACTGTTATGCTTAGTATAGTTAACTCTCAGAAGTGCGTTAGTTCACGTACCTCCGGATCCACCGCCGCATCCGCCGCCGCCTCCGCAGCCTACAATTGCAAAAATACAGTACTTGTTATCGTTTAAAGGGCCTATGTAAGTACTGGTTAACTCTTATACTACGCTGCTATGTGTGAGTACTAGTTATGTCTTATACTATGGTTTTCTGTGTGAGTACGGTTTAGGTTTGTACTATTCTTTTTAGTACTAATTAGGTCTTACCGCCTCCTGATCCACCTCCGCAGCCTCCGCCGCATCCTACAATTAAGAGATTTAAAATGGAAAGTTAGCTAGTCTAATGAGGTACTTCAGCTTTTGTTATTTTACAGTATTTTTTACTGTATCTATTAGCTTTAATATTAGTACTCACCTCCGCCGCCGCCGCCTCCGCAGCCTCCGCCGCAGCCTAGAAATTCAATATTCAGATTTGTAATGTTAAGTTAGTCTAGTTAGGCTAAGTCACTACGGTATTATTTTGGTATTAAGTCACTATGCAGTAGACATACTACTTTGTACTATACTGAAGGTATATTACTTGTGTTAGTCTACTTACCTCCGCCGCCGCCGCCTCCGCAGCCACCTCCGCAGCCTAGAAATTTAAAATTTAAACTTTGAAAGTTAAGTTAGTCTAGTTAGGCTAAGTCACTACGGTATTATTTTGATGTTAAGTCACTATACAATACTACTACTGTTAATCTACTCACCTCCGCCGCCGCCGCCTCCGCAGCCTCCTCCGCAGCCTATAATTTCCAAATTTAAATTTGAAAAGTTAAGTTAGTATATTAGCTTTAGGTACTACTGTGTTATTTGAGGTTAGAGTCACTAATCAGTAGACAGACTACTTTGTACTATACTAAAGGTATAATACTATGTGTTAGTCTACTCACCTCCGCCGCCGCCGCCTCCGCAGCCACCTCCGCAGCCTAGAATTTTGAAATTTAAACTTTGAAAGTTAAGTTAGTCTAGTTAGCTTCAAGTCCTACTGTATTATTTTGATATTAGGTCACTATATAGTACATATACTACTTTGTGTTAGTCTACTACTCACCTCCGCCGCCGCCTCCGCAGCCTCCTCCGCAGCCTATAAAATGACATTACTACTGGTCGAAACGTTAGTACTGTTTAGTATCGCCTATATTAGGATGGTTATGCTCAGTATTATATTAAATGAGAATGCTTAGTATGGTAATATTGCCTATGTTAAGAGTTACTATGCTCAGTTTTGGGTTAATGAGTTTAGTACTCACCACCGTCACCTCCGCCGCATCCTCCGCCACAGCCTAGAAATCGAAAAGTTTAGTCCAAAAGTTAGTCTGGTCTTTGTTCAGTTAGTTTTGGGATTAGCGTTCTAGTTTTGCTGTCTATGTTATTCATGGTATACTCAACGCTTTGTTCTTAGGCTAGTGACATTAGCTAGCCTACTGTTAGCTGTTAGTATTATACTTACCGCCGCCGCCGCCTCCTCCGCATCCGCCTCCACAGCTAGGCACTGGTGGGCCACATCCTCCTCCACAGCCTGAAACAATACAGTAAGTGTGTGTCATACCCTTTGGAATATTATAAATGTCATAACTATGTAGCTAAGCCTTTAATGATTGTGATCCTATCAAGCACGTCACTTACTTGGTGGTGGTGGGGGTGGTAGTGGTGGGGGTGGTGGTGGTAGAGCTGGAGCGCCACCACATCCTCCTCCGCATGGAGATGGGGGTGGTGCACAACATGGTGGTGGTGGGGGTGGGCTAAAACCGATTATCAAGTTAAACGCACAAGTTTTTAATATATTTTAGTACAAAATATGTTTTAGATATAATGAAGATTGTAGGCTACTTTTAAAATTTACAAAAACTACAAAAGAATTCTTAAAAGTACTGTAAAACAATAAAAGTATAGTAAGTTGACTTACCAGCAACCGCCGCCGCCTCCAGCACTTGGGAACAGGAAGGCCTGGGTAGGCAATACCAGTAAGAGTGATAGCACTACGCGCATCTGCAACAGAAAGAGTAAGTCAGCGATAAAAGGCTGACATATTCAAGTATAACGGTAACAATGTATTCAAGTATTACGGTAAAAATGATTACAAAACAACTCAGTGAAATAGTACTACAAAATACAGAGTACTAAGCCAATTGAGCTTCCTCATACCATCAGAAGGCACCCCAAGTACGGTAACAAAAGAAGAAGAGGAGTTTTGTAAGCGACAGAAGTGTCGTTTCCTTGAAGGGGAATCTGGATGACTTGATGAAGATTCAGCGGGGCAGTGACTTTTAAATAAGCGGGCCCGGTGGGCTTGGCGTGGGGAGGGCTGAAGAGACGTCGACGCTGGCGGAGGCGAGGAGGCTTGCGCGCGTGAATCTTGTTTTTTTTGGATCTGTAAAAAGAGTTCGGACTGATATCCTGTTGTTCGCCGTTACCATCCGCGATCGCTTCATTCCTCCACCGAATACTCGTTTGTTGTGCAATGTCTGATACAGTCTGCTGATAGCTACAGATAATGACGTCGCCAACACATCCACATTCAGATACAAACACCATAATGGTGATGATGCAATCAATCTCTGTTTGATCATCCTGATCTTTTATGATTTAAAGTGATTTTAATTCCAATTTAAAGTGTACTGAGCTTAATACCAAGAGTCACAGCAGTGGTAAAGATGAAGCTGAGTGATAAAAAGTTTTTGAAATTTCAAAATTCAAATTTAATGTACATTTGAAGTTGATAATGTCCGATCGTATACGACGGTCTTCCCAGACAATAGCCACAGCAAAAGCGAAAGTGGTTACACTAATATACGTGGTAATTGACTTGACTCCAGACAGTCAAGACAATTAAGACGCAACTTTCAACTCTCATACAGTAACAAGCTTGAATGAGCTCACGAGTTACTGTGTTCAACAATACCACTTATTATATCAACAATACCACCTTACACTACCTTTGGACAATGTCATATTGTTATTGATTTGTACCTCTAAATCCGACAAACACTACGTTGTTGTCTGCTAAGTTACTATATCTGAGCGAATTGCTATATCCGGGGGTCAACTTTACAATATCACGCTGTTGTATTGTGTTGTTGTTCACCTTACATTACTCTATGTTCCGCCAGAATTTGTTTACCCAAGATGATTTATGCGTTAAAGCGGCTACCGTACTCCCAATTATGTCACACTTTTTGTGACATAACGCCTTGTTTAAGGGTCAGTGAAACCGGTTTTCCAACTTTTTGACGCAAGAACTTGTAAGTAAAACAACTTCTTTGTCTTAATTGCTTAAGTTGTTTTCGAAACTTTTACTTTTACTGTGACCGTTAAACTGTAGTAATCCGTTACTTTTATGCGAATCGAATTAGGGATCTGTCTCTCACTGTTGTCTTACCACCAACCTGGTTGTTATACCGACTAAAACAATATAATGGGTATTTTCTCTGGCAATTTTGCTGTAAATGGTCAGAAAAAGAATTTATAAAAGATGAACTTATTTTAATGATATTGATATTGTCCAGAAATGTTCACATAAACCTTAAAAAACTTCAGAGAACTTTTATGGCAAAATATTTGTGAAGGGCCTAGAAAACGCGTCATTATGACGATGTTTTTTGGAAAACAAACAAAATTTCGTCGACGAAAACATTGGAGGAAATTCTTTTGAAATTCGAGATTCTGGATTCAAATTAACTCAAAGTATTCGGAATGGACGAGTTGGAGGTAATGTTTGTGTCTTTTCTTTATGATAATATAGTTTTTGTCCTTTTTTCATTTCGTTGTCAAAAACACTCGGTCGGAGTGTAAACAAAGTTTTTTCCAGTGCGAACGACATTCCTCGCCGACATGTTGGTTGATGGGCTATCAGCATTCATAATGTCATAACAATTTGATTGTGTAGATTTATGTAACGTGTTTGCGATTACTTTTTGGGACGATGTTGTTGTAGACCTGTTCTCCCAGATTCTACTGATAACGGAGATGGAGGCGCTGCAAAAGAAACAATCAAAGCGGTGTCGAAAAAAAGCCCTCCGGGCGTTCGAAGCGTTTTTTGTCGAACAACAAAGAGAACACGGTGTTGCGCAAGAATCAAAATAGAAGGCTGTTCCCACCGTCGACGGCATCTCCTGAGAATTCGGGAGTGAAGGGAGGGGGACATTCTCCAAATAAAGCCCCTTGAGAGAAAAGACGCGAGGACAGCGGCCGAAACGAGTCTAAGCAATACAACTACTGAATAATATAAAAATGAAAGAAGTTGGGGCCAACTTATTAGACGGATCCCTTTCTCACTTGGCCCGGTTTTGGGACTTTGGGGTCTGTGTGTTTACGCACACGCCCGACAACAAGCGCCGCCGTGCTTGAACGTGCTCTATCGTGCTCTTTCACAAAATTCGAAGCCAAGACGAAAAAGTACGGCCGCCGGGTTTCGAAGGCGTCTAAGTTTTTGGCATTTAAAGCCGGCTCTAATTTGACGCAAATGAAGCCAAATTAGAATGGCGACTGAGTTGTTTTCTCAAACTTATTGTCAATTGAGGCACATTTAATTACGGCCGAGGCTCGAGTTTGGCCAGGAATTAATCCGCCCGCGCGTAAGTGCATTCTCAGTTTATACGACTTAACATTAGGACATAGGACATGCGATAACCGGGCGGTGGGGTGTTTTGTGTAATAATAGGGTTTCAAGATGTCTAATGTGCAATTATGTGTTAATAATTGGCATTAACATTGGGTCGAATGTCTTTCAAAGTACATTAATGTGCCTTGAAGAGTATATCCATAAAATACATTAATATGCGTGTAGATTACTTCGATATGTCTGTGGAGTATAGCAATATATCAAACACATCTCGTTAACAATGTACAATAACTCACACATTACAATAATTTATTCTTGTTGTAGCTGCATTACGTATTCGTTTCATATTTTTATGCCTGCTAATTCGGGTTAAAGCCGTCTCGTTTTTCTTTCCCCTCAGGCCATTTGCGTTATTATTTGGACCGTTTTCAGTGCTCATTAACGTTAAACAATCAGTTGTCGCTTTGGCCTCGCCATTCCGGGCCTGCGCCGTCGGCTGATGCGGGCCTTGCGCCGCGCCTCCGGCCGACGACGACGTTCCAACGATCCCTTTCATCTGATCGCCAGCGTGTCAGGGCATCTGCCGATGAATGAAGCAGCTCAGCGGTAGGTCTTTAATTAATTAAAATGATTTTGGGATGGACCTATTAACTCTTTTCTTGTATAGGGTACTAATTAGTTGATTCACATAATAACACGTTTATTGCCTTCTTTATTATTATGTCAAGGAAAGTTAACAGGAAGTACGACAAGTAATGGAAAGTTCTCAGCATTTCCATTAAATTATTACCAGAAAGGTCAAAAAGTCGGTAGAATAGGGTTTTTAAGATAAGCTTTTTCTTTTTATACTTACTTTCTGACAAACAAATAGTAAAGTATAGTGGGAGAGATAAGTCTAAAAAATACCATTTATTTTGCGCACATTTTAATGAATTATATTAAGCTTTTACTTTAATTAATAATTTTAAACTATATTATAGTATATATTATTAACTTGCAAATTTAAATTCTGCGCACTTTTTGACCGATGCATTGAAAAATCTCTTCAAAAACTACCTTTCTACGCACTTTTTGACCGGGCCAGCACTGTCGACCTTTGGAAGCCTCGAGTTTAAAAGTTTTGTAATTACATACTCCTACGTGCCGTCTTTGTATGAAGACTTTAATGAACTCTCCATGGCTACACTCATTACCCTGACTTCTGAATGGCGTCTGTGTGTGTTTGTCACCAACTTATTTATTCAAATCCTTCTTTCTTGACGTTCATTTGATCGTCAGGTCCCAAGGTAGCGTGAGAGTTGCCTGAGGGTTTGACTCTCTCTTTCCTTTCTCCTTCCGTTCTCACCGCCTAAATAAGGGTTTTAAGACTCTGAAGAGGCGACCCAACTTTAATTACGGTATACCCTCAGGGCAAAACTTTTCCTTTTATTATTTGGCCAGGAACGGTCGTCTCGAAATAGCCTCTTCTGTTTCCCAAATTATGTCGCAATGTGCTTCAAGCAATATTCCCCGTGTTTACCATTCGATATCAAAACGACGCCTTCTGATATATCTTCAGTACTGTTTATGCCTTAACTTTATGGTATTGGTTTTTATATTGCTTGTATTGTAGTTGTCAGCAGTCTTATATTATAGTAGGTTTTTTCTTTAATCTTATTTTATAGTAGACCTTTTGGGTAGACTTATATTATACTAGTTCTTTCTGCTGAATGATGTTGCTGGAGGTCCTTTCCTGTAGTGTAGCAGGTCCCTACTGTAGCTGTATACCTTATCGTAAGCCGAGTTGTTTGATGCTTTTAAATTAAAATACTCTTTGACACTGTGAAAGCTTCTCGAAAAAGCTGTAGCACAACATTGCCTGAACTCGTTGATTCAATTTGGAGACGTTTAGAGTAATTTTAAAATGGCTTGACTTCTCTTCTTAAATTTAATAAAACGTTAATAAAAGGGAAAGGCGGGGGCACGGAATTTACTCGATATTGAGTTAGATTGTCGGACATTTAAGCGCAATCATCCCCTACTTATGGGACATGAAGAAGCTGGTCTTGTCCAATCCGTTCCCATTAACTCCGATTCAGGGCCGAAGACGGAGTCGGCACCGTGCCTTCAGAAGGTATCGTCATTACAGGATAGCTTCTTATCTGTTTGTTTTAGCTTCAGAAGTCTTTTGCTTAGTAGCTTCATCTTGATGTTGACTTGTCTTATTGCACAATGTGTTTATTTTACCTTGTGAATCTTCTGTAAGGTCAGAATCTGCCTTTAAGGTCACAATAGGGTTGGTCATTTACCGGTAAATTGACTTTTCGATAAAAATTTTACCGGTTTTTACCGGTAAATTTACCGGATTATTATTTGGTATTTAAAAACTTTAAAATGTCATTAAAACGTTTAATAAGCGTTTTAAAACAATAAAATAGTAAGTATTTCACTCTTTTACTTTAAAAAAAACTTATAAGTCCAATAGCTCTGTCCACTTCTTTTTCCCTACTGGTATATGTTATGTTGACGTAGCTAGTCATAGATGATTGGATGACCATTGTCCACTAGACTCTGCTTGGTTCGATGGAATCTTTTGTTTTCCGCATTTTTGCTCATATAATTGCACGACCTGTTCTTGATCATTTGAAGATATCTTTGTTTCGCTAAATAATCACAGACCTATACATAAAGTATCAAAAATCAACAAGAAAGTTTAAAAGTCGAATTTTCCGTCCTTGTGAGTTGTTGGCAGAAGATGTTGGTACAGTCTTGTAAGGTTACTGACGTATTTTGCACCACAATAATTGCAAAAGTAGTCATTATTTGTTCTTTTTTAACGGTCTGTGATATTTTTCAACATATTTCGTCAAAAATTTTCCTAATTTTCCAAAACAAAAACAAATTTTGAAACAAAAATAATTTTCGTGCTAGGACACAAAACACTTTTTTACCGGTAAAAAACCGAAATTTTCGGTAAATTACCGGTAAAATTACCTTTACATTTACCGGTAAATGTCCAACCCTAGGTCACAATAAAGCTTCTTCTTCTGATTTTGTTTTTCTGAATTCACTCCGTCTGAATCCATGAAGTTCAGAACTTTTGTTATCTAACAAAGACGTGGTTACAATTGGTCGCAAATGAGCCGAAGTATCTAGTCTTGAACCAAAATATCTTTTTAGATGGATAAAATGTCACTTTTAACCTTATTCTTCCACAATATAAACCCTCGCGTCCTCCAGTATCGTCGAAATTCACGTCATTGTACTGTAATTTTTTATAAAAATGTTTTTTCCTACTGTAATATTCTTGTGATCAGTTTGTGACATTGTCCTCAACAATTCCTTTCCAGAGCGTTACCACCTGTGCACCTTGGAAACAACGGTCCCGACCCTATAATCGAACCTGTAGCGGCCAAAGGCGTCTGCGTCCGACTGGTTGGAGTCTTCAAATCAGATCCAAGCACATCAAGTCAGTCAGTCCATAATAGTTTTGAAGGTAGGGGTGGAGGCACAGATTAGGGTATCATTCGAAGGCTTTTGCAAACAAAAATTGCCATTATACATTTTATAAAAATTTACACTTTTTTATTAAAATTAGGAAAGGTAGATTAATCTTTTACCGTTTTACCTAAGGTAACATATATTTTTCAAAACATTGTAATAGTAGCTTAAAGATCGAAACACCGTTTAAACGGACGGAAGGAACACTTAAGAGTAGCGGGTATAACAAAGAGAACATACTCGGGTGCTAAGAGGACATAGTGTCATAAGAAGAGGGGGTTATATTGAGGACGGCGAAGAGAATCAATCACGTCTAATCCTCTTTTCGATATTTCAGGCCAGTCCAACGGGCTGCGCGGCTTGGACACGGACCGCGGAATGCATCGACAGTTCACTTCATCTTCAAATGGCGAAGAGGAATTCACCGCCGAAGAGCTACAGGAGTTCGCCCAGGCCTTCGACATGTTCGACAAGGACAAGAACGGCACCATGAACATCAAGGAGCTGGGTGTAGCGATGCGAACTCTGGGCTTGAATCCGACGGAAGAAGAGCTACTGAACATTGTCAACGAGTACGATGTTGACGGCAATGGCAAGATCGACTTTGGTGAGTTCTGCAAGATGATGAAGGCCACCAACAAGGAGACCGACGAGAGTCTGATTCGACTAGCCTTCAAGGTGTTCGACAAAGATGGCAACGGTTTTATCACAGCTCAGGAATTCAAGCACTTCATGACGACGATGGGGGAGAAGTTCAGTGAGGAGGAAGTCGACGAAATCATCAGAGAGGTCGACAAGGACGGCGACGAACAGGTACGGTCTAAAATTCTTTATCACCTTTGTCTTGGTAGTTTTATTAGTAGAAATCGATATTCTACGAACTTTTTGACCGAATAGATGTTAAAATTATATTTTATCGATCCCACAACGGTTTTTCTAATCTAGCTGATCCAGGAAGCTTTTGTAAACTGCACGATAAGGAAAATTATAAATTTGTTTTTGTCTGATAGAAAGTTTACTGCGCCCGAGGGAGTTATCTCCAAAGTAAACACAAATTACTAAAAATATTATTGTCCCATTCGAAATTATATTACTCTTTCTTTAATCTATTTGGTGTTGACAAAAAAAATTTCTTCGACGTAATAACAAAGGTTGTGGGCGCATCTGGAAACCCGGCTCTGCAGGTTGCGGAGATAATTTATACGATCGAATATTCGTATTTTATGACTGCAACAGTAAAAATATTAGAATAAAAAGTTAAATTATTTCAACAATTTTAGATTGATTATGAAGAGTTTGTGAACAGCTTCGCATCCATCGTGCACGACAACAACCAACAAGGCGATGGTGGTATCTTCGCCGAACCACCGCCATCGCTGGTCAAGAAGTAAACGGCCAAAGCAATGATCTCATTGTCACATTCCAGGAACCACTTTCCTATATACAAAGTTATTCTGAGCTCAAGGAAGCGTGAAATACTACTCCTCTTGTAAATATTCGTCTCAATAAAGCCACCTATAATAATATTGTTATAGCATTACTCCCAATGTGCCACATATGTACACAATAGTATCAAAAATAAACTTATATAAACATGCACACATACTAATGCAACATACTTCCATACCGAACATAGCATGCATTTGTGATGGAGATGTTCATGACAATGTCATATCTCCTCCAAATGACATTTCTAATGTCTTCTGGTCTGAATGGCCCTTAATTCTTACTTTCTCATCCAAATTAGACACCTTTTGGAGTTTAAAGTGGGTTTATTACTGTAATTTTCATCGTTTAATCACTGTAATGACATGAATAATATTATTTTAAAATTAATCTCAGTAATATTTCAGTAGTGTCTTCAGTACTAATTGTGTAGTGTCTTAATTTATTACCCTAAAGTAACCTTGTTCAGGGCGTCCAAACATTTGGTTTCCATGTTGGTATCGTACTGTTTTGTATCATTTACATTACTGTGGGCGCTGCCATTATATATTCATTGGAAAGGCCACAAGAGCTGAATGATTTGAGAAAAATGCTGGACACTTTGGAGGAAAAACAACTTCAATTACTCATTGACATTAGCAGCCTACGGTTTTCTTTAAAAGATGGCAAGTACTCACATTAAAATGGCCAGAGAGCTGTCATATATAGTATAATTTGAAGTTTAAACATCGATAAAATATCAAAAATGATTTTATAAAGGATTTATAGTGTTATAAATTAATATTCGAAATCACAGATGAAAAAGAGTTCAAGCGAGTAGTGAAACAAAGGTTAGAGGAGTCAGAAGCCTATATGTTGTTGTTGTTCAATCATCCAGTGGCGGCCAACTACTTTGATTCGTTTTTGTTAAACAAAGGAGAATATATGGGTACGTTTTATACTCGACAAACTTTTTACTCCTGGGAGAAAGTAGTTTATAAATTGCTTCGAAAAACAAAGAAACTTAGGGCGCAGTATGCGAAGACAATTTTATACTTTGAAACCAGAAGAATTTTTAGGTTTAAACGCATATTTATCTAAATTTTCAGTATGTTCGTTCTCTTTTTGGAAAAGTTAATCATGTTAATGTTGTTTATGATTACCTTCTGATTATTTCAGACCTGTGGACGTTTCCGACCTCAATATTACTCTCAGCGACTACTATCATTCCTATCGGGTTTGGGTTTGTCACACCACGAACTGAAACAGGAAAACTGTTCTTGATCCTGTATGCTATCATAGGTATACCACTGGCCCTGGTTACTATATCTGACATCGGACACTTCTTCTGCGACTTTGTTTTTAGATTATTTAAAAAAGTATGTTAATATCGGACTTAAGGTTAAAACATTATTTAAATTAGTAATCCTATAAAGCTATTTATAGCTTTTTTGCAGTAATTTTAACATGTTATCGTATATAAAACTATATATTTGAAGAATGAGCGTCGAGGTACGGTATTTGTTGCTGTCCTTATCATGCTGTACCCCGTCCTTATGAGTCAGATGATATATTACTTTGGAAATATGAATCTGCTGGATTGTTACTACTACTGTATCGTATGTATGTTTACAATAGGATTTGGAGATATACTGTAAGTTTATTTATTTCAATAGTATTAGAATTGCGCAATCTGAAAAGCGAACATACCATTGTTTTATGTTTTAAAATTACTGTAACTTTAGCCCGCCCATCCCCATTCCCTTCCTGATCTTGTTCTTGTCCTTTGGAGTGATGTTGATGACGGTGGGAGTAGAAGTGATAGGATCCAACGCCATCCATCACATTCACTACATGGGACGTCAGATGGGTAAGGCATCTCACGTAGCCACCAAGTTCATCCAGCTAGCGCATGCCAAACTCAATATCAACAAGGGCCTGGAGTTAGGTATCGGCCAATTGAATGCCTTTGCCAAGATGGGGGTTCTGTTCAATGCCGACGACCACGACGACTTCCAGACGCTACGACGACTCCCGTCAGTCGCCTACGAGCCCCGGATACCTCTGGAGTTTGTGGACACAAACTAATTTGTCTAATGCCTTTTATCGGCTTCATGGATTAGGGAAAGCCGGCTTGTATAATATATTTGATGGCGCTTCTTGTTTTCTTGTATAAACCTGTATATTTGCTCTATTATAACATTGTTTTTGGTTTGATTAATTGCAACTCTTTTTGCGTATTACTATTACTGTACGAATGCAATAGAATAGATTTGAACTCAGCACTGTAGCGACAGGATTAGAAGCTAGAAGACATTTCCGGTAAGTCGAGCGATTATCTCTCTCCATTAAGGTTGGTTTACACAATCAGACATCGTACATCGCATTCAGCGTTCTATGGGCGTGTGCACGGTGAGTACGGAGCGATTAACTTTTAGTAGGTATTCGATAAATGATAGTTGAGATCGTTTATTATAGTAAATATAAGTTTTGAGGCATTTGGCTCTTAATTTTTTAAAGTTTACAATAATATAGATGTCAGAGTATAGGTTAGAATATTTGAGATAAAACAGACCTTTTATCAGAGTTAAATATTAGTGTACTTTCAGAGCCATGAATTGGACGTGCGGGTGGTGAACGTGGACCCGCCGATTGTCAATCCGAAGCCGTTCATAAAGCGGGAGTCGGACATGAACCTGGTGCCCGGAGATGCAATGCCAACCCGAATGTTCTACACAGACGAGGTTGGCAGATGCAGTTCGAGCAGCAGTACTATTGTGTTCAAGTCCGAGTACGAGAGGGAGAAGTTCATGCTGGTGGCGGCGACCAACTCAGCTCACGACCTTCCCGGAAAGATGTTTGTGGTGGATGTTGATGTACATAGCAAAGACTACGGGCAGGTAAAGTATCCATTTTTATTTTAAGTTTTAGGTAAACTAGAGTCAGTTCACATAAATTAATGTTATAGATAATATCCCAAATAGCATTGACTAAAAATGGCGATGAATTCTTGTACACAAACTGGACGAGATGTTCTGGCTTTGCCAACCAAGTGAGCAAAACCATCCGCAACTATGTTGTCATACCTTGTTTCAACACTTCCAGACTCTACATTATAGGTATCGATGACATTTTGCAAATGCGGATAGCTAAAGTAATTTTTTCCCTTTTTTGTTACCTAAAATGGTCGTTATGAGGATTGTAGATATAATGAAGTTGATTTCAGACAGTAGAACTAGCAGACCTCGGCTACAAAGATACCTCAATGCCCTTATATATCCAGTCGTGTCCAGGTAGAGGAGCGGCCGTCTTCTTTTCTTGTCTCGGCGACAAACATGGATCAGCCAAAGGTCAGAGAGTTTTTCATTCAAATTTTAGGAAACACATTGTTTTGGTCATAAAGCAAATCAAAATAAATAAACCCACAATAATTTAATTCCAGGAACTTTGCAAAAGCTTGACCGCAGACTGTTCACGATAGCTTCAGAGAACAGCGACGAGCTCCGTCCTGATATGACATCTTTCGGGGGAACTTTTGCATTGCACATCCCTGAAAATTTTATTGTTTCGACAGAATGGGGAATCTTCTCCCATATTCAACATGGAATCAAATGGGATAACGAAGAAAAAAGTAAGGATGACACATTTTATAGAATTTGATTTATGGCACATTTTTTAGATCTTTTTTGGAAAATTTTGCGATTTTTGAGACGAAATGCTTCATGAACATAAAAAAATTCATTTTTAAAAGTATAGTTTTAAATCTTTTAATAAAATATTACTTTAGTTTACGGAAACACATTGAACGTTTGGACCTTGAAAGATCGCCAAATAAAGCAAAGAATCGAACTGCCAGAGCTAGATGGACAGTTTCCAATCTGTGTTCGCTTTATTCACAACCCCGAACTTATCCACGCCTTTGTTATCACTGCCATTGGAGGATCTATCTTTCATTTACATCGAAATTCTGTAAGCTTTGATTTGTTTTTCAAAAGTTTGGTTTTAGTTCATGTAAAAGAAATCCGTTTTTTAAGTTTATTTTTTATTTTTTAGATAACAGATGTCTTTACTGCCAGAAAAGCATATCAATTCCCAATAGCTCATGTATCTGGTTGGATACGGGAGGAAGTACCAGCTATACCTGTTGATCTGGTCATATCGATGGACGATCAATACCTATATGTGTCTTGTTGGTTACAAGGTTTTGTAGCTCAGTTCAACATAACCGATCCATTTAACATTACTCTCACGCATAAGGTAGTGTTCATAAAGCTATTTTGGTTAGGTTGCGCATAGTTGTAGTTTTTATCCTAAAGTTTAACTTCTTTTAAGGTTTTTAGGTAACATTTTAAGTTTAAGAATCTTATTATGTGTCATTTCTATAACTTGTTGTTTCTAGGACAACAGTCTGATATTATTTTAGTTTTCAAAGTACTAAATCAACATTTTTTTTAAAAATTTTTATCATAAAGCCATTACTCATACCTAAAACAAGATAATTAATTGGAGCTTTTGCAGATTTTTATTGGCGGCATAATTCATAACGACGTGAGACTTATACGAATCTCGACCATTGTAAGTTCACCTAGTGTAATATAACCTCGTTTCAAAGAACTTTATGCCGGAGCGACGAAGAGTGCGCCAGAAGCTGGTGGAGGGCGGCCCGGCCAGAATTCAGCTGAGTTTGGACGGACGACGACTTTACGTGGCCAATTCTTTCATTAGGGCGTGGGACGAACAGATCTATCCCCAATTATCGAATGCGGGCGGTGTAATCACATTGGTACATATTAATGTCGGAGGGGCAGGTGCGATGCATTTTGATGACAGTTTTGGGATCGAAATGAAAAGAGAAGATGGCGGCTACTTGCCAAGAGAAATGCGATTCATGAATGGAGATTGCACTTGTGATTGTTTTGAGTAATTAGAGTACACGATTTTGTGAAAGAGTACAACGATAAATGAGTACAATAAAGTAGTACTAGATTACAAGAATGCAAAGAAAATATGAAATATTTGCTATGTAAGGAACAACAAAATACGTTTGAAGTAAAATACAAATAGCAGTAAAGTTAAAAGCCTCATCTTTTAAACTACAAGTCGCTAACGTGACTAAATAAATAAACCTAACAATAACAATGCTTTATATATGCTAATCTCCTGCTCATTGTGAAGTCAATTTACTAATGGTACTAATAAAAGTGGTTCCATGTTGCACTCAAATTAATGAAAACATAACACCCCCACGATCCGAGATAAGGGTTAATCTAGGTGGAAGCATAAGAAGAAGAGGCCGTTGCCCCGACAACCATTCATTTGCCGTGAATGCTGTGGAATCCCTAAAAAGGAGACCTTTTGTCAGTCAGAATCGAGATGAACGGGAATCGAGTTTGATGGTCGAGCGGGCATGGTCGCGACCTAAATGAGCCAGGCGGATCCCGAGCTGGGCGAGGGAGGCCCCACCACCAGCGCCGGCTCTTTCCACCACTTCTACAATGTGGTTCGAGTGGTTATGGTAAGTACAAACGGCTTTCGATATCTTTACAGCAAATGCAGAGGTGTGTTCGAGGTTTATATTTCTTTACAATTTGTACAGTAACTTTCGAGGCATTTTTGTTTTATTATTGTTTGACAGAAACCACCTTTTTACTGCTTTAGATGTATAATATCCTTCCGTTTAATAACCTTAACTTTACTCTTTCAAACTTAAAGTAACATTGTTCGAAAGGTATGATACTTCATTATGTAACCAACTTGTAGTCTTACGTTTTGACTCTTTTTCTTTCAGTTGGCCAAGAATTGGCTCCTCAGCGTGCACGACAAGAACGTTGAAGACTCTGCTTTGCATCGTGCTAACGTTGATGCTGTATTCGCTCTCAACTGCGACAACATGAACTCTGATACGGCGACAACTTCTCAGAACTACGCTCCAACAGAATCCACAATGCTACAAGAAGACGACTTTGTAGCCCCTGACGGTACGACAGCTACAGCAGAAGACACTCCACCCAGTAGTGGTGATTCTTGCAAAGAGAACGGTAATAATGTAGGTAACAATGTAGACAGTAACCACAAGAACGACACACAAGAAGACGATGACAAGGAGGGTAGGCCAGTGGATAACGGGAACGTAGTTGAGGCTACTGATCTGACACAACTGGCTCCACCAACTCCACCGAAGCCACCGTTCCGGAAGAGATTCAAGGAGAAGATCAGCCAGATTTGGACTGTTATCAAGTAATTCTACTTTTATACTGTTACAAAGATGTTATATTTAAGTCAATATTCCTTTTGCAGAAATGCCCCTACCGAGACGGTAGACCCAACACGAAGTCCGTACTATTACTGGACGTTCGTTGTGTACATAGCCTTCTTGTACAACTGTGTGATGTGTGTCATGTTTGTGTTCGATGATATGCAGGGAGAATTCTTTAAATACTGGTTTGCCTTTAACATGCTATTCGATTTGGTATATTGGATCGACATGTTTATCAACTCCAAGCTGAATCACATTGAGGATGGCATCAAAGTGCGGGGATGGAAACGGCTGATGAAGCGATATGTCAAAAGGTAATTTGCTTCTATTCTTTGTTTTGTGATGTTGTAAAAGTATTTGTCATGTATTTAAATACTTCTATAGCTGTTACTTTTACTTGTTAACGAAATATAGATTACTAGTACATGTAATTTATATTACAGTAATGGTATGTCGCCTACATTATTCTATAGCCTTTTTTTAAATATGTTAACATATCTTCTTAACGTTTTTGTAGTATATCTCAACTAAAAATGTAGGCGATAAACATTTTCTTTTAAACTAGTGTAAAGCGTTCTGAATGTAGGTTACGGTAGCCACTTAACGTCTGGCACTACGCCTTGTGATTCTGGTTTTTTGTAGCCGTTTCACAAGTGACTTGTAGTATTGAGTGTGAGTATACCATACTGTATACTTAAAAAGTTCATACTAGTGTAATTTCGTTACTGTAGCTTCTACAGTGCATTTATTTTGTAATCACTCTTAGTGTACTGTAACCGCATCACTAATTGCCGTATATAATTTTTGTCGTAATGTAGTTGTGCCATCGCATATTACAGTACAAGTCCAAATTTATAACTGTTTATTACAGTATCCTTTCGTACAGTTGCTGTAAATTTTTACTCCATTACCGTACCCATTACAGTTTCCGTTTCACCTGTGACCTCCTGAGTACACTGCCAACCGATGTGGTACTGCTTTGGGACCGCAAATACTCGATATGTCGTGCTAATCGCCTGCTCAAGATGTACAGGGTGCTGGACTTTGTCGAACGTACCAACATACGAACCAACTACCCCAACGGGTTTCGTATCTTCCACATAATGGTGACTTGTGCCGTAATTTTCCACTTAAACGCCGCACTCTACTTCAAAATTAGTCTACATACGGGCATCGAATGTAAGTCGAAAACAAGATGGAAGCCCGACAGGCTGGTGTAATATAGCATAATATGCAGATTATCCTTGTTCCAGCGTGTGCATTCCTTGTACTATCCTACTTGGACACTTCGAAATTAATTTTGTTACTTTTAAACATATTTTAAGCAAAAATGTTTGTTGTGTCAATCCTTTCAACAAACTATTAAGCCAAAACTTTTTAAACCCCCAGGGGCAGATCATAATCGCTAATTACACTAATGTTGGCATGAGATAATAACTAGTACATTAGTATAACCCTAATTACCTGGTCTTACTGCAACAATTTAGCTATGAACTTCGGCGCTTGGGAATTCAATTATGTCAAGAACCAAGACGTGCTGATGTCAACTTGCAACATGCTGGAAGAGGACAGTACGTGCGGGGTTGATGAGACCGAGGATGACATATCATACAGACAAGACGAACTGCTCAAGTACACCTCCTACTGGGAGTCCCGCATCGAAGCCATTATATTCTCCAACTTTGCCAAACAGTACTCACTCAGCATATACTGGTCCTCGCTCACTCTCACTACCTCAGGACAACAGCCCTTCCCCACCGCGACGCCCCACAACCTTCTGGAGATCGTGGACACCATCTCCGGCGTGTTAGTGTTCGCCGTGATCGTGGGATCGGTCGGTAATGTTGTCGTTACCATGAACAAAGCTCGAGCTGAGTACCAGAATCTGATGGACGGAATCAAGTTCTACATGAACTATCGACAGGTCGGCAGCGACATTCAGGCGAGAGTGATGGACTGTGTTGAGTATATTCACAAGAACAGCTCGTTTCAAGACGAATCGGTAATGAAATCACGTGTTATCGGAGACATGAAGCATCATAAGATAAGAAAAAACATAAACATAATTAAAAATATCAAAAGTAAATGACATTTACAATGCAATCTTGAATACCATGATATATAAAATTTTAGGAGATTCTGTCAGCTGTGCCAAGACGACTACAGGGAGAACTGGCTGTTCATTTGCATATGGAAAGTCTGAAACGAGTGTCACTTCTGAAGGAATGTGAACCATCTTTGTTGTACGAGTTTGTCATGCATCTTACTATGCAAATGTACGGTCCCAACGACTATCTGTGTCGCGTGGGTGACGTGGCCAAGGACATGTACATAGTAAAGCAAGGTACGATCGAAGTAATCGGCCCGGACGGCCTTCTGAAGAAGACTCTCAGAGAAGGCGACACTTTCGGAGAGTTGTCGCTGCTCAAAATGTCAGGCAAAATGCAAACCAACAGAAGGCACCAGTCGCTGCGATCAGTCGGATACACGGACGTGTACCACCTCAGACAGGAGGACGTGATCAATATCCTTCGTGACTATCCCGAGTCTCGTGAGCGAATGCTGAGGAAAGGTATGCCGACATTAGTCAAGGAACAAATGTCACACATGTTGGGCTCAGAATAGATCGTTAAAGATGGTTAAGAAACTTATTTTTAGAGGGTGAAATCAGTTGGCAATTAGGAAACATATAATGATAAAGACAGACAAAAACATGACTAAAAACAAAAAACGTACGATAAATAATGACATCACTTTCAGCCAAAGAAATGTCGAAAGCGGCGATAGACTCCGACAGTCCCGAAACCCTGTCGCAACAGTTACAAGGAATGAACACGATCGAAGATTCCCTCGGACTGCTTCGCTCCACATTAGAAAGCCTCGATGCAAACATGGCAGACTTCCTTGAACAGTTCAAAGTAAGGTTTAGTCATGTTAGGTTAATATGCATTCAAGTGAAGTTTTAAAGAAAAGTTGTGCAAAAATATCTAAGCACTTTTTGATCAGAGTAGACGACTTATTGTCCATTTGGCCAAATCAATTTAATGTGTATTAATTTTTTCAAAAACTTTTAAAATCTTTCTTTATATGAGTTTGCGGCTCTTTAAACTCTTTCTACTTTTTGACCACAGTAGTATTTGCTCACTTGTCATTTGATATTGCATTGGGTTAATCTTCATTGTGGATCTTCAAATCAGTTTTTTAATCAAAAAAATGAAGATAAGGCTTTGCTCGTTTCTGTTTGTTCTATCTACTTTTCGACCTAGGCTGAACAATAACAGTTTGAGCTTTAAACCCTTATCACTTTCAGACCAATGTATCGGATGACAAGAAACGGGTAACACGACTGGAGAACCTGCTACGGAAGCAGAATCACAATCAATAACGCCTCACTCATTTATCGTTCAACTTTTAAGTCTCTCGGACGGGTATCATGACGTTTGTTTCAAGTAAATTCGTATCTGACAAATGTTCAAACGGACAGAAGTATATTGTTCACGCTGAGAGATTGTTCACGTTGAAGGATTGTCCAGGGATTGTTCACGTTGAGTTACGTGGGCGCGGCAACTGACTCAACCAACAGCTGGCCGAGGTCATGCTGATATTAACCTTTTGTTTGGAGCTTGGGTTTTCCCAAACCTTGTTTTAGTTCTCGATTTCACTCTCACGAACCAGCTAATTTAACCCTCCTCACGCACTCAGGAATAGCATAGGCAACGTTCACCTGTCAATCACATTACTCTACAAAAAGATGTGACAGAGACAAATTACAATTGTTGCAAGTTTCGCAAAGTCAACCAGGAACCAACCATTTTGAAACCTTTTAAAATATGACACTTGATAAAATACATAAAATTTTCTTGTTTTTGTTTGACCTAACAATAGCTGATGTCTACAATGTCAGGTGACTGTAGTAAGTGACAATTACAATTATGTGAATTCACATTTTCCCAAAATAAAGCTTTAAAACTTCATTTTTAAATGTCTATAACTTAAAAGTATTGAACTGCAGAAGAAAACGCACAGCAAAATTAAAAACTAAGACGGTTTACAATCAACGTAAAAAAGAGGTTTGATTAAAAAAATTTAAAAAATATAAAAAAACAAAAAATTTAAGAAATCTTGAAAAATTCAGACTCACAATCAAAAATTTATTGATAATTTAGATATCACGTACAATACCCTTACTTTAACTGCAATACCGTCTTTTTAAAACAGTTTAGCTTATTGTTCAATTGCCTTCGAAAGTCAATCAATCATCTCAAGTGATGTATGGAAGCAATTGTAAGAAAAATGACGCCATAACAATATAATAACAAATCAGTATTTTCAAAATATGACTTTTCTTATCCTTATTTTTACTCCACAACGACTAATGAATGCCATATCGATCCATTTGATGTCAAACGTAACTTCTGCCTTCTCAACATGTGCACTTTCCTCGGCTCAACAATTCATGTTCTTCTTTGCAAAAGGTCAAAAGCAATCAAAAGCAAAATGCAATTGTATTATTCATGATGAAGTATATTCTTCTCAAACGAGTCACCAAAACAATTACATCATGCTGTGAATTGCATGATGTTGTTATAGACGAATCAGCTGATCACGTTCACTCATTTGACCCTGTCATAAGCCCCATCAGGTGGCTCTCCCGGAAACAGCTGGGGTTTTCGAAAACGAGCAAATTTATAATTGTCAGCATTTCGTTTTATCTTGTTGTTGCACTTGGCAGCAAATAGATAGCCGGCCCGTGAGACCAAATGTTTATCAAACCAAAGTCATACCAACAAGTGCAATTCGGAGCAAGGAGTTCGTTCCAATTTCCACTAAAAACACCTCTCAGACTGCAAAATATAAAAACACAAAAGAGCTAAGTAAACAGTAACTGTTCGCACTAATGGATCTGCAGCTGAAGGTAGTGTTACATCTAACAGGGGGAGGCCGCAAAGTTCCCATCGCCAATCTAAGTGAGACATATATAGGATGAAAAAGCACAAAAAGTTGTTAAAAAGAGTTTTTAAAACAGCCCAAAACAGTTGTTTAGTTTGGTAGAGCTCGTGAAAGACCTACTTTCCATAATATAGTGCCTTTTCCAATAAGTCATACAGTTAAGTAAGATAAGAATTTCAAATTTAAAAAGTTGTAGACAGTTTTATATGATCGTAAGATTGCATCAAATTAGTTTTGACCAGTCGGAGGTACCATTTAGAGTTTAAGGTTATATCAAGTTGACCTTCAAACCTACTGACTTAAAAACTTTTGGCTCACTAAATATGGCTAGCCAAAATTTTTTCTTAAATCAAAAGTTTAGTCCTTTATTTTGAAGCAAAAGTAGGTGATATGAAAACAGTGATCATTATGCCAAAGTATCCAATAACGCGCCCAAAACAATTACTTTTTGATCGTACAAGGACAGTCTAATCAACTATACTACTCAAAGCTTAAATCAAAAATTTAACCAGTCTTTTACGGTTTTAACAACTCTTAAGCTATTATGATTGAATTTGAAACTACTATAACATAGCCAAGCTCAAAGTTTACCTAATTTAATATTTCTTGTCCCAAAATGTGTCAAGTTTTTTTGCTTGTTCCTCCACCCACTCAGCCTGGTATTTCTCAAATGCGAAGTAAACCATCTGTCAGGTCATAAGTCCCCTTGGAACGCCCATTTGTAAGGCCTCGTTGTCCTCTAACCCTGATCAGCCCGCCCATTGGATCACGCATATAGTTGAAGCATGCTTAGAAACACCTCAAATTGTCGGGAACAGAGCCAGTCGGCCGATTCCTCGTTTTCATTTACTTTTGATTCGTCATGTCTGAGCAACCAGCCCCTGAAGTCGTTCCTGAAGCCGTTCCAGTCGAAGCCGCGCCCGCTGAAGCTGCCCCAGCCGAAGCTGCTCCAGCCAAAGATGCCCCAGCCGAAGCTGTTCCAGCCGAAGCCGCTCCAGTAGATGCCTCACCTTCAGGGGCCGCTCCAGCCGATGCTGCCCCAGCAGAAGCCGCACCAGCTGAATCTACCCCTTCAGAAACTGCACCAGCCGAATCTGCCCCAGCCGAAGCTGCTCCAGCCGAAGCTGCTCCAGCCGAAGCTGCCCCAGCCGAAGCGGCCCCAGCCGAAGCTGCTCCAGCCGAAGCTGCCCCAGCTGAAGCCGCCCCAGCCGAAGCCGCCCCAGCCGAAGCTGCTCCAGCCGAAGCTGCTCCAGCCGAAGCTGCTCCAGCCGAAGTTGCGCCAGCCGAAGCCGCTCCATCAGAAGGTAAAAATAAAATCGCTTTTTTTCTTATACTTAATTTTTAGAAAATTATTGAATGCTAGTTCATGTTAATCAACTAAAAAGTAATACTTTTTCATCAATTGTTTTTTCATTCCTTTATGTTGACTTTTTAGCTCCAGTAGAAGCCACTTCAGCTGAAGCCGCCCCAGCCGAAGCTGCCCCATCAGAAGCTGCTCCAGTTGAAGCCGCTCCAACCGAAGAAGCCCCAATTGAAGGTAATTAAAGGAATTCGTTAGTATTAGTAACTTTAAAAAAAAGTTATGATCCGTTTTCTTATATATTTTTTTTTAGTTCCAGTAGAAGCCGCTCCAGTAGAATCAGCTCCCGCTGAAGCCGCTCCAGTAGAATCAGCTCCCGCTGAAGCTGCCCCAGCTGAAGCTGCCCCAGCCGAAGCTGCCCCGTCAGAAGCCGCCTCTGCTGAAGCTGCCCCATCAGAAGCCGCGCCCGCTGAGGCCGCACCAGCCGAAGTCGCACCAGCCGAAGGTGCACCTGCTGAAGTTGCCCAAGCCGAAACCGCCCCAGCCGAAGCAGTTCCAGCTGAAGCCGCCCCAGCCCAAGAAGTTCCAGTTGAAGTCGCCCCAGTTGAAGAAGTCCCAGTTGAAGCTGCCACCGCAGAAGTCGCCGCTGTATCATTAGACGGTAAGAATCAGCGTCTCAAACTTAACGCCAATTTAGAATCAAAACCGGAAGAACCTCAGCCAACTGAAGCCCCAGCTGCGGACGCCGCTCCAGCTGAACCAGCCCCAGAATCGGCCCCAGTCGACTCTCAACCCGAAGCAATCACAGCTTAAATTTCCATTTCATCTACATACTTGTTCCTGTATAATATTTTGGGTATTTTCCAAAAATAAACGTTCAAAATAAGTTCCCATGGTAACGTAGAAAAATAAACTTTCAAAATCAAACTGCCACTTTTATTGATGTCTCTAAAGCATACTTTATGTTTGTACAAGCTTAATTTATAGTGATATATAACCAAACCTAATTGATATTGACGTCTAATCACGCCACTAATCATTTGCAAATGGATTACGATTGGGCAACAGCCCAAACCGAAGCTAAAATAGAAAACGAAAACCTAGGAGCCAAGTTCAAGCGTCTGATAGAGAAAGGAACAAAAACAGAACTGCCCGAACAGATAATCAGGGAACAGGAAGAATGGAACACGGTCTTTCCTGACTTGACAGTTACCGGGCAGTCCGTGAAACTGCCAAAAAACAACAATTCAGAGAAAAATCAACTCATAAACATACTGGTCACACGTCTGGTACAACAACACATTGTTCCCGAGGTGAGTTTAATTTAAATTTTTATAAATTTTTAAGCTTGAATGACCTAAAATAAATCACAAAACATTTCAGATGAAGAGGATCGTAGAAAGAAGCAATCAGCAAACACGAATAACCAAACCTCAACCTCCAAAGAGCTTTTCCCTACCCAAGATATAAAAATCTGTTAAAATATAGGTAATAAAGTACACAAACCTTTCAACTATACAAACCAGAATATATATTAACGATTTATACAAATAAAGTGAATACTGATAAAGTGAGATTGATGATAACAAAAAATTAGAATCAGAAGTTGTGATTCTTGGAGAGGAGATTGAACAACTGTGCCTTTATCCATTCTCTAGACCGGGGAATGTAAACGTTCCTTCTGGTGTCCAGTACCATACACGAGAGGTCTGTCAGTCTATTCAGAAACTCGAACAAGTCGTCCACATCGTATGTCACCGTCAACTTTTGCCGCACCTTCTTCAGATGCTCTTCGTAGATCTTGCAAACGGCTTCAAGACACAATTCTGTAGAATTGTAATCCGACCATGTTCTTGTATCTGCTGCAGCCGACGCCTGTATTAATAAAATAGTGTGATTTGTGTCCATGACTATAAGTAAAGAAAATAAATTTGCCGTTTTTTCTCAAATAGGTACCTAAAAATCAAAAAATAATCAACAAGAACTACAGTAAACACATGCATAAACCAACTTAACAAGTACTACGATTAAAAAGCAAACAAAAGTATATTATAAAACCGTTAATAACTTGTATACTCATATTACAAAGCCCCAAGTATCAAATTTTTACAAAAACGAAAATTCTTTTTTATTTACGCATTTAACGTTAGGCCAACTGAATAATGTCGTGGCGGGGTCAAACCAATTTATCTATGTCGCTTCGATTTTTTCGACCAAATGCAGAAAAGCTCCAAAGCTTTTATTTAGTATAAATTTTTATTTCTTTTACTTTGTTATTGTCCAGAGTATACGTTTGGCATAATGGGAAGAAAGAAGAAGAGACAGGCTAAACCTTGGTGCTGGTATGTTTAATTAATTCTTATTTGTAGATCTTTTTTAGGAATAAATTAGCTACAGGTTATTTTATAACCACTTTTTTTGGATGAATTTCTTTTTTGTAGGTATTGCAACAGAGAGTTTGACGATGAAAAGATTCTGATCCAGCATCAGAAGGCAAAGCATTTCAAATGTCATATGTGTAACAAAAAACTCTTTACCGGCCCAGGTTTGGCCATACATTGTATGCAAGTACATAAGGAGACCATTGACAAGATTCCTGGAGCTGTGCCAGGCAGAGATTCAGTGGATGTTGAAGTATATGGAATGGATGGTATTCCTCAAGAGTTTGATGGAGGAGAACCAAAGACCAAGAAGGCTTTGATCCCACCAATGCCAGGAGGTCTTCCAGGAATTCCTCCTCCTCAAGTTACAGGTCCTCCAGGCATGTATCCAATGCCTCCTGGAGGCATGATGCCTGGATTCCCTAACCCCTACTACAACATGATGCCTACACCATCAATGCCTCAGCCAGGCCCTCCAATTCCGATCAGAATGCCTCCGCATATTCCTCATATGCCTCCACAGCTGCCGATGCCACACGCTCCCCTCCCACAACATCACCATCCTCCTGTTTCAAACGTGCCCTTGTTCTCATACAATCAGCCCCCTAAAGCTGCAGAACCCGCGCCTTCAGAAGTGGCATCGTCATCGAATCCTATTCCAAAAGCGAACGTGGCCAAGAACAGGATAATGGTGCCGGACGAAGGGATCTCGTTGGTAAGAAAATATGTTTAGCAGTTTTATGGTTTTTCGAATTCATTGCCACAATGATAACTTAAAGACTATGCTTTAACTCGGCTATTTCAGGAGGAGAACATGGCAAACAGGTTGGAGATGTTGTCGCAATCAAGATTTCGTTGACGCGTACGGTAAGTTGTGTTTCTAGTTTTTGTTTTTGACCCTTAGATATTATGTGAGACTTACAGTGCATTTGAAAGGAACAAAAGCAGGTACGTATGTTATAATAGTTAAGCGGGTAAGCGAATGTTCACAACTGTATATACTTTCACAATTGCTTTTAAATTAATTTTACAACAGCATTGATTGCCACTGAAACGAGTCCAGTAATTCTGATGCGGTGAGTCCTTTGGGATCGCGCGTCTACCAATTACGACACTTTATAAAAAATATTTCAAATTTCAGGTCCGCAAACGCAGCAAAAGACATCTTTACAGTGTAACGGATAAATGTATGTTTTTGTTTTATTTAAATAAATGCCAACAACCAAATAAATTAAATCCCGTAAGTTTTCGTACTATTCGTCCAAGAATGATATGGTTTGACCTGCCTGTTTTTTCATGTACCTTCGATATTGTCTATACCTTCCAGATTTAGCCAGCTCTTCCTTTTCTTCTTCTTCCCTCGCAGCTTTCCATTTATCAAACTCTTCTTTCTTCCATATTTCTTTTTCAAGATAATCATGAATAAGGTGGTCCTCCAGGCCCTAAAATTATATAGTTAAAAGGAAAAATAGTTTTAAATATTGTGAATTGATACATATACATAAAAAAGGCCAAACTTAAAAATAGTAGCATAACACATGGTTATAGCCAAAAATGAGGAATGAATAAAGAGTTAGACTTACATTGAAGTGATCTTCACTAATACCCAAATTTTTCCTGATCAGGTAGAGTTTTGCTTCTTTGTCGTATTCTTCCTTGTTTATCCAGTACTTTTTGATCCATTTCGACCACCAAATCGCACTAATGAATAATGTATAAGGTGAAATTAGGATGTAAAACAGCAATGTGTTCCTCACTGTTGCTCTTTTGTATCCCCCGCTTATGCTGATGTTCTCCTCGATAATCAAACCCAATATCTGATCTGGGTCTACTCCACTAGACTGCTTCTTCTTTATCTTTCCATTTTTATCAAATTCGATCAACTTCCGCTCTTTGGCCATGTCTAACGCCATGTTCCGGAACTTTACTTGCTCTTTTGCGTATGATAAAGCTTCAGAGTATTTTTGTTTTGCACTTATGTACTGCAAAATATAAGTTCATCATAATTAATAATATATGCTAACCAAAATATGTAGCTAGCTATAATAAGATACAGGTGACACTAAAAATAATAAAACCTACCTGAATGGAAGAGATTAACACGACAGTGACACCGATTACATTTCTGACATCGACTTTTGGCGTTTTCATACGGTAGTACTGGTAGTAGTTGTAGTATCGTTCTTCAGGATGGTCGAGGTAGTAATCGTAGTACTTCTTTGTTTCCTCATCTTTCAGCGTTTCGTAAGCCGTAGCAATCTGTCTAAACTTCTCGATTGCCAATTCCTTCTGTTGTGCCTAAAATAACCCTGTTCATCAACCCAAACTATTTTATTAATATAAAAAATACTAAAACTGTAAAAAATTTAAACGTAATAGTAATATAATAGCAACTTACATCTCCCTTTATCCTGTCAGGGTGGTACTTTCGAGCCAAGTTCCTATACGTTTTCGACAAAGACGTCCGATCGAACTGCTCTCTTTCAATTCCAAGCACTAAAACATAAAAATAACCAAATCATTACCACATACCTTCATAGCAAGTCTCGAGACCACAATAGAGTCCTTTGGCTAGTCCAACACCTTCAACTAACACAGGTAGAAACAAAACAACGAATAAAGCAACCCGCATCGTTTCCGTAAAACGATTATGTGGAAGATACGACAAACTGTTTCCTTTTTCTAATGCATACGGAATAAATTGAATATATTAATGTGATCAATAGTGTAAAGCAAGCTAAAAAGGAACTACTTCAATTCAGGATTTGTTCGAATGGAAGCCTACGGCGTGTAACAATGTTACAAACCTCAAAAAATCCGGATTTACACTTTTTTTTAGAAAATTTTAGAATTTTTCGTGGCGGGACCTGTTTGGCATTCCGCATTAGTTTGCCTGACTGTAGGATTCTCTCTCCTTATTTTTAGGTTTTTCTTTTTGCGAGGAAAATTTTATATATATTTTTCGTTTTTAAAGTATTGTAAAGTACAATTATAGCTTATTTTTTGTATTTAGGTTCCCTAAGATGGTCCAGACTATCACCAAGAAGAAGAAGGCCGTACAGGATGGAGTTTTCAAGGCTGAACTGAACAACCTTCTTATGAAGGAATTGGCTGAAGATGGTTACGCTGGTGTCGAAGTACGTCGTGCCCCAACCCGTACTGAAGTCATCATCACTGCTACTCGCACACAGAACGTGTTGGGTGAACGTGGACGCAGAATCCGTGAATTGACCGCTGTCGTTCAAAAGAGATTCGGATTCAACGTTGGACAAGTTGAGGTAAGTCTTTATGTTTTTTGTTTTTGAATTTAGAAGGGCTTTCATAGGTGTTTTACATACGAAAGAGCGTATAATGTTATACGTTTTGTATTTTGGGTTACTAAAAGTTTTATTTTACAGCTTTACGCCGAGAAGGTCGCCAACCGTGGTCTTTGCGCCGTTGCCCAATGTGAATCTTTGAGATTCAAGTTGTGCGGTGGTTTGGCTGTTCGTCGTGCTTGCTATGGTGTTCTTCGTTTTATCATGGAATCACAAGCCAAGGGATGCGAAATTATTGTGTCAGGAAAGCTCCGTGGTCAACGTGCTAAGGCCATGAAATTCGTTGACGGTATCATGATCCACTCTGGAAACCCAGTCAACGAATACGTTCAACAAGCTGTTCGTCACGTTCAACTTCGTCAAGGTATGATAAATTCGAAATTTGTAGTAATTCATGAAGCTTTTGTTGCTATTATTTTAACTTTTAATTGTGTTTTTGACAAGATAGTGTATTTTAATTCATAGTATTGGTTTTTAGGTGTTTTGGGTATCAAGGTAAAGATTATGCTTCCTCACGACCCAGAAGGCAAAATTGGTCCCCGAAACCCTCTTCCTGACCATATTCAAATCTTGGAACCTCGTCCAGAAATCAACCCAGCTCTTCCTCGTTCTGAATGCTTTGATGCTCCTGAAGAGAAACTTCAAGCTCCTCAAGGACAAGCTCCCCAACAGCCAATCCAACCGGCTTATTAATTTTTAATTGTTTTTGTTTTGAAAGTGAATAAATTTTGTTGATTATAAATATTTACTTTGTTTCATTTGTCGTTATCCGATCGGTTCGATCCCTTCTCGATTCATTTGTTTGCTTGTGGTCATTAACTTGTTGTTTATATAGATCATGACGCGAGTGTAAGTGTTTAAAGGGTATAAAAGGTGGATATTTTATCTGTTGTTAAGTAGCGAAAATGAAAAGTTGGGTGTGTGTTTTGGTTTTTATCTCTTCGTAAGTTTTTCGCACTGTCTTCCATTCTGTTTTAGTTTGTCGTTCGCCCGCAAAATGTCCACCGTTACCCGAAAAATCATTAGCACCCCAAATGCGCCTGGTGCTATTGGTCCTTATAGCCAGGCTGTGCAAGTAGATAACACCATTTACATCAGTGGCTCTTTGGGATTGATTCCAGAAAAAGGCGCTTTGGTCGAAGGAGGCGTAAAACCAGAAACTCACCAATCCATCAAAAACATTGAAGCTATTCTGAAGGCCGCTGGAGGTTCTTTGAACAATGGTAAGTAGGCAAGCGTTATCTTAGAAATCTGTTTATTTTATTCTTTTCTATGGTTGTATCTTTATAATATTTTAGTTGTTTCCACGACCGTCCTCCTTGCTGACATCAACGACTTTGCTGAAGTCAACGAGATCTACAAGCAATACTTCACGACGAACTACCCAGCTCGTGCCGCATATCAAGTCGCTGCTTTGCCTAAGGGCGGACGCGTTGAAATCCAATCAGTAGCCGTTTTGGGCGATATCAAGGACGTTTAATTCTAAACATAAATTAAAATTATTTTGTAACATTCCATTTTAGACAATAAATATTTCCATAGATTTTTCTGAATTTTATGATTCACTTCCATCAAACGATTTTCGTTTTAAAACATCCAGCTTTTGATACGAAGTATTGCTTTTTAAAAATGGTCGGAAAACTTTCACCGTATAACTTGGTATAAAAAATATTTTTACATTTTTTGCCATGGTAATTTTCTTCATTTTTGTTGTAGTAAAGGAGTTCTTCGTTCAAACGGATATTGTATATATTAGGTGACGTTTTAGTCGTTTCAATGGGCGGAGACACGTGGCGATAATTTTTTAAAGGAAGCGTTGGACCAAACTAAAGTTTTGTTAATTTTGAGTACGTTATCGTTTGAATATAAGTTTTGTTATTATGGCCATTATAACAATTTGAAGTTTTAGATCATGAAGGCGTTAATATTGGTAGGCGGGTATGGGACCAGGCTGAGGCCTTTGACGCTCACTCAGCCAAAGCCTCTGGTCGCCTTGGCTAACAAACCGATGGTAATGCATCAGATGGAAGCCTTGGCAAAAGCTGGAGTAGATACCGTGGTATTGGCCGTTAGCTATAGGGCTGAAATGCTGGAGAAGGAAATGAAGTCGCAAGCGGAACGATTAAATATAAAAGTAGGTGGTTTGATTTGTTTATTCTTGTTTTAGATCGAATTTTTAGATATTATAGCACGGATCGAAGTTCAATATAACAATTTAGATTGAAATCTCAGTGGAAACAACACCATTGGGGACAGCAGGACCTCTGGCATTAGCCAAGAGCTATCTAGAAGGCGAAGATCCTTTCTTTGTGCTCAACTCCGATGTCATCTGTGAGTTTCCTTTTGAGGAAATGATGAAGTTCCACAAATCTCATGGAAACAAAGCCACCATCGCTGTTACCAAGGTAGACGAACCGAGTAAATACGGTGTGGTTGTATTTGACGAAGCTTCTGGAGGGATTGAGAGGTTTGTGGAGAAGCCTAAAGAATACGTCGGAAACAAAATCAATGCGGGTATGTACATTATTGACCCAAGCGTGCTCGATATGATTCCATGTGAACCAACTTCTATTGAAAAAGATGTAAGAATTAATAAGTTTTGAGAGTTGTTTGTTTTAGCGAGATTTTACGGGTTGATTTTGAGTTTAATTGTTTTAGGTATTTCCAATTTTGGCATCGGATAAGAATTTGTACGCATTCGTGTTAAAGGGATTCTGGATGGACGTTGGACAACCGAAGGATTTTTTAAAAGGTAGGCTTAAAAAACGGATTATTTGTTTTATTATTGTTTGTACTTTATTTATACACGATCGACGTGCATGTCTAACCTTGTTACTTTTAACAAAGGCTAATTTTAGGTACAAAATTGTATCTCAACTATCTCTTCACTTCCGAACCTTCTTCGGTGCCCTTATATAATGGCGAAGGTGTAAATGGAGCAGTTCTTGTGGATCCTTCAGCTAAAATTGGCGCTGGTTGTTGTATTGGCCCTAATGTAGTGATAGGGCCAAATGTGACTATTGAAGACGGTGCACGGATTATCAATTCTACAGTATTAAGCGATACAGTAATCAGAGAACATTCCTTTGTCAGCAACAGCATAATTGGGCGACAATGTTCTATTGGTAAGTAATTTATATTTTTACATAGATTAAAACCTTAGGATCTATATATACTTTCAGTTATAGAAAAGGGTGGTATACTTTTATTGGCTACCGAAATGATTTACAAATTTAAATTTCAGGACGTTGGGTGCGCATTGAAAGTACGAGTGTAATCGGAGATGATGTTGTTGTAAAAGATGAATTATATCTGAATGGAGCACGGGTCTTGCCTCACAAATCTATTGCCGAAAACGTTCCAGAATCCGATATTATAATGTAATATCATGTAACAGAACCGGCAGCTAAACCATGACTTGCCTTAATTTATATATCTTTAACTTATTTTGTGATAAATGTAATTATTTAATACCTGTTACACTCTATCTGAGGGTTCTGCTCCCTTTTACTAATAAACTTTTAATTTCGATTACCATTTTGTTTGTGCCAGCGACAGTTTTAAACATTGTTTTTAAATGATATAGGAATGTCATCAGTGACGGATGACGACACAGACCATTGGCTCGATCTTGACACAAACTACTCCATCCCGTCACAAACCGTCGATGAGATATTGGCTGAGGTAATATAGTGTTCAAGCGATATAAAAGATTATAGTATAGGGAGAAGTCTATTATTTTTGATAATAAGAAGCCAAGAAATTTGAAAATAATAAAAGTTTGATCATGCTTATCAAGAATGCATCAAAGTTATTGTAGAATGACAACGGTCTGGACGACGACTTCTTTCTGGTAGATGATGACGACTCATGCGGTCTTAACAAGCCAATATCACCGATTCATTTGACATATCACTTGGACTGTCCTCTCCTATTAGAAACTGAAGGTAAATACAACGACAATCTAGAGTATTACATTAATTATCACATTCATAATATCAATCCTATCGTTTTCTATTGTACATTTGAATTATACAACCTTTAACCGTTTTTAGATGTAATAGCTCACCAAGTAAACATGGTGAAAGACCGGCCGAATGGTGGTAAAGCAACTTGCATAGCCGTATCTGAGCAGCACGTTGCCGTAGGCACAGTGAAAGGAATGGCGATATTGTTCGACAAAAAAGATGGAAAGTTGCTTTGCTTTACTGGTAACACTGAGAACGCCCCTGTCTCTGCATTAGGCTTCAATACAAACTCTACAAGTCTAGCTATAGGCTACAGTAACGGGCGATTAAAGATTTTGAAAACAACGACCGGTAAGACCAGGGACTTTGACGATTGTGTAGTACAACCAGATCATGGGATCATACAGGTCGAGTATTTGAACAGGTAATGATTTTTTGGTATTTCATTACTGCTAAATAGTACCGAAGTACTTAAAATGTTGTCTGACTTCACTTTGTCATGATATAAACGATACATTTATCTTTTGAGAACTTTCAAACAAATCATTGTTAATAACATGTTTTAGATCAAGTCTTTTGGTTTTGGACAACGGAGGGTCAGTCTTTGAAATCAGGGAGGGCAGAAAAGGACCAGCAAGGTGTATATTCACCGGCTGCAAGGGAGAGGTAAGTATCCGAGAGCATTTTGTATTTATGTCTACAATGCCTACAATAGTAGCTATGAACTACACTATGTTTGCACTAACAATTTCAGGCAGTGCAAGTCCGAGCATTTCCCGAAGAGAACATCCTTCTCTTATCAACTCTAAAACAAGTTCTGATATTCAGCCAGAAGACCGGTCGAATTATCTCCCAACTCCGTCTGCCCGACTTTCCCCAAGCTCCTCCCTTGGTCGATTACAATATTCAAATACACTCAATCTCGAAACGGTCGGTAATACACGATGTACGAGTAGCTACAGCACGACAAAACGAAATCAGGATCTACAGTATGACGTCGGACGGTAGAAACGTGACATTTCCTCTCAGTAAGATAATAAAACCTCAAGTCGAGTCGACCATTTGTGGCATGTTTTGGATGGACCTAAATAGTATTGTAGTAGTTACAGTAGACGAAAAGGTTTCTTTAATCGACGCACAACGGGGTACTGTAACGGCGACTTCGGAAATAGAAGCCGTAGAGCTGGTCTACAACTTGGCCGAATTCAAGGTAACTTCCTTTACCTACAAACATTTTTTTTAACCAAAAAAAATGCGGAGGATTACCCATTTTGCGAAATCTTTTAAAATTTGAAACCTTCCTTTTACTTTTCGACCGCAGTTTTTAATTATAAATTTTAAAAAACGATTTTTTTTTGGTTTTTAATTTTTGAGCAATTACTTCACTTCTTCCAACGACTGCATGACACATTAAAAGTGACACGATGACTCAATTTCTGGGCGAAAAAAAATAATTTACAAAAAATTGTTTTAGGGACTTTATACTGGAGGAAACGTGAGTCCCGCCTTCCAATATCTGGCTCCAAACGTGTGTTATCAATCTGCCAAGAGATATTCGAGTAGTTTGTACCTGCTGGGATCTACTGCCATATACAGATGCGACCTCATGACAGAACGACAGCAACTCGACCGTTTTCTTGCTCGGTATTTATTTTTTGTAATTTTTGAAACACATTGTTTTGTTTTTACTTTAGTTTTGAGTACTTTGACATTAGCTATGAATACTACATGAGTTGTTTTGTAACACGATTTTTGAATATTTATATAGTTTTTAGATACAATTTATAGTGTTACCCAATGGTAGTCAAGAGTAGAATAATCAAAGTAGTCTTTATTTAGGAAAGATGTTGTATCAGCCGTTTTATATGCCATGGACGTGACGAACACGGTTCGAAGGTCAAATTTTGCCAATAACAACATGTTCAAGTTCATCGACGACAAGATACCTGAATTACTGGCAAAGTTGTTGGATAGCACGATGGACGGATTGGAAAGTGGGAGAGTTACTGATCTGATTGAACATTACAGAGTACGTTTACATTACTTTAAACATTAATATATTATAATCGATAAGTTTTATTACCTAAAATTTGAAAACGTTTAAATTTTAACATTTATGTGTATTATAATGTTTATCTTGAAAAGATGAATTTTTAAAACTTTTAAAATTAATATTGTTTTAGAAGTACATCACAGTTCTGATCAAAGTGTGCGTTGAAAAGAAGTACTTTGACATTCTCTACAACACCATCTACCCGAAGATAGAAAAAGACGGTCTCGCCAAGTCTATTTTCTTGGAAATATTGGAAGAACACGCAGTAGAAGGTCGATTAGAACATCCTCCACCTGAACTTATCCATGATCTACTTACATATCTCGTTAATGAAGGACAGTTTGCTCAATTTGAAAGTACAGTAAGCCATATGCCAATTGAGTGTCTGGACCTTCATCAAGTCATCACAACATGTCGGAGTAATTTTCTGTTCGATGGGCTGATTTATGTAATGAACAATGCCATGGTGGACTATGTGGGGCCATTGGAGGTAGGGTTTTTGGACTGTTAATGGTTTGATTAAGCATAGTTACGACAACTAAAAAAGTATTCTTATGTAAGGCTATGAAATATCTTACTTTTATTTCAGGAGATGTGTTGTCATGTTGCCGAGTTTATCCATAAAGCAGTGTTATCAGACTTTGATATAGCTACGGGTAACAAGTTACTGCTCTACTTAAGTGCATGTCTCAGTGGAAACTCATATCCAGTAGGGGATCTACCACCAGAACGGGCGGAGGTGGTACCATTGGAAGTGTACAAGTTCCTGGTATCTCTTAATCATCTTAACATATCTCAGCGTACGGGCCGAGAACGGTATTCCGTTCTACATCTTCTCCTACAGTACGACCCTCTACAGTTTCTGAATGTTATATCTACTTGTGCTGATGCTCCAATCTTTGCTCAATCTGATGGCCGCTTAAGTCGCCTTATCGAGATTTTGGTCGGTGTTACAGAAGAAAACCCAAAATACATGGGGATTCTGATTCCCTTCATCACACATCTTCTGGAGACGGGTACGGTAACTCCAAATTTGCATACTTATGAGAACTTGATCTTGAGGACGATAGAAAGGATATCCGAAACGAATGAACAACATGTGGAGGAGAAGATCGTTAATCTGATCAAAGTGTGCGATCAGATGTCTGAAGACAGGATTCTGATGAAAGCCAAGCAGAAGCCATTGTAAGGTTTATATTATATACTTTTCATTTGTTGCGAGGAGAAAGTGTTCGTCGCGGTTTTTTTATTATGAGCGCGATAGCATTGAGGAGGCGACGTTTGCCCAAACTTGGAAAAGAATTCGCTTTTTTTAAAAGGTACCCGATTTTCAGGATCTCGATTTGTGCCTACATTTACATAAAGCGACACGAGTACGTGAACCTGTTGTTGACTTGCATCGAAGATAAACAAATACCAAACTGCACATTTGATTTTATAAATCATCTTCTGGATGGAGTCGAGGAAAGTGGACAAGCTCAACTCAGACGATTCGTGACTTCGTCGTTGAATGTAAGTTTATGTTGTTGTTTCATTTACAAAAATGGTAGAAACAAAAGGTTTTTTTAATTAGTAGAATGAATTTAGGTAACATTTTTAGGATCTTGTGAAAACTTTTGTTACAAAAATAAATTAGCGAATAGTGACATACTTTGTTTAGGTACTGAACCGTTTGGACTCGGAAAGGGCTGCTCGACTATATCTGGAGCGGTTTCCGGAATGTCTGATATCATCGGAACAACTACCTTTTGACTTCTTGTTTCACTGTTTCAGAATCAAGTAAGTGTACTATTATATTTGAAAGTTACTGTAAGTTTTGTTATAAAATATTACTTTTGTTTTAGGTAACCTTGTAATAATTCTCCAAAATGAATTTAATTGTCATTTTTAATTGAAATCATATCACTGATATGCTATTCTACCTATTTTAGAAGTGCTGAAGGCTCTAAGTCGCTTTGTGGAGACGAGGATGTAGATGAAGGTCTCTTCCGCTCTCTATTCAAAGGCATCATCGAAGAAAGAACCAGAACGGGCTGTAATGCTGATGACATTGATGCAGAACTATCTGATATCTTACTGTATTGGCTGCCGATGGGGTCGAGAGATGACACTTGTCTCAATCTGGCATCGTCGCAGAATCTCATCGATTCTACAGTAATCTTGTTGTTGGCTAGGAAACATTACCTGCGGGCTTTTGAGGCATTGTACGAAAGGTTAGAGCAGTCGGGGCCTAACCATGTCAACTTTGGTATGTTTGTTAGGTTTTTTGTGTTAAATTTTTTTTATTGTAGAAATGGTTGTCTTGTATTAACTTGTTTTTATTTTGTCATTTTGATATTTTAGAGAAGAGGATGATGATGATAATAGAAATATGCAAACAAAGTCGCGACATTGCCATAAGCGGTGGTTGGTGGGTCAAGTTGTTCAACTTTATACTCTCCACGACTCAAGGAGATGGTAAGCTTACTCTGACATTTGAAACAACTGTTTATTCCAAAATATATGTGTAATGACAAACTTTATGTAACCCAGTGAAGAGAGTCAACATTGCAGATATGCGGGATGGCTACTTCACAGACATCTTCACGATCATAGTGGAGACCTGTGGCAGTCAGGTGAGCCAAGTGCTGGATTCTCTGTTCTCTCACCCTCGGCTTCGCTCTGCCACCTTCTCCAACTTTAATATGTTGGTGACGTAAGTGCGGAAGCGTAGAAACACATTTTTTTAGAAAAATACTTTTTTCCTGCCAAATCGACCGACAAATACTCATTCAGACCCGGAATTGTATCCAGGTTGAGGCGTATGACCTATTAAAACGTATGAGTTCGACCAGTCGATCACTGCACTCTACTGTACGCACCAACGCATGTGCGGTATGTGGGAATGACATTCTGCAATCATTTACTATCTTCGAGTAAGTCATTCTTGATTTGCTTCAAGAAAAACATGTTTTGAATAAGTTAGTGACATTCTTTTACATTAAAGTAAGTATTGCCGGGTAAGATGTAAAAAATAACTATTTTTGATATATTTTGGAGTAAGTCACCGACAATAACATTAATTTGTGACGACACGCATAAATTAATGTCAATTTTCGAGAAGGAGTGAGACGAACGTTTTCTGTCATAAGTATTAACATCCCTTTTATCACAAGTACGAGTACTGACTAGCACGCATCTTTGTTATGTTTAGTCATGTATGACCTTTTCAGCTGTGGTCATTTAGCGCATCTGGAGTGTCTGGATGAATGCAAACGCAAGTGTCCATGTGATTCGAAGAACGTTGAAATCAATCACATTGAGACAATGCACAACAGTATCATGGAAGATACAGCCAGTATTTCCATGTTCGGCCAAGAAAACCTTCGGCTTCGACCGTGCCCAGAACCTTCGGACCCTTTCTAACTTTTCAACTTTAAATCTATTTATACTTCTATTAAATTATATTGTTATTTCTTTGCAAAAGTAAATTATATTGTTATGTTAAAACAATATTGTCATCAAAAAAGTCCTCGAGTTTACTTACATTGCAAGTTTTATTAAGCTATATTGTTATGTACATAGTTAAAGGTAATGTAAAGGTTATTAGTATTAAAAGATACTCATACGGGAATGTCGTCGTCGATGTAAGGCCAAGTCGCAGCATCGTCAAAGTCCACAGAGCGACCAGACGTTGGAGTTCGTAGCTGCAGTGAATCTGTCTCTGACAACGTCTTCTTTATAGGTAACACGAACAGCCTGGTTTTAGGAAAGGTACGATTAGAACAGTCGTTGCACCGTTCCGTGTCAACGTGAATCCATTGCTGGAAATGATTTCGCAGAGATCTGAAAACCATGGATTGTGTTTTGAGAAAAGTGCCATTGTTCTTGAAGAGTCCTGGAGAAGGCGTCAGCATTTTTCAAGTCGAAATGACTTCAGTTTAAGGCTTTTAAAATAATAAAACACCGGAACCTGTACATATAAAAACAATAAGACTTCAGATTTCATGCTAGACGTGAACGTGTTTACAGGCTCTAAATGCATTTTAAAAGAGTAATATCGCATCTTTGAAGGCCAATATTTGTATTATGCATAAGTCAATAAGTGTAATTAGTGCGCCATTATAGTGCGTTTTAAGAGAACTAATTATCTATTTCATTTTCTGGCATTTGAGAACCCTTTCTAATAAAAAAGATAAACGAAACTTCAAGCAATGTTATCATTGGTACAAAATGACAAAAGATTCAAGTTGTCATAAAAAAGTGAAGAGACCAAATCAAAGCCTACCTAAATGATGCCAACATCACATTAAATTAAAATACAATTGGGAACGACACTCCGGAACGGGACAGGAAAGCGGCCCAGAATCTGCCGCTCTTGCCCGTTCTAATCCCACGTTTAAAAATGGGCGGAACCAAAAAAGACCATTAGAATGCGCGATTTGTTTATAAATTCATAATAATTAAACCCCGAATAAACTCCGAGCCATTTGCCAAATTGCATTTAATCAGTACGGTAGGTAATAAGTTAAAATTGATGTAAATACACATATTTACCCATATTAGTGAGATTCTTAGTCGTTAAGGTTCTTCCTTAATTTGCTTGGACAAGGCTCCAATCCCGTAGCTCCTAGTGTTGACGTGCCATTTTCGTGCGGTCTAAAGTAAAAATATCAAGATGGGAAAAGAAATGAAGTAATTCTCGGAATATATCAAAACAAACTTTTAATAACCACAGAATTACCTGTGACATCATCATACTTATAATATATGAAAACATATATATATTTACTCAATAAAAAAGCTTTTAAATCCATTTTTCGACTAAAGTGTCATTTTCATACTTACAAATATAAAATACAGCAATATTATATCACTCACCGTTTCCGCTTACTCTCTTCTGTTTCGGTTCCAGAATCCTCTGAATCTGAATCCGACTCTGAAGAGCTTGAGCTCGAAGAATCAGAAGACACGTCATCAGATATTGCCAACCAATCATAACTCTGATCCAACTGAACAATTCTGTCAACCACTTCAGGTCGCTTCTGCTTTAGGTGCCGTAGCCAATGTTTGGCAAACTGAGGTCTTCCTTTCGTGGTCTGTTTCCAAACTTCAGGTAGATTCACGGAGGAACAGAAGTTCTGTGTGATAGCTATAGCAGTTTCAGTGTTTATCACAACATGCCACCATCCACTAGGCACAAACATAACATCGCCAGCCCGTTGTGTAGCATAAACAGTAGGATACAAGTTGTCATGTGCTACTCGAGGAAAAACTGTCTGGAACCATGTGACAGCTTCATCTGGATGTTTGCCAACTTCATCCTTCCTGGGTTTGACGTAAGATTTGGGGGCTGATGGGTGAATGAGACACCACTTCTTCTCTCCTGATATCAAGGCGTTCCAAGCACTTGTACCCAGAGGATCTACATGGATCGCTGTACCAGATCTCTCAGGTCCTATCACAATCCATCGGTACGGTGGTCTTCTTTGATCTGTAGCGTATCCAAACAAATCGTCGGCAAAAAAGTTAGGAACCTCGTAGTCTTTCAGTAAGGCTTCTGACTTCTTTCTGTCTCCAAAACCACTGTCGAATATGTAGAGGGGACTGTCATCAGTGGTGCTTGTCATATAATCCATGTAGTACTTCATCTTTAACTTCACCGAATATCCATCGTCATCTTCACCGCATTTAAACTTCTGATTCCGATACTTTTTGTAGAGCCTCTAAAATATCCACTGAAATTGTACTCGACGTAAAAAAACACAACAACGCAATCTTTGTCATGAACTTACATCCAATGTCCACTTTTTGTTAGCGTCCCAATGATCAATAATACCCGTCAGAATCACTGGTACACTCCTCTTCTCGAATCGTTCTTGAAATTCTTCAATTGTGATCTCCCGCCCATCAACACGCTCGATGTTATCATGAGTAAACTGTTGCAACTTGTTGACTAACCCACTATTAGCGTATTGATGAGGACTCCAACCACAGCTATTCAATTCTGTAAAGTGCAATTACGTAAGTCAATACTGGGCTATACAGAATTCTTCATTGTTATTACAATATCCATAAATTACCTGAACGAGCCCTCTTTTTGACATTTTCAACTCTTTTTTGCGTCCTACGACGGTAAAACTTTGATTTACAACTGTGTGAAGATCTTTCGGTTGAGATCGAAGGAGCAGTCATACCGGGACCACGGCAAACCCTGCAATTTTAACATACAAATGATAATTTTTGAATAATTTCAAAAAAAAATATTTGTTAAAATGACTGTATTGCTGACTTTTCCGATACTTTCCAATTTATAGAGCTAAGAACAACGTAACAGTTGAACATGCTTTCCACTTGAATATTATTATAAATTTTGAAAAACTGCAACATTTTTCACACCCCGGTCGTAGTTCAAACTATAATTTATAACTTATTCAAAATAATAAATGTATTTTAAGGGTAAACACCACTCCTAGTTGAATATTACCTCCATATTTATAACGACAAGTTTATGAAACGGCCAATAAAACAACAAATAACAAAGTATTTATTCGCTCTCTTCGGTACGAAGGCGAGCGTTTCCATTTGTGAGCTTGATGTTCAATTGCTGAGCTCGCTCAACAATTAGCTTTCTGGTCTTGGCACTGACGGCGTGAGCGATCTCTCCGCAGTAGTACTTGTTTTGCATCAGCAGCATGTCCAATTCCTGAAAATTGATAATAATATAAATTTTCATATACTTTTAAAACATTAATAAGAATAATCTCTCAAATATATTAAAAAGGATATTTAAATAGTGCAACACCTAATTTTCAAAGTTTTCGTTAAAACGCTGCGTTAAAAAATGACATTAATGCATCGACTACGTAAATCATTACACTATTCAAAAATCCAGTAATTTACCTAAAGACCAACCAAAAAATCAAAATTTACCTTAGCGTTGTGCACAAGAACCTTCTTGAAGCCGTTGGGGAGAACATCACGGGTGGCCTTGGCGTTACGGAAACCAATTGAGGGCATAACACGTTGTCCCTTGAATCTTCTGCGGACTCTGTTGTCAATACCCTTTGGCTTTCTCCAGCTGGGTCTTACACGGTGGTATCTGTCAGATTCATGTCTGGTGAAACGGTTGGTACGCTTCTTAACGATTTTAACTCTCTTCTCGCCGATGGCAACCATGGCTAAAATTAAAATTTTAAAAATACTTTAAAAGTAAAAACTTAACACGAAATTAAAGTAATAAATCCGAAAAAACCTCAAATTCACAATAATCAAACAAATTATTACGCCAAATCAAAAACCCTGCAACATCTTGACGTCGAACGACAAAATTTCGTCCAAAAAAGCAAAAAAGACAAAACAATTTTTACATCCCATTTCATAGAAAAGTTTCGGCTAACACGTACTTGGTTCACGCACAACAAAAATAAGTCAAGTTTACTCTTTTTGTGTCAAGTGTGGCTTGAAAATTAAAATAAATAAAATTTTATAATTCCGGCAAAAGATGGAAATTCTTTCAAATTATCGCTTTCATGATCAGAATGAAGGTGAAAGAACAAAGTAAGTTTTATGAAGTTGAGGTTTATATTAATTTTTAAGTTTCAGCAAGAAGGAATCTTTAAAAATTGTAAAAAACGATTTTGGTAGCTTCTTGAACACTGTCAAAGCACTACAGAATGATGAACAACGTTTAGATTTCTTAAAGTAAGTACTTACGAGAGTTATAATTGTTTAAAGGAGTTTAGAAAAAAGATCTAAGAAGGATTTGGAAGAGGTTGGGCCAGCTGTTATTGAACTGGCTTCTCAGACTTACGGCAATGAAGTAAAGGAGTTGCTGGAGGAGAATTTGCTGAACTTCTTGAATTTTAAAGATAGTCGGTTGGTGCGCAAGACAGCATTGTTTGTATTGAAGCAAAATTACTACAAAGAAGAAGAATTTGAACCATTTTTTACTTTGTTTGCATCGCTTGAGGAATCTCAGGTTGGTTTTGATAAGTAACATTGAGAGAAATTGTTATTGGATAAGATTAAAACATGTTCAAACTGTTGATGTTTTTATTACTTTAGTACCATGTGATTGAGCCTATTCTTCCAAAGTTTTTGGACTTGGTTCAGTTGATCGAGTCGAATAAATTGAGTTGGGAATACCTCAAAACAGTGTTCAAAAAGTTTATAAACCACACTAATGGATGGATTAGGTGTTTCGGCTTTAAAAGTTTGTTAGATGTTCCAACAAAACACTTTAAACACGATGTTAATGTAAGTTTATATATTGTAGATTATTAATATGTTTAGTTTGTGGTTAACGACTACTACAACAGCCTGAACTCGTACGATCCTTTCTGGAGGTTAGAAGAAACAATTGGAGTAAAAATTTTTCTTGATGGGCTTAATAATATTGTCAGGGATTGTCTATCAAGTAGGTTGAATTTACTGTTAAATGGACGCAACTTTTAATTCGATGATTGTTCATAACACTTTAAAATGTTGGAATATATTTAAATATTTTAGGTGAATTTGTGAATGGCATGTTATTGTTATTTGAAACGCGAATAAGCCCGTCTCCCTTGTTGTTCATGAGTGTGACTCTACCTGACTCTGGGGCTGTATCAACGAGTTTGTTGGATTCTAGCGACATTCCCCAGATACGGTAAGATATAATTCAATTTGTTTTTTATTTTTAGACGAGTGATAAAAGAGATTTCGAACGTTCAGTACCCCAACTTCAAACACGACGTCATCAAGAACTTTATGACGTTTATTTTTGGACTTTATGATTGGGTATGTTGTGACAGTGATCATTATCTTTTCTTTAATTTTTCTGTTCAAAGCATATTTTTAGGATAGTGATGAGAAAGCGATGGTGTCGTTACTCAGTTGTTTTACATCATCTATAAGATCCGTGGTTTCTTCAGGCCTTCATAAGTATATTCACAACGACGATGTATTTAGATTGTTCGATGATGATGTTCACAACAACGGTCTAATTGAATATTTATGCAGCTTGGACGCTGATGATTGTAAAAGGTTGGTCGACTCAACTGATCTTATAGATGTCAAGTTGGGAGTGAAAGCAAGGAAATTAGAAGTTTTGTCAGAAGAGCGGACTTCTAAACTTTTTGTTGCTCGCTTGTTTGAATTGGATAAAAAGATAGCGAATGAGGAAGCATACATTCACAATGTTCTTGGACCTATCGTGTCTGACCTCAATGATTGTCATACAATCGATTCTTTGGTAAAATCTAATTTGAATGATAATGTAAGTTTTGTTAATATTGTTACTTCTTAGGTATTTTTTTATATTTTCAAATTAATACGAGCTATACATGATATCTTTTTTAGAAATCAAATCTTTCGGCCAAAGGACTGCTTCTTTTGTATTCCTATCTGAATCTTGATGATATACCTGAAGTCAAGTTGACTACAGAAGATGAGAATCTAGCGTTCTTCCACTTGGTGTCTAAGAAACCGTCGTCAGAAGTTGATCACGATGATTTGGTTACAAAAAACTGGGAGATATTTTCAACTGATACAGAAAAAGCGATTAAATTCTTGGAGGGATGTTGTAGGATGTTGAATAAGGTAAAAATTTTATGTAAATTTTTAAGTTGCATATGAGGATATTATAATCTCATGTAATTTTAGTTGTCTACTGAAGTTGTGCACTCTTTGTTGGAAAAGTGTTGCGTTTTGGCCAAAGAGACTCAAAAGTCTTCAAACTTCTCTGTTGTTTGCAAATATTGGATCAAAGTTGCTCTGGTGGAGCTGCCACTTGATCAAAAACATGCTATGGTAAGACAACCACCGCATAATTGAAAGCTTTATCCACTTTAATTGTATTCATTTTGTTTCTAGGAGCATCTGGAAGCTATTATGGATATAGGAGCAAAGAATAGTCAAGTGGCTTACATGTTATCTGTCGACTTACTTGGTGTCAGTCTTCCGAACTGTTTGTCCAATGTGTTGATGAGGTTGGCTATATATGGGGACGTGTTCAAGAAGGACGATCAGGTCTTTTTCTTGGCCAATAGTATGGCTACAAGATTGGATGACAAGATTTTTTGGTAAGTGAATACTTAATATTACTGTAAGTTAAGGTACGACAAGCTGCCTTGTATGGTGAGAGAGAATGCCATTTTGTCAGTTTTTAATAAGAAAACTTCTGAATCCTTCTTTGACGCGTTGCTTCTGGAAGTCATTGAGGAGATCAAGATTGTGGACAAGACTAAAGGCAGGTATGTTTCTATCCAGCAGTGTTTTAGTGGATATACTTGATTAATTAATGTTATAATACAAAGGTGACTGTAAAGACTTGCGGTATAAGTTTGGTTTTCAGATCGTTTGGTTTGTCACTTGGCCATCGATTGAAGACGAGACTGATGTTATTGTTGTTGCTATTGGTAAAGAACAGTCTTGAAAGTGGTCATAAACAGCTGATTATTGATTTATGTTGTGACACTTTGTTGGACGGAAGTCAGCAGTTTTCTATAAGGTTACCTACTGAATGGATCTTCACGATCTACTGTTTGAATAGCCAAAAGTTTTTTGATGAGTGGCTACAAAAAGATATTGAGGTAGGTTTTATGTCAAGTAGTATAAGAACATTATATACAGAAAAGTTTCAAAGTTATGTCTTGGTCACTGTATTTTTAGTTTGGAGAGAAACGAATCGGGTCAGTTGTGTCATGGATGTTTGTTGTTTTACGTTGTTTGAAAATCAAGCCTCAAGGGATTTACAATGCTATTCTGAAGGTAATGAGGTGGATTACGGTGACCAACTTCTCTGTCAAGTGTGCTTCTGCTGCCGTTCTCAAACTCTTGTATAAATGGCATCTAGAAGGGATCAAAGAAGACAATCGACTTGATTTTCTGGAGAGTTTAGTTACTTTTAATCCCGAGATCAGTGGAAATACTCAAACTGTGGTCGATAATTTGGTCGATGAACCGTTTTTCAATCAAGTTCAGGCAGGACAAACTGATTTGCATACAGTCTTCTACAAGTTGATGTATCTCTGTGGAATGCCTGCTGATGAGATGATTTTTGAAAAGAAGCCAGAGGGAGGTTTGCCGGAGGATACGGTAGACTTCTTGACAACATGGTCAGAAGGCAAAATCCAGGTTTCTAAAGTATTTTCAGGTAAGAAAGAAACGTTAGATTTCTCGTACGTGTTCGTTTATTTTTTGAAATATTTTCAAATAAAATTATTTTAGCTTTGGTCAAAAGTAAAGTGACAGCACCAGAAATATTGATGAATCCCTCTTTGAGCGACAATGTCATCGATGACTTCCAACTTAAAATTGATCCGAATGAGACTAAATTCGAGAGAAATGGGAAGGAACTTGTTGTTGTAGCTAGTCTTATCAACAAGACTGCTAATCTTGGAGGTATTCTTTTCTAACGCTGTTTGAGTATACTTACTATTCATTAGTGAGAAGTAACGCTTTTCATGTCTTTACGTAACTAATTTACCATTCCAGGTCTCTGTCGCACGTGTGAAGTATTTGGAGCATCAGCTCTAGTACTATCGAATCAACTGATAACATCTGATCAGAACTTTAAAGCCTTGAGTATGTCAGCTGAGAAGTGGCTTCCGATAATAGAAGTGAAGCCACAAGACCTGGAGTCGTTTCTACAAGAGTCTAAGCTGAAAGGTTTTACTGTGATCGCGGCCGAACAGACGGCTGCCTCTGTTCCGCTGCACGAGTTCGAGTTCCCTGATAAGACGATATTGTTGTTGGGGGAGGAGAAGAAGGGCGTGCCTCCACAACTCATAAAAACGGTCGATAGAACGGTCGAGATCGAGCAGTTTGGGGTTACGAGGTCTCTGAACGTTCATGTCTCTGCTTCTTTGTTCATTTACCAGTTCGCTGCTCAAAAGTATTGTTGAGTTTGTTGTTTTTGTTGAAGTTGTTTGTTAAATACTATGTAATAACTAAAGTTCCTATTGTTGTGGTACAGTGACAGTCATTTTATGGGTTTTAACAAGATTTAAATCACGTTCAGTTTGGCTCCGATCTGTTTGAAGGCATTAATGCATCGTTCTACTTGTTCTGTTGAATGAGCGGCCGATATCTAAAACAAAATCACTTTCATATCACAATTACAGTCAGAAATGTAGTAGTAAAATGGATGAATGTTGATAACATACCTGAACTCGGATCCTGGCCTTTCCTTTGGGTACCACAGGGTAGCTGAAGCCGATGACGTAGATACCTTCCTTCAGCATTTCATCGGCAAACTTTGAGGCCAAACTGGCTTCACCCAAGAATACTGGACAGATGGGATGTCTAGGGTCTCCCATTACCTTGAAGCCCAATTCTGACATTTTGGTTCTGAATAGTTTTACATTCTCATCCAATGCCGATTTGAAGACGTTGTTTGGGTCTGACAAAAGGTCAATAACCTAAATGATTTACTTTGTGTATCGCTTTAGAAACTTTTCTACTTTGTAAAGATATAAGTTACCTTGATAGCTCCACCAACCAAAGAGGGAGCCAAAGAGTTGGAGAACAAGTAGGGCCGGCTTCGTTGTCGAAGTAGGTCGATGAATGGTTTTGGTCCTACCGTATATCCTCCCATGGCACCGCCCAAAGCTTTGCCAAGGGTCGAGTTTATTATGTCAGCGCGAGTTCCGAGACCTGAGATGAAGTATAAGTATTCCAAGTTACGGCTATAGTAAAAAGTATTGTACTGTTTAACATACATAGTTTGGCAGTACATTGTTTAACTTACCTAACGCTTCCTCGGTTCCTCTTCCAGTTTGGCCGAGGAAGCCAGTCGCATGACATTCATCGAGGAAGACTAGAGCGTTGTACTTGTCAGCAAGTTTGTAGATATCGGTCAGTGGAGCTATGTCACCATCCATACTGAACACACCGTCGGTTACTACCACTCTGCGACGACAATCTAAAAATACAGTATGACAAAGGCGTTTTTTATATTTACTGATAAAGCTAGTTTTTAATAGGGTACTGTTTGTAATATTACGGTAAGATGGCATTATCCAGAACGTTACAAGAAAATAAAGTATGTGAATCATACCTTTAGCCTCTTGCAGCTTGCTCTCCATGTCCTCCATGTTCATATGTTTGAACAAGAACCTCTTGGCTTTAGATAGACGTACTCCATCGATGATTGAGGCATGGTTAAGTTCGTCTGTTATGATGGCGTCATCTTTAGCTGAAATAACAAGATTTTACAATTCTGTTGAGTTTACCTTACTTTAAGTTATAATAGCAATATAAGTTAAAAATATAGATGAAAATGGCATTAAAAAATAAAATAATCTTACTCGTCAGAACTTCAAAGACTCCAGCATTGGCGTCGAAGCAGGCAGCGTACAGGATACAGTCATCTCGACCATGGAATTGGGCGATCTTTCGCTCAAGCTGCTTGTGGATGTCTTGAGTACCACAAATAAAGCGTACTGAACTCAGACCAGCACCATGACTGTCCAAGGCCGCTTTACTGGCCTAAAATACAAAAGTTTTCGAAGAAGTACAAAAAATGAGAAAAAACAAAAGAATTTACAAAAAAGGTAACAAAAAGTAAAAAAAGGTACAAATATTACAAAACAATAAATAATTGACGAAGGATTGTAGTAACTTGTCGCAACTGTTTAAAGTAACTTTTGGTCAAATGGCATTGCAAAAGAACATTACACTTTTGGAAGCAAGATAGCTAGGTATATTGACAACGTGACATTATGTAATACATGGCAAACAAATGCTCATGATCTTACCTGAATAACGTCTGGATTACTGCTTAACCCGAGGTAGTTATTGGCACAAAAGTTGAGGAGAGCCTTGTCCTGACCCTCCACTTTGATCTCCATCCCTTGCTTCCCAAGTATGACTCTCTCATTCTTGTAGGTACCGGCACTTCTGATGTCGTTCAACTCCTGATTTAGTTCAGATTCCAACGATCTTCGAGCGTTTAGACTGAGACTTCTGAAGGCCGTGAAAGGGCGAGAGCGGAGAAGCATCTTGGGCGACGACCGAAAAGAAATTACAAAAAGTATCGGAATTCGATTAGTTTAAAAAGACGATCAAAGTGATTGGAATAATTTAATCACCCTTATCAACATAGGTACCCGTATATTAAGATTAACTTGATATTCTACTTCTGATACTACGTATTCTGAGACCGGAGGGGTCTGTCATGTGTCATTGCACTGTCCTCGTCTGATGTCATGGTCCCTCAAGCGTCGTGTGTCATGGCAAGGTGTTGATCCTATTTCATGGCAAATTGATCACTATACAATACAATACTGTGACGCTCGTGTGCCATAATGCAACGATCATCGTATGTCACGTTTTGCACGCTGTCTCTCTGTTCGGTACAACTGATATGCATGTTCAACACGTTTTGTCACCTTATGTATGTCCAGTCGTATGACTTTTTTTCATTACTTTGACATCGTACTTCGTGTACATTTTACTACTGTGAGTCTTCTTTTGGTCGTACTTTAGGCAGTGGGAGATGGGTTGAACGTGACAGTTTCACTCGGTAGTGCTATTATAGTACGAGCAGAGTTGTTGGAGGGTCTCCAGATGATGTGTTTCCGAATGTCACGATTCAAGAAGGCGTACAATATACAGTTACCTGTAAATAGCACAGATACTATTGTGATCACTAACATAAGTTAAGGTCAAAACGGCAAGAATTCGAAATGCTATGTATATACACCACCAGCTTTAAGTTGAACTAGGCTTACCTGCTGAGTTGATGTAAGGTAACATGTTGGCGAACAACCTCCCCACCACAAACCAATCGTTCATCAGATCAAGATGCAGCTCGAAGGCGTCAGATACGATGGGTGCCATGTTGTAGAACCAAAATGGAGCCCAACAACTGAAGTGGAACACCGCGATACGACAGATCGACCTGGTAAGCTCACACATGTACTTTGGTCGTTGTGCACTAGCTAAAGTACCACGAATTAATTTATTTACAATATATTATGTATAGTACATGTACAGTTATTTGATAACATATGTAGAGTATTATTATGTTGTCGAAGTTAACATAATAGTACATTTGCAGTTACTATAGTAATTATATATTTATAATTACAAAAGTCAGAAGGGGGGGGTGGAGATTTAACATACGATCCCCCCTCCCCCACACAGTAAAATATTATTCCCATGTTACTGTGAGACAGTCTACATAATGTAATCTGTGGTATACGTGCACAGTACAACAATACAGATTAATATAACAATGTAAAATACTGTAAACTTACTGCGACTTTGCTTCCGTTCCTTGAACTTCCTCCGAACATGTTGCACCAACTGTACGTAACATACTGCCATAACACACAATGGTACTGCAAACCCCACAGCAAACGTATACGTTGTATACATAGGCTCTATTTGGTATGGCATCGACTGTAGACATATCTCATGCACGTCGTTGTACTCGTCTTGGTACTCGATCAAGTTCGTGTACATTATCTGTGGTATGATCGGTACTACCACGCAGAATACCACGCCCATGATCAATGGTACTGTCATGATAACTTTAGGAGAGGTGACGTACCTCCACCTCGTACATACTATAAGATACCTCTCGATACTCATCGCAGTCAGTATCACTACAGAAAAGAACTTGCCACTGTAGTCAATGGCAGCATGGAGTCGACATAGCTATAAGTAAGGTGTTATCATAGTGGTTAGAGTCATGATTACTGTAACATTCGACTACCTTGATACCATTGTAATGCATTACAATGATATTATAAGCCATATGTACTTACTATAAGTTTTTAAATATTATATCTTGGTATATATAAAATTATGAAAAACCCTCAAGAAGTAGGTTTAGCACGCAGTAAACAAACACTTACTATGGAGCCAAATGGCCATTGAACTTGGTATATCTGAGCCATGGAGAAGGGAATAGTCAGTAGAACAACAAAGTCGGCGACAGCCAGAAAGAAGATGAACACTCGGGAACGTTCTCGAGGTGAGCACGGTCGTTGTGATGGCAAGTGACATACTCTGCAAACAGTAATATTATCATAAGTATACTCTGACAAACTTTCATTAAAATAACTGATTATATGTACTTTAAAACTACCTTTGGTCAAAGTTATTATTATCTTTTACACTTCTATTTACTTTACAGTAAAAACTCTTTCTTTTAATTACTGTGCTGTAAAAAGATTTGACAGTACGACTTCCGGTTTTTCATATTTTTGTTTTTAACAATATTATAATTGTCAGATGCAGAAGCTTTTACTGCACCGTGCAATTTGATTAAAAAAATAACGGTAAATAATGAAAATATACGAAGGCACGACTACAGCACCATCTTACACGTCCAAATACGAATTATAAAAATAAAAAATTTACTTTTTTAAACTTAAAAGCATAGTAAAAAGATATGTTATGTTTAGATCTCAACCATGTATCACACTGAAACCTGAACTCACCGACTCCTGACCATAGACACCATGACCCACAAGTTGCCGCCCGTCCCAAAGGCAAAGGCCAAGATGTATATACCTGATACGATCAAGATGGCCCACATTACCCGACGTATCTCTGCAATGTCGTTTATAGTAACGCATGCTGGTAAGTAATGTGTAATTCAATTTCCTCGAAACGAACGATAAGATGATTACCAAAGATTATCTCCAAACACCAAACATGTATACATACACACACGTATATAAATATATATATATATACTATAGTGTTCAAAAGTAGGCATAAATTTACAGCAAAAAACCAAAGTAATTTCATCCACGTACATAATGTACAGTATGTGAAAGTAACCACCAACATATACCACCCTCTAACATATAACTAACTAACATAGTAATGTAACTCAAGTTAATATGCATTAAGCCGACCCCCAACTTGGCTGATATCATTTCCCTTACTATGGTAATTTGGTATACATGGAGGACAGGGATCATACCCTCAGAGCCCCAAACTTAACATTACACTTACAGTTACTCGGAACGCAAAAACAATAACAACAAGGGTAATATGTGGCAATAACAGCTCTCTATCTACATTAACTTAACTAGCATACCACATTGTTAACATATGTGTTATGATGTATATCATTCTTAAGTTTATCAACGTATGTTATCAATCATCGTATCATGAGTTAGGATATAAATCTACATAATATCAAAGATGTCATGCATAAGGTAATAAAATACGGAAGTTGAATATAAATTGCAAACATCTAGAAAACATGTCATTGACAACCCAAAACATATCACAGGATATTAACAAGACGTATCACAAGATCAAAACACAACAATATATCTTGAAAGTTGTGCATGTTTAATGTCATTACAGAACAAAAGGTATCAAAAGACTGTGATTCACAAACAATTACCATGGTATGTTGAATGCCAATTGAATATCACAATATAATATAACGATATTCAAGATGTTTTGTTCTATAACATAGTACAACATAATGTAATTAAACATAAAAGACATATATGACAATGAAACTATGGGATACACTTTTGGAAACATACTACGTTTCTTCACACTTTCATGGTAATTTACATACTACTGCCTACACAGTTAGTTCAAAGAATAATATTATGATATTAAAGAGCTGAAGATTTAAAAACTTTAAAAATTCAAATTCCCGCCTTTTCTCACTTCTTGGCATTCTGTTTCAACTCTTTAAATTTAAAAAAGTTTTTGCAAATTTAGGTATAAAACCAAAAGTGTCAGTTATGAAACACGCAGCTCCCAACACAAATACATCGCCAAATGTGACACTTTAAACATTACCCACTAATGACAACTGTAATATGCAGCTGTCAATATATAACAGTAATATGGAGATGTTCATATAAACAAGCAAAAGTATATGGAGTATTTTGCACACAACAATACCGAGAGAAAGTAGCCAAAAATATCACATGAATGTACGTTTGAATGTGTTATTGAACCAGGTATAAACATCCTTGGCGAGCAGATTACCATGCCCTTTTACTACAATCAACATACCAAGAATACTTGTAGTTACTATCAGATAATTATGGCTGATGATAGACAGTTAAAAAGTGTAGATAACACAAGATATACAATGAATAGCCATACAATATCAAAGATAAACATAATGTAAGCACAAAATATTACCTAAACATATAAAATACAAGAGATACATTGCAAAAACATAAGATATCAACATATAAAGTTCACAGCTTGTATAATCCATACAGAATGATTAAAAGCTACATCAAAATAAACAGGTAAACACCAAAATATACCCAAGATACGACGCTACCCAGAAGAACAGTCAAAAGAAAACTTTACCGCAGTAATACCACGGCAAATCTTATATTACACCACAATAAAGTCATGTAATATCACGGTAGGGTTTTTAATACCACAGTAAATTCGGAAAAACACCAGAGTGAAGGCGGTGATTACTACAGTAAATAAAGTCTGCACAACAAAGTGAGTTAATTGCCGGAGGGTGGGAAACAGTTTTGGGAGATTAATAACGTGGAAAGACGAGCCCAACATGTCCCGGCCCTCTAGCGTCTGAATTATTCATGGCCTCAGGTAAGATTCCGGAGAGAAACCCAAGCCCCAACTACGGTAAATAAACATCACCTCCTACCTCGTATTTCTCGAAGTGGCAGTTAAAATTTGTAAAATCGTCTATTTTTAAACTTTCCAATAAACTTTTTTAAATTAAAATATATTTTTATAACTTTTTAAAGCCCGAAAATATATAAATTGCCATTAGGTATAATGATTATGATTATATGACTTTTTCTCAAAGGTTCAGACAGACGCAGACTGCAGGTGACAAGTTATACGAAAAAAACTAAACTAAGTTTTAGATATAAATTGTATTTTGCAAAAACTTTCTTTACAAGCTAGAAAAGTAAAATTTAAAAATATTTTTTAATATTAATGAAACGTTACTTTTAATCAAAAAATAATTTTACTATCTCATAGCCTAATATAAATTACTTCGACACTCAAAGCCGGACAGTAAAATACCTAAAAACATAGTAAATTCAGCGGAAGAAGAAAAATCGCGTCATTTCAAAGTAAAAAGTTAATAACTAATTAACACCAAGTCACGATACCAATGTAAAACAATAAAATAACTACAATATCACTGTTTCAGAGTATTAAAACAATTCACAAAGTATTCTTACAGAGTATAATACAAGTTTACATAGTAAAATACATTTACAGCCTTCATGTCCAAAAATCCTACCTCACCTACCAGAGTAAAATAGCTTTACAGAGTATAAAACATAATTGCCAAACATTAGGTAAAACACTCCAAATATTTTCGAAACCGGTCAAAACTGTAGGATACTTTACATTTTGGTTTGTTACAGATGTAGAGACTGTGTCAAAAGCTTAGTACTAATCTTTTTAAATGTCGTATATCTTTTGGCACAAACTAGTATATTAGTTTCTGTTTTCAAACTTTAAAAATCTAAAAAAAACTGTTGAACACCTTGCTTTTAATACTCTTTTGGCCAAGAAATTATTAGAAGAAAACGACCAGTTGAGTAAAACCAAAATTGTTGGTGCTTTCCAAAATAGTGCCACATTTACTATTTACAACTCCATTTACACGAAAAGTACAGTACCTAATTAACCCATAAATACGTGGACTTATGTTGTTGTAGCGACAACAAAAGGACAACAAAAGGTCTTCTTCCTCCCCCATGAGCCGTCTGCTAATGCCCTCAGGCGTAATGGCCCAGCCAATTATTTTTAATAACCTGAAACAATCTCGCACTTCCTGTGTCTACTTTATTACATTAAGCGCACAGTAAATGTCGGCGGATCCACGAAGCAGTTGGTTCCGGCTTCTCGGCCTTCTGGCTGGCTTCAGATAAGTCGCGACGAGTTTCCTGCAAAAGAACTGGTTACGACACAAACAACCTAAGATAATATAAATAAAGACAATATCTTGCAACGTTTCTTCAGAACCTTTTTAAATTAGATTCTGAAGTCATGTTGCAAGACATAGTGCAAAACAATACCAAAGTAAAACAAAACTAATGTCACAGTAAGTTCTGTAAAAATAACTACATAATACCATACCAATATCAAAGTAAGGCCCTAATGTATCTTGCAAGATGACTGATATCTAAAATTATCATAAACGATTCCCAGCCTTTTCCTTTTTCTCTACCGCTCTCTCTTTCTCTGCTCTCTCTCGCCTCTGGCGTTTTAACCCCAATCAAAACAATATAAGTATTCGAAATGGCCATTCCGACGTTCAATATGCTAACCTTTAAATAGGCCATAAAGATGTCATTTTATTGCATGTAAAGGTTGTTATGATCTCATATATCTTGTGCTGTCAGGGTTTGAACAGGTTATGCTTTGAAGCGAGCATATTGAGTATAAGGTAATACATATACTTAATAGTTTGTTACTCAATAGTAAATACAATGTAACGTATTGTGTATATTGTAACGTACTAAAATAATTTGTAGTATTAGTTTGGGATACTATAGATAACTTTTAAGTTGGATTACGTCTTACTTATAACAATGTCATTAGGAAAATGCAGAATCTACCGCATTCTGCCCAAGCCCTAATCTACAGTAAATGAGGTATTATGACATAACAAGCAGATCTACAATAATGTTAATACCTATTCTCCAAACTGTCGCTTACGCATTGCCTAACATTTACATTACCATATGAGTATTACTTTAAATGCCATAGTGACATTACTTTGCATACCGTAACAACATTACCTTCTACAGTCCCCTACTATACCCTATGAACCCTACAGTAAATTTTCGTATGTAAATGTCCAAATTAAACATGCAGTAGTATGTTGTACTATGTTGAACATGATTAATTAGCCTTAGTCTTTTTATAGTATGTAATTAGTGGGCACAAACATACGACGACAATACATGGCTACAAAGTAGTGTAATATCTGCAAACACATCAAATTACGTAGACAGATATTCTGTTCACTCATCCTACAATATCTCTCTACACTACATTATCTTCAAAGCTGTTTTACATACAAAGCTCTAGCTCGTTCTTTCGTTTGGCATTAGTAACATACATTATACTATGTCAAACATACCATACATCCACTCACAAAACATATTTAAGTCAAACTACAGTACGACACAGAGTGCCCAATACTATACCAAAACAAACAGCAAAGACATAAACATACCTGAAGAAAGTATGCAGAGTACATTCGTATGTTCGAGTACAACAACAGTTCATGGCCATTCCCAGTAAGCGATGGTAGAGAACGTTGCTCCATTATCTCTTTTCTAAAACATAACATTACAGATGTCAGACAATATACTGCACAACACTATATTACACATCACACCCCAATACAAACATCAAAAAGACAGAAGTGACAGTGCTACAAGCAATGTCTACAATATTATTGTTGTTGATGACTTACCCCGCCCGCTCCACGGAGTCCCTGTGGACCTGGAGATTAGCCTCGAGTTGAAGCAGCTGAGAAGAAGTGAGCCGTCTGAAGTCAAAAACAGTAAACACCTTTAGGTAATTAGCACGTCAGCCTTACGCGGTCCGAAAGTTCGTAGAGAAATAAGGAAATAAAGCGAGGGCTTTTAAGCTGAGAGTTCTACAAACTTTCGGACCAATAAATGATGTTTCTACACACTTTTAGACCAATAAAAAATCAATTTTATAAAGACAGTGTGACATACAGTAAGTACTCTTTTAGTTCAAAAATGCTCAATTCTACAAAATTTTTGACCAAGCTGAGCCAAACGTCAAATGTAAAGAAAGTTTTTGCAAACTTGAGGAAACGGCGACAAAGATAATTTAATTAATTTCTTTGGATTCTCGAGAGTTCCACTTGTGTGGCCCCAAAAGTGCCATTTCTTATTCTGTAATTACTCTTACAACTCCAAATCGTAGCCTTCTCTGCCATTTCTAATTATACTATCTTGTTTTAAGTTCAAATATTTGGTTTTTGGTCCAAAAGTTCATAGAAACACAAGATTTTCAAAAAATATTTAATTTTAACACCAGATACGGTCGTCTTTGGACAAGATACTGTGTGTAATATTACTTTACAATTTATAAACTTACAGTACGTTGAGGTTGTACTCGATAGTACAAAAGTGTACCAGCCTCATGGCTGTCTGGAGTTGATTGTACAATCCACAGATCGTCGGCAACTCCTGGAACTTTTGATGTTTCAAACTGCCTCTAACATGGTGCCATTCGACTCGTTGTTGGGACCATCTCATCGTCTTCACACATTCATTGCACAGCTTTACTGGTCCACTCGAGTACTGTAACAGAACATTTAAAATTTAAAAGTTACAAAGTTTTAAGAGCAAAGACATAAATATTATAAATCTAGAGTAAATGGGACAAAAAGTTGTTACCTGTCCATTTCCCATATCTCTGACAGGATTTCTTGACACTTCGTTCCAACTAATAGACATTCCGTCGCCTTTTTTGTCTGACCCTGAATATTTATCAAAAATAGACATTTTCATACATTGGAAAATGTTTTTAATAAATATAATTTCGGTCAAAAAGTTAATAGAAGGGTCAAAAAGTTCATAGAAAGGTCAAAAACTGGCCATTCTTTCAGTTCCCCTTGTTATTGATGTGTTTATTTTCAAGAATCATTCTCTTCGTTTCTACACACTTTTTGACCAAAAAACAATTGATTTAGACTGGAAGTAAAAGTTATACATGAGAAACGGGCCGGGCCGGGCCCAATGGTAGGCCCGGCTCGGGTCTAATTTTTTTTACGTGGAAATGGGCCGGGCCCTGCTCATTTTTCAGGCCCGGCCCGATCGAAATTTTGCTTAGGGCCGGCCCATTTCTCATGTCTAGTAAAAGTGCCAAAACACTTACATAAGTAAAAGTACACCGTCGTTCGTTCCTCCAGTGTGAAGAGGTCACAAACTGAACACTTTGGAGCTATTGGAGGTTGTTTCGGTCGGAGTAAGCGGTTGATTTCTAAATTTACAACTGACTCATGAAGGAATTTATAAAAAATTTAGTTTCTTGACATTAACAAAACGCTTAATAAACCATCAAGGATCCACAAACAACGCTAAACCCTGATTTTAGATATCAAAAAACCTTATTTTAGGTATCGTTGGACATTTCAATGGCTTGTTTGCTTTGAAGTTAACTACTCGACCATATAAAACAAAAATAAAGTTACCGTACTTACTCTTACTGTCCTTTACCATCTGCATGACGAAACTCTCAAGACCAGTCGTGAACGTGAGAGCGGCGTCGTATCTCTTGGCACAACATTTGTCGCGCTTCTTTTTAAAGTAACTCTCGTAGTCAAAGGTTACTCCCAGACTTTGTTGGAAGTCTTCTGAATCCAGATTCTTCTCTTTGGACACTGGAGCACGTTCAGGTGATACTAAGGCGGTCGAAGGCAGCTTCTTCAGAGCCAAAGGTAAAGAAAGTTTTGGCAGAGGATTACTTCCGCCCATTTCGAGTACTGTAACAGTTGCAAATAAATATTTTGGAATAAAATTAAAAATAAAATTTATTTTCAATTTTATTTTCAATTTCAAATGACAAAAGTTGCATTTTACTTCCAAATTGTTCAATTATATTCACGATGCTAATTGTAACAATTGCAATGTTCGGAATGCCATTCTTTCTTCAATAAATCGTTGCACTTGTGTTATAATGGATCGGCATTGTTTTCTCCACGATTCACGTTTGCAGAACGTTCCGGAAATCACATCTGTTGGGTTTAAGCACGTGTTGTTGTGCCAAGTTCAACGAATAGCCTCAGGGCATTTTCGAAGCGGATCCGGAGTTGTGACGTCGACCGCTGATATGACAACCAAAACTGTTTTTACACGTGAGTACGGGAGTAAAGATTGATGATAACTCGGCGTTGGGAACACACTTTAATGATCGTTCCGAGAACGTGCCTCGGGGCGGGATCTCGCAACAATTGTTTAAAAGCTGCACGACCCAGCACATGGTCTTAGATCCGACTTTTTATTTTCCAAGATGGTGAACGTGGACGGCCTCAAAAAGCATGCGTCGCAGTACAAAATGGGCAAAGATACGGTGACCGAGTATCACAAACAGTAAGTTTTTACTGCGCTATGTTGACAATTTTATGCACAGTACTACAAGAACATAACACCAAGTTTTTGCATCCTACTCTTATCACCCCCCATCCCGGGAGTAGCCATCACTTTTTTATAAAAACGGCCTTTTGATCTCATTAAGCATATACCAGAAATACCTTTGTTGCACGGTACAATACAGTACGTCACTAAAATGAATCTCAAACGCTTTTTAATCAGCGCTAAATTAGCATACTTATCAGAAATCTATCCGGCCTTATCAACTACCTAATCTCCATAACATCTTTAAGGTTGTTCAAGAAGCACCCCGAGATGGCAGATCACTATGGTGCTGATGGAATCGACCCTGACCGTCTAGGTGCTTCCCAAAAGTTTGTTATGTTTGGATCGGCGGAGTTACAGTACTTTTTCCAACTGCCTGGAGCGTTCGGAGAAGATAGAAAGTGGAGATCAGCCCTCTCCAACTTCAAAGAACAGTACAGTGACGTTGGCGTGCCTCTTAGCGAGTTCTACGTAAGTAATACTATAAAAGCAAAGATAATATAAATTTGTAATTTTATTGCCTTATTATAGTCCGAAAGGCCACCAAAAACGATGTATAGTTAAATTAGGTAACAATTTACAGTTTTCTTTCTGTTTTTCGACTAATTTGGTCTATATTAAGGTATAGTTGCAAGTATATCGCTGCAAACACAAGCTAAATGTATGATAACTTTCAAAAGTTGATTTCTCTTTCAGAAGGTAACAGATGCTTTCCTCGCGGCCATGGAGAAGAATGCGGGCGGGGTGTCGGCCGAACAGAAAAAGGATTGGGAGGAGCTGCTGACGAAAGCCTACAATGATATGAAATCGTGGAAATGGTTCTGAATCTAAGCCTAAAACACTTATGGTTGTAAATATTATTGGACATAAATGAAAGAATACTCAATCGGTTGTTTATATATTAATGTAGACGTCAAGTAAAGGAAATAAGAAAAACAAAGAATAGTTTGAACAAAATATAAATTCTAAAGACTTTTTGACCTGCACAGTGTTTGATTTGAAAAGGAAACCCCCAAAAAACAAATATTATCGGACAAAAAGAGATCAAACAATTATTTTGGCAAAACTTGAGAATTCTTGGCATTTTGTTGCAGTATAATATTCTGCAAAAATATGTTTTTTCCTGTTAATAAAAGTCCATTTCCAGTGTTTTACTAATTGAAGATATTAGAAATTGTTTTTTACAGTAAAGAATATGGTTTGTAGACCTCTTCTACTACTTTTAGTCCAACTTGAATCTCTTCTTTTTGAATCCCATCGTAAATTAACCTTGCTCACCTATGACCTGAATCCATGTAACCTTGCTTAACCGAGGTAGTCAGAGTAAGTGAGGTAATTGCCCTTTTGTTCAAGAACAATAACAATTTATTTACTGTGATCGGGTATACAAACATCAACAATATAATTATGTTAAATTAGTTTTCCTCAGCTGGTCCTGGTCCCAATGGTCGGAAAGCGTAGCACGTCACCTCGCCTACCGTAGCCTGACAGTAAGTGTCAGTGTAGATGACATAGCTGAAGTCTTCCTTTCCACAGATCACGTTGATCTTGGCGAACAGCTTCTCTTCGGCCGCCGACTGAATGGCACGTTTCGAGATCGTGGGGTCTTTGTCAATGTTCTGAAATTAAAATTACTGTACTTTCGGATTTTGTAGGTTGAGTTCCATTAATTTTCAGGTAAAGTTAGTAAAAAATACTGCTGTTTTACTTGGCTTACCTCAGTGATGATATTCCTCAACTTCTCATTGTTACAAGTTGGGTCTTCATCAACTTCAGCCGCCAACGCTGAGAAGATTCTGGCACCGTGAGTCCGAGCACGTCCTCTGAAGCGGCACGGTGACCCACATTGGCAACAACAATCATTGGATGGAGCTACTTGATAGCTGGGTTGCGGTGGTGGTTGATAAGGTAACATGGCCGTTTGGTAGCCGCAGGGTGAGGGCGGGGGTGGAGGAGGACACATTGGGGGTGGTGGAGGAGGTAGTGGGGGTGGACATATTGGAGGAGGGGGACAGAATGTTGGAGGACATATTGGAGGGGGAGGGCATGGTGGAGGGGGTGGCGGGCAGATTGGCATGGGTGGGGGTGGAGGGCACGGTGGTGGTGGCGGGGGTAGACCGCATCCACAGCCTCCGCCCATGGCATATCCACCGCCGACGGCTAAGGTAATCCCGGAGAAGGAAAGCAGCGTCGCTAGCCACGACCTCATGTTTACAAGCGTGAACTACAAGCGTGACATCTTGATGGTCGTGGTCGCTTAAAAGGCAACGACCCCGAGGGTGGAGTCGGCGACGTGAGGTGAGGGAGAGCGCGCTTCTTCTCACGGAAACCGGTCTATTGTCGTATGTCATTGGGGACACCAGATATCCGGTCGACTTCTCACGTCGGGAAACATGAGTCAGGTCGAAAAGTTCGGGAGAAAGGTCGTTCCATTGTTACAAACGTCGTTACGACAGAGGTCGTAATCGTTGACGTCAATCTGAAGTGAGTCATCGTTCGAGAGGTGTTCAAGAGGAACGTTAAAACAACTGTTTTAATTAACTACAACAATACAATAACTGTCTCGACGATTAAGGTAACTGTTCCTGCTTAAGTCAAGTACGTGACATAACACAATATAACCTTCTACAACAACAAAATCTACCTAAACGAACGCCAATTGGACTGATTCAATTATCTTTTATTTCTCTGGTTAATCGAGACAACAATAAAGATAGGATAAAACAAGTAACCGTCATTAGTCAGTACAATACCGTATATAGGACACGGTTACTGTAGAAAGAAACCCGCAAAGGTGTCAAATGTGTTCAAACTTGATTCCTACTGAATCCGCCTTCAGATGGACGATGGAGTGTTGTAGATGAATTGGCCTGAAGCTAAGCGACGCTTCAATTCGGCCCAAAGCATCTGACGCTCCTTTCCGGCCGTCTTCAGAATGCTACCGTTCTCCTGGGCACGTCGTGAGAGATATGGCAAAACATCTTCGACCGGGCCGAATGGAAGGTATTTGTAGACCGAGAAACCGGCTTGGCCAAGTGGGAACGATACCTAAAAGTATTAATTATAACAGCACTGTATCATCCTACTCTCTTAACGTTATTACAATATGATAATTACAATAAAAAATAAGTTTTAATGTTAAAGGCAAAAGAAAGAAAGCTTAAACAAATAATTTTAAAAAATGTTTGAAACTTACTTGGTCACACATTCCATATAACTGAGCAAAGCAAATAGACCGCTCACTTGGCGCTACAGCGTTGTCCTTCATCAACTGAACAGCGTATCTTACTGATTCTTCGTTGTGAGTGGCCACCATTACAGATACAGTGCCAGGTCCACGTTCAGCGCGCTCCTGAACAATCGCGTCCAAGCATCTGTGGTACATTTGCGTTGTGGCCTGAAATCTTATAGTTTAGTAGTAAAAAGCTACCAAATGTGATATTAATTATAATGTCCTACACAATAAGATCAAAAAACCTGCCAAAACCATCATATAACACGCGAGGTTTATACTTTTCTGATTTATCGTGGACAAAACCGTTGAATTCTTGTCCGCCAAAAAAATCTCATAATTATATGTGATCCCTCTTTTTGTCTGATTGCCGTCGGCATTAGAGAAAAACTAGAAAACGCACAAAATTATGAGATTTTTTTGGCGGACAAGAATTGAACGGTTTTGTCCACGATAAATCAGAAAAGTATAAACCTCGCGTGTTATATCATCAATCACTCACGTTATAATTAACATTAATCGGATCCTCGTAGCCCACGGCGTCAGCTCTCTTCCGTTCCTGCTCCATGTAAGCTCCTCGAACCAATTTGCATCCAAAGTGGAAGTTCTCTCTTCTGGCCAAGTGCATATCAATCTTCATGTTAGTCAAGGCGTTCTTGAGGTACGCTTGATATGTGTTTAGAACTCTGCCTCCGTTGTTGTTGTACTTCCTCATCAAAGCGACAGCTAGCCGAGAGATCGCTGGCTGGAAGTAGGTCTGTTCCGCGTCTACCATGATCCGCACGCCCTGAGCTGTAGCATGGTCGGCTACACGAACAAGACGCTGCATCATGTTGTGGCATTCCTCTAGCTCATTCTTGGTCATGTTCACAATCAATGGCTCCAGATTGCCAGTTTTGATGTTGAAGACCTGAAACATGGTCATATCTTCACTCAGGTCCAGAAGTCGGCCCCAATCGTAGAAATCGACGAAGCCGTCGGCGTCGAAGTCTGCCATCTTAAACCATTCCTTTACGAACTTGCTGTCAGTCCTGATCCCAAACTCCTTCAATCTTCTAAGAAAGTCTTCCTCGCTGATCTTGCTCAACACCATGTTCTCCCAGGTGGATCCAGTCAAGGCTTTAAAGAAGTGTTGAGTTTGAGCAATCATTTCAGACAGCTTCAGAAGTAGTTGAGGTCTGCCTAAGGCAGTTAGCTTGATGGCAATAAAGCCTTGGCCTTTGGTAGCTTCTTTGACAGCATCGATACTGTTACAGAAGATGTCAGCGTTCTTGTCACATTCTCGCTCACCTTGGTAGAAGTAGGTCCTGAAATTAAAACTTATGAACAAAAACTTCAAATTTTCTTAATTAAACTCATAAACAATTTAAGAACATGGTTCATTTGAAATTTGTGTATCAAAAATTAAAAAAAAACTGCAAATCACAGTTAAAAACAACCGTACCTAGCACTGACTACATCCACACGACGGTCACCGAATTCCTTGTGCACAGAGTATCGCTGATGAGTGGCGTCCACCTGCTTCTGATCGACAAACTGCTGGTTAGCGATAACATCAGGAATGCTTTCCTCGCCGACAATCCCCTCCACAGCCTTCTCTTCGGCTTCTTCTTGAGATATGTCAGTCTCTACACTATAATCCAGAATCGATTTGACCCCGAACCGAGCCAACTTGTCCGCGGTAGGTAATACCTAAATCAACGTATGTTAACATCCTGGTGAGAATTATGAAGGCCACACATACCGTGTGCTACGAAGCGGCCGAAGTCCTAAGCGCAAGGAAGCCAATGGAAGTGGGAAACCTGATCTTATCGTAAACTTTGCTCGCGTAAACCTACAAACCAACCTCGTGTCGATCTTCACCAGCCACAAAATGTCCGTAGAAGGTGGATTTGAGAATCTTCTTGAACAGCGTCGGCCCCACCAGCTTCCGCAACGATGACAAGACTTGTTGATTGTTCTGGACTAGATAGTTAATGCCACAAGCGTGCAGAATGATCAGAGCACGTACAATCTCCCAGTTGGACTTGCTCTAAAACATGACGTTAACTAACATGAAATTTTACTGTCAAAACCACAAATGTTTTGCACAATTTAATACTCAAAAAGCTCATCTTTCACATCTTGATCTTGAATATAGTCTCAAAAGCCTAAGAACAAGAATGACGTAGTTACAACAAAGTTACCTAACCTTGAAAGCTTCCTTTCCATTATCGAACTGAAGATCTAACTTGTTGTAGCAGCGGTCCACTTCCTTCGACAAAGCAGCCGGGGCCGTGCCCGTAGCCGAAACAGTTGTGGTAGCACTCTGACGCAATTGGGAACGATGTCTGGTAGAGATTACAGGTCTGGCGCCAACAACTTTCCAAACATGAACAGGACGACCCAAAGAAGGCATTGAAAGCCAGGGAACGGTTGGAGCTGTTTGTCTTCTCTAGTTCTGCAAATTTTACTGTAAAATAATGTTGTGAAAAATGCCATTAAATTAAATACCTAAAAAATATGAAACTTTAAAAAATCACGTAAAATCATAAAATTTAATAAAATGACAAAATAAAAAGAAATGAATCTATAGAAAACTAATATTTACTTCAAAATGACCAAATCTCAATGCTTCTAGTATTACCTAAAAACAATAACAAAATGTAACACTACTTAAATTCTAAATACTTTCAGTACCCAAACATAAGTTTAAAAAATAACAATTTATAGAAACCTCATAACATTTACAATGAAAAAAATGAATAATTAAAAAACATACAACAAGCAATAAACATAAGAAATTCCACAAAAACACACAAAATCCTTCTAAAATAACGTCCACAAGTCACAGAATGGATTAACAATAACATGCAATGCCAATTCAAAGATAAAAGTACAAAAAAGAAACCCACAATAGTGCTGCAAAACAAATTTTTGCCTAAAATCCTCCAAAAATCCCCAAAAAACGAGTCGAAAAAAGATTTGGAAAAGTCGAAAATGCCTGACTTCATGGTCGTCGAGCCAAGTCTTTTTGGCCGTGCTATTTTTTGTATTCAAAATCGCAAAATTTGTCAGCTGTTGCTCGTCTCAATGTTGTCGTATGTCTGCTAGCCCAAATTCCAACGTCAATATTCTAGTTTCTGATCGAGTGTTCGAAAAACGCCAAAAAGTGGGCAAAAAACTCGAAAAAAGGGCCAAATTTCAGACATTTCTCGGGTTTTGTCCCTTTTTTGAAGAGGGAACTGCAAAATAGCGTGCATGGAGTGGGGGAATGACGGGCTGGGTCATTAACTCATTTCCAATAAATTCTAAAGGCCGGCAAAGTGTTACCTAAAATTGTTACTTGACAATCAGATATTTACCTAAAAGGAGGTTGCTTTTGTTTACCGTTTATTACCTAAAGCGTTCTTTGGAGTATCATAGATCAAATTTTGGAAGTTTTTTTTTCAAGCGGCAAAAAAAATTTCTACAAGCTCATTAATAAGGTAAAACATGTATCTAACAACATTTTTAGAATAAAAGCGCGGTAACATTAAGTTATTATTATGTTATTAAGAAAAACAAAATTATAAAAACTACTTTGGAAATGTTTATTTTAGTACTCACATACTAATGCAAAAACCCAGGTGATTTATTTCCTACCAGTATGACCAAAAATGACTTGCTTTTTGTGTCAATTTGGATCCAAGTTTTGTTTTGGGACGGGAAATCGCTAAAGGATTATGAATACTTTGCCTTTACTTTTAAAATGCAAAAACACACATAAACAACTCCCTGAAACACCGTTCAAAATGTCAAACACCAGTTATAAGCTAATGGCCGTTGTTTTGAAAGCATTTTTCGAATTTCAAATGCATGATTCGTAATTGAAACACGTGAGGTTAGAATCCACGAGTTTCGAACAGCCGTATGATTATTATTTTAGAAAGCCGTATGATTGAGAAATACTATTTTAGAAAGCCGTATGATAGAGTACGAAGCTTTTCGGTATCCCCCTTTTTTCGAAAAGCTGGACGACGTTTGACCTCCAAACACAATATGTTGGGCGATCTCTGGCCTTGATTGAGAGAATATTCTGTTAAACAGCCGTAGATCGTTCAGAATATATATCAGTGTTCGGGGGTCAAGAAGGGATGTGTTTCAAAAGAGAGGGATGAGAGAACGGCGGCGACCGTGCGGGAGGTTGCGCTGTTCCCCTCCATTCCCAACCTCCCGGCGGCCTCTTTTTGGGGCCATTCTTTCGTCACTCCCGCGTCATACACCGCCTCCGAGCAGCACTTGAACCTAGGCTTTTTCGAACTAGTTCTAACTGGCTAGCTGTCTTCTAGGTTTGGGTAGTGTTCTCATCGTTCTAGATAGCCCTTCGACAGTTTTCTACAGAATTTAGTCAGTTTCCTCCTATTTACCTTCTTTTTTACAAGTTGTAGCTGTCTGTTTTCGACTATCAGGCTGTTTTCCTACAGAATCTTCCCTGTTTTTCACAGATTTCTTGAAAGATAACACTGATGCACTTTTTTTTATTGTTTATTTACCGGTAAAAAGTTGCGTCGGGACGCCAACTCAGTTACAATGAGAGAAAGAAGAGCTTTGGCAAATTTTGGAATGTAGTTGTCGTTCTGAATACCTACACAGCGTCAAGAACCTTATCCGAGGTATTGTCATTCGAGCATATTGCTGAATGACAGGATCCGAAGAGAACAAACCCGTATGTAATGGTGAGACAAAGTAACTAGCAGGGTAACATATAGGACTGGTGATAGTGTCCTGGACTTCAATGTTGGTAGTATGACTAGTCATAGATACAATACGTGACATGACATACTATGACAATCCAGGCTTTGAGATATCATATGAGTGATACCTAAAGTAATATCCAAGAACTCGTTAAGATATAACCATTGTTGGCTAGCACAAGCCCATGGACTTTAGATTTTTGGCTATTATCATGTCGCAGCTCGCGTCTAACACGAACTGCACGTTGTTGGTGTCGGTGGCACAAGTGTGATGACAATAAATTTCACGTTGATTCGACCGGTTGAGTTGCTCGAACTTCCACTGGATGTAGTTTATGCATTCGGTCTGGCTTTGTTGTCCTGGAATGAAGTTTGTCATTAAGAGAGTAAGGTATTTTTGAGTAATAGCGGTTAATTATATGTTATTACAGCGTGTCTTATGGTAAAGCCTAATGGAGAAGTCTTATGACATAGAGGTGCGACATAATTGTTAATTGGTCAAAAAACTGACACAATTTTGTCGTATAACCTTTGGTTTTATAACTTTTACTACAGTAAACGTATATAATGATTACAATATTACACAAGACATAATATGAATATGAATATAAAAGCCTATATTAATATTATACAGCACACAATCCTAATACATTACAAGACATACGGAACTATTCGGATGTTATTCATCACAAACGGAACTCTAAGTTGAAAACAAATTGGATTAGGACTAATTGAGTGACATTGCCTACCTTTGTATTCGGGGAAACACACTGTCAGCGGGCTTCTGGGTATCTTCTCGGCGAACAAATCCTTCTTATTCAAAAATAGAATAAAATGAATTTCCGCGAACCAAGGGGAATTGCAAATTGAATCGAACAGTTTCAAGGACTCTTGCATCCGATTCTGCAAATAGCACGAAACATGATAGAACTGGCTTTTTAGGTACACAAACTTATATCTAGAGCTTTCAAAACTAATAGTTTTATAGGTTTAAAAGTGGAATTTCAAAAGATGTTAGTTTTAAAATATAAAAATTTTTAAAATATTAATATTACGTTATTAAAATTAAAAAAAATTAATTTGAAATCTGTGACAAGTCCCCAAACTCAAGACATGACAACCTCGACGCCACGTGAGGCCGAGTGTCAGAAGTGGTTTGTCCATAATAAAAACAAGTTTGTTTACTCACCGTGCAATTATCTTCCCTCAGGGTCTGATCGTACTCGGACAGCGAGGAAATGAAGATAATAGCGTTGACGTTGTCAAAACAGTGAATCCACTTCTTGCGCTCCGATCTCTGTCCTCCCACATCGATGACGCGGAACGTGAGGCCTTTCAGCTCGAACAGCACCTCCGTGATGCCGGTGGTCTTTATCCGCGTCCTCAGGAGGTCCTGCTCGTTGGGGATGTAATCCGGTTGGGCGAGGCGCGGCAAATTGTCGAGGAAGCTGCAAAGGGATATGATTCGATTAAGGAGCCCTACTATTTGGCCGAGTCGTCTATCTGGTACTCGTTGGAGCGGCGATAGCATTCCTGTACCCCATCGTCCTTCCACAGCCGTTCCATCGCCGCCGACAACTCTTCCGTCAGCTCTTCCTTGTTCGCGTGCACCGTGGCGAACACCAATTGACTGTCCTTCTGAAAACGTACAAATGAGGACGGAACATAACATTGGGGCTATCAAAACGTGTGGTAAAGTCAGGAACTGATAAAGCAAGAGAGAACAAACAATTTCAAAAATTTAAATATTAAACTATGTTTGACTGTGACATACCACGCGATCAGGGTCATCATATTCGATCTGTAGATGAAACATGGCTCGCAGTATGGCCAACATACTGTGTATGCAGTTACTGTACACCACAGGTTTTATCAGCTCGAGATCCTGCTTCGAGAAGCCGTCTTTGTGTAGGATTCTGAAATGTACGATGACGTAGTAAAGTTCAGACCAAGTACTTTAAATAACTCTGATTACTCGTTCAGACGCTGATTACTCTTACTACAAATTACTATTGACTTGTTCAAGTACCTCTCTGATTACAGTCAAAAATAACTCTGGTGACCCTTTAAGCTACTAATTACCTCATCTGTTTAAGAATGGTACTCTTGCCGCTTTCACCGGCCCCCAGCAACAGCAGTTTTATGACCCTCAACTGCATCGACTGGTCTTTGCGGATTTGCTCGTCGATGCGACGATTCAAGCGCTTTTGGTCCTTCTGGTCCTTGGAAGTGCAGTGCCCCATTTTGGCAAAGGGGGTGCGGCCAAGGCCGAGGCGTTTAGCGAACCGTGACCGATCGGACGGAATTCTTGTATCTTGTCTATAAAGTCAAGGCAAAGGTAACTTAAAAACGAAAAAAGTTCTAAATTTTAACAAAAAATCAATTCAAAATCACGAAAAATTGAAACACAAGTTGGTCTACAGCTATACCTACTGACAAACTTGGATTCGCTGTAATCGTATAAGGTCTTTTAATTAATTGGACGATATAAAAAGAGCAGAAACGCCGGGGATGACGGTTAAAAATAGGAATTAATTGAAAAAAGGCAAAGGAGTTACAATTCCACGGCACTTGAAGGCGGTCATAATCCGATTAAAAACAAAACCCCGATTCCATAACAGACTAACGGTTATTTGACGGAGCAGGAATGAAGTACAAAACAAGCCAATAAAGGGGATTACTGAAGGGTACAATGGCCAACAGACATAGGTGCTATACTCAATGACACTGTACTACAAAAAGTAATCAGAAGTGATGACAAAAGTAGTGAATTAGTTATACAATATTCTACTCTATATGTTCCCAAACACGCGATTATTACATAGCTTCTCTACTCTAACTTCACGTAAAGAGGTTAGGTCACGACAAAGTGTACTTCACGTAAACAAGTAGCAGCCACAAAGTACGGAATCTAGTCATACATAGTACATGAGCTACTACAACTTTCATAAATGGTACTCTTAGACCAATGAACCCTAATGGTACCCACTCAAAGTATCAGTTTCAGACAAACATTGGGCCGCGCGATCAACCAGTTTGTCCTCATTTCGAAGGATTTCAAACTTTCTTCCCCCTCTCTTCACAAATGGGTAGGAAATTGGATCAGGCGAGGACGCGAAACGGAGAAGAACAAGCAAGTGGGGACAGTAGAACGGAGTGGGCGGTGCCCTCAAATCAAAGGTGCTGATTATTAAGGCATTCTGTAATGCGATCTGGCCGTTTAGGGCAGTCGTCAAGGAGCTTGCTTTACCTTTACGCTGGGATAGGTACGGCGGCCAAGACCCCGGCCCTTCGCTGTGTGCTCTAATTGCCTCTGGCCGACATGAGTTTTATCAAATTTCCTTCAAGTGTCAAAATAAGGGAGGGCGGAGTATTGATGTCACCAAAGTCATGTAGTGGAATTCGAGAAAATAAATCCGAGCCTGTTAAGAATATGAGAGGAGTGATATGGCCGACGACGAAGAAGAAGAAGACCTATATGAGCGACATCCACGCTAAACCCGGCGGGATTTTCTCCTTTTTGAGGGCTGCGACCCGCTCCCGAACCGGACTTGTCACACTCCATTTTCAACAAACAACCAAACCAGAAAACCCGTTGTACACAAACGCCAAAAGAGATGCCATGCTTCTTCGGCCGTCCAACTCCGCATAAACATTTTAATTTTCCTCTATCATCGCCATTCACTTTCGAGTGCGAGGCAATGTGATTAGGAATGGAGCCGCGACAATGTGTCAAAGGCCAGGAACGGCTCACAATTTTTGGACAATACAAACAGTTGAAGCTACAAGATTGTAAAAAACAAAGTTCGTATAACTATTGCACGCAAACTATTACATCTACTAATAAAGGTCAAAAAGTGCAGAGAACTTGGAGGATTTGCAAAGTTTGTCACAGTAAATAAGCCATAAGCTGTAGATGCCCACGGACTTTGAAATGCCACAAACTGTTAAAAACAAAACATGACCTAAGGGCTCATTACGCCAAAACAAATTCCAGTTTCAACTCTTCGAAGGCCGTGTAGGCATGCGCATGAGAAAGGAGCATCGACCTGCCAAAACCTTCTATTTGTCGTCCTCTCTCTTTCCCTCCAACTGGTGCGCGGCCCTTCCGCTGTTATGCCTCAAGACATGGTCTCCCAGTGCCCTTTGCGCTACCAACTTTCGGCCCCGGCTTTTAGTTTTATCCGCCCCAGTTTACAGTTTATCAAAATGTAAGGCAATATCACGATTGAGTATTTGGTGGATTGAAATTAATAATTTGGTCAATAAAATTTAAAAATATAATTTTAATATGAAAACAGTGACATTTAGGTAACATTTCAAATTGAAATGTATAAATAAACAATATAAAGATGCTCGTCTCGTCGCCAAATCACAGGAATATAATTTACAGTTTATGTTTTCGTTAATTAAAATCACAAATACGAAATTGAAAATTGAAAACCCGTTAGTGTTAGACAAACCCGTAGAGGCTACCTCAAGCTCCAAGTCACAGAATAAGTTAATAAATGGTGTTACAAAATAAAAATACTGTTTTTGAGAGCTTCTGGCGTTATCAGCTCGCAGTGGTTGGTCAAGAAAGTCTTCCCAATCTCAGTGTCAGGGATGATGTGGGCTGAAATCAAATAACTATATCTCTATCTAATGAACAATTTTCGATTCTAATATAAATACAAGTGATAATAAAGATTCAAAGTCAAAAAGATCGTAAAATACTCAACTACACCGTTCTCTGACATAACCTTCGACTTTTTTTAAAATTTTTAGTATTATATTCTCAAAAACATCCAAACTGAAACATACCTGACATAAAGGGGACTCTGGCCTCTGAATATTTTCGTTTGGTATTCATGCAGCAGATGAGGTACTTCTTGCCCGACCTCACGCCTTGATCGCACAAATGATGTTCCATATCCTTTATCAGTCCGGCTGTTCTGTAGTTGTGGACCAGGTTAAACAAAGACTTGGCTCGTTGAGTTTTGACCAAATCTTTATTATTGTCTCTAAAACAATATTTTGTTCAGTGATAAGGTATAGGAAAGCTTCAAACTAACAAAACATGAGTTATTATCAACAGCAACTTACTTGTTTGCTTCCAGCCATTCTTGGTTACAGCAGTGCCATAATATCTTTATTTTAATCGGTGATTGAGAGTTTCGTTCTGTAGCAGCGTGTAGCAGATCGTTTAATTGCACAACGCTACTAAAACAAGTCACTAATCACCATGACATAGAATTAAAACAAATCAATATTAACTTTTAAAAACACATTCAACACATTTTTTACATTTTTTGTCGAACAAATTGCTAAAAAATATTAAAACCTACAGTGTATTTCCAATGACGAGATCAGGATCCATGATAACAACAACTTCTTTGTGGTTCGGAGTCTGGGACCGTGAAGTGCCAGGCTTAGCTGAATTACTTGAAGAACCTTCATCACCGGAGAACCATTTACCGCACAAGATACCACTCAATGCGGAATTGTCCATTTTCATGGGCTGAATCTGAAGTCATTTATGTTATTCATAATGTTATTAGAAGTTGCTAACAGTATTTATAAACTGATGACTATAAACTTAGCTTACCGGCTGCCCAATACTTGTAACATCCTCTGTCTTTGTCGTAGCAGATGAAGTAGGCGCTACAGAAGCTTTTGGTATGTTTGTATGACTAGATTTCGCAGATTGACTAGGTCGATCATTGTCATCATTCAAAACAATAGTTTGAGGCGTAGGCACTCCAGGCCTTCTAGCTGGTACAAGTCCCACACTGGCGTTCTTTTGTGGAGCTCGAAGCTGATTCATCTGAACCCTTGACATCATGCACTTCTCCTTCACCACCTCCACGAACCGCTCCGGATCTCTCTGTTTCAATGCCATCATCCTCGGGTCCTTCAGAAGACTTTGTTTGTCCTCGTCCTTCAGTTGCTGAATGACATTGTCAATGTTCTGCTGCGGCTGATCGTCTCTCCTGACTTTAGGTAATGGAGGGGCTGCGACAGAAGGCTCTGGCATTCGTTTTCTGCACAAAGATGACGCATATAATACATTTCTGTCGATATGCTGCGGGGCTGTTCCCGGTTTAAGACCTATGTTAGGGGGAGGCTTGGAGAAGTCCGGTGGAGGCGTGGTTAGATTTGGAGAAAGGGTCGTTAGATTTGGTGGAGGCTGGACGGTAGAGGTGAGCATGTTTGGTGGGGGCTTGTTCATGTTAGTTGGAGGCTGTGCCATAACTGGAGACCTAATCAAATGATTGTTCATATTCGGGGGTAGATGTGCCAAATTTGGAGGTGGGGTAGTCAAGTCTGGCGGAACAAAAGTTGGCGGAGGCTTAGTCAAGTCAGGCAGTCGAATCGATGTTGTTATAGGTCGAGATAGTCCGTTATGCACTCTAGGCGGTTCTGGATGAACGTTACACAACTTCTGAAGGTCAGGCTGCTTCTGAAATTCTGGAAGTTTTGGATCGTCAGGAATCAGAGGGCTTTCGGAATTCGGTCGCTTTACCGTGCTGTTCTTCTTCTCTGCCGTTATTTCTTGTGGTTCAACACTGAAAAGATGCTTTGTCACTTCCGTGTCGCCAAAGTCAAGCAACATTTCAGGCGGCACCTTGTCCGATTGTCTAAAATTTAAGATAACAAATGACAAATAATGAAAGATTGTTTTAACATAACATAACTATGTAAAGAAGCAAATATATACAGCAAAAACTAATATTTAACCCAAAATCAATAACAAAACATTAAAAACTCTTACGGTAAGTAATGTCCAATGATGTTCACCTTCTCGTTCAGATACTCGTAAGACCGGTCAGAGAAGAACAGACAATGAAGTACAGTATTCTCGTAGTTTGTAAGTCCCATCTTCAAACTCAGTCCACCACTTGGGATCAGAAAAATTCTAGTTCCGTTCCCCAATCGTTTGTAGCCAAGCTGAACAATCATTTTTCAGTTAATATTATTAATTAACAGCACTAACACAATTAAAACTAATAGAGATAATACTAAAGAATACTATAACACAACTTACCACGCCTTCCCTCTTCAACAGCACACAAAGATCTTCGAAGTGTTCACTTTCGTCACACTTCATGACATAGTACTGAACAAAGACTTCCGATTTGTCCTGATTCCTCAACACGACTTCTGGACACTTCATCAATATGCCAATCTTGTCGTCGTTCAACAACGTATTCAATGGCTTATATGCCAAAATCTTCGAGTATGAAAACACATATGGCACATTGAAGTTGTCTAATCCAGTTGGAGGTCCAACATACAGCAAGTGCTGAAAGTGTGAGTGTAGGGTAACGTGCTTGATCGTCTGTGTTTGCATCTGTAGTGTGCCGTTCCAGGCTATTGAATTGTAGTTTTTCAACGCGGGAATGGACAAAAGGTCTGGGCTGAAAGAACATAAAATTTTGTAAAATCTAAGTTGTTAAATATATTTTATTATATAACATACATAAAAGTACACACTAAACAAAGATTTTTTAAAACGACTTACCCAGGCATTGTTATCTCGATGGACGCCACTGCCAAAGGTAGGATTGTTGATGGTCGATCAACAGTCGCTCTTCCGGCTTCGTCGTACTCGTAGACAAACATCTAAAACCGAACACATTAATTTAACATATAAAAAACTCCAATTTTAAACCTCGATAAACCGAAAAACAATAACGGCAAAACAGTAGTAAAAACATTTCCACCGCTGCCGTAGATTTCTCGGGAATTTTTTGTGTATGATTTAAAAAGATAACATAACATATTATATAAACTGCAAAAATTATTTATTTGGGTATAACCGAGTTTTTAAATAATATTTACCATAGGTTGCAAAATTGAGTTAAAATCAATGTAAATTAAGTAAAGGCCTGTTTAACCCACCTGTGAGTGTCTGAATCGAATGTGAGGAGGCTGTTCACTTAGCCTTAAGGGCGGATCGTTGCAAATATGTGAATTCTTCGTTTTGTCCGGAATCATACTCCAGCCGGCCTTGTTGGACAATGGAGCGATTTTCTTTGTTTGGCCAAGTAACACTCGGCAGATTAAGATCTTGATTGGCTGATCGTTGAGGTAAAAGCCAGGATGTACAACATCAGCAAATCTTGAGAGGTACACACCTGAACCTCTTGTTTATTATAAAAATAATGTGTTGCAAATTCATAAACATTATATTAACAGTGAGATAAGAATAGCGTACCTTCGTTTGCATCGCCGATTTCACCATTAAACATGATTCCCGTCTTCACTCCGAATCTGCAGTAGTCGACCTCCTAAACAAAGACAATATAAATATAATGTATTACACTTGCCTCCTTCTGGTTAATTCCTGTTAAGCAAAGGAAACCGAAAACTGGATCTGCAGGAATACCATTCTGAGCTAATTCTTGTTGTTTCATGTAGAATTTATGGTGCAAAACATTGTTAACGCATTCTTTGGCGTTTATAAATCTGATGAAGCCTTTGTTCGCCCAGCAACAGAGGTTCTCCCAAATAGGGTTCATAACAACATCTGCGATTCTGGAATCCGTCAACGACAAACTTTGAAAGTGAAAATTGTCCAGTATCTCTAAACAACTAAAATTGTTTTCCGGTTTTGTTCTATTCAAATTTTTGTTAAGGATAACGCAAAACAAACTTTGCATTCATGTACCTAAACTTTGTCATAACAATTTAGTTTTCAAGATTCGATGAAACCGCCTAAAAAACAACAAAAACGCTTAAGCTATTAATTTACCATTATTGCGGTAGTTTGGGGATTGTGGGACACAGAATCCATCTGTATCGATCATGCCTCGGTGCAGTAATGTTGATTTATCTGGAATGTAAATCTAAATTCAAAAAATATTTTCATGGACACGAAAAGCGAAAGAGTAGCGAGGAAAAAGAAAGAGATGGCTCGAAAAACTCTACATCGTGCAGGCATCCCTCTCGGACTCCCAGCCAATCAGAGAGACTATCTGCGCCTCTCCGAAACCCGCACTATCTCGCAATTTGAAACACTAATTTTATATTAAGCAAAGCGATTAGTCATTTTTCAATAAAGGAGATTGTGTATCCAACACCAAAATAAGATACATACAAAAGTTACAGGAAAATGGCCATCTTTACTTTACTTTTTCTAAAGATTTAAAAGACGTGGTTGAGTAACAGAGGAAGCAAATTGATAAAAAGAAATTAAACATCACTTACCACAAAGAGCTGGAACAAAGTAAAGCAATTAAATATAACAGAAAACCCATTGAAATCATTTGAAACATAATAAAACGCACCAGCAAGATCCAGAAATAATGATTTTGTCATTTTAGGGTCATTGCCTCAGGGTTTCAGGCAATTTGGGTGACAATTCTTTAAATTTGATTTTTCAAACGTTCTATATGAGACTTTTGAATAATTAAATTGAAGAAACAGAAAAAGGTTATATTTGCAATAAATTATCATGGTTTTGTATAAAAATATATTTTTTAAAATTACAGTAACAGATTAACTGTTATTTTACTTTACTTGTCATATTTACCTCACCGTTTGTGTTTAAAATTTGAAAATAAAGTCACAATCGGGTTCCAGAAAAATAGTGGACTAATAATGTTAGTTTTAGTAACTGACTAGGCCTAGTACTAGGTATTTCTTGTCATTGGTAAGGATAATGTTTTTAATTCCTCAATCAAGCCTGTTATGAAAAGCTAAAAGCTGTCCTATCACTACAAAACAGCAAATGTAATAATAAAAAACGTTGACAAAGGGGAAGGTTTAAAAGCAAAAAATTACAAGATAAAGACAATTTTAAGTCCAAACTATTATAGACGTATTGAGGATAACTATGTTGCGTGCTTACAAACTACCTCTCCGAACTAATCAAAATAAAAAACACGAACTTACCACGTTATCGGAACAAGATTTTAGATTATAGTATGAGTATGTATAATACAAAAACTAATCTCTGCTATTCACACGCTCCTTTCAAACAAAATATTGTCGGTAACATATAACTTCTGCTCGGCAGTTTGCGTTTAGTCGGGCGCAGATGGGTAAATAAAAATAATATATTTTTTGTAAATTTTCTCTATAGCTAAAATGTCGTTACGATTGCCAGATGATCCTCAAAAGTACACATCTAGACGTTCTACATCTTCTTTGACTAATTCTTCTCAAAAAGCGCCGGTTGTCAATGTTTTTGTTATTGAAATTGGCGAAAGGTTAACTCGGTAAGTAAGATATACCATTAATACAGTTTTATATATTATATCTGTGATAATTTGAATTGGGCTGATTTTGTTATTCTAAAATTTTTTTAACTATTCATTTTAGGTATCTTTCATTAATGACTTTTTTCAGAGTTGGATTTGCTGGTGAACTACACCCTCGAGAAATCTTCAGAACCGAGTACATAGACTCCTTAAGGCCTTTCCAAAAATGTCAAATTGCTCAGAAAAACAAAGATCAAGCTTCACAAGACAAAATACTTGCGGGGTTCTTGAAGAACATTATGTTTAGGTAACAAATCTTTTTCTTATTAATATTAAATTTTAGAAAACTATTCAAAAGTGTGAACAACTTGAATGTGGTGATATTGGAGAACTTGTTCTTGCCTTACGAGTACCGAGACACTTTTGGTCGTGTTTTATTTGAGAATCCTTCTTTCGGTGTTTCTGGAGTAGCCTTTGTACCTTCTCCTTTAATGCAAACAATCGCTTTCAACGTCAAGTCAGCGTTGATTGTTGATCTTGGAGTTAAAGAAGCTGTGGTTACACCTGTTTATGAGCATGTTGTAATGGCGGTCAATTCTAATACAACTACTTTGTCAACATTTGCTGTAGAAAGAGATATCAGAGACTTGGTCAAGAAGTTGGGGAAGGTGAGAAAGTCTGATGGGGAAGAACGAGGGCTGACTGAAGAGGACATGAAGATGTTCGATGATAATAATATGGCAGAAGACATCTTGTTTAGATTCTGTTTTGTGGCAAAGAGAGAACGAGGGTTACAACTACAGAATGAAGGTAACATATTATTTTTTTCACGATATTTCAGATAGACAACTTATTTTTAATTATATATTTTAGAAGTTGAAAGTGATTTATACCCTCCAGATGTGCTTTTATCCTTCGGATGTGATAAATTACTTGTGCCAGGTTTAATACGGTATGGTTTTTATATGTTGTTAAATTTTAAAATGAACGATTTTTTATTAAATAATAATTTAATTTGCTTGTTTTAGTGAAAAAGCGACAGAAGTATTGTTTTCGAATTCAGAAAAGGAGTTTTCCTTACAAGAAACTATTGCGGAATGTATTCGTGGATTAAACATAGATCTGAAGAGGTCATTGTTAAGTGGGATACTAGTTGTTGGAGGTCTAGCTAACACTCGTGGGATGTTGTACAGATTAAAAGAGGAGATTGCTGATATTATTCAGAAAGATGAGTGTTTAAAGACGTTAGGGGAAGCAGGTTTCTATCAGCAAAAGGATCAGCCCAACTACAGTTTGTATTCTGCTTGGGTGGGAGGTGAGTTACATTTCGGGTTTATAACACTTTTGTCCTTTGTACTGCTGATATGTATTGTAAATTACTTGTTTTATGTTTTTTTTACTTTTAAGACCAATTGAACTTAAACTTGTCTATTTCATTGTTTTTTAGCTAGTTTATTTGGCTCAGCAGATGCTATAACATCGAGAATGACAACAAAAGCAGATTGGGAGAAGAACCGACACGTACCAGACTGGACTAATATCAGTGCATTGGAAGAACCAGCTTCAGAAGTCAAGTGTAAGGTCTCTGAAGTTACAGTAGACTTACCTTGGGAACAGTTGAAGGTCGAGGCTTGAATGTAAATTTATTTTAAATTTTTAATGTAATTTATAACTTCGCAATAGTAAATTTTAAAACGCTATAATTGTGATTTGAATATGTTTAGGTATGAACTTGCCTTAAATAATTACAAATTGATTAAAATCTTAAATATTTATTAATAAGTTAAGCAGTTATGTGTAGTCGGGCTCTCTGTAGTCGTTGGAGTAGTCGTCGCCATCTTGTGTTAGTGGATGAATCAGCTTGAGGTCGAGATTGTCATTCTTCTTCGGGTGAATGTCAATCAGTCGCCGTGAGTAGGAGTCACATTCTCCATTGTACATACTCGGACCTCCATTCGATGCTACTTGATTGTTGTCGCGTTTGTTTCCCCTTAGATTCCTCGCCAGTCTACCGTACAGTAACCAGTTGAGGGCGGTGTTGATGTAGGGGAAGATGTGGGCACAGTAGACCAAGAACATGATGTGCTCCGACTTGTTGGTCAACGTCTTTATGGTTCTGGATTCGAACAGGTCTACGTAGCTGACATACAATACGCTCATCCAGTACGGTGTCCAGCACATGAAGTAGAACAAGGCGATGCTCATGATGTAGATCGTGACCTTCCTCATGGGGATGATGCTCTTGGTGGACATCTTCTGTTGATGGCTTCGTATCTTGATGAGCAGTAGAATGTTGAACAACGTGATCACAATGATGGGGCAGAAGTAGCCGAAGAAGAAGGTGGACCCAGTGAACCAGAACAACAAGTTGGTGGGCATGTTATCCAGACACTTGAAGATCCTGATCTGCACTAGATGACCTTCTTTGGTCTCGGATTCAAACAGAAGAACCTTCTGGGCTTTGGCGAAGATCTGAAAGATTAAATTGGCTGCTATTGTGAAACATATTACTTCAAGTTTATATTATTACCAATAATTTGGGTGCTATAACTCACTAGTAGAGGCATGAGTAACAATGACGCTGATGCAAACAGCAATAACATGATGACAAGAGTTGTTTTACTTGATCTTTGGTTCAGCTTCTGTGGAGATACGACGACAAGGTACCGGTCTATGCTCATCGACGTTATCTAAAAGTTGTCTCCCATTAAGTTGCTCATAAACACAATATTATAATAGTTTTATTACAGCAGTAACTTACGACAAGAGTTGAGGCGATTCTTCCAACCGACCCGCAAAAGTGGTGGAATTTGCATACGGCTGTTCCGAAGATCCAGAAGCCAATTAAGGAGTCAACAATAGCTTCAAATGACATACGTTAGGTAATTAAACAAGTACGTGAAGTGTGAACGAAAGGTCGGTTTTTATTTTTGATTTATATTATTATAGCTTGATATTAACATAGGAGCTCTATAGGAGTATAAATTATGGAATTGGACTATTACATTATTTAAAGAGAAGTTGTAGTTCTTTACACTCACTTGATGGCAAACTTAACAACATTAACGTATCTACGACGCACAACGACGCCACATATACCCGGAAGCTGTCCTGTGGGGTTTCTCGAATCTTTTTGACCTTCTTCGGTGTACCCATGTCCAAGATGATGGTGAGAGTGGAGGCATTACCGCAGATGCCCACTATAAAGCACACGAGGAAGATACCGGTCACCACGAAGATACCAGGGTCCGGCTCTTTCAGCGAGGGATACGCTTCCAGGAACATGGCTGAAATGCAAGATGTTATTCCGCCTCGGCTTTGTTTATTGTAGCACAGTAAACATGGCTTTGTTTTACGAGCACAACTTGGGCCTGTTTGTATGTTAGGCTAACTTTGCAAATTCTTGGTTTGGTCAAAAACTGAATGGAAAAACAAGAATACTATTGAAGTAAGGCAGAAGAAGTTTCAAGAAGTTCTTGACTTAGTTAAGAGCAGAAATTTACAAGTTATAGTCTCAAAATTTATGATTTTACTTAATATTTTATGAGAAAACGCTGTTTACAAACATCGTAAAATACTTTAAAAAATAATTTGTATCAACTTTTTGACCAAAAATGACAATTTATCTGGTAACTATATAAATATGAAATAAAATATTTAGTCATCATATAATTTCTTAAATCTTACTGTACTTTTTCTCAAAGTTCTAACAGTTGTTTGGTCTGACGTTAGTTTTTTGTTTTTCTATAAACTTTTCGACCGAATTTGAGAAGATCTATTTTTAATAGTATAACAAGAACACCATAGATGACAATTCAAAGAAATGTTTGCAAAGTACACTTATTGTAAACACGTCCCGCAAGCAACGTCATCGTCTATTTTTAACTTTGGAATTACAAAATTTAAATGAATGTCATCGAAATTTGAATACAACAGAACTAATAGCCAACGTCACAAGGGTAGTATACAGAAGCCCTTACCATAGAAACGTACCTGTCTGATTCAGCACCATGACCTTGCCACGTCTCGTCAGTAGGCCTATTTCTCATTAATCGAGGCGACTTCCATTTCCGCGGTCGTTTTTCTGACAGTTCAACCCGAAAGAAGCGCCTTCAGAATCAGTAGTACTACACTACACTTTCACTCTTCAGAATTCCTTCTTTATGGCCTTTTAAAAATGGTGGGCCAAACCGGCACTTCCGGTCTTTTTTGCTTTTTTGATTATTTAGTTTATATGCTCCTTGAGTAGGTTCAGGCAACTGTTAATTCGATTGAACTTTGCCAATTTGATTACGAGGTAGCGGAAAGTATTACAGAGTAATAGCTTTAGAGGTAGAGTAATCTTGTTATGAGTAAGGTGCTGGTTAGGTGTTGATGAAGTTAGGCACGTTTGAGAATACGGTCAAAAAGTATGTAGAGGGCCTAAGATAAAAAAAAATAGTTGAAAATAAAGCAGTTCTATAAACTTTTCGGCCTAGACATAAATTAGAAAATGTAAATATAGATGAATTTATTACCAAAGTAATAATTTACATTACAATGCAATAACGGAGCAAATGTGTTCCAACGTTCACAGCAATATCAAGGCATGTTATGCACATATATGTAGTAACATATTGATATGTGTATATATTGCAATGTAAAAGATTATGTATATTAATCATGACAGTGTTATTATAATTTTCACATATTTACATGACAAAATGCAATTTGATGTTTATACATGGCAGTGTAATACATTACCCAGTTAGTTTATGTTACGTAGATACTAATATATGTTGAGCAAAACCAATATCATCCAATACCATTCAGAGTAATTAGCGTTGTTAAATTGTTTATTCATCAGTGTCGGAATCCGACTTCTGTGTCTTATCCGAGCCCTTCTCAGTTTCTGGCTTCTTGGCCTTTTGTGGCTCGGTTTTGGCAGCCGGCTGGAAGAAACTGGCCAGAGTTGAGGCCACTGGAGGCAGAGTGTTGTAGTAACTGTAAACCTGGAAGTTGGGACAATTATGTAAAGTGTTATAATGAAAGTAATACTAATAAACAGGTCAACAAGCAAAAATAGAAACTTTAAAAGTCAAACATAAATGACAAGAAAGAAGACAGAAATAGACCTACACTGTTCTTGCTGTCAGTAAAAGCTTCGGGATTGAAGAGACTCTCCTTTATGTTTGCGTAACATTGCTGAAAATTAAATACCATGGTATGTTATAGTATCTTATAAACTATCGTCGTAAAATTAAATTTTTAAAAAATGACGAAACGGCCTTCGCCTCCCTTATTAAAAGTAAATAAAGTTAAAATAAAATAGTTTTTTCGTTACAGTAAGAACATACCATTAAAGGCGGCGCTGCTTTCTGGGCCAAAGTAATCGGAGCCATAGCAATGTCGTATGGCGTTGTTGGTGTAGGTGGAGTGACCGGAAGCTGAAGAAGCCGAGCGAACTCTCTTTCAATCACAATTGGCACTTCTTGGAATACATTTTCCACCCCTGCCTAAAGTATTAAACACGGTGAATATAAGACTTTGATGCTAAACGAATGCTGAAATTAATTTAAAACAACTTTCCATCACATAGTCTTACATGGGATATAATATAGAAAAAATACATTTTAATACTTAAAGCTAAAACATTTTACAAGACAATCATCGTATTTCATCGTATATCTTGTACTGAGTAAGCCAAAAGTTAATACCACATTCAAACTCAAAGTATACGGTAAATCTATAACAATATACACCATTACACTCTATAACAATACAAACCATCACATACTATATTATAGTACACGTACTCACCCCGCTCAACGCAGAACACTCAAAGAACGCTGCGCCGTGCTCGTCCGAGCACTTTTGCATTCCGTCGAACTGGGAGACGTAGCGGTTGGGACGTGATTGGCCGACGAGGTCGGCCTTGTTGGCCATGAGGATGAAGGGCTTAAGAGGCAGCCGTTGCTTAATCTCGGGTACCCACTGAAAGTAATTAGACAAATGGAGATATCAACCTAGTAAGTTGTTTATGCCAGTCTTTCTCAATCGGCTGACGACCAAAAATTAGAGCTTTGACGTCGAATTTTGTCGCCATTCACAAACCATTGTGTTATGTTTATATCTAACTGATGGTCTGGTTATTTCGGGCTAATTGTACTGTAAATTGCTCGAATTAGTGAGTTTATACCTAATTTGTGGCAAACTTTGGGTTTTTGTTTGAAAAAAAGTAAAACTAGCTTTTCTTTGGCATTCTGTTTCAGCTTGATTTACTTCCAAAACTTGGAAAACAATAAATTTATAGTTTATTTTTTCAAGTTTTTTTGTGAAAGAGTCCGCAGTATCCCTTCGTAAGTTTTTAGCCTCATTTTGATTTTTTTCTACTTACTTTTAGACCTTAAATTGTAAAATTACCTTTTTGGAGACATTGTCGAACGAGTCCCAGTTGTTGATGGCATAAACGACCAGTACAATGTCAGTGCCCATGTAGCATCGGTTTCTCGGATCTTGTTCATGGTTGGTATCCAATATCTTAAAGTAAATCTTATAATTGTCATCGCAACGTAAAAAGCGGATTACAACGTCGGAATAAGAATGTCGCCAAACTTCTTGCCAATGGGCATCTTAGGCATTTTAGAGGGGAACGTCTGAGAAAATGCTAAAGGTAGATAATATAAGGGGTTTAGGTAACAAATTTGGGTAACATTTTCTAGGTTTTAGTGATTCAAAAGTTTTCGGAGGTTTTTGAAAAGTTTTTTAGGTATCACGCCTTTCCAAAAAGCTTATTATTACCTAAATATCAGAATTTTTTTTAAAATTTAAATTTTTAAAATTTTCAAAATTGGAGCATACTTTTTTTTTCATATTTTGCGCAATTTTAAGCAATATGATCATACGCGTTACAATGAAAATAATGTTAATATAGTAAAATACTTCAACTAGTAGAAAAAAGTTGCAGTAATGTCAAATATTGTATCCTTCAAACTCTTACAGTTAGTTCGTACTGATTCCCTTCGAACTCCACGGTCTTCTGACATGTTACCATGTTCACGTGACTTCCCCTGTTGCTGGTGAAGTTGTCATCGGCGAATCGCTGAATCAGCGACGTCTTGCCCACGCCCGCATCCCCCACCACCATCAAACGTACTTGCTTGGGCCCAGCAACCGGTCGCATAATCTCTTCAGTCAAATTAATAACTTCAAAAAATCAGGATTAGTCGGCGAACAATAGATGGGGCTCTATTCAGATGCGATTACCGTGCCGAGTCTTGGTTACTTTCGCAAGATACGAAGTCTTCCTTATGGCAATTGTAGTAAGATGGAGTTATGGCTGTGTCTAGTGGTTGTAGTAAGGTGTTATGGTGATATTGTTGGAGTCGGGTTCGATTTATGTTGCGCAGAAGGTGGATTTACAATTTTTAGGTTTACTGTGTATTAATAAGTTAATTAATGTTATCTACAATAGTATTTCGTATCTTGCAAACTTAAGTTTTTGGGTTTTATATTTAGGTAGAAATTGTTATATTTTTGTGTTTATAACTAAGTATTACCTCTCTGATGTTCAACTGTATCAATATTGTTGTATCTTTTTTGTTAATTTACAAGGGAGGTACCTGACCTGCAACGCTCAGATTTCGTTCAAACTTTTTTTATTGAATCCTCCTGGTCACGTAAATGTAAGATGTTATGCAAAATTCTAAGTTGCGGTTTGTGCCCAGTCTTGAGAAAATCGAGATCGAAAAATCGCGTTTTGAATTTCCCGCTAAATTGGCATTGTGTTTCAAGCTTATAACTTTGCCATTTTTTGACTTTTAATCATTTTTCTTTAATGTGCTAGTAAAAAACCTTTAAATGAACCTACATTTTTAAATTTGTAAGTTTAGCTTGGCTGGAAAGTCGAAAAAAGTGCTTGAAACACAATGCCAAATTTGCCAAATTGGCGGGAAATTTAAATATTTAAAATTTAAAACTCAAAAGCGCAAGCTAAAATTTTTCATAGGTACTATTGGTACTACAAAGAATCCGTATAAAAATTTTGAGCTGATTCTGAGAGTTGCAGGTTGGGTACTTTCCCTGTTAGTATTTTACATATACGTTGATGTAAAACGATGAGCACAATACCGAAACCACCTATGTTAATACCTATTGTTGTTAGATGTTTGATGGCTTCGAATTCGACCATATCCCTCCATCTTACATCAGTGTAATCTCGCTAATCAAGTTTATTATCTATTCTTGTTACATTTGACATTAGATAGGACATACTTTATGCAATCAGCATTACGGCCGCCTGCTTAGCGGCCGGATGAGCTTGGCCATTATGCGTGTTTAAAGAAAAAGGGGGGCTTTTGAAACCTGGCCAGGGTTAGCCGCCTTAGGGGAAAGAAAGCAGCTTTCATTGGGAAAGACCTCCTTATTGTTGTCAATCAGCCAAATGGATATGTTTCTACACAGTCATTAGCTACCCTGTAATTAACATCTATTGTTTTTAATGGCACTGTAGGGGTCATGTGGTGGTGCTGGTCGAGGTTTTACTGTACAGTACACAAGATGTAGGTAGATAATATTATATTTGGTCAAAAATCTGGATTTTTATTTAAGGTTTAATAAGTTTTGCGGTAAAAAAGGGTTAATTTTTAAGATTTCTATTGTTTTCCATTACAGTAATGTTTGTTTATGGCATGAATTACTGGACTTTGCACTAACTTTATATCTAAAACGATATTTTTGGACTTAAGACTCTAGATATGATGCTTTTGTTGTGTAAAGTGATAGCTGTAAAACGTTTAAACACCAGAATACTAAGTCCTTAAACCTCGACATGACGAGATGTTGTAGTAGATGACCAAAGTATAACAAACGATTCAATTAACGTAATTGACAAAGAAAGATACGGTAACTTTTGCTTATATTCGATATGGAAAACAACTTTCCCTCCAAACGTTTACTTAGACAATAGTTGCACAATCGCACACAAAACAACGGTTTTGTAAAGTCGGGAGGCTATTGTGTGTTATATTATACTAGGAGTCTTGTAATATCACTTTCAATTTCTTTTCTCATACTTTTACAGAGTTGTTTGTACTGCTCCAAGTGTTATGTTGGGGTACTGCATAGCACTGTAATTATAAACATAACCTCTATATGGCAATTTAAATGTTACGAAAGTAAACTTTGGCTATTTCAACTTTGCTTCGATATTATAGTAGATGTTACTTAGACATTATAGTTAGTAGCTGTTGCTCTTTGTTCTTACTCCTCTTTACAACTCAACAAACTACAATAATGTGTCTTACAAGTCGTTTGCACGGAATGTCAAGTGTAACATATATAGCTCTATTTTCGTATTATGCAGTAGTAATTAAAGTAATCTGGCAGTAAATTTCATTTGAGTGAATTTTATATTATCTATAACATAAATGAAAAGAAATAATGATTGGTTTAAGGAATGTAGCACCTAAAACTTGTATGTGAGGTTATAACATTGAGAGTGACATACGACCTTATTTTACAATTTATAAAAATATGTTTTGTCATAGCCATCTATCTTCCCCAGATGACCTTTAAAAAGTTATGTTACATGTCGCTATCAGCAGACTACATAGTTAAGGCTAAAAGTAAAAGCGGTGTTATGCAGATCGCGGTCTTATGTTATTTGTATTCGAATTGAAAGGCGTCTTTGTCTTACCCTCCCCCCAAATACCATATCGTATACATTTTTGCTGTGGAATTTGGGAATAAAAAGGACAAGTTCTTTTGAGGTGGGTCCGTCCTTATGTTAAGGTGATTTCCGGGAGGGTGGGAGCCACAACAATATGCTGCTTTTGGTTCCGATCGGACAAAGACGGGATGAGAGCGCGAGAGTCAAAAGCTGGGCGAGGGAGAAGCCTTTGATTTGCTTCTTTCTGTTCTATCTATCTTTCGAGAACGGGGCTTCTTTCTCGAGAATTTCGTTCGGGTCCGCACTCTCCAAAAAGTCTTTGTCGCTTTCTTGCAACCAAAAAGTATTTTCCGACCTATTGTTATATATAACAACAACAACCTCGTTCAATCAGGTAATTTCCGCGACGTTCCAATCCCTTTCTTCCCGAGATTCAGTCAGTCCGTCCAAATTCGCCCCCAGGCCCCACCTTAACTCGACTATCTGTTTCGAGCGAAAATAGGTCGTGACTTCTATTTGTCTTTTCTATTAAGCCCCGAGGCGCTTCCAAGCCAGCCTGTAGACAACCTGTAGGTTAACAGGCAACCTGGTAGGCTAATAGGTTACCATGGATTATATGTATTATTTATATATTAACTTAGCCAAGGTCGTTTGCCAACTTCATGAGTTTATATTATATCTAGAGTACTAGTCATCCTTTACCTTTATCTTGGTATGCTTAGACTTGCTTATAAAATAAAAGACAAGTCTGGAGTTGAAAATGACTAGACCTCTAGTATAATATAAAAGTATTTGCTTTTATCTCTTCCCATATCCGTCGATTATTAACCGAGCTTTAACCATTGATTTACAATGTATATCTTCACACATTGCTATTTGCAGCACGATGAAGGGAATCACAGAGATCGACGAGCAGGCTGCCCTTCTCCTCGTCCGTGCTTACAAAGCAGCCCACATTGCCGAAGGACCCAGGATCAGGTCGGAAGTGTGGCAGGAGATCGCTCACCAACTCAACAAACAAAACACTCGCAACCTGACTGTCGCACAATGGAAGAAGCGGATCAGCAACATCAAGAGCTTGGTCAAGCTGAAGCACGACATGGAGAGGTACGCTATTTCTGTCACAAAAGCTGTTTTACGAGACGGCTTATCGCATTCATAACAAGAGGATGTCTAGTGTAATATGTCATAAAACTGAATGTCTTTTTACTCCAGTCATCTAAAGTAATAATTTCAGAAGAGGCCGGGCAGTGAACTGGACACCGATAGAACAAGAGTATGTCAGACTGTTCCCCCAGATGGACGACCTCAACTTCGACTCCTCCATCTCGTCCATGAACAAGTCTCCCGAGCTAGATCTCGACCTAGACGAGCCAGCTACCATGGTGAAGACTGAAGTAGACTGGGTGGAACAGACTGTCTTGGGTGGATCTCATTCCTCGACTTCGGAGCCTCAGGCATCTCTCGATGGTGCCACTAGTCCTTCTTTGGAGGCTGAGCCAAGTGGTACAGAACGAAGTGCAAGTGTACCATTACCTCCAATACTGGACCTACGTAATATACTGGCACAGATGACTGATACACAAAGGAAACAGCATATGCTGGCTTGTTTGAGAAGCTTCAGACAACAGATCGACTTGTTCACTGACTTCTTGGAGCACGATCTTGCTTTGGCAGGGATCTCTGTGTAAGGCTACAGTATCTGGGTACAGTATCCGAATGTTGTGGTACAATATAATTGTGTAATGGTACCAAAAGACTATAATATGTAATCATATTTGATACTTTGATACCTGGGCCCAGTGATACTCCGTGTGACTGGTACAATATACTTTTGGAAAGTATAACACCATGGTCATGCCTCCAAGTAATACTCTATGTTATATTGTTGTAGACAGAAGCGAGCTTCCTCAGGCCATATTCGTTTGCTTCTGTTTGTATAGGTCAATTAACTTAAGATTGTCAGCTTGTATTTGTATATACTGCAGATATATATGAGTACGATTAGTCATTTTACAGTAATTCGTTGCTTACCTTACAGTAATATATGTTACAGTAACTTTATTATATTACAGTAATACATACCATACTACAGTAATCCTTTAATCCAATTGCTTTTATTACTGTAATCTTCTCATTAGCTTTGTTACCGTAACCTGTTTAGTCATCATACCGTAATCTTTCCTCCTTTCTTCGCTTCATTCCATCCGGTCGCCGATTACTGTAATCGGCATTCCCCTAAAGGGTAAATATATATTATCTATTACCACATGTATCAAGAGGTTTCTATTTCTGTGTTGGGTATACTGTATTGTACATAATCAGTCCATGTTCGGCAATATCATTTATATTATATTAAACTCTCGAAACATAAGATTACAAATGTGAAAATATGTAAAATTTGAAAATGGTTGGTCAAAAAGTACGTAGAATATTGGATTGAAAACAAATTACATTTCTACCTTTTCTACAAACTTCTTGACCATAAGTTACTTGTATGGCAAGGTAGAAGATGTAGCATGTTCGTACATCATCTACTACGTATCATACAGTATCTCACTTACAGTAATTGACAAAATACTGTCTAAGGCGCTTGAGAAGTATGGCGATGGTTATAGTACTTTAAGTAGTAATCTTCTATGAATATCACAGTAACTAGGTTTCAAACACTGTAGCTTACATAGACTAGTCCTCCATACTGCTACGCCCTGACTTAGGGTCAATTCTGATATTAGACACGTGTTCTAAGATAATATCAGCCATCTCAGGTTCAGGCAGATGAGGCTCGTGAGCTAAGGCGTTCCTTCGCGGAAAGAAAGTATGGTCATCGTCATACTGTAACAAATTGGGTAGTCTGCTAGTGTAGATGTCAGACAATCTGTTCAGTCTGCGACAGAAGAACGTTGGGTTGTGGAACGTTCGGAACATTGAGCCAAACTGAGCGTTGAACATACACTTGAGGTCGATGCGAAGCCGACGCCGTTCCTCGGCCCAGCCTCTGATCACCTCCTCCGCCTTCACGTCGTGCTTACCGTACTTCTGATGCTGTTCGATCAGTCGCGACAATGTCTCCAGCCACAACACCCGAAGTCTGTACTTGTCCGTGTTCTGTGTTCTGATCTCACGGGCTAGCTCAGGAACGATGGCCGCCGTTCTCCAGCCAATTTGGAGCATTGGCTCAGCCAAATCAGAGTAGATGTGATCTCCAAAGTACATGACACCTTCTCGTTGGAAAGAAGACTTGGCACAAAACTCTCGGATATTACCCTGAACTTTCAAAGATATTTTTTTATTTAAAAGTACTTACGGCTCACGATAAATTAAAACTTCAAAATTATCGTTTAAAATTGAAAATACATTATAAATAGGTGACGACTCACCCCAGAGTAAATCTTCCCTTGTTCCAGTTCATCTACACGCTCAAATGACACAGAATCGGTGTTTTCATTGTACAATCTGAAGGGAGCGTTGCCTTGGAAGAACCCTGGTTTCTTGGTCGATACCATGACATACTTGAAGAACTTCCTCCAGTCTGGCCCTAACATATATGTCATGCCAGCGTTCCTATAATCATATAACACACTCCGTTTGCATTCTCCAAATTTGTTTTAAACCAAGAATTCGTTAATACGAAATGTCAAAATCAATAATGACATTTTGTGACTTACATAAAAGTGAACGGAGAATTTGTAGCTATAAACAACTCTTTGCCATCTTTGGTTACACGCTCCAGAAAGTTGTATAACCCTACATTCTTGTGGATATATCGCTCCATGTCTTCCATCACTAAACGATACATCTCTCCCGATATGTGAACATCTTGTACGCTGCTCTGAATAAAGTCAATGTAAGTTGATCACTTTTTTAAATAATTTAACACGACGCAAAGCTTTAACATAATAATATTGAACCTTATCATCTTGCTCAAAAATAGACGTGAATTTTCATATAATGTTAACTCCTTACAGCTACATCATTGTAGAGCCCAGTGGGATCAAAGACAAAACTTTTGTTATCCAGATACTCAACTACAGTAGCCAGCAGCCCAGCCCACGGTAGACTGAATAGGTCAATAAGTTGATAGAGGCTTCGTCCCTTCATATTTGGTAACGTGAACCCTCCGTACATCTTCTTGATGCTGTCTTCAGACAGGCTTCTTTTCCCACGGTACACCGTGCCCTTCTGAATCTGGTTGAAGGCATCCACCTTCAACAAACAAGAGTTCTCAATGTCATAATGTAACCCTCTAATAGAGAACGATACGTCATAAGGAATATCGAGTAACTCTGTCGGATACTTCAACTTGTTGACCAAGTTGTTCATGGCAGCATTGTAGATAAGCTCATTCAGCGATCTAGTATACACAGCCAATGTGTAGTCGTAGTCGAACCCATATACACCTATCTTGTGAAGATCTACTTCATTGTTAACGAACACAGCTCTTGGGTTGACTCGCTGAGATGTTTGAGCCAGAGAACATTCTTCTCTGGACTTTTTGTATATGTACCTCAACTTATCCGATATCTTGATGTCGCTCATCAAGCATCTGCGTGCGATACATTGTTGTATACGACATCTGCTGATGCTCAACATTAAAAGCTACAAAACAAATTATAGGTAGTGTAACAAGTAGTCTATATTATAGGGTATTCAATATTACAGCTTCTATGAACTAGTATAAATAATTAAAGTTTAAAAAAAGCAATATGTTGTTGTAGGTATTCAACCACAGTAATGTCTAATTGAATACATATAATTACAAAAATCAATTCAGCCAAAATGTAAAAATCAAGATTTAACATCAACAACTAACATCAGTAACAATAACATCATTAAACAAACATTATCAGTTGTAATATACAAAACATTGTCATCATTATGATCCCAAACCGCCAGCAGCATCAGCTTCCTTTTGAGTGTAAGGTTCGTCTTTTAGTCGCTTTACTTGGTTTTTATGCACTGAAAATGGAATTACTTTTCTTAATGCAGTTAAGAATAACCTTACTATAATAATATTAAAAAAGAATTACATAAATAATTGAGAAAACAAAACAAACGTTAAAGTTCACCTTATTTTTAACTGACCTTTAGTCTTCTTATGTTTGCCAAGTGTAATGTCGTCTATAAAATAACGATTACACTCGATACAGTAATGTTGTGCATCTCCAGCTACATCAAAGTCAACTTCCTGATTCATCAACTTTATGGCCTTCTCTGGCTTCAAATCTTCATGAATCTGATCCAAGTCTTTGGACTTTCTCTTCCTCACCTTATTTGACAATGTGTGTTTCTTGGGCATCTAAATTATAAAATGTCAAACTATTAAACTTCCGAATAACCCATAATGTTTTCAGCCATAACATGTAAGCGTGACAAAAACAACAATTTAAAAAAAACAAAACCAACAAAATAAAACTATGGACTACAAAAAGAAATAAGTTCTAATAATAGCCAAAATACAGTAATCCTCCAAGTAACTACAGAACAAACTGCTCACGAAATTCTCCACTATAACACGTCATTTTAATTTATTTTATCGACTGTACAACATGCTACAACATAAATAATTAATTCAAATTCTCATCGGCGCTGCACTGTGTCTTTGAGATCGTCCAGGGGTTCCAGAATTCACACGATGACCCGCCTCGTTGTGAGAAGACAGAAGTTTTGGCACAAAAATGTTTTGAATTACTGCACCTGGTGGTAGGACAGGCTTTCCTCCGATGCCTAGTATCAAACCGCGGATTTCGTGCGAGTACTAAAATATATTAAAAACGTAATTATCCAAAAGTATTTCAGTCAGTTACAGACCAATTTGCAATAAATCAACTTTTCGAAACATAGTGTTTTCCTTTAAAAATTGTCAGCACCACCTAAATATAATAAAATAGATTAAAAACTTACTTCTTGCCAACTTTCCTTTAGAATTTCGTCTTTGATAGCATAAAACACATGAGCTGTTAGCTGACAGTTTGACCCCGAATGGTATTTCTTCCCCACACGACGAATTTGTAATGCTTCGGCAGCCTAAACATAAACAACATTATTACAACAATAAAACGAAAAACATATACACTTATAAACCCTTTACCTAAAAATTATAAAACATTAAATACTATATCAAAATTAAAACTTCTTATACCTAAAACAAAAAAATAACAAGCTTACGTCTTGTAAAGTCATTGTAGACTTCAGCCCTCGCCGAACGGCATTCGGATGCTGCATCATACACTTAACATCGTAGGCAGTGTCAAAATACTTCTTAAACAAATTGTAAAACTCTCGAATGTCAGCTGGTAAAGAACCTCCGTTCAACGCTCTCACAATATACCCAAAATCAAACGCAGCATGATATGATACCCATGTTAATTTGGAAACGACCAATCCTGATGTTGCCAGAAGTTCTCCGAAATCCAACAGATCGATTCCTTCCGTCTAAAATGTGTTGATAATTTTAAATTTAAAAAATTCTTCGTTTAAATCGATAAGTTGTAAAAATTAAGAGTTAAAAACATTCTCTAATATCACACCTAAACTAAAACAATTTAAAAAAGAAAAACCCACGTTATGTTTGTCAAAATCAAAGCCAGAAGCTTGGTAAGCATTTAAAGCTTCATCTGAACACATATCCTCGGCTACATTAAAGTGGAAGTTGAACTGGAAGATCGTAACCGGTTTGTGAATGAAAGTGAATCCCATTTGAAGCGGCTTCAAAGAGTTGACGTTCACAAGTAACTGCTGATATGAAAAGTGTTCTTGGCTGAAGAACGTCCCAATAGGTGTCATACATATGCCCGGAAACTCTATATTCGTTATGACCGCCGTGCTTTTGCGAACAATCTTCCGAAGTTCAGCAAACTCTTCATCCAGATTTGATGCCCAAACATCTCGGAATGTTATGTCTTGTGCAACCATATCCACTAACTACGCCTGAAATTGACCATTGAATGAAAAACAACAACATTTTAAAGACGAAACAAAATCTTGTCATAAAATTGATCAAAAAACAAATCTAACAAAAAAATAAAAAACATATTTTTAAATCTAAAAAACGCGTCATGCCGACAACTAGTCAAAGCAACAAAGCAAAAAAAGTATTGCAGAAAACATAAAATATAATAATAATTTTTTAAAGTTTAACAAAAATAATAAAGTTGTAAAAAACGCCTTGTCGTTATGACGCATTTTTTAGAAAAGAGTTTTAAGTCTCGCCACGAAGAATTGTGCCAATAAAGACTGCAATTTTATTCGTGATGTGTTTTTGATTGAAGAAACCTGAGATATTCTTCTTTATCGGCACTAGTTTCAATAATGAATTTTGTACTTCTTGCTTTGTTAGTCTCTGTAGCCTATGGTAAGTCCATTTACCTCAAAATTGATGTTTTTGTTAATTGTACATCTGTACTACAATGTTTTTCAATGTGTTTCTTCAAAGGTTTCGCTTGATTTTTATGAGAAATCGTTTATCTTATCTTAAATAAAATTGTATGGAGATAAATGTAAAATAATATGTTTTAGCTGCTAAATGTGAATCTCCTCAACCAACAGTCAGTGGATTCTCGACCACTGATGGTTTCTTCCACTATCATACCTCATATATCGTAGAATTCTCTCTTCAATGCTCAAACAATCCAAAAGTAAGGAATTTGTTATCTTTTTGTTTTTAGAAGTTTTTGCTGATTATAGGGAAATAGTAATTTAATACTTAGTTATTGAACTATAAAACTATAAATACCTTCTTGTGAGTTTCTGTAACAAGTTGCTGTTTTCAGGAAGTTCCACTGTATGCCAAAATCAACGGCAAGATCAACCAAGTAGCTGTATCTGATGAAACAGGTAACTACCAAGTTTCGTGGTCGCTGCCAAACGAAGAATCCTCAGCTCAGACCTTTAACGTTGAAGTCTACGACCAAGACCAATACAACAAGTATGTGAAGGCCAAAGGAGAAGGAGTAGAGCCATCATTCACTGTCAGCCACTACCACCCAGGAGTCACCAGAAACTGGCCCATCTCTTCTGAAACTGTTGCTCTCTTGGTCGGATTCTTGGGTATCTACGCTATCATCAACTACAGAGCCGATCTTAAGGCCTAAATAATACGAGTTATGTAATATTTATTTATTGTAGAATGCTAATTAATGTGATAAAGTTGTTTAAGTTTACAATGAAATCTAAAGGAAAAACGGGCGATTCCAAACTTGAATACCTGTCAATGATAATACAAATAACTTACCTGGAAAAATATGTGGTAAAGTTGAATGTCGTGTTTAGTATATTATAAATTATATAGCATCGTTGTAGTATGTTGCCGCGTTTAATGTGCGCAGCACGAGGGAGTGCTTTGATATGTTTGCGGACTACTAGCTTTACTACAAGAGCTATGTCAGGCCCAAAAGAAGTTGTGAAGGAGGCTGTGGTAAGCTACATTACTTATCCTTAATATTTGTACTTAATGTCTACTTGAAATACTACTTTAACTAAAATTATTTTGAAAGTTGATTTAAAATGAATGTTCAGAGACGAAGATTGTTACCGAACAGAAGGTTTCGTATCCTGATGACAGAAGACGAACGTGCAGCCAAGTTAACAGCCATTCAAGCAGCTCAACAAGAAGTCGTGCCTCCAGGCATTTTTGCAAAGTTTAAATTTTATTTCAAACGGTATTGGTATATTGCAATTCCCGTCTATTCAGCAACATGTGTAATGTGGTTCTGCGGACTGTTTGTGGCTGTCAAAAGGTAAGTAATTATCTGGTCATACTTGTGCGTTGTCTACTGTAAGGGTACAGCCATATTTTGATTACAACTTTTACTTTTCAGTGGGATAGATGTCATACAACTGCTTCAGACCTTGCACATGCCAGATTCGGTGATAGAAAAGGTCAAAAGCATCCCAGAAACAGCCGGGAAGCTCGTTATCACCCTTTTATTGTACAAAGTAAGTCATTTCAATTGTGATGTGTACCTTTATCTAAATTTTCATTGAAGTGTAAGCATATTACATTACATTTATAGTTAGCTACGCCTCTTCGCTACGTGACTGGTCTAGTTGGTATCCGAGTGGCGTTCGTGCTGCTTCGGAAGATGGGGCTACTGAGGACGGCTCGTGAAGTTGAATTCAGTGTCAGAACACGATATGCAGATCTCAATCGCCGGCGCATCCAGGCAGCCGCTCAGTCTATGGCCAGGATAAAGAACAAAAAAGGAAAGTCAAACTCAACTTAAACAGTGACATTGCTCAATGAAGGGTAAAGCACTAATGTTAACATTGACATACTGCTCTAGATTTCATGGTATTACTTTAGTTGATCCACATTGGAACTGTCCATATGTAAATTCAGCCAATTAGATGTTGTTACTGATGTTTGTCATATTTTGATTGTTATAGACAATAAACCTTTAGCTTTACATTTGACTCTTGGGTATACGGTATCTTTTTACCAAAATATATTACGTTAGTATGATGCAAGTACCATATAAATGTACAAAGACATTTAGTTGTGGTTTCTAACTTGATATTGTGGTAATTGATTACTGTAGGTTTATGTTGAACTTGGTGAGAAGGATGAGTACGGCCATTGAATCAGGCAAGCACATGATCGCCGTGTGTCAGCTAACTTGTAAGAACGATCTGAATGCCAACTTCGAAGTGTGCCAGAAGTTTGTAAAGGAGGCTGTTGACAAAAAGTGCAAGGTAAGTTGTGTTTGATTAATTACAGTAATTAAAAGAGTGATATATTGAATAGTTATGTTAATCAAGATATTGTCATCTTGGTTTATTTGTGAATTATAGTCTAGTACTTTGACATACTTTAGATGGCATTCTTCCCAGAATGCTTTGATTACATTGGAGAGAACAGACAAGAGACTATAGACTTGGCCTTCAACGAGGATTCTGAGTTCATGAACAAGTTCAAGCAGCTGGCCAAAGACAGTAATGTTTGGTTGTCACTTGGTGGCTTTCACAACAAGGTAGTGTTACTCGGTTCCTTTAAAGAGTTAAATGATTACGTTATTAAAAGGAAATGTAAAGATCTTACGGTGCTTACAATAAAATGCTTCATGTAATACATAAATATTAACTTCAGAAGTTGAAATTAGTTTTTCAGTCCAAAGACGACCAACTACCCTTCAACACCCATATTGTGATAGATTCAAGTGGCAAAACCCAGGCCCAGTACCACAAGCTCCACTTGTTCGACCTTGACATCCCTGGTCGTGTCAGATTAATGGAGAGTGAATTCAGTCGAGAAGGCACCGATCTTGTCAAACCAGTCCAGACTCCAGTTGGAAATGTTGGCCTTTCGATCTGTTACGACGTCAGATTCCCAGAACTCGGATTGTGGAATCGGTATCAAGGAGCTCACGTATTAACTTATCCATCCAGCTTCACTATCAACACTGGACTAGCACATTGGGAGGTAGGGAGATTGTTTATTCTTTTTGGTTTACATTGTTATTGTGATAGCAAGTTAATGCGTTTCATCTCTCTTACAGATTGTTATTTTAAAGTTATAGTTACTGCATAAGTTATCTTTAGAGTTTGTTAAGAGCACGTGCTATCGAAACTCAATCGTATGTTGTCGCTGCAGCCCAGACTGGGAAGCACAATGAAAAGAGATCATCGTATGGACATTCCATGGTGGTCGACCCCTGGGGCGCTATCGTATCTCAATGTTCGGAACGGGTTGGTAAGTTATGAAATCATACAACCATTATGTAGTGATTACTTAACTTCTTGAAAAATTCATTAAAAAATTGATTTTAATAGTATTGTTTAATTACTTGCCTTATTTAGACATCTGTTTTGCCGAGATCGACTTGGACTATGTCAAAGAGATTCGACAGGTACAGCCAGTAATCGCACACAGAAGAAGCGACCTCTACAGTATCCACTACAATAGTGTACAGAAAAGTAAGTTTAAGATAAAATGGAATAAACGTCATTCAAATCCCCTTTCCAGACTACGAAACTTTGAAATTCGCTGAAATCCCGATTCCTCCAGAACAAATCTTCTACCGATCTGAATATTCATATTCCTTTGTCAATTTGAAACCCGTCGTACCTGGCCGTAAGTCAAATTGAACCCATAATTAGCTTTTTTGCAAAATTATTGTCTACTGTAAATCACATTGTAACAAACCTAATAATGCACAATACAGAAGAAGATGCCTTTCAGATGTACTTGTATCGCCCATTAGACAAGTGAAACGACTAACTGATTTGGATGACAAGGAGACTGCCGATCTGTTCATCGTCGCCAAAAAGATCCAAAAGTTCCTGGAAACGTACTACAAACTGAATGCAACCACCGTATGCGTACAAGATGGTGCTGATGCTGGACAAACAGTACCAGTAAGTAAGGTCTTCGCTAAATATGACGTGCTTTTACTATAGTTAAAAACATATTTTCTAAAGCTAACGTCTGCCTAAATTATGTATGTTATTCTGAATTACTACATTCTATAAAGATCACAGACTTCTGAACATATTATCAGTAACGTTTCAGCACGTCCATGTTCATATTCTGCCGAGAAAGAAAGGAGATGTTGGTGACAACTCCGACAACATCTACAACGAGATCGAAAAGGAACGAAAGGCTCGCGATCCAAAAGAAATGGCAGAAGAAGCCAAACTCTACCGTGATTTACTTTACAAGAGCTAACTAGTATAACCTACTATGTATTCTAATAATTTATAGGCAACTACTGTATAAATAATCTATTATAACAGAAAATACTATATTATCCTAGATTACGTGAATTCTGTTGTCACAAAGCCCGCTTCTGAGCTGAACTCTTCCTCCACGTTGGCCAACAACAACTCGGCAGAAGGCTTCTTACCTCCTCGTCTTTTGATTCGCTTCATGGCTTCTTTCAGTCGCTTCTGAAGCTGCCGTTCCACGATGAATCTGCCCAACATCTTCATCACCTGCACCATACCCCCAACTACAGGCGGTGAGAACATGATTCCATAAATGGAAAAACAATCCAGAAGTACGAACATGTACCGTATATAGACTTGGGAAGCAGCATATGGTACTGTCTGAAAACAATGGCATGACTTTGAACATGTATATATTAATATGTGAGAAAGACTTATGATAACGTGACAAGTCAAGACAATCTCCATTTCAAATCTTTATCCAACTTACTAAAACAAGAAGTCGGCCGTAGACTTGTAGCAACCTGACATCACCGTGCCTTCCAGTTACATTCAGCGGTCTTCTGAAGTCCAGAAATAAACTGTCGTGCTCGATTGCAGCCAACTCCTAAAGAATAACAACATAAACCACGTAAACTCACATCAAGATTGGCCTTCTCCCATGGTTTTCGCTTCAAATTCCAGTACACGTATATTAATATTGTTAGTATAGCCAAACAACAGTATGCTGAGGTAGACGGAGATGCTTCAAATGCATTAACAACAAAATTATCAAGTCCAACTATTAATAACGTAACAATAACAGCTTCAGGTAGTTCTATTTCTCGACCTAAACATGAAAATAAGCCTAAATATTAAAGTATGATTTTAGGTAACAAATATTTTTTCGTGACTCATATGTATAAAAAAATCATTTAAAGCATGCTTCTCATAGTAAAACCAAATTGAAATAGAAAAATAAGCCTACAAACATATTCACCACTATATTATCTATGATTTTGTTACCCAAAAAGCACATACAAGGCTGATTAATAGTGAGAATCTGCTCGATAAAAACAAAAATCGCAGCTATACATAGTAGAATGTTAGTAGCCCCCGATCCAATAATTCTTTCGTCACAATTCGTCCACACATGATAAGCGTTAATGGAGCACAAGTGGATGAAGATGATACCCTTCCGAGTTCGACGGAATACAGGACAACACGATGAGACAGCTACAGTCGCTCCAGCTAATATCACAGCCAAGCCACGAAGCATTGTCACAAAGAGCAACCTTTTGGCTGACTAACAAAACACACAACTCTACAAAGCATACACATAACACAATATAATCTGTAAAAATCCTAAGCAAACACATGATAATGTACTAAAAGCAACATTTTCTGAAAAAAAACTAATTTCTTTTCGTATTTCTTTCGTATTTTATGTAAAAACTTCATAAGTATTACCTAAATAAAAGGCATTTTCAAAAAATTTAACCTTCTGAACAATATAAATCATATGAAATTAACAAAATAACTTGAAGAGGATAAACTTACATTTTCGTAAAGGAATTAACTGTTACATTCCACAAAATAAAATAATTTCGACGTTTTTTTGTCAAATGTCTCATTCATTTTTATTCTTTAGAAATTCCGAAATCTCGGAATGTTTTTTTTTAAAAGAGCTGCGCCCGGACTTTGCAGTCTGCAGCACAAAAAAGTTTACCATGAAAGAAAAAAGTTTTTGCCAAATTCGGCCGGATATCTTCACGACTAGGTTAATGGTTATTGTTTATGGAAGCGAAGAAAAGTACAAGATAGACTTAAGTACTGCCGTTGGTTTGAACTTTGATGGGGATGGTTTGAGATTGGGTTTGTTGTTGTTGTTGAGGAGCTTGAGCCGTGATAGTGAGTTGACCTTCGCCGGTCAAGTTGCTGGTCACTGACTCTGGGGTCGCGTTCTTGGGCAAGTTGAATTTGCGGACGAAGGAACGTTCGATGGAGCCGAGTTCATCTTGTTTCTCACCGTGCTTGGCTTCGATCACGATTTGGCGGCCATTCACCGATACCTACAACAATATATCTTTGAAGCTTTTTGTTTCAGGGTTTGTTTTTCATTTTTTTTGGAAGCAGGGACATGTAAAAACTGTTGATCTTGTTGCAAAGAACCGTATTGTTACCTTGAGGTCTTCTGGAGCAAAGCCAGAGACATCCAAAATGGCATTGAGAGAATCGTCGTTGGAGGAGAAGCTTCCAGCACAGTTACCGAAGTGGTAGTTGTGGGGGGTGATGAAGCTTGAGGATGGGAGAGATGGGATCGAGAAAGGTATGCCTCCGCTTCCAGCAGTCACGGTCTGGAACGGTGAGCTGATTCTGACAGTCGGCTTTCCTCCGCCTTCTTCGATCACTTTTCGTTCGTAGGTACGGTTGTATGATGAGCTATGATTGTAACTCATGACTGTGCTAAAAGGATTTTCATTATTCGTAGTAAAGTGGTATAAAAGCAAGTTACGACAAGAAGTTGTGTGGTAAATATACTGTAATGGAATACAACTTTAATGTTAGTTATATCTTATAGTACTTGATATTAGATTTAGCTATGCTAAGATAACAAAGTCTAGAGATAGAATATACGCAATACTTTTAAAATAGTAACTCAATGTCATAAGAGATTAAAAATAAGCAAAACATTTGAGGAGAGACCAGATGTGCATATTAATGTAGATGATGACTCACTGCCAGACTTCAGAACCTGGATCTTCGTTGTTATCAGCCATGTTATAGTAGTCAAAACAAGAGTTAAGAGATGATTCCCTAATAAACCCCAATTGCGTGTGGACTAGCCGAATCCGGGCTTTAAAAGGTCAGACATGAGAAGCGAATGTCTGCCGGAACCCAAGTACAGAGTAAAGCAACTGGAGTAACATGGTGACTATAAATAGACACATATCTGACTATGTGTAATGATAAAGTACAATATATTGTTCAATTGTAACATGAAATGAACCTTGCTGGTCAAAAAGTATATGGATAATGACTTGAAATGCTAGACTTTAGCTGTTTTAGACACAGACGTCTACTTTTTGACCTAATTAGTACTATAAATGTTTACAAATTTTCAAAGTGGTGACAGTAATATAAGTGCCTTAAATACTAGTACAAAAGCAAAATCACAATCATAATTTACAAAACCCCAGTCGTACATCTTTGTTGATAGAGGGAGAAGCGACAAACAAATTAAAAAGGCTAACAGCAGGTTTATTCTCGGTCAGGTGGATCAAGAAGTGAGTAGGTGGGGACGTGGCCATAAAACCCGGCCCCAGCATTTCTCGGCACCTGTCGTCGTATCTTTTTTAGAAAAAACAAGGCATGTACAAGTGGATGACAACGAATACGCATCTCCGAATGGCATAATTCTATTCTCATTTTCAGACAAATTAAATTATCACTCATTTCATAAAAAAAGGCAATAGATTGGAGAAAAAGTACGTAGAATAGTTGTTGATGTAGATTATGGTCTCTTTGTTGATCGATTTAATTAATGACAAGTTAGGGATCGCTTTGTCGGGATGTGATCGTTTTTCATTGTAGAGGTAAACTTAAATAAATAAGTATAAAAACTTTGAAATCAAGTACTGTAACTTTGTAAAAGCGACTACTTTTGTTTATTTCATAAAAGTGTTGGTTCTATTAAACCTGATACAATTCACTCATCTATTAGATCATAAGGGGCTCAGGTAGTATAGTACCCCGTGATATTATAATACCCCCTGCAATATTATAGTACCCCAACTCAAATTTATGTATTTTAAAGTATATTTTGTGGACAAAGCGGTCTAAAATGTCTTCGTGTTTACTTAGTGGAGTACTCGACTACTTAGTATAGTACTATACTAAGTAGTTGAACACCACACTAAGTAGTTGAGTACCCCACTAAGTAGATTAGTACCCGACCACAGAGTTTGGTACTATACTAAGTAGTTGAGTACCCCACTAAGTAGATGAGTACCCTACCACATAGCTTGGTACTATACTAAGTAGATGAGTACCCGACCACAGAGTCTGGTACTATACTATGTAGTTGAGCACCCTACTAAGTAGTTGAGTACCCCACTATGTAGATGAGTATCCTGTCACAGAGTTTAGTATAATACTAAGTATTAAATATGTACAAACGAATTTAACTTACCTAGAAAAATCGTGTTCGTGAGCAACGATGATCATAATTTGATCCAAACCGTTGTACCCACGCCTGACCTGTATTGTTCTTCCTGGAATGCCATAGGAATTGGTAAATCTATGCAAGGTCTTTTTGTAACGTTTGTCAACCACTTGTACCCACACCTCTACCATTGAACATACCATCAAACATTATGCGATCGAGGTCCTGCAGTGTCCGACCGTCCATGACCGCAATGGAAACGAAACAATAAATAAAATGAATCGGATTTCCGATTACGCAAATTGAAAAAAAAAATAAAAAATCGTCAGAAAATTTGTTTTTTTGGGGTACTATAATGCAGTAAGTTGGTGGGGTACTATATTACAACTTTTGGGGTACTATAACTCTTGAGATCATAACCTTTGTCATAGTCAGTAAAAGACCACTAGTAATGAAAATGGCAATTTATTCCTTTAAATCATACATGTCCTTATACATCTTACTGGAATAAACATTTTTAGTAACGTTGCCATAAGCACTAAATAAGGCCAATTATTCAAAATTTAATAAAGGCGGCAGCACTGTTCTCTCACATCGTCAAGCACATTCTTTATTGGAATATTTCAACAACATAATCATCCATACAGATTAAGAGTTTATTGTAAAAATCCTGGTCATTTTTAAAGCATTGATATTGTCGTTTGGATGACATATATTTAGTTACACTCACGGTAACCTGCTGGCTTGCTAATTGTATGTTCTATCAATGCACATGGTACTGTTTTTTTGTAAGACGACTTGTCTAGGGTAGTATGTTGCTTTTACTCTCGTTGAAATTGGTTTTGTTTTTTGGTACTATAAAAAGCAAATGCAATTAAGCACGTACTCTGGAAGGAAGATGTTGTACTCTGATAGTGTTTATATATCTTGAAAACGCTACTGATATATTTATCACAAAGATTTTAATACTACATATTGTGCCACTACCTTGGTAGACGCTTCTCTGGTCAAAACCTATGTAGAACTGTTTTTACTTTTGCTGTAAGATAGTTGATTAAGAACTGATTTTCTCTCTATTATTAATTAGTTTACAACACTGGTGCCCTTTTCTGTAATTAGCCGCCATGAGTAAGACTGTTCTACAACTGACTGATCAGATAAAGCCGACTTTGATTACTGTACAAGAATTACTAGAAGATATAAACCAACAAAGTAATTGGCTAGAAAATGGTACTGTTCGCAAAGTAAGTGTCAACCGTGGTATATATAGAATAGCTTGTTCTAATCATCACTTTTAATAATAATCACCACTTTTAACTGCTCTTGATATTTATTATGTCGTATGTTTAGTATAGTGTAAGATACCGTACTCTAGGTTGAATCCTCCTCTATCTACATGGGATTCAACTCTTCTGTAGTCCGATTGTTCTTAACCTTGGACAACAACAATATGGTCAATATTATACTGAAACAGCCGACCAGTCAGTTCGATACAGACAGCTACAATCCTTTAGAGAAGAGTTTTACCAAGAATATATGTCTCTTTCACAATCAAGAGATTCTGTTCTACCGTACATTCTCGCTCCACTTCTCTTGTATCAGATTTCCAAATATGTATGCTTCACGACAGAGTAATGTTACTACGGCTCAACATGGCTACATTGCACTCGAAGACCTGGGGCCTTTCGGTAGTACTAAATGTACTCTTCGAGGATTGGATTACTCTCAAGTAAGTTTTATCAGGTTGTCCAAATATGAATGAGCCAAAATGTTCAAGATTTGGCGCTTTTAATGGCTCATCTATATTCGGACAATCTGATAGTATGAATGTGGCAAATTACTGCAAATAACGGATTTTTATATTATAGTAGAGAACATCATTATGTTTAGTGTGTTAGTACAATACAAACTATGGCCAAATACCACGCCTATTCTCATGTCATCGGATGTGACAACAAATTGTTTGATTCTATGGAAACCGCCATACCTTCCCTCGATCTGATTCCTTTCAATCTGTACGACCATGCTGTCAAGTTCGAGCCTAAATTAGAAGCCTACAAAGATCAGATCAACTTGTTTTTACAAACTCGGGATATGCCTGTAGATGTCCACAAACAGTTTGGTAAGTATAATATTAGGTGCCTGCAAAAGTTTTAGGCCAACTTTTGTTTTTAACAAAATTTAATATTTAAAAAAAACAACAACAACTAATTAACAAATATACGTACCATTACTACCGACGACCTGTTGCCAAACCTTCGGCACCATTTGAATTCAACTTCTGTAGAAACCTGAAGATTTAAAATTGAAAAAGTTAGTCGGCCATCTCTTGGGGTCCTCTCGATTGTCAAAGCGTGTTGCGTTCAGGTGGTTTTGAAGAGAGTGAAACAAATTATAATTTGTAGGCGCAACATCAGTTGAGTACAGTGCATGTGGCATCTCAGCCCAGCCGAGGCTTTTCAGCTTGTGCTGGGTCAACTTCGTCACATAGGCGCGAGCAGTATCATGAATCAAGAAGACTCGGTCCTGTTTACCATGCAATGCTGCCGCAACAGAGTTAATTTGTTTACAGTAGACTTCCACAGGGATCGTAGTTCCATGTGGTACCATTTCCCAGGATACAATAATTGTTGAGTTTCACCAAACATTGAACATCCCACCAGTGGGTAAAGATCAGTTCTTGGAGTTGATACATCCTGTTCTCTACGTCCACGCCATTGTTTCTTCGTGGTGTGATTAACATACAGTACCCACTACTCATCCCCAGTAACCAAATTGTCAAGCCATGCAAAGGTCCTTGGGAACGTCAACAAATAAGTGCAACTTCCACTTAGCGTTTCAACTGGTCGCTGTTGAAATCATGTGGAACTTCTTGACCATATTTCCATGATCTTCTAAGGACGTGAAGTCTAGTTAATATGGTAGAGGGTCACACTGAAGCTCTACAGTCAAATGAGTACAGGTTTGTTTGGGGTCTTCTTCCATCAGCGTCAGAAGGTGGGGTTTCTTCAACACTGATAGTCTACCAGATCGAACTTTTCGGACATGTCAAAGTCCCCGTCTTTGAACTTGTGGAATCAAACTTTTGTAGTGTCGTAAGAGACAACTGAAGGCCTTACAACACTGCATATTTCCTTCGTCGCTCTTGTTGCGTTGCCGTGCTCACGGAATTTGCAAAGCAACATTACCCTAACATGCCCTTGTTTTACCTTGATTTCTTGAACTACCGTAAACAACAGAAAGCTTGAACATGCAATAGTTTTTAGTCTTTGGACACCTCTTTATATAGGTTTTCAACAGAAAGTTCTAGAACTGTCCAGAATTTTTTGGGAAATTTTAGAAAAATTGGCCTAAAACTTTTGCAGGCACCTAATATATTAATAAAGCATCAAATTGGATTTTAATTAAATAAACAGAAAGTTAAATGATTTTAAATATCAACTTTACTTGTTACTTATACTGCAGATTATCCAGCAGTTCTAGTCCACGGAGACCTCTGGGCTGACAACATATTATTCAAGGACGACAACGTTCTTTGCTTTCTGGATTGGCAATGTTCTCATGTCGGTAAGAACCATACGATCAGCGAGAGCGTTGGTTGTTTATTGTTCTTGAAGTGTAAAAATGAATATATTGCACTGAGAAAAGAAGATGTAATCTTAAATTTAATCAATTTGTTATCTTAGGTACTGGTCTGGAAGACCTGGCCAAGTTTCTGTTTATGTCAGCTTATTCTGACGTCCTAAAATCCCAGATTCCTGATCTTTTAAAGGTATATTATGAAGCGTTCAAGGCTTCTATGACTGAATATAACCGAACATTCGAAGTTACATTTGAAAAAGTAAGTTTTACAGTCTAGTACAGTATGACCGAAACCGTGAATATTATACAATTTTTTTTGTCGCATTTGCCACTTACAGCTGATGTTTTGTCAATGTAATATTTTAATATTTTTAGGTAACAAAGATCTTCAAGCACCAAAGTTCATTCGAGTACCTGTTCTGTATGTTGGTACTTCCACCGTATGCCCAGAAAGCGACTTCTGAAGCAGGGAAACAAGAGTTGCGCAACCGTTTAGTGCACGTCATCGAGTATCTTACAGAATCAAACTTTTCATGCGGTTTATTCTAGCTTTACCTTGTTCATGTCTGACTACTTCGGTGCTAAAGTCTCAAAAATATAAATATAAATCTTTTAAAAGTAAGATTTATTCATTAAGTAAGCAAGAAAATTGCACAAAAATAACAATTAAGTGATCACAGGTAATGCCCTCGGGCTGACTAGTCTACAAGTTGGCAATGAGTTGATGTTTCTCTTCTAACGTCATCGTACTTTGAACTCGAAGGTCGCGTTTCTTGGGTTTCAGAAGCTCGCGAGCTTTCTTAGCACTCATTTTGAAAATGTCCACGTTTTCATCTAAACGTAAGTAATATAGACATATTGATGTAAATATGTTGTTAGAAGTGAATGCTATTACTACTTGAATTACTATTTATGTGTCAAAAAGCAAAAAATTGTTTTTGTCATTTACAAAAAATATTCTTTCTCAACTTTTCAATTTACTTTTCGACCAGTATTTATCATAAAACATCAGTCAAGTAATACTAAACAGTACCTTTCTCCGGAGAACTCAGCGGACTCGAATCCGTCAATGAATTCCTGACCGAGATTGGGGCCAATGGAGCCGTGTTGTTGTAGTTGTTGATGACGTGCTTCTGAAACCACAGTGTTACCATAAACCAAGTAAAGTAAGAAAAGATAGTAGCAAATAAAACGGAAATTACATTTTGCTCTTCCCTTGGTGGAGGTACCGAGCTGAATACCTTCTCCAGAAGATCGTCTGGAGATCCAACAGCAGCGTTCTCAACGTTCTGAAGATCTCTGACTTCAGAGCTCACGGAATTGTCAGATTCGTGGACTTCGGAAGTCTCAGACGTGTCCCGAGATTCGTCTTCCTTGGCTTCAGAAGGCAAATAAACAGAATCCGTCTGAGCGTCTTCTGGAGGCTGAAATAGGATAAACTAAGAAGGGCAAAGGTTTAAGCTGAACACAAAGATAGGATAGGGTAAAATAATATGCTAAATTGAATTCTACATCATCTGATCCATGTAAAATACAAATCGTAATGATATACGACAACACTAACCGTATAAAACGACGAGGCACTAGGGTAACCCTAAAACACAAAAAAAAATCAATTTACAGAGGTTGGTTAAAATTAATCAGAAAAATTTAAATTTTAGAATACTAAGTGCTCTATTATTGTGTATAATGCTATAAAAATTCCTTTTAAAAACGAATAACACAAATTAGTTAAAGTAAGCCAAGTTAACATACCTGGGAAGTTCCGTTAGCTCTGTGACTTGATATTGTAGCAGTGCGTGACGTTAAATCTGCTGTAATGTATGCTCTATGTACCTTAGCCACATCAAATGAATATGGAATGCCATTTTCGGTGTACCATCGATCTACATCTTCAGAAGCGACCAGAAGAGAGGTATCTAATGGGTCTCGTTTTATTAATGCCACTACTTCCTAAAACAATAAGTTAGCCAAAATTACAAAAGCATTTTTGTGTAAAATTGCAATATAGAGTTGTTTTCAATTTGTTGCACAAATTTATGTTTTTATCAACGAAACTATTGAAATCTCGTCCATTTTTATTGCGAGTCGAATGTGACATTTCGTCTATTTTGACAGATCTTTGTTTTTTTTTTGAAAAATGTTGAAAAACTTGCTTTGTGTGGACTGGAAGGATAGATGAGTTGACCGTTAACTCCAACAATTCTCTGGCCAGTTTCTAGACCGGCAAAGTCAGCTATACCACCTTTGTCGACAGATCCAATGAAGTGGCCTTTGTTCCTTTCAGCATGCAAATTAAACCCAAATTCATGGTTTGGACTAGTCTTCTTCTGCAAATTGTAAGTTTTTTAAATTTCTTTGCCATCTTGAACGATTTATTATGCGGAAATTTGATTTTGAATTATCAAAATATGATTTTTATTAATTACAACATTGTACTTACGAGCTGACAAAGTAGTGGCCGAGGTGTCATGGGCGGGGTACCGGCTCGGTGTGCAACTGGAGCTTCTGCTGGCTTTTCCTGAATAATATTACAATAACCAGATCAATGGAAAAGCCGGGATTAACAAAGGCAAGCGGCTTTTCCTCAAAAGCCTCAGGGAAAAGTGCGTGAATCAAAAGGTAAAAGGGTTAGAAATGGCCGAAATGTTACTACAATGCTTTCAATGGGACAATACTATCTTTTCTGGAATGGTATGATCGTATTGTCAGTGTGAGACCGCGTCTAAAGTAATATAAGGTACTTGAAGGAGGAACTGAAACAATGTTTGAGGAAGATCTAAAGTAATATTGGGTACTTGGAAGGAGTTTAAGGTATTAGAATAATTCTTCGACACAGCCTAAAGTTATATTTATAAGAGTAGAATATAACGTAGTATAAGGGTCTACAATGAATCAAACTATGAAGTCAGAAGACTTCAAAGTTGTTGTAAGGCGCGAATCTAAAGTAATATTTGATATTTGAGTCCAGACCTTGACTCTCCCTCATAACTAACTTGCTCTAATTGAATTCTCTCACGTCAAGGTCAACGGAACTGTAGTAAAACCATTATAAAAACAAAAGGAGCAGTGGGACAGGACTGTCAAACCTCTCTTAATTTAGTCAAAAACTGTCGCAAAAGCCTCTCGAACTGTCACAAAACGAACAAAACCCCTGAGGCAGTCAAATTGGGAGTGTCGCAAGAGAACGGATCGCATAGAACAACAAACAAATCAAATAGATACCTAAAATGACACACAAATACGACCCTCTCGAATGACCTCAGATGGATATAACATGAGAGCAAACAACCAGCCGGCTCACTCGAGATCGCTTTATATTATGCATAGTTGTAACGTGAACTAAGACGGAATTAACCGAGCGTTGAGTCAGCGGTTTAGTCATAAATTCGAGTGCGACGTCAAGAAGTTACTCCTCGTTACGATCTCCAGGAACAACACAATTGTCTTAAACTCTGAAGTTCGAACAGATTTTGACGTCAGAACCCTCGAAATTTAAATTTTGAAAAGCATCTTCAACATAAGTGATAAGATAATTGATAAAACATGATTTTAAAGGTGAGGCTTCAGAAAAGGCCTCAGAATCCAAAACCTTCACAGGAATGGTTAAAAGATCTACAAAAGGTCGCCATAACAAGATACGAAGCTAATTAATGAGTCACTTGAAGAAAGAAATGTTTCTCCGTAATCAGAGCCGCCGATCTTAATATAAAGTTCCCGGAAGAAGGCATCGCTCTCTTCGATGGCCGTTTTCACAAAGAAGTCGCGCAAACAAAGCCATCACCCACCGTGCAAACATACCACCATAAACAGTCACCTGCCCCACATGGCTTCTGGAGGTTCATTCTGGTTCTAACAGGTTGTGATTAGCTTCAGAAGGCTGTTTGGTTTCAGATGTTGTCGTAGCTTGATTTTATAGATATTTTTAGGTGACATTGAAAGCCTGGTTCTAATTTTAACTTATACTACTCGTTATAGTATGATACTCAAGAGTTATAGCGCATCTGAAGACTTAACTGATGCTGACAATTTCTAAGATTTAGTTATTATTGTTAGTTAATGTCACCATGATGACAGTTTACATTGTTATCCGAACTGAATCCGTCACCAGAATGCCTAACACCTACCTTTAACTGGATTCTGATTCTAGAAACGTAGATGTCAGAATTGAAAGAAGTTCCTCGGGAGCTGAATGATGAGCGTGGATGTACTGAACTGCTCGAACTGGATGGGCAAAGACTCTAGGAAAGCACATAGGACAGGGAAAGGGGTTCACAGCAAACTTACGGTATAGTACAGTAATCAGAAGTCAATTAACTTACTGTAGAAATTTGTAAAACTTACAGAAACCGGTCGTACGATGTTGGGAAGGTCGTATGTTATGGAAATCTGGTTGTTCTGGTACCACAAGAAATCAGGCTCTGAGAGGACGAAAAGTTCACAGAACAAGGGATTGACCTTGATCTTTTGGACAACCTAAGTCATGTTATTTAGCTCTGAATATACGTCTGGCTTTAAGATTATACTGACTTATACACTGTAAACTACATAGATAGTTACTGCGGTAAAATATCTTTTCGCCCCTTGAGAAAGCTACTGTAACTTTAGCTATCCTACCTCCTTGTGTGGGATTCCGATGACCAACTCCCCATTTACACCCACGATCCGGTCGTTCTTCTTCAGTCCACCATGATCGGCCGGACTGTCCCCATCCACTGATCCCACATATTGTCCTTTACTCTTCTCAGCGTGCAGGTTGAAGCCGTATTCGTCGTCGCTGTGCGTCTTCTGAATCCGACAAATGCGAGGGGAGGGCGCGTCTTGGGGTAAGGCAATGTTCATAACAGCATAAACGTCTGAAACTGTACTGATAACGACAAACAAAGCTATTAAATGACTCATAATATGCGATACCAAAAATTGTACACGCAAAAAGTGTCACAAGGAATTACAATTGGTATATGCTCTGTTTTTGGGTGTGGTATTTGCAATTGTAATTTAGGGGAGATACTTTTAATAGAAAATCATATAAACGCGTATTTTACAAAATGTCATATAAAAATACACAATAATTTCTTGTTTATGTATCATTACGTCATGAAAGGGCCCAGAAGTTACCATTAACCTAAAAATGGCCAAAGTATTTAAATTCTAAGCATTTTTGACCATAATTTATGAAAAGTTGCACAATTTTTCCTCCAGCCATTATACAAATTCAAAGTACCTTAACATTAAAACCCCTTATTTTTAAATTTCAACCATAACATCCTTACTATAACTACAATTACAATATTATTTTAAATTACAGTTGAAACAACAAAGTGTTACCAATCAAATGAAATAGAACAAGCCAGCCTTGTCCTTGTTTTTTCGGGAATAATCCATCCCCAAACGGGAAAGGTGACCGAGTAAGGCAAGGGAACAAGAAGACCTCGATTCGAAACAAGAGTGCACTGATAAGAGCAACCAGAGGCAGCAGGATAGGTGGGTCTCCCACTTATGCAAAGTATTACATTCCAATCAGGTTTGATGTTATGTTATTTACCCACTTTCAGTCTATGTATTAGTCTGTTAACTAAGCAAAATATTTTTTAAATAATTTATTAGGTTGTTCACATAATTCTGAGCTCCCTTTCAAAGCAGATTTCAGGGGTTAAGAGGCACAGAATCATTTGAACAACCTAATATAGTTTAAAAATGAATAGAACTGATAACCTTACCGTTGATTCTACATATTTTTTGACCGGAATAAACTTTGACAGACAAATTATAAAAGTTTTTTAAAATTACAAATTGTAAATAACTTGGAATCTATCAGCAGAGACAAAAAGCATAAATAAATGAGATGAAAGACCTCGGCATCAATAATTTTTAAAAAATTTGACATTTTAAAATTTTAAACGCTACTACACCCCTCTCCTCCTCCTCTCTCTAAGTCCCCCTCCCTAAAGTAAAATAGCCATCACGGCATTGCTTATCAGAATGTTATTGTTATAGACAGTAAAGATGAGTCATTGACGTGTTACAAAAACAGCTGATATTGCAAATAAATGCGTAGTATAATGTTAATATATATAGTTGGAACATTCTTTCAAAAACATGAAAAACACAAAAAAAAGCTTTTAAAATTTGAAAAAATGTCAAACATTAAACGAAAAATCGTATTTTAGCAAAAATTATATTGTTAAAGCAAACCGACCTGAAAAGTATAACAAAAACGATAATTGACGTACCCAAAATATAAAAAAAAGATTACCCACAACCAGAAAAAAAGTTCTTTGATACATCGTAGATAAATTGAAAAAAAATCTAATACCGATTACAACTAACCTTTCAAATCGCTCTCCACAATTACCCAAAACTATTCAAAAGTACCCCCATAAAAGTAATTCAAAAGTATCCCCCCCCCTATAAAGTAATGCATAGCTAACCCTGTATTGTAACCCAAATGGTGGCCAGTAAGCGAGAGCGACAAGGTCGTTCTTCCTTCTCTCGATCGAGCGATGGAAGGCATTAATAACGTCTTTTCTTTCTTCTGAAATCGACCGGATCTTATTTGAGGTTGGTTTCTCTCGCCGCTTTTAATTGCGATCCAACTTCGAAGGCATGCAAATCTCAGCCAATTCGCTTTGACTGTGGAGGTAATAGCCAGTTACACCGTTACAACTGGAGGCTATTACAGGCAAAGGAACTTTTATTGATTAAAAGTTAAAAAAAGAAAAGTAAACGTTCAAATTAGTACCGAATCAATCATAACATGAGGTTATTAAGGGGTATAATTACTGGAATTTCTATTTTCAAATGCTTTTTAAAATACAAATATAAAAAGTTGAACTATTTTCTATTATAAACTTTTTTAAAAACAGTTTTAAAGCTTCAAACAAGTTCATAGTTAAGAAGTTTTGACTTTTACTTACCTTGGATAAAGATCATTTTACAAAATATCAAATATGTGACACATTATACTCAATAAAAACTGTAAACCCTTGTAATGCCATAAATCCAAAATTGTTGTTACAAACCCAACACCCCTCCCCACAACAAAATTTGTAATTGAAGCAGTTGTATGCATTAAGTAATTCGAAGTCGGAGGGAGAAGAGAATTGGGTATGACAACCTGAAGGAGGGCCTCAGCTGATGAGCTTAATAAAGTTTCTCTTCGAACTTTGCTTAATTGTAATCCTCTGGACAATCGACCCTTCATCCGAATCGTCCCCCCCCCCACCCCACCACCCCCTCCCCCCCCCCATTTTGTGTGCAAAGGGAAATTATTCTAAATTTAAATTGAATTAAACCGTTCGGCACGGAACGTCCGGCTGACTGTTTTTTGGTTCAAAACCACTAGACTGACAATCTATCTTTACGACCAGATTCGCTCCCTCCACAGACAATATTCATTCATTGCTACAACATTCAGAAGGCCTTAATAGGATTCTGAAGACGTTTTTTGCTACACGATTGGTAAGGTTTCTGAACTGAAGGCAACATTGATATTGTTTGGAGGATATTTATTGTATATTCTATTACAAGAATACGATCAATATTGTTCATTGATGGTCATCACTTGTCGCTGTCAGTATGGGAAACAAAAACTCTAACACAAGATCGCAGAGCCAAGGCCCCAACCAACAGCCCCAGATTTTAGTACAGCAACATCAGCAACGAATGAATCGTCGAGCTTCTGAATTCAAGTCAAGGTCCAGTGATCTACCAGGTGAGTCTTTATATGTAATATCATTACTCTTTAACTTTTATCAAATTTATAATAATCAATAATTTTATCAACCATCTCTCAATGTAATCACTGCCATTTTAATTGAATTCTCGACAGTTTCAGACCGTCCCTCCCTCACCGTGCCAGACACTTCTCGAGTCAATCGTAAGTTGCCCTTTTCTAATTGACTCTGCTTTAGGGCGTCGCTGGTCAAGCACGGCGGTTGTGATGCAGAGAAACAGCACGACTAAGCCTAAGAGGTTAGCCCCCAGGCAACGAAATCTGATTATCAAATCTTGGAGTAAGACCAACAAAAACAAAGTGGGCAAGGATATTTTCTACGGTAATGTTTATCGAGTTGTTTTTACTGTGCTATGAGATTGCTTACTTGTTTTACTGCATTTTAGCGTTATTTACTTGTGTATTTTACTGTTTTATAGTGTTATTTACTTGTTAATCCTGCTTTATCTTATTCTTTGGTCAAAAAAATAGTAGAAGAAGTAAAACGAAGTACCAAGTTTACAGAAAAGAAAACTATGTAAACTTATTATATCACTAAATTTAAAAAAAATTTTTTTTATATAATATGTTACCTAATTTAAAAGAAATTTAAGTCAAATTTAACCCTCCTTTATGTTACTACTTTCGACTCATTAGTAGTAAACGTTTAACAATGTTATACTGTTGACTTTCAGCCATTTTCTCCGAAGCCGAGGAATTGAAGCCAATTTTCGGAATCAACTCGGCTTACAGAAGCAAAAAACTCCGAAATGACCCCAAATTCATTTCACATTCGGACCTGTTCATCGACACTTTCGACTTTGTCATCCGCAACCTGGACGACATCAGTATGGTGACAGAGAATGCCGAGCAGTTAGGAAAGTAGGTGGTCGAAAAGTTGATAGAAGCACTAAAAAAGTTGAAATTGGGCAAATTATGCAAATTTTTTTAAATTTAAAAAACAGTTATAAGACCCCAAATAGCGTGTCATAACATCAAAAATTTAATTCGAAAAAATGGCGCAACTTTATTCTGTTTAAAACTAAAATATTGTCTGAACTTCAGAATCCTGTTTTCAGAAAACACGCAAATCTGAAGATCAAAGACTTCAAAACCGAGTATTGGCACATCTTCACCGAGTGTATCGTGGAGAACATTACAAAGGAGATGGACAAAGAAACCCAAATTGCCTGGAGGCAATTAGTGCTCACCCTCACTTTCTATATGAAGTAATTATCTTGTTATTGTATCCCAAATTAGGTCAAAAGACTACACTAATCTTTGTAGAACTATTATTTCTAAAATAATATTATTTTAGGCTGGGATTCGAACGAGAAACTCTGAGAATCAGCAGAGACAACACCAAAAAGTACAGTATCTCCCCAGAACTACGAGACTTTCCAGTTATGTTATTGCCTTGAAATAAACCTTCAAACTTAATATTCTTATATAAGCACGGTACAGTGTTTAAGATAAGATGCCGCGCTACTTTATTAATAATTCAAATTTTGAAACGGTTATAATCAAACAAAAATTTTTCTGCCCCCCCCCCCTTCCTAAACCACAAAACATTTTGCAATTTTGTTAAAAATAAACGTTCAAAGTTTACTCCGTTATTAGTCACTTGCTAAAAAAATTCCTTGTTTGTGACTTTCGCACGTTAATTAATTAGACATCAAACAGGTAACTTTCCCTGTCTAGAAACCTTTCTTTTCTAAATCAATAGTTGCACTCCGTCATTTTGAAAAATAGTTGACAATATTAGGTAAAACCACTTTAAAGGTGAAAAAACAAGCTGATTTTCAATTTTTATTCAGATTTAACAACTAATATTAGAAACTAACAATCCTGTGAGATAAAAAGACATTGTTTTAGGTTAATGTTTCTTGGCTTTCACTGGCTTGGCCTTGTACTTGTCCTTGCCTCCCTTGAACACGTAGCTCTGCAAGAAGAAGTTGACGAACAAGGCCAAGTAGGTAACGTCCATGAACACAGCCAAGACGAACACGCGAGGGTTAAAGTCGCATGTCACATTCTGAAGGTAGATCAACACTCCGAGATGGACAAGAATGCCAACCGAGATGATGAATTGCCAGATCTGGATGGTGGTGATGAACATGGCCACAAACCCAGGGACACGGATCTTCATAGACCTCAAGAAGTAATACCTATAAAATAGTGTTTATAACAGGAGTTTTTAGTTTTAAGTATTCAAACGACAGTATAGGTTTCCTTACTCAAAACATAAAACGAACTAAAGCCAACTTACGAGTACATGAAGGCGTGAACAAAGAAGTTCAAGTAGATTCCCCATCGGTTGAATCCTGGTGTGACTGGGAAGGAGTAAAAAGCGTAGATCATGGTTAGAATGTGATGGTACCAGTGCAAGAACATCAATGGCTTTTTACGCAGTACCAAGAATACTGTATCCACAAGTTCTATCGTCTTGGACAAGATGAACAAGAACATCCAGTAGCCGTTCAATCCCTTGATAAAGGTTGTTGTGTGACAGTAGGATTCTGAAACAAGAACAATATAATCCCACAAATACCTGTTTTACCTTCCAATTACAATTTACTCTAACACTACACCTTTCCACATATAAATCTAAACACAGCAAAATCATAAAAGCCTTACTTACCAGTCAATCCTCGTCCCAAAACTGTGTTCAAGAACTCTGGAGTCATTTTGATAGTTCCAACGATAGAGAAAACGGCCAAGAACAAGTTCCACAAGTTCAGAGGAACAAAAAGGTTAAAAGGTTGTCGATTCCTCATGAAGAATTTAGTTCCAAATACTACGAAGACATACAAAATCGAAAGCTAAAACAATATCCAATGTAAGCAAAATCAAAGTTAAGCAAAATATAAACATTTTTGCAATTATACGTTCTGAATATGTACGAAAACCAAGTAGAAGCATTCGATTTGTTCAAAGAACAATTTAAAATGTAAAAGTTACTCAGAAAGTTATAATTGTTACCTAAATAGCTAAAACAAAAGATTTTACTTACCTGAATAGTTATGAAAAAGTGATTTTCAACCCATTTTTGAGCGGCTTTCTCGTTGAACGTCTTGGCCGATATGATCCCCCACAAGGTCTCGTAGTCTAACTTGAAAGTTGTCAGATCCTGTTTGATCTGATCCCAATCTCCAAATTCGGCCATGGCTGAAATATCATAATTTATCACTAATATAAACTTGTGAAGCGCAAAGATATCAACGACAACATTTATATCTAAACACTTGTAGTGTAATATTGCTATCAAACAATATCACTTATTAAAAATAGAAGTATAAATTACAAAGTTTAAAATATAATTCAGTGGATTGCAACAAATTGAAACCATTTATCATATTGATAAATGTACATTTATTAAATAGCCTAAAACTTTCACTTTTTTTCTCTTATCTTCCACTTCTTTCTTTTTTCCAGACGAAAAACTCTTATTTTTCCTCGAAATTTTAAAATGTCCTCAAAATCCATAAAATATGTCATTAGATTGTCATTAGGTCGCGCATAAAGAGAAATAAATAAAACAAAAGTTTTAAATTATTAAAAATTATTTAAAATTATTTTTTTATTTTAAAATTTACGATTTATTTAATAAAAACCCTTGTCACAATGACACATTTTATATATTTACAAAGAATTGGACAAAAATAAATTATCAAAAAAGTTTAATTTTGAATTGAAAATAAAGATTCTAGTTTGGTCAGGCTATTTTTAAGAACCAAATATTAAACAGAAAGCAATAGGTCACTCAAAATTCTGTTTTATTTTTTGCAACAACATTTTAACTTTTATTGTTTGCAATTCTTAACATTATGTTAATTTAGAAATATAAACAACATCAATTTTATTCAAAAACCCAGTAGCCCATTGAAAACACGGTAGTTATTAAAGAGATGAGCAGGGAAGGCAACTTTATATTAAGACCTTGTTCTAGTGATTACAGTCCAATGATAAGGTCGGCGGGGGTCGGAGAGAGTCGAGGAACAGCGCGCGACCTCTCACGCCACTTCCTGGTCGAACCCCGCCCCTGAGGGGGTAGATACCAAATATTCTCGAATATTTACACTATTGTTCTTGGGATCAGTCAAGCGAATCCGCCGCCAAAATGGAATCCGTTTGGCTTCGGAGCCTTGTAACATGGAGGTAAGGTACGTTACCTCGACGTATGTGTCCTCAACTCATGTCACCGAGTTCCTGTGCTCCAGCACCACCCTCCAGCTGACCCTGACCTCGGTGAGGTTGGTGGTGAACGTGTTCACGTTGGCGCTGGCGTCGGTGATGTTGTTGTTCATCTGCTCGACTCCAGCACTCCACAATAACACATTCAATATTCTGTTCCTTTCGTCGTATGTTGTGGACTGTCTGGCCAACCTCGCCCGCATAACACTTAAGTATCTGCCTATTATTTTGTGCCAAAACACGTTTGTTCAGTACGTTTTTAGTTATGGCCCAGTAAGTTTTCGATGTCCTTGTGTGAACTTGTATGGTGAGCTTGAAGTGATGTCACTTTACAGAATGTGACTTTTTGGGCTTTTTTGGCTGAAAAGTTTTGAAAAAAATTGCAAAACAATACAGTCTAGCATGCTATACTTTATACTTAAAACTTTGTACTTAACATAATGTCATCTTTACCTAGTAGTGCCACTTTCAGTCGCTTGCAACTCTAATCAACGCCTCAGAATGGTACCTCACGTATGCGACAATGTGTTGCGGGTTCTTCTTCAACTTGGATCACATGCTTTTGGTGGTGTTTCCGAAGCACTACGAATGGGTAGGTGAACATGTCTGACATATACTTGAGACAGATAAGCAGTCCCAGGAACAAGAAAGTGATTGTGGTCTTCGTGTGGGTACTGCCCTTTCTCTGCGTGGTACCCATGTTCGAGCAGTGCTGTGGCAGTATCTTCTTCGAAAATACCATGAATCCGGTGTTTTCCAGTCGTGCAGTAAGTCTATCTCTTATAAAGATATATAGGTAATTATGTTATTTATGAAAGTACTATGTCTCGAACATATAATACTATGCACTTCGTATATTGTTTTCCACCTTTTCTCATCAATATTACAGATAGAAGATGTGTACGATACTGTGGATATGTTGCTAGAATCCTTCTTCTACGTCCCCATCATATTCATATTTAACTGTATCACGACTACCGTACTACAATGGAGGTATAGAAAGTTCAAGAACACTGGCACAGGTCAGCTACATCTTCTCATGGACCAAGTCACCATCAACATACCTGAGCGTAACAGTCATGTGCGTTCTGTAGCCAAAAGTAAGAATAAATTGGTCAAAAAGTAAAGAGAAAAGACAAATTAAAACAAAATTTTACGCAAACCATACGTTTTGTTATAATATTACTCTAACTTTCTCTAATCAGTAATAATATACAAGCTTTTACCATTGCAGCTAATGTACTACGCCAACGTCGTGTAGTAGACGAGCTGAACCTCTCTTTGCTGAACCTGATCGACCAGATGGTAGATGCCGTTGGTGTCGTATTTTACCTGTTATTTTGGGCAGGTAACAACAAGTGGATAGACGTTGATATCACCTTATGTATGACATTGTACGATGTAACTTGGGAGATCAGCACATTGAACCAACCTTATATCTTCCTCATGATGTTTCCGAAAATACGACGGAAACTGGTACGATTCTATATGCCACAACGACGAATACGACCACAACGACAACAAACACTAGAATCTTCGATTCACTTGAGCTAATAAATGTTACCTAGGATGACTATAGTATCGTGTGTTACAGTAGTATCATGATATGTTACAGAGGATGTATAGGATGACTATGATAGTATGCTTCGGAGTAGAATGCCTATGGAATATAGCTTGCAAATATGTTACACTAATTTGCAGTAGTAACATTTTCAGTAATAATATAAGGCTATTATTGTTAGGTCGAATGAGGGAGTATAACATAGTAATATACATCCAAGTAATGAACATAGCAAAATAAATGTTCATTACCTGTTGGCTAACGTAGTAATCTATAGTTATTTTGTTAGTACTCACAAGTGCAAGTACTATGTCAACTCTTATTAGAAATTATATTTTTTCTAGAATGCCATTTTAGTTAAACACTTTTTAAATCTATTTTCCTTATCTGGCTGGTCAGTAAGTTAAAAGTTAATCAGCACTGTACCTTCACTTACATCGCTGCATCGTGCTTTCAGTTTGAACATAAAAACTTTTCAAAAACCTACTATAAGATCGGTACCCAGAATTTCTATTAACTTTTTGACCAAACTAACATTCCCTCACCACATAACCTAATGTTGAAATCCTCAAGCTATAGTCCAACCCACATCAAGGTTATTTTAGTAACGCTGACCTCTGAACATCGTTACTCCAATTCATTCACAGCAATTACACTTGTGTATGTAAGGGTCTACATGTATAGGCAATTTAGGTAATGAGCCCGTGTTATGGCCTGTGTAATCGGCTTTCGGCCGAGAGTAACATTCGTGTGATTAGCCGCCTTTTCCAGCCGGCTCCAGAACTTGGCAATCAGTCGCCATTCATAAGATGGTCACCCCTGAGGACAAGGTGGAGCCAGGTCATCTTCCTGGGTTAATATTACTCATGGGCCGGCCGTCTTCGGCCGGTTGTCGCGTACTTTATCCCTTAATCCCCCAGGCATTTTACCTTTAATTGAACACGAAATTTGGTTATTTTTTTGTAATTTCGGTTTGTTTTGGATGCTTTAGCGAGTAAGAAGTTACAGTTTTTTGTAATGAATATAAATTTTGTAAAGTTTAATCTTGACCTTGAATTGAGATTTAAAACTTTACGGTAGTACCGAGTTTTATAAATTTTACGTTTTATTTTCAGTTTTACTGTTATTTTCCGAGATTTTACTTCAATTTTTGTGTTATAATTCATTTTTGGAAGCTTTCTGTAAAAACTATTTTTACCGTACTCTTAACTTACGACTGTGCCAATCTCTGAATAAGGCATAATTTCCTACTCCAATCCTGCAATATAGCGTATTTTAGACTAACGTACGCAAAAAACGGTTGCGTGACGCTGTTTTACCTCAGGGCATTTGGATAATTACAAGTTAGGACTTGGAAAGAGTGAAGTTATGTTGAAAGAGCCTATTCTCGTTGTTCTATTGGTTTTCGTTTGGACACAGGTAAGTAATTCATTTGGGAGCATATTATACTAAACTTGACAATCTCGTGAAACACGATTTTGCTAGTTACTTTGAGACTTTACTAGCATATATTATCATATATTGAGTAAGAAATTGTCAATTTAAGCTCACAAAAGCACAAACCACAACATCGTACTGGGGCTTCGACAACGGGGAACAAACGACCACACAGAACTGGTGGGGCGAGAACGTAGACACAGGAGAAGTCGCCGAAGTTGTCAATCCTGCACCAGACACAACACCTGGTACTCCCCCATCTAGTCCTCAAGTAGCTGCAGCTGGAGTGGTACCAGTAGGGGCAGGAGATGGTACTGAAACTACAGTAGCCCCAGCCGATAGTCCTGCCGCATACGGGGCAGCAGCTACACCAGATGCTCCACCAGCTGATGGGGCCAACTCTACAGCATCAGCCATCTCAAGTAACATGCTTTGGATCCCAGTAATGGGCCTTATCGTACTCAATTAACTTCGTATCTTTCATTGTGTCAACTTTTTACAAAAAATAAATTTTGATAAAAATATATAAATTAAAATAATGACTATTTATCTTCTATATGTTATCTAATGTAGTCAACATACTTTGCTAGGATCCCAACACAACTTCTTCTCACTCATAATCTCCATTTCTCGTAGCTGATCTTGCGATAACTTGACTTCTTTTGCCTTGAGATTCTCCTCAATATGTTCAAATCGCGTGCTTTTAGGTAGCACTGATATCCCTTGATTTAAAGCGTAGGCCAATAATAGTTGTCCTACAGTGCAATCCAGTTCTTTTGCCATATTTAACATCTTATCATTGCTCAGCAAGGCCTTTGAATCAGACGTTCCCAACGAAGAATAAGCTTGAAAATGTACATTGTTCTTTTGACACCACTGTATGACATCGAACGGTCGATATAACGGATGGAATTCGCATTGATTAACAGCTGGATGCACTTTACAGAAGGATAACAAGTGATTCAAGTGAGATACCTCGTAGTTTGACACTCCAATAGCTCTTACTAACCCTTCATCTGCAAGACAACCAGTCACTTATACAGCACAATTACCGTAAGCTCTTTCCAACCCTCGCCACGCCAGCTCGCGAGCTTGTTCGTTCCTTTTGTCAGATGCTCTATACTTGGTCTTCCCAGGCCAATGAATGAGAAACAAATCAATATAATCTACCTCTAACGCCTTCAAGGATTCCTTCACAGACTCGTAGGCCTTTTCTCCGTTGTTCTTTGGATGCAACTTTGAGATCAGGAAGATGTCATGTCTAAATAGTAATATTAAGTCAATTCTTTTAAACTTTATCCTAAAAGTTTATCAATAATACAGTACCTGTCAATCCCATGTTTATTTTCACAGTTTTTCAACGCTTCTCCGACGTATCTTTCATTCCTGTAAACTTGAGCAGTATCCACCATTCTGTAGCCAGATCTGATAGCGTGCTCTACACATTCTTCAACTTCTGGAGTCGACATTAAGTATGTGCCGAATCCTATCATCGGCATGTTTGATTTTACATACTCTACTCCTTTTGTGTCCTTTACTGTAGTCATTTTGCAAAATTTTGTCGTTTTTCTCAAAATATTTTTGTTTTACCGTTGAGACGAAGCGCCACTATTGATTGGGTTTTCTACCCCAAATCTCCCGCGTTAATCGCAAATTCCTTTTTTATTGTGAAATTTCTTCAAGAAACCATGGTTATTGCAATGGTATACGACGTTGCTAGTATATAACTTGTCTTTATTTTTTAATATTGTTGTTATATTAATTTTACATACTAATTTTGCGTGATAATTATTTTTTTACAATTTTATATTTGCTTCAACTGTTAATTTTAGACAGTAATGCCGCCAAAAGCTTCCAAGGTTAATATCCAACCTATCAACTTGATCTTCCGATCACTCCAAAGCCGTACTCGCATTCAGATCTGGCTTTATGAGGATGTAACTCACAGAATCGAGGGGTACATTATTGGTGAGTCGTTTTTTAAATATTTTTTGTTTTAGAGTTAGGTGCAAAATCTTCAAGGATTTAAAAGTTTTCTGTATTATATCAAACTTCAACTAACTTCTTTTAGGTTTTGACGAGTACATGAACCTGGTGATTGACGAAGCAGAAGAGCTTCACTTGAAGAATGAATCTAGAAAGAAGCTTGGTCGAATCATGTTGAAGGGCGACAATATCACGCTGATCCAGAACGCTTAGAAGCAGATCTCCTTAAGTTATTTTTGGGTGGAATCTTGTTCAACTTTACATTTGTTTTGTTTTCTCTGATAATAAAATATGAATTGTAACATTGAGTGATAAAATTTTGTTCTTTAAGTGATACTTACAGGTTGTGTGCCTATGAAAAACTGTTTTTGGTAGTTTTACTACTACTAGTGCCTTCATTTTAAGGTTGTTAGACTTTCAAATTACCCAGCCAATATTAATTTTATGATTTTATAACTAATAAACAAGAAACAATAATAACATATCCTAACATGACAATATATTTAAAGGCTTTGGTCCTCTTCTGACAAATCTATCGCTGGAGGATCGTAGAAGTCGCAGATGGCTCCCACACTGGGGTCACGGCCTTGGAAGCGACGGTATAACTCCCCTTGAAGCTCACTAGCTCCTGGATAAAGTATAGTCTTCTTCAGACGTTCTCCTGTCACTTCTTCTTGCTGTTCGTGGTTAAAGGTCTCGTGGACATCCAAAGCCAACATCTCTGCCCACAGTTTACGGTAATACATGGACATGTATGGGGGCATAGCAAAGACGGGGGTGAAGGAGCAGGGCTGGTAGTTGTTCTTTTCTCTGTTAAACACAAAATAGTCTTTGTACATTTTCCTGTATACATCTAGCCAGAATCCTTTCCTGAAAGACAAAAAAGTTTAAGTTTTATCATTTGAAGTTCTCATAATATTACCCTATATTGAATATGACTTACTTTCTGTCTTCCATTTCGAACAATGTCAGGTCGAAGTCAGCCCAGAATAAGGTTCTGTACGACTCCCACAATATCGACCTCTGAAGGGCCCATGATACGTTATTACAATGTTCACTAGTCAGTGTCTCGCCCGTTTCAACGTGAGGACAGCTGAGAGCCGCCACCATGTTAGGCTTGTAGATGAAGAACTCGACGAACTTGGGAAGCATATCAGCAGCGTCCCAATCAGAAGCGTACATTGGGGCCATTGGAATGACTAGTTCTCGGTAAGGAGACCTGCTCAACAACATTTGGACTGCTCTTCCCATCTAAATTGTCAGATTTTAGTAAAGGAAACTTTGTAATTTATAATAGGTGTAACTTCTGAGTATAGCACATGTAATTCGACAATTAAATATAGACCTAAACACCTACGTGGAACAGAAGTTGTTGTATTTGTGAGTAATGAAGCAGAGATTCCCCTTCTCCAACTGGTTCCTCTGCATTTCCAATCATGTACACGATCTTGTCCAAGCCTCTTTCTTGCGATGTAGCTTAAATTGGTTAAATGTAAGACTTCACATAATTATCCGAATGCACCTTACTGCTGGAATAACTTACGTCTTCCGAGAAAAGTGTTCCATTTTCCTCGTTTTCCTTCTCTGGCAAATGGATCCATGTAAAGACGACCGAGGTGTTCTCCAGTGTGTGTATCACTTACGGAAAACACTTTACATGACGGATGACATCTTTGCAATTCTTGATCTGTCACATCCTAAATAATGTATTATAGTTGTCACACATAGAAACGTCGCAATCTTGCGACTTTTAGTACGAAAACAAGAGTAAAGGCATACCTGGAACTGTATTTTCAACAAGTACTGTAACATCTGCGTGAGGTTGTTGAAAGTGCCCCAGAAGGGGAAGTACTTCATCAGCTCCAGATGATCTACACTGTAATGTTCCAGAGCTTCCTTTCTGGCAATGTAAAACAAGTCGAATGGTTGTAATTGACCTGTTATCATTTCCCTAGCCGCGGCGTATCGTTGCCAGGAGTCCATTCGGTCGATAAAGACCGGTCGCATCCGATGAGTTAGTCTAAACACCAAATGTGACATAAAGTAAAGGCACTTACTCTTTCAGGAAGTTTCTGACAGTTTCTGGAGATCCAGCCATCTTGTTAGCTAGGCGATGTTCTGATACTGACGAGTAGCCGAGAGTCTTGGCTAATCCTTCACTAAAATTAATTTTTTAAACAAAAATAAATCCTTAACGAAACACCATGTCTAACTCCATATTAATCTAGAACTCTCACAATAAATAACCTAAGAGTAAAATTAGAAAATCTACAAAATATGTCATCCAGTAACTGTTACGTACGCGTTGTGTCTTAATTCCTCGACATTGACAGAGTTGTTGTAGAAGTCGTGCTCGAAAGAGGCCCTAGATATCCACCGATCCCATGCTTGTGCTCGTATTGGTCTGTCACTACAGTATCCCAACAGAGAGTATATTGAAGTAGGTTCCATTTGTGCTCGGTAAGGGCCTTGGGTTGTTTTGCTTAGCGTAAAAGTATATAATGTTAAAGGAAAGGCTTACCTTGTCGACAACTGCCTTAAAATGTGTGGTGGAGCATCTTTGACTTGGTGATCCATTAGTCCAAACACACATTGGTCGTTCGTCGATAAGATGTTAGTTCTGAAAAATTACTGGATATTCAATGTAAAATACAAAGTTTCTCATTGGCATATTGAGGTATCACTTACATGTATTTAGATCTGTACTCGTCAATCATTTTAGACCAACTGCCAATGATACTCCTCGTCTTCTGATCTGATTTGTCCAAGCCAGTAGCCTTGATTTCGAGAAGGTACCACTCAACCAGTCGCGCCTTCCACGGCTCCAGATCTTGCTGGTTGTCGTAGACAGTTTGTAGGGCTTTTTGGAATTCTGGATCGGTCAGCTTCTCCATGTGCTCACGAGCTACCATTACTTTCAACTGTAAAATAACAGTTTACTTTATATTTATTAAGACAACCTAAGTATTCTCTTTTGTGTAAACATACCTTATGAAAGGTAGCAAAAATACTTTGTATCCAAAAATGCAAAGAACCCAATAATAACTCCTTTACAGTAACTTACATGATCAAAGTCCATATCAAATGCCCTAGTAGAACATTCTGGCCATTCTGTTAACATTTTGACTAAGAGTGTGTTGAAAGCGTAGTCGATCTCGTACAATTCTGTCAGCAATGGCTCCAAAACTGTCTCAAAAGTTCGAGGCATGTCTTTATCTAAAAATCACTCTACAATCCATTGTATTGTCGTCACTTTCAGATTAACTAGACTCAAAATACCAAACAATAAAAAGACAGCAATCATAATAATTACCTTTCTCCAAAAGTTGCAAATGTTCCATTACTGTAGCCCCGTGCTCCATTAATAATCTTACCGTACCCTCGTACATTTCCTTTGCTAAATCAATATAAGAGTTAACGTTATCAAAAGGTGTTAATATTCAGTTTGTTCAATTAAATCGTTACCTGTTGCTGTTTTCAGAGCTGGCCAATCTGCATTTTGTGCAATATTCGCGAGGAAGACATTGTTCTCGGGAGTTTCGTCAGGAATGGCAGGAAAACTAAAGTTTGTAAGTAAACTCAATCACAAGATAACTACAACCTAAATTCTAAGTATACTTACACTACATAGTATCCCATTACTGTAGAAGGCCTGATGTTGTGCATTTTGAATACGATCTCCCGTACAGGATTACATTTCAAAGATGGTGGAACTAGTAATGCCTTAGGCGATTTATTGGAAAGCCTTCGTATTACTCGAAACGGAACTGATAACGAGGCCAACTTCATCCTACAATGTCTTATATTGTAAAACTACAAGTGACATAAATGTATTCACTATCGAGATTACATTAATTCATGGTTTACTTTATTATAAGGTATTGATAGGTAACAACTAATGCTTTAAAACGTTGATTAAATACTAGTAAGTTTATTAAAGTCAATAAATAAGAACGATGAGATCAATTCGGAACCCAGAAGGGCTCTAGAGGCTTTACTTTCAGATGTTCAAAGATGATTTGTCTATCGAGGTCTTCGTCCAGTTCCCCGATGACTGCGCTAAACCCACATAACATTAGCCGTACATACAATTAAATTTTACAGCATTGAATAATATTTTCTACAACGTTTCTAACTTTAAAAGCTACAGTATGCTTACACGTTATCCCCTCTGACAACATAAAGCCCCAGCTCGACCTGCTCCACACCCAACTGTTCTCCTCTGTAAACTCTCTCGTGGCTGTTCTCTAAAATGATATTGACTGTCTGATCGTATCCTTTCATTAGTCCAACAAAGTTCCTCCCATCTCCAGTAATCACGGACACCACCTTGTTCAAGTATGTGTCCAATTCTTGTGCCATCTAAACAAAAAGTTAACATATATAATACATAAAACGTTATTCATATCTTTAAGGAAAACGTTAATGTAGATGTGGCAAGAACCCGCTTTAAAGATAAAAACCCTATTCGTACAACAACAAGTTTAATAAACAACAACAATAACAAACAACCTATTCAAAAACTGAAAACAATTAGAACCCTATTAACATCACGATTATGTTATTCATATTTATCTTCGATTTCAATATCTTCATCATAAATTGAGTCAACTGAGTGCGTTACATAGGGCATCGGATTCTTAAAGTCGTCCTTGTCGTACACTACATCCACCAAATACAATCCTTTCCCACTCATCGCTCTGTGGCCTAATTCAATAAAGGTCTGAGGATCTGGGTACCTCAACATAATCTTCAGTTGATCAAAGTACCGGTCTTCGTAACCACACTTGACAATAATTCTTATCATTCGTCGTATCTAAACACATAATAAAATAACAAAAAGCTTCAGTAAACATACCTGTTCTCTGACAAAGCTTCTAGAGACGACTTCAAAGTTGTAGTAGTCGAAGTGTGGATCTTCAATTCCATTAATCGGCTCTCCTTGAGTAAATCTCACAAGGTTGAGCTCCTTTTGAACATGCAACTTTTTAATATATTTTCTTCTTTGACTGAGAGGATCTTTCATGAACGAAGCTATGTTGTTAATCCCAGACAATATTCGACAAGCTTCATTTGCCTTTTCAACGTTGAAGCCTGCTTTGGTAGTGTAGGAATAAAAACGTTCAGAAAAACAATGTATCGATGGAGAATGTAAAAAATGCTCATACCATTCTTGTGTCTTGGCTACTCTCAACCTGTAGACGTATCTTCTAGAAAATTAGAGCATATCATTAATGTTAAATAGAAACAATGTAATCCGTAACACAATAAAGCTTCTGTAAAGGCAAAACTACAGTTACTTCAGCAATATGAACCAAACTTACCTGTAACGAGCATGTTTACGAGCACAAAAACCAGGCGATACATAATGAAAGTCGAAACATTCCATTGAATTTGGGTAATAGTTATCAAAAACATAATTAATTTCCTTGAGAAGCTCGTCTTTGTACTCGTCAATTCTTCCATACTTGCTGGGAATATTCATGATTATCGGAGCTCGTAGTACATGAACACCAGTGTCGGTTCTAAAGACACAAATTAAAATAAAGAAGTCAAATACCTACTACATGGCCACAACTTCATCTGATCAATATTCTTCTTCGCCAATACGTTCTCCATAGCCGGATTCAAGAAGTCCATAACACCGTAGGCATTTCCACCAGAACTTGCAAAGCCATTGAAAAGACTTCCGTTGAAGCGAAGCCAAAGCAAATACCGATTGTTTATGTGATTCATAATCTTCCCCAATATATCATATAGTAAAATAAGATTATAGACCCATTAGTCTCTTCTGTATACTGAGAATTGTCGCCTTTATCAGGGGCTGCTTGCAATATTTTGTGAATTTCCATAAAATTGAGAATTTTCCTTGAAATTGCAGAATGCCAGATGCTGGGTTTCGTGATGGGAGTTAACCAAAAAAGACGGATACGGTCAAATATTTATTCTTGAAAAAATTTGCGCGCTACACTTGTTTTTTGCTTGTTGTAGTCAACTTTTCAAATGGTTTTGATAACAAAACGTAACTTTGTGCTTTTAGATCACGACAATGACTGGAAAAGAATGTCGCGAGAGTGAAACTTCCAGCGGAACCAGTGAATCTGACTCGTCTTCTGACGGAGAAGAGGATACTAGTCCACAGAATGACACAGTGTTCAACAAATACACCATGGCCGGTGAGATCACCAACACCGTGTTGAAGGTAATTTTTATTTTGATTGGTATATTGTTGTTTAGGAAGTTATCGCTCAAGTGAAGGAGGGAGTTACTGTTGGAGAACTGTGCGATCTTGGAGACAAGAGAATTGGTGAATTGACCGGCAAGTTGTTCAAGAAAAACCCCAAAGTTAGCAAGGGTATTGCCATGCCAACTTGTGTGTCAGTGGACAACATTGTCTGCCACTATTCTCCATTAAGGAGCGAAGATGCTGTCACCTTGAAGGCTGGTCAGGTTGTAAAGATCGACTTGGGAACACATGTTGATGGATTCACTGCCCAGGCGGCTCACACTGTTGTTGTTGGAGCTTCCAAGGTGTGTATTTTTAGATATTTGTTTCTTTTTAAATATTATAATGTTCTTGATGTCTTTTAACTTTTAACTATGTCTTGAATTATGAAGAAAGTATTGTTTTTAGGTATGTAAGCGATAAAACATAACCGGTTTTTTGCGACGAGTAATAATTTTTTTCTTGCAGGACAACAAAGTTACTGGCAAAACAGCAAATGTTATCCTCGGAGCTTACAATGCTTTGGAAGCTGCCCTCAGATACCTAAACCCAAACAAGGAGAAATCGAGTCAAGATGTAACTGATGTTATTGACAAAGTGACCAAAATATACGAGGTAAAGCCTGTGGAGAACATGCTCTCACACCAGTATGACAAATATAAGATTTCTGGAGAAAAGCAACTGATCCAAAACCCAACTGATGATCAGAAGACGAAAGTGGAGAAGTTCAAGTTTGAAAACTACGAAGTTTATGGCTTGGATATCTTGATCACGACAGGAGATGGTAAGTGTTATATTAATATGCGGATGTTTTGGATTTAAATTTCAAAAATATTTTTACGCGAAAACGGATGAAGACTATGGGGTTCGTGGAGTATTTTCGGCACTTTTGTTTGAAGTAGTCTGGATTAAATTTACTTTTTAACTTCATTTATTTGGTTTTAGGTAAGGTGAAACAACACGACACTCGCACCACCGTTTTCAAAAAGAACGATGACTTTGTTTACTCGTTGAAGATGAAGATCTCCCGTGCCTTCTTGACCGATGCCACCAAGCGATTCCAGAACTTCCCCTTCTCTTTACGATCGTTCGAAGAAGAATCCAAGGCCAAATTGGGAAGTGTTGAGTGCTCGAACCACGGTCTTCTACAACCCTACCACGTTTTAGTTGATAAGGACACCGAAGTTGTCGCCCACTTCAAGGCTACCGCTGTTATCCTCCCGAATGGTATCATCAAGTTGTCTGGATTGCCTTTGGAGACAGATTTGTATCAAACTGATGTCAAGATCGAAGACAAGGCACTGGCAGCTCTATTACAAGAAAGCCTAAAGCCCAAGAAGAAGAAGGCTGCTGCTAAGAAAACCGAAGCCAAGTAAACGACGGATTGAACCATGAACACCTGCCAAAACCCTGTAAACCATAAATTCGGTGGAAATGTTGTTATTGTTTTTGAATAAATTTATCAGTTTTTGGTCGAGCTTTGTTTACTGGTTGATTTCTATTAAATTTCTTCGTTTTAATGTAGCTAGAATATTGAAATATGGTTTGCAATTATATAATAGCTCATAATATCCGAAATTTCCTTCCTCCTTTTCAAATGGCAAATTTAGTTTTATTTTATAGTTTTGTTCACAAAGGTTTCTTGCTGTAGTTCACTAACAGTAAGGTCGTTCTCTCTTTTGTATAATATTGCTATAACATAATTTAAAGAGCCATCTATGTAGATATATAATTTATTGCTTAAACTTAAGAAACTCCTAGTACCTAGCACAGGGGTTTGGTAATATATAAAAATATAGTTGAAATAACAAAATATTAATTGATAACAACATAGTCTGAACCGATCACAATGTTTGGAATGGTAGATTTGGTTAGTTAAATGGGTTGTTAGACTAGAAACTGGTCGGTGAACGTAGAAATCTCGGTCCTAATAGTGTATCCGCAAGACATATTGTTTGTGACAATATGTGTTCTTGGTAGATAATGTGATTTACCATGCTGCAGTATGGTATATCTATTACACGTCGTGCTCTACACGGTACGGAACAGTCTTTGAACGAAGCGGCCGACGCCGGAAAGGAAGGCGTTCTTCTTCTTCAGACTGTACAGTAGTTTGTGTAGCCGTTTCACCTGAAGTGAGAACTCTTGAGGTGATTGAGAGTGTAATTGACGGAGATTAGTTGCTACTAGTTGACCTGAAATTTTATTATAATTAATATGAATAATATAAGTGTTCATTTTATTTTAGGATTATTTTTTGTGTTATTGTGTGTGTATGTGAAAGCAGAGGAATGGAATGTGGGCACAGCTATGTAATTCTAGACCGTTTAATTTGTGACCCTATCTGACCATTAAAATGCGCATTAGCCAAACATTAATCTGCCACTTGTAGCTGAAATACGATCGGCCCTTGGTTAATTTGTTTAAACAAGTGTCTACAATGTTTGTTTGGACTAGCAATTATTGCCATTTGAATTTTTTTGAAATCAAAATTTAAATTTCAAAAACCATATTTGTATTTTTAGATTATAACTTTTTGTTTGAAACGGGCTTTGCTTAATTACCATATTTAAAATATTAAAGTAGTTTTAGAATCACACAGTAGTGTTAAAACCAAAACAATTTTGAATTCAGCCTCTTTGTTGCGCAACAATTATCGACCAGTCGCTAATTGAGTCATAAAGTCGAGACCCAATTGGCACCTGTATTCAGATGCCGGCAGTAAAATGTGGCGGTATTTTTGACCACTTTTACGACCGACACCGGGCTGAGGACAGGTGTAATTCAGATCAAAGATAACATATTTTATTGAATTTATACTCCGAGGTCAGCTTCGAAACAATACTGTGTACTGTAGAATCAATGCAGGTATACTGTATGATTAAAGCACAATTTTTCAAAATAGAGTTTCGGCCCAACTTTCAAAAAATTTAAATAATCATAGAGTTTGTGACAGAACTATAGGTTTAATTTCGTAGTAATAGTACCTCAAATGAATTAAATCGTAACTTAAACGTATTTTACAATCCCATGACCCTCAATTAAGTTGTTTTGACCGGAAAGGTGGGAATCGACCGCTAAAGTCAAGGCCAGATTCTTGATCAAACAGTCGATTAGGTAACAGCGCTCTGTCTCGAGACTCTGACCATAAAAGATACCAAAGTGTAGTCATAGTAACAGTTTTTTAACATAGATATTACTGTAATATAGAAGTCATGGTAACAGTTATGTTAATGTAGCAACTACTATAATATAGACGTGACCATTAGATTGATGTAAATTATTGGGAAGTAAAGGTTATTGTTACATAAAAGAGGTATAGCCGGAACCCGCTAACACTTCAAAAGGTGTAAATTAATGTTACTCTTGGTAAACTAACAAGTGGCTCAGGATAACAAAGTAATTAGCGAAGATCACAGACACCGATTACCGCCGGTAAATTGCCCGGACAATTGTGGACATCATAATTCTTGGGATTTTGGATAAACTACCACGAAGGATACTGTAATTTTGTTAAAAAATCATAAAAATTACAAAAACATGCTCATTAGTCTAAATTAAAACAAATTTACTGCAAAATGGTTACTGTATTTTCTATATGTGGCAAAATCTATTTAAGAGATTGAACAATCCTAGCCTGGGGATGTTCGGCTAGTCCAAAGACAGGCTTATAACAGTTTAACTAATATTTCTTTGTTGCGCCATCAGATTAGTCTCTCGCCTATCCTACGCCGCCGCTTCTGAATACCCTACAGCACCGTGGAGTTACATGCTGAGACACAAGTTTGGATAATATGCATAAAAGGTCAGAAAATTTATAGAATTTACCTTTGTTCATAAAATGTTAAATGTACTTTAACTTAAGTTAAACTTTTCAAAAATGTATAGAGTACTGCAACTTACCGAGAATGGCACAATTCCTGCTGAAGGCCAAGTCGTCGTCCAGCTTCAGGTCAAAGATACTTGGAATGCCAAACATGATCTTGACCTCTTCCTGCACCTCAGTGATCTTCTTGCTTTTAGTTTTGTCGTTCTTGGCTTCTGTGAGGAGAAGAGCTGTTAAACGTCCTGAAACAAATCAAAATTATTACCTAAAATACTGTTATAAAGCATAAAATTATCTAATTAAAACAAGGCTAAAGCTGTTTGCACAAGGCTAAGAAGCCGCTGAATCAAGTGCCAACTTAATGTGGATTTGTGACGTAATGCCACTCTCGACAAACTTACCATAGAGCGAAGCCTCGTCCTCGACTTGGATTCTGGGAGGCAGGGTTTGAGGCATCTCCACCGTCTTCTGGTCCTGAGGCTCCACCTTCAGAAACACCGACGACAGGTTCTCGTAGATCTTGTTCGTGGCATTCATAAACTCGGTCTCATCGTCGTCGAAGTCAGAATCATTCAGAACTTGGTCATTCGGGCTGTAGCACTCGTCTGTGAACGGTGGCGTCAAGCACGGTACTCGAGAGTTGAGTAGCGTGTTCGAGAAGACGTCGTCGTTGAAGCGGACGGGATAGTCGAACTCGGAGATACTGTAACGACAACTCTCCACGTTGGCAGGGGTATCTGGCGACCTTCTGTAGCCTTCTTCACTGTCTTCCTTCTCAGAATCTTTGCTCCCAGAAGGCGCGCAGTGTATAAAGTCCAGTGTTTTTCTGGTCGATGTCAGGACTCGACTCCTCTCCTGCTTCTTTATGACCGGTTGCTGAACTCCAATTGGGATCTCTTTTGAAATGACTTTGCCATAATTCCGCGACAACTTTATCTTGGTTATCTTTGTCATCGTGTGCTTCTTCTTTGGAATCTGCTTGATGTAGCGTCTCCTTCGTCCTAATGAATGATGTCTGTAGCTGAGGTCCGAAGCATCGTCACGGTGTTTGCTGAAGTCAGTAGCGCCATCATCGTGACATCTGAATTCTACTGAACCATTGGAATTGGAGTCGAGAGAAGATGTAGATGGCTCACTAGACGATACACAGTCGTATTCAGAAGTGGTCACCATGGTTTCCGTCAAGTACCGGGGCTTCTGTGTAGCGATATTAATCATACACACCTTTGATTAACTGAAAATTATATAATTAGGAGATGGAACAACATAAAAAAGTACACAAATTTCACGATCTCGATTATTTACGTTATATACTACCGTAACAACACAATATAATACAGAATAGAATAATATAGAAGAACAAATATTACTATACATGAAACTAAAATAAGCGTCACGATATAAAGTAATGTCGAAACAATGAGTCAACCTGAAGCCATTTGTCAAATGAAGTTCAAGCTGGCTACAGAGTGGTACGAAATACAAAGTAACTCGTGGAGACGGAAGAGCGTAGCGCGACTTGGCACCAAACTTTTGTTTCAGATTCATATCAGTTCGAACTCGCGGCGACGATTTAAAAGGGCTTTGATGTTATGAATAGTCAAGAATCCTATGAAATCAAACTTTACGTAAGAAGTAGGTGTTGTGGGTTAAATAAACATATATATAAAGAATACCCATGGACTTATGTTGAGAAAGATAATTTACTAAAATGACAATGACTGAGCACGATGAAGAAGATATGACACTCGACGGATGGGTAATGAAGCCAAGAGTGCACCGCTTTGTAATACAATAGCCTACTAATTGATACCACAACAACCACTTAATTGAGTTAAGCATTGTTGAACACAAAACGGGTACCCCGCCCCCTTCAGAGGCCAAATAAGGCGCCACCCCTTGACGCAAGAAGTGTCGCTAAATACTAAAACAACCTTTAACGTACAAGCCTTTGAAGTCTGTTCTGCTTATGAATATAGTGATATCTTTGACATATAGTATGAAGATATTACTATCTTTACACATCCATTGAACTTAGTAATACTATTTAAATGAGATCGTAGTAAAACCGCGACTTCCAGAAGTCTGGGACCAATAAAAACATATTTGTCTCACTTTTGTCGCGCAATTGGCGACAGAAGAAAGGGCGACAAATGATATACACAAGTTTTATTGGCTGGCAGGTGGATAATATGGACAATAAAGCAGCTTGTGATGCTTCTGATAGGAATAATGTTACCCAATCTGATTAACAAAACCAGTACAAATTTTTGGGAAGGGTCAATTAGATAAGGCAGCTTCAAAGAGAACGTTGCTTGTTGAAAGTTCTTTAAAAATTTGAAGACAATGTAATTACAGTAAGCGTATATAATGACAATTCTAATAGTAAGTCTATTAGGTTTATCGCTTTTAAAACTACTTTTAAGGAACAAAAGCATAACATATATGCCCACAAAATACAGTTGATTACAAGTAAATTAAGCAAAAGCATACGAACTTATGTTGCAGTATCCTCAAGTTAGTTTTCGACCGTAACTGCGACTGTAATCTCGAAAACTGTGAAATAAAATGCTTATTACTCGAATAACCACAGCCCCGCCCCGAACTCTTGACACGCTAATAAGGTCGAGATTAAGCTGACAAGTTCAATCTCGCCCCACCCCTTGTAATTAGAGCCCCCGAGTGGTACGGTAGGTTTGACACAATAGACATAACTCTTTCATAGTATCATCACCGCAGTATACTGTTAAAGAGTTTTTTGGTCAAAAAGTTTGAAGAAAAGAGGTTTGAACTTTAAAAGCTGGGTTCATATTGTGATAGAAGAAGACTTTAAAAGTGAGAATGTAAACTAAATTATTGGCAAGTAAGATACTTCTTAATGTACATAAACTAATATTTTTAAAATAAGACTGGCAGAATAAGACAGAAATGTTAAACTTGAAGCATTCAAACTGAAAACTATCAGCTAACATAACACTACCTTTTAGTCTTTTTTGAAAGATTAACAACTACAGAACCATACGATTTTAGAAAACCCTAACTCAGCAGTTCGACCATTTTATAAAACTGACCATTCCCAACACTGCCAATCTATATTCTCCATCCATAAACGCGAAAACAAAACAACAATTAGCGTACATGACCCTATGATAAGGTTACGTTTCTTCATCCGGGCTTTTGTTGAGAAAACAACCCTACAACCCTAAGATTAAAGCCTATAAAAGCTCCCTATAATAAGAGTTTCTCCTTAATAGACCCCATAATATGTAATATATCTTAACATATGCATGTATATAACAAGCAATATATTAGTGTAGAGAAAAAGAAATGAATGTAAAACAAGCAATCGCCCCAGGTCTTGTTTTAGTGAGAAGCATACTGAGAATACGAATGGACAAAGAGCAGATCAACAACAATATTGCTGGAGGGATTTATACACTAAGATACTACGCTTCTAATACATAATGTAAAATATGCTACATTGTAATGTAAGTTAATGTTCATAGCATATAAGTATGTATTATAGTAAAGTGAAAAAATTCTTAAAAATAATATTTTAACTAATTTTTGCCCGAACAAATACTGTAAGTATACTGTAATCTTAAAAAGCTTATCAAAAGGTTAAAAAATGACTAATAAGTTCCTCCACAAATAGCTGTATTCGATGCCCCACCAACCAACAAACCGAGGATTAATAGACAATATAAATAAAAGTTTGGCTTTGATCGCAGTAATCGACCGGCCACAACAATACGGATCAATGCCCTTTTCGGAGAGATAATCGCCAAAGTCAGACAGTAAAGGATCGCGCGATCTGTCGGCACATGGCGGATATTGCACTTAATTGGGATATTTGAATATCCACGATGACTTTCACGGCATCTGGAGCCAACAGTTTTGAAATTCAATTCAAATCGCTTATTAGGTATATAAAGGTTAGGCATATAACATTACACTAATAGCAAATAAAATACATTAACGAAATCAGCAAACCCACAGTAAACGTATCTTTACAGTCATTCCCTAAAGATATTATGTAGATATTCGAATTTACAGTAACACCTGTTACTACCATTAATCCTTTATTACTATCCAAATCCAGAAAATCTGTCAAAGTAATAAAACCGTGTCACCGTATTCGAATTACAAGCTACAGATGTCACTAATCGGGCGACATTAAAGTCCATGAAACCAGTTCTACAAATCCACTTTAATTAAACTACAGATGGCATTTATAGCTTCTTCATTAAATTACAGTAGTCTACTTAAGTATGTCGCCTTTTGAGTAAAATTACTTTAGTATTTACTGTAGTAAACGTAACTTACTAAAAAACCAAAAGAGAGACTAGTCAAGTAGAAGAGCTGAGACAAGATTAATAAGTCTGGCCTGAGTCTGTGGCCAAATAAATTTAAAATTTCGAAAAGTTATAAATGTCAGTGGCAACGAATGCTAACTTATAGCCATATCCGTCTTTCCGACTTATTACCTATGTCCATTAAAAGTGGCGGCGACAAAGTGTTTTTTCAAAAATTTACAAAATTTAAAAAAGTTAAAAACCTAAGTAGCCTAGATATACTTGGCCAAATACGAAACATTACAACGTGCTTCAGCGTGTTAGGAACAGCTGACAGCGAGAGTAAGGCTGTTTTAGAGAAAGTTTGCATAAAAGTATAAGTTTGTACAAAAATGACTTTTTTCATATAAAGTTAGTTTATAAAAATATGACAATTTTGGGGATTTCAAAGAATTGCAGAGTAAGACCACAGAGGAGAAAAACAATAAAAAAGTTTGATTTGGTTTTGTTTTGATGCCACTTTAATGGGAAACGTTCGATTGAAATATTGGATCGGGAACGGCACGGAAATAAGGCATTTTATACCGAAAAACAGCGAAGTAGAGTTAATTGGTTTACATAGTAAAAAATACAAGTAGATCGGGCTTAAATGTTACAAAAACACCATAACTATACCTATAAAAACAATAGTAAAAACCAAAAATTTCAGAAACTTCATTCAATTAATATACATGTTACAGTAACCAAATAGACCCTTTAAAATTGTAAACTTATGCCAATTTAATACCACCTTTACCTACTTGACACTTGAGATCATAACCACTTGAAAAACATATTCATCACCGCTTGACAACATAATAAACATGTGTGTGATGAATATATTAGGCAGATTTCCGATTATCTCGACTCAAACATGACACTTGGCCTTGTTCGAACTTATCAAGATCGATCTCGAGAGCTGAGAACAAGGTTGCATTGTTAATATAAGTGTAAACTTGGGGCTTGAAGATAAAGCTAAGGAAATATAAAACTTAATGTTAACAATACTATGTTTACGTTATCAATCTCTACACTATCAAAACTGATAAGTAAAATACTATAAAACCCAAAAAACGCCGTTTTAACCCGAACAAAGTTGCCAATCCACAAAAATGGCCTTTTATAACGCAGCAGCAATAAAATGAACCTGTTGGGAGCCCATATAATTACATGTTAGGTATTATAGATCGTATATCCGCTGCACTCTCTCCCCTTTACCGTGGTAGGCGGCTGCTATTTTCCTAACTGTGAGCGATGCGCGGCTTTGTGAAAGTAAAAGGAAACCAATTGATGCCGCTTTTTGATGCGTTCACAGACTACTGCTTGTCACACCGGTGTCAAATTCACAACTTTGAGGACATTTCGACGCGTTTCGAATGTTTTTAAACTGTTAATAAAACTTTTGAAACTTTAAATTTGGCAGAAGAAACAGAGAGACTGTGAAGGACTTCTACACACTTTTGGACCACAAAAATAGAAGATAAAAAACTAAATCAGCGCCACAAATATGTAAAAATATTTTGCTATAAGACTTTAATAAATTGTTCAATTACTTCTGTGACCCCTAAAATTTGCTTTGAGAAAGAGCACAGAATTATTTGAACAACCTAATAGAAACAGCCTTTTGTTTTAATATACTTATTCTTCCGTTTTTCTCTTTACTTTTAGACCGGAAAACCTAAGTCGAAGACTTTAACTCAAGACCTTTCATTTAGGCTTAAACCACTTAAAAACAATATTTAGGACATTAAGTTTGACCTCGAGACTCTCGACTGCAACCAAAATGATAGGTTAGCGACTTGTTAGCCTAGTTTAAGCCTATATTTAACGGATCAAAATGCGCAGCGAAAGAAGTTTCGAACGAAAATCAACACCAAAAACATA